TTCTGTCTTAAGCATTAAATCTATAATTGTTTCAACTGAGAGAAGTTCTCCTAGTTGAAGTTCTAATTTCCTTCTGATTTCCGCCCATCTATTGCACTCGAAAAACGTGTGTCTTACATTATCAGTCGTGTTTAGGCAGTATATGCAGTCTCCGATTTCGATTTTTGCCATTTTATGCAGATAGTGTCGGAAATATCCGTGTCCTGTCAAAAATTGCGTTAGATAATAATTTACTTCGCCGTGTTTTCTATTATGCCAAGAGTCCAATCGTTTGATAAGTTTTGCAGTCCATCTGCCTTTTTTGCTATTATCCCATCTTTCTTGCCAGGAATCTAAAGTTGAATTTCGAACTTCCTTTTTTAGTTCTTCTTTATGTATCTCCATTTTTCTTGTATATAGCTGCCTGCGTTCTTTCATTAATAGATCAATCGGGATAACTCCTGCTATAACTAATGCAGCATCCGATGATACCGTTCTGTAACAGCAAGCTATTCTTAGAGCACCATTTATTTGTACGTCAGCTATGGGTTTTTTCGATATCTCCGTCTTTAGGGCATCTGAAGTAATTTCAGCTCCGTACAGCATAATAGATTGAGCTACAGAGAGTAGAGTTCTCCTCTTACTTGATTTCGGCCCATTTACATTTGGCATTAGTCTGCACAAATTTGTCGTAACTGCCGCGGCTTTATCTGCTGCGCTTCTTATTTGTTCTGCAAAGGAAAGCTTTGTATCGATCTTAATTCCCAGGTATTTTATTGCACTTTTTGCTTGTATGGTCTCATTTCCGATTTTGATCGGGATAAGTGTGTCGATTCTTCTCGTTGTGATGATTGTCACCTCCGATTTTTGTAGTGCAAGACTTAAAGAGTGCTTCTCCATCCATATACTTATACGCTTCATTACTAAGTTTAAAGTTAGTTGTGCGTTTTCTATGTTTTTGTCTAAAATTAGCACTACCACATCATCAGCGTATCCGATTATCGTTGTATTCTCTGGTAATTCAAGACGTAGGATGCTGTCGTAGGATGCATTCCATAGTTCCGGTCCCAAGACCGATCCTTGAGCAGCGCCAGCCGTTAGTTTTTTCCTTTGCGGACCTTCGGTAGTGTCGTAGACTAGGATCCTATCTTTTAGGTAATCCTGAATCATGCGCATAAGATATTGGGGAATATGGAAATCTTGTTCCAAGGCCTTTATCATATCATTCCAATTTGCAGAGTTAAATGCATTTTTAACGTCCAATGTGACGAGTAGGGCTGTTGGTCGTGAGTAGTGGTTTCCTTGGCGTGTAGAATTTGCCAATTGTATAACTTTCTGAACAGCGTCGATTGTTGAGATTCCTTTTCTGAAACCAAACTGATTTTTTGAAAGGTCACCAGCTGCTTTAATTGCGTTTTGTAGTCGTGGTTTTATTAGTTTTTCCAACAATTTCCCTGACGTATCCAGCATGCATAGTGGTCTGTATGCTGATGGGTCAGTTGGATCTCCCTTTCCTTTACTTATTAGAACTAAACGCTGAATCTTCCACCGTTTTGGGAAAATACCTTCCATAAGACACTTGTTGTACATATTTAATAAAAACTTTGGTTGTGCTTTTGCTACTATTTTCAAAACCTCTATTGGTATACCGTCAGGGCCAGGTGATTTCCTTGGTTCCATTGTTTTGATTGCATCCGCTAATTCTTTTTCACTGAATAATTCTATTTCTTCCATTATATCTCCTCTCGGGTAGTCATGTACCTGGTGCGCCGGAAAGAGGGTATCTACAATATGTGTCATTTCCTGAGAGCATTTTACTTCTTGACCTCCATGTCTTCTTAGTTTATTCGTCACCACTTTATATCCTAAGCCCCAAGGATTTGCATCCACTTCCTTTATAAGAGTTTTCCAGCATTTTAGTTTGCTACTCTTTATAGCTTTTCCTAGTTGCTTTTTAGCAACTTTATATTCCACTGTTCTGCAGAGAAATTCCTCAAGGTTCTTCTTCTTGATTCGTTGTGCCTTCCTTCGTAACCGGAGACATTTCTTTCTAAGGTCTGCGATTTCTTGACTCCACCAATACATTTCCTTCTTATTATTCCTTGGCCTCTTTCTTGGTATAGCCAAGTTACAGGCTGACTTTAATAACTTTATGCTAGAGTTTACTAAAGTTTCTGCCTTGCAGTTGCGCGCAATTTCCATGTCTATCGCGTATGCACCCAGAGTGATGACTGACACAAGACATTCGGAGTTTATCTTTTCGATATTCCATTTAGACGTTTTCCGCGGTTTGTCATCCATTCCTTCTCTTCGGTTACAGATTTGGAAGGTTATGTATTGATGGTCACTTGCTGTGAAGTCCTCAATCACTGTCCATCCCTTAACCTGCTTTGCCATATTCCCAGTTGAAAAGGATATATCTGGTATTGTTTGTCTGTTTCCCGCTCGTCTGAAGGTTGGTGTTTTTCCTTTATTAAGAACCACTAAGTCTAATCTTGCTGTCATCTCGATGATACGTTTTCCTCTTGCATCCCTATAAGTCATTCCCCACTCCAGGGCCTTGGCATTAAAGTCTCCGGCTATAATTATATTTCCCCTCATCTTTCTTATAGCATCTTCAAGATCTGTTAGTTTGTTTTCAAAATTAGCTATCGGCTCATTTGGGGTAAAATAACAGCTAATGATTGTAAGCGTGTCACTTCTTACCCAGACGAAGCCGTTTCCAATTCCATGGTTTATAATTCTGAAGGAAGCAGGATTTGTTATCCATATTGCTGAAGTACCTAAATTATCTGAGAACCAGTTTGGAGATTTTTCATTTTGGTATTGTTCGCTTAGGATTATTAAATCTATCTTTTTTTCTAAGCTTAGTTGCCCTAGAATCTCTCTTGCAGTTTTACTTCTGTGATTATTTGCTTGCATTATGTTAAGCATTTTTGGTCTCGTCTTGCTTTTTCGAGTTCTTGTACAAAAACTTTACAGTTTCCAGAACCTGCAATATGTTTGAGTTCCTTTTCGTCTTTTTCTGCACAAAGAAAGCACTTTATTTCTTCATTGCATTCCACTGCTTTATGATCCTTTTGTCCACATTTATAGCAAATATCTTTCCTATCTGTGCCTTTGCATTCGCTTGCGAAATGACCATATCCCAAGCACTTGAAACAACGCTTTACAACAGCTCGTTTCCTAATGCGGCAGTAAACCCATCCAACTTTGATTCGTGCAGTTTCCAATATTTCGTTTGCTGCCCGTTCATTCACCTCCACTATTGCTAAAACGAGTTCTCTTCTGTTTGGTTTAGTTAATCTAACCCTCGCATCCCCAGTTTCTTCCTTTACTTGTTTCTTTAACGCGTCAATGACTTCTTCCTCCGTTGTTAGAGAATCCAAGTCTCTTATCTCTAGAGTTGTCCTTGGTACTCTGGTTTGTACTATTCCTATATCTCCTACAGCGTTTGTAAGGGCCTTTGTGAATTCTTCATTTATACATGTGTCCTTGGCTAATTCCAGGAGCATGCTTCCCGTCTTTGTTTGTCGAATAGTTTTAATCTCCGTATTCGTTTCTTCTGGTTTGACTTTTTGTCGAATTTGGGTTAGGATTTCAGCGTATGATTTACCTTCCGAGGGTTTTATAATCATTGCTTGCGTTCTATTCCTCATAGGCTTCTTTATAGTTTGATTTCCCTCAGGAGTGTTATCCCTTTCTCTTGTCAGACGATCAGGATCTTTTTTCTTTTTTTTCTCTGGTACTTTGCTCCATCTCGGGCTCGCTATGCCATCCTTCGCTTTCTTCCCAGAGTAATTTGACACTGAGTTTTCTAAAGGGCTGTTAGCTGATCTTTTATGCTTCCTATTTTGGGGGGTTTCTTCACCTTTGTTGAGTGATACTTCTTCTTTTCTATAGGCGTTTGGACGGACAATTTCATGTTCTGTCTTAATAACTCCCAAGTATGTTTTTAGGGCTGGTATTCCATTTTTTATGTCCATATTGACATTTTTTTGTTTTTGGATGGCATTGTCCATCGAAGATAAAATTTCTATCATTTTTGTCAAAGCTTCAGCTATCACAGAGTTTGATTCCTCCAGTCTTTTAGTATCCACAATCATCTTCTCGCTTGTAGCTTTATATGCCTTCGCAGCCAAGTGGTCCACTGTTAAGGCACTGCAGTAGCTTTTTAATGGCGAACCGGAGCCTGCTTGCTCGCGCCGATTCACTTCTGCTAGGGGATCCGAACTCCCTTGCAGCGTAGCATTTTTACTTAAGGTTTCTTTTCTATCCATATTGTATTTATTTTCGGGGTTCCTTCCCTTAGGTCCTAGACCAGGCTTGCATATAAGTATGTGATATGTAAATGAAAGTGTTGTGAAAAAACCCCGCAATGTACTGCCCCGCGTGGCAGGGTGCGCGGTGGTTTATGAGTGTGTGAAAGTGTATTTGTGTGGGACTTCTATGCGTGTGTAGGAGTGTGTTACAGTGTAGATGTTCATGTATGTATTTTGGGTTGTATCTTGGTCAGGCTGGGAGTGCGGGAGCCTCGCGGACCCGCGAAACTCATCGTCGAATATACGTCTCCGATCCAGGTCGGAAGACTCATTTATTAATGAGCCCAACGCTCCGGGTCAGAGGACGTCCCACCCTCCTACAAAGACGAGTACCACCCTCATTCTAGGAAGAGCCCGAATTAAGCGGGATACCCTCACAAAGGCCCCACCCTCGAAGGAAAGCGAGAAAAAACGCTTCAGAGTACGCAGGTAACGGACCCCCTCACTCCCAGACCCTAAGCCACTCCACCTCGACACGGTCCACCAACCCCTAGGAGTGGAATAATAATAATAATAATAATAATAATAATAATAATAATAATAATAATAATTTCCACGCTTGCCCTTGCGCAAAAAAAAAAAATAATAATAATAATAATAATATAAGTATAGGTACAATAATTAAATTAATAATAATTATATTAATTATTATTAATTAATGAAACAAAGATTGATTTTTTTGAATAAAAAAAAAAACACTTGTATTACGAAAAGAAGAATCAATTTTTATTTTATTTTTAAAAACAGTTTCGATAAAATTATTGAATCCTGTTGTTTTTTTTTCTTTTTTCACGAGGCGATTTCATATATATATGTGTATGTATAACAATAAAATTCGTCGATGATAACAGGAGAGTGTCTCACAGTGATTGATCTTAAAATTATCATTATTATTATTTATTTTATTTTTACCTATTATATATGCAATTATTTTGTAACAATCTAGATTTTGGCATAAGTACACTCGTATATTACAATTTTACTCCATTTTTTGTGAATTTTTTTTTTTTTCTTTTTCTATTTTTGAGTTAAAAAAGAAAATAAATTCCATCACAATAAAATGGAGTATCACACATTTTTTTTTTCTAACTATACATAATTTTTTTTTTTTTATTTCAAAATAATTATACCAAAAAAAAAAATTCGAAAAACTGTTTTTTTAAAAAAATATTTCATTGAAAAATTGCAGAGAAAAAAAATGATATGAGCATCTCTTAATTTTTTTTTTTGTCTTTACTATTTATAATTCTAAAAAGAAAATTTAAAAATGTAAAAATATGCTACGAAAGAATATTTTCTTTTTTTTTAAATTTAAATAGATTTCTCTTATTTTGAAAGGGGAAAATTTTTTTTTTACTTTTAATTAAAACGAAATTAATTTTTTTTTTTACATTAAATTTAAATGGAAAAAAACAAATTATTTTTTTTCATTTAAATTTAAATAAAAGAAAAATTTCTATTTTTCGAAAGCAAAAAACAAAAATTTTCCCCTTCTTTGGAGATTTTGAAATTTACGTATAATGAAATTTTTCCAATGAAATTTGATACTGGGAAACAAAAATATGTATATAAATATAAATTAATTGTAAATTGTAAATTAACAAATAAAGGAAAAAACAAAATACTCAGTCAAAAATTGAAAATTTTATGTACATTGAGAAAAAATTTTCAATTAATAATTACAGAAAATTATTAGTTATTAATTCTCGAAATTCTATTGTTAATTAATTTTTTTTAACTAATAAATTATTAAATTTTTTTGTTACTAATAAATTTACTAATAAATTACTAATAAATTTAATTAATTATAACTAATTCTATTAATCATTAAAAAAAAAAATTAATCAATGATTATAATTTAATTAATCATCTAAAATTATTAATAATTAATTTTTAACTAAATAATTATCAATTATTAATAATAAATTAATGAAATATTAAATTTAATTAGTAACTAATAATAATTATTAATTGACATAGTAATTAATAATTTATTAAATAAAAATAATAATTAACAATTTATTAAGTAAATTATTAATAATTTATTAATTAACAATTTATTAATTTTATTTGTAATTAAAAATTTGTTGAGTAAATTAATAATTAATAATTTGTTAATTAAAATTATTAATTATTTCATTAATCTCGAGAAAATTAATAAAATGAATTATTTAAAACTTCATAAAAAAAAATTTTTTTTGCACACAAATTCATTTTTTTCATATAAATTTTGTGCATTTATCTCGCGAGATGACAGACAAAACTTTTCAAGTGAATTTTTTCGTGTATTTTTTTTTTTTTTTTTTTAAATTTTGTTTTGTATTTTCTTTTTCAGCCTAAAAAATTGTTTAAAACTCTCCTCAAAGTTCAGTTTTTTGTTGATTCGAATATTTTGGTTTTAATTCTTCAATTCGATGAATAAAATCAGATTTTTCAATGCATCCATTGCATGACTCGTCCCAATCGTTCAAAATTTTCTTCAAATCGCGTACTTTCAATTTTTTCAAATCCACGGTATTCAAGTCGATTTGTTTTTCTAAAAAAAAAGAAAAAAAGAGAAAAAGAAGAATAAATAATTTTCGACATTTAAACTAAAAAAAAGAAAAAAAAACAAAATTTCCATTTCAAACAGAAAAAAGAAAATTATTTACGTGCAAAATTATTTTAATTTATAAAAACACTTGTAATTTTTTTTTGCAAAACTTTACCAATTTACCAATTAATTAATTAAATTATTTAATTTATTTTTTGGTACAAATAAAAAAAAAATTATTTATTATTGATTTACAATTCTTTTTTTTTTTAAATAAGAAAATAAATTATTTTTGAAAATAATTTTCTTTTTCCTTTTACTTAAAACAAAAAAATAATTTTACATTCAAAATTTTCTTAATTACAAAAATATTATAAATTAAGAAAATTATTTAATAAATTTTAAATTTCTTACCAAATCGCAAATCACAAATTTGTGCGTCTTTCTTTCTGATTTTCTCACAAATTTTATCAGCTGGCATCGACCAAGAAAGAGGTTTACTCATTTCGCCCAAAATTCCCGTAGCCGATTCTTCCAAACCTCCGAGATAATAGCACTAAAAAAAAAAAAGGAAATTTATTTTTCCAAATATTGACAAATTCTTGTATTATATATTAATTTAATTTTATTAAAAACAATTTTTTAATTTAATTCTTTTTTTTTATTACCTCGTTATTAATTATTATTTATTATTTATTATTTATAAATTTAAAAAAATGGATATTTTTAAAAATTGTTATTTTTATTAATTTGAATTTTATTTATTTTTAAAACTTAATATTTATTACTGTTAATAATTATTATTTATTTCTTACTTATTTATTATTATTTATAAAAACAAAAAATTTTTGTTATTTTTTTACTTTATCTTAATTCTATTTGTATTTTTTTTTTTACTATTTTTAATTATTATTTATTTAATATTTAGTAATTATTATATAAATATTTATAATTATTTTTAACATAAATTAGATTATTTAATATTTAATTCTTAGTATTTTTTATTATTTCATTTAATATTATTTTTGTTATTCTTTTTTTTTTTTATTTTATTTTATTTTATTAATTTTAACGTTTTTTAACTTACAAATCGATTTTCCTTGGATTTCGTTCCTTTACAGAATTTTTTGAATTTTTCCTCAATCGTTGTATGCAATTTTTTATCCTCGTCACTCAATGTTGCGGCAAATTTGTTTATAGTTGCAACACAAACTGCGAAAAAACAAAAAACATTTTATTTTAAAATTCAATTTAGAAACAAAAAAAAAAAATAAAAAAGAAAAACAATTAAACAAAAAAAATAAATAAATAAAATTATTAAAAAAAGAGAAACTCTTGAAAAGAACCAATAGAAAAATTGGATAAAAATTTTTCTACAAAAATACAAAAATAATATGAAAAAAAACAGACAAATTTTACAATAATTGAAATATAAATTAAGTTTTGGATTTTTAATTATAAAAATAATAATTATTAGGTATAATTATAAAAATTGTACAAATTATTATAAATTAGGTAAAAAAAAAATGTATAAAAATAATAATTAGGTAAAAAATTTATAAAAATTATAATAATTAGGAGCAAAAATTATAAAAATAATAATTAGGTAAAAAATTTATAAAAATTATAATTATAAAAAATTATAATAATTACGAGCAAAAATTATAAAAATAATAATTATAAAAATTATTAAAATTATAAAAATAATAATTATAAAAATTATTAAAATTATAAAAATAATAATTATAAAAATTATTAAAATTATAAAAATAATAATTATAAAAATTATTAAAATTATAAAAATAATAATTATAAAAATTATTAAAATTATAAAAATAATAATTATAAAAATTATTAAAATTATAAAAATAATAATTATAAAAATTATTAAAATTATAAAAATAATAATTATAAAAATTATTAAAATTTTAATAATTACGTATAAAATTTATAAAAATGATAATTAGGAAAAATTAGGAAAATTATAATATTTAGATAAAAAAATTATAAAAATTATGAAAACTATAATAATTATAATAATAGAAAAATTAATAGAAAATTTTATTTCAATTTACCTTCGCATTCTCCTTCTTTTAAAGCAGAAATCTTTCCAAAAACAGCAAAAGCTGCGACCGCCACTAAAAGAAACTTCATTTTTCTCTATTTCAAGAAAAACAGAAAAAAAATTATTAAAAAAATTTCTCCAAAAAAAAAAAATAGAAATTTTCATTTTTTTCATTTCATTTTCTTTTATTTATATTAAAAAAAATATCTACTCAAACATTATTATAAAAACTCCCGCATAATTTTTGAGGTTACATTTAAATTAAATCCCAAAACATATTTTACTCTACAAAAATAAAAAAAAAAAAAAAATAATATCTAAAATACTAAATAAATATACATTTTACAAGAATAAATATAACATATTTTTATTTATGAATTCTATTTAAAAAAATAAAATACTAAAAAATTTTTTGTATACGTTGTATATACACTAAATTATGATTAAACTATATTTATTTTTAATAAATATATAAAAATTGTGCACTAACCTCTAGTTTAAATGTTTGATTTTAATTTAAAAAAAAATTTAATATTGTTTTTTTTTTTTTATTTATCACACACACACATATAAACGACAAGACACCTCCTTTATTTGCACCACATCAAAATTATTTTCACTTATTATATATTGTACTTGTTTTTTTAATGGGGTGTTTCAGTTAAATTACAATGACTTTATACACGTTGCCTGTCAAAATCTACGAATCCCAGCTGGCGATATTTCATTGGTCAATTCCAATGATTTGAACGCGTCTCACAGTGCAATGACATTTCATTCATTGATTGGTTCGTCTCCCACTCATCAACGATTACGCGGGAAATTTAAAAAATGCAACTGTATTTTTTAAATAGAGGTAAAAGGCGCTTGTATACCTCACCGATCCCGAGTATACTTGCGTCGTGTACCATTGGAGTAAAAGAGATGGAAATATCTTTTGTCTCTTTTACTCCAATGGTACACGACAGAAGTATACTCGGGATCGGTGAGGTATACAAGCGCCTAAAAACTCGAAACAACCCAGGGATGGGTAAATAGTATTACTATTTTTTATTATTATTATTATTATTATTATTATATTATTATTATTAATAACATTTATAATATTAATAATATTTATAACATTATTAACATCAACATTAACATTAATATATTATTTCAATATTATTAGAATTTTTATATAATTATTACGAAAAACGACGTAACATACTGTAACAAAATTAATTCCAATAAATTTTTTTTTATAATTTCACTAATTTTAAACCATTTTTTTTTTAAATTCCAAATATTTCTTTTCTAATTCCTCCATTTTAGTCACTATAATATCAATTCCTTTTTCGCTAATTCAAATTTTTTTGTCTTTAATTTCACCATTCTTTTTTTTTTTAAATTCTCGATTTTTTTATATACTAATTCCAAATTTTGCTTCCCTAATTCCACTAATATCGATGTTTTTGTTTTTAATTTCAAAATTTTTATTATCTAAATACTCGATTTTGCCCCTATTTACAAATATTTCTTTTCTAATTCCGCTAATATTAATTTTTTTCTTTATAATTTTGGAATTTTTCATTTTTAATTCCTCAATTTTTGTTATTAATTCTAAATTTTACTTCTCTAATTCCACTAATTACAAATATTTTTTTCTGCAATTCAAAATTTTTCTATTCTAATTCCTCGTGTTTTGTCACTAATTCCAAATATCAATTTTCTAATTCTGAATTTTTCTTCTCTAATTCCAAATTTTTTGCCCTAATTCCTCACAATTCGTCACTAATACTAAACTTTTTTTCCTTAATTTCGAATTTTTCTTCTCTAATTCCAATTGTATTGTCTTTAATTCCAAACTTTTTTTTCTAGTTCCTCGATTTTTGTTACTAATTTCAAAACTTACATCACTAATTCCACTAATTTAAATACTTTTTTCTTTAATTCCGAATTTTTTTCCTAATTCCTCAATATTTAATTACTAATTCCAAATATTGTTCTTCCAATTTCTAATTTTTCTTCTCCAATTTCACTAATTCCAATTTTATTGTCTTGAATTCCAAATTTTTCTTCCCTAATTTCGAATATTTGTTTTCTAGTTCCTTGATTTTCGGGACTAATTCCAAATCCTTTTTTTTAATTCAACTAATTCCAATTTTTTTGTCTTTAATTACAAAATCTTTATTTTCTAAATTCTCTATTTTTCCCCTAATTCAGAATTTTTCTTTTCTAATTCCTTGATTTTGGTTACTAATTCTAAATTTTTCTTCTCTAATTCCACTAAATCCAAATCTTTTTTTTCTCTAAATCAAAATTTTTTTCTCTAATTCCAAATTTTTCTTTTCCAATTCCACTAACTTTAATTCTTCGTTTTTTGACTTTTTCTTTTCTAATTCGTTGAATTTGGTCACCAATTCTAAATATTTCTTCTCTAATTCCACCAATTCCAAATGTTTTTTTTTCTCTGATTCAAACCTTTTTTTTCTCTAATTTCACTAATTCCAAATATTTTTTTCTCTAATTAAACATTTTTCTTTTCTAATTCCTTGATTTTCGTTCCTAGTTTCGAATATTTTTTATTTAAATTCCGATTTTTTTTTTCCAATTTCACTAATTCCAATTCTTTTGTCTTGAATTACAAATTTTTATTTTCTAATTCTTCGATTTTTATTTGTAATTCCAAATTTTTTTTTCTAATTCCGAATATTTGTTTTCTAATTCTTCGATTTTTGGCACTAATTTTACTTCCTTTTATTTAATTCAACTAATTCCAATTTTTTTGTCTTTAATTTCAAAAAGTTTTATTTTTAAAATTCTACATTTTTCCGCTAATTACGAATTTTTCTTCTCTAATTCCACTAATTACAAATTTTTTTTTCTCTAATTCAAAATTTGACTATTCTAATTCCTCGTGTTTTGTCACTAATTCCAAATATCAATTTTCTAATTCTGAATTTTTCTTCTCTAATTCCAAATTTTTTGCCCTAATTCCTCGCAATTCGTCACTAATACTGTTCTTTTTTTACTTAATTTCGAATATTTCTTCTCTAATTCCAATTGTATTGTCTTTAATTTCAAAATTTTTTTCTAGTTCCTCGATTTTTGTTACTAATTTCAAAATTTATTTCTCTAATTCCACTAATTTAAATAATTTTTTCTTTAATTCCGAATTTGTTTTTCTAATTCCACGATATTTCATTACTAATTCCAAATATTGTTCTTCCAATTGCTAATTTTTTTTCTCCAATTCTATTGTATTGAATTCCAAATTTTTCTTCCCTAATTCCGAATTTTTGTTTTATAGTTTCTAGATTTTCGTGACTAATTCCAAATCCTTTTTCTTAATTCCACTAATTCCAATTTTTTTGTCTTTAATTACAAAATTTTTATTTTCTTAATTCTCTACCTTCCCTCTAATTTCGAATTTTTCTTTTTTAATTCCTTGATTTTGGTCACTAATTCTAAATTTTTCTTCTCTAATTCCACTAATTCCAAATCTTTTTTTTATCTCCAAATGAAAATTTTCTTCTCTAATTCCGAATATTTCTTTTCTAATTCCTCGATTTTTGGCACTAATTCTACTTACTTTTATTTAATTCTACTAATTCCAATTTTTTTTGTCTTTAATTTAAAAAGTTTTATTATTAAAATTCTCGATTTTTCCCCTAATTACGAATTTTTCTTTTCTAATTCCACTAATTTTAATTATTTTTTTAATTTTGAATTTCTCTTTTCTAATTTCTCGATTTTCGTTAATAATTATAAATTTTGCTTCTCTAATTCCACTAATTACAAATATTTTTTTTTTCTCCAATTCAACATTTTTTCCCTCTAATTCTACTAATTTTAAATATTTTTTTCTTTTCTAATTAAAAATTTATTTAATTCCTCGCTTTTCGTCACTAATTCCAAATATCGTTTTTCTAATTCCGAATTTTTTTCTTTTCTAATTACACTAATTTTATTTATTTATTTTTTTTATTTTTATTTTCTAATTCCTTGATTTTTGGTCACTAATTCTAAATTTTTCTTCTCTAATGCCACTAATTCCAAATATGTTTTTCTCTAATTAAATATTTTTTTTTCTCTAATTCCACGAATTGCAAATCTTTTTTTCTCTAATTCAGAATTTTTCTTTTCTAATTCCTTGCTTTTCGTCATCACTAATTCCAAATATCTTTTTTCTAATTCCGAATTTTTTCTTTTCTAATTACACTAATTTTATTTATTTATTTTTTTTATTTTTATTTTCTAATTCCTTGATTTTTGGTCAGTAATTCTAAATTTTTCTTCTCTAATGCCACTAATTCCAAATATGTTTTTCTGTAATTAAAAAATTTTTTTTTCTAATTCCACGAATTCGAAATCTTTTTTTCTCTAATTCAAAATTTTTATTTTCTAATTCCTTGCTTTTCGTCATCACTAATTCCAAATATCGTTTTTCTAATTCTAATTTTTTTTTTATTTAAAAAAATGGCGCACTATAAAAAATTTCTGTATTTCCGGAGCTAAACTACCCAACCCTGTTGAAAAAAAATAAAATATGTAAACGCACCTTAAAGTCGAAATATTACTTCGGATAAATTCGACAATTTTCGTGCAAGGAACCGGGGGGTACAATAGAAAGGGGGGGAGGGGATATCACATACAATTTGGAATTTTTTTTTTTCTGCTGCTAAAAATAAAAAATTTCCAAAATGGCGCCACGAAGAGAAAATCGAATTAACCTCAAAACAACAACAACAAAACAACAAAAATACTTGGAATTAATAAAAAAATTACCAAAATGGCAAGAAATCAAATCATTTGCAATGGATCCACGTCAATTATATTATCCAGCATTAATATTTCTTCTAATTGAGGTATTTTTAAATATTATCATCATTGAACGTGTTCCCTATACAGAAATTGATTGGCGTGCATATATGCAAGAAATTGAAGGTTTTTTAAATGGAACATATGATTATTCAAAATTAAAAGGCGACACTGGACCACTTGTTTATCCCGCTGGTTTTGTCTACATTTACACTGGATTTTATTACATAACCTCAAATGGTGAAAATATTAAATTAGCACAATATTTATTTGCAATACTTTATATTATTCAATTGTCATTAGTATTTCGTATTTATGCGCGTACAAAAAAAATACCACCCTATGCATTAATATTAATTTGTTGTACATCATATCGAATACATTCGATTTTTGTACTTCGATTATTTAACGATTCAATTGCAGTGATATTATTGTTTGCAAGTTTAAATGCATTTTTGGATAATAAATGGTATATTGGAAGTGTTTTGTATAGTTTTGCTGTATCGGTAAAAATGAATATTTTATTATATTCACCGGCATTATTATTAATTTATCTTTATAATTTGGGTTTATTAAAAACAGTGTTACATTTATTTATTTGTGCAGTGATACAATTAATATTGGCATTACCGTTTCTAGTGGAAAATCCAATTGCCTATTTAATTGGTGCATTTGACTTTAGTCGTGTTTTTCAATTTAAATGGACGGTTAATTGGCGTTTTTTATCTGAAGAATTTTTTATTGATAAATATTTTCATTTAACATTATTGTTAATGCATTTAATAACATTGGCAATTTTCACGCCAATTTGGATACGTTATTTAAAATCGTATGCAAAATTAAATGAAATTAATCAACAATTAAAGGGACAATTACGTAAAATAGAAAAAATTGATACCGGTAATATTGCACAATTATTTATATTACCATTATTTACTGCTAATTTTATTGGTATTGTATTTAGTCGTTCTTTACATTATCAATTTTATGTTTGGTATTATCATACATTACCATATTTAATTTGGTGTACAAATTTATCGACAATTTTAAAATTTACAATTATTGGAATTATTGAATTTTCTTGGAATACATATCCAAGTACAATATTTAGTAGTGTTGCATTAAATTTTTGTCATATTTTAATGTTATTTCAATTATTTCAAAATGGCAACAAAACAATAAAACAATCGTGAAAACCGGTATAATGAAAAAAAATATAACCTTAAAAACAAAAAAAAAAAATGTATTTTTTACATACCCGTTTATCTTGTTTGATGATTGTAAAATATTTTTGATTTGAGTTTAATTTTGCTTTGGGGAATATTTTATTGACACAAATTTTGTATTTATTCATTTATAATTTATAATAATTTTATAAATTACACACACACACAGGATTTATTGTTGTACTGCGAATGATTGAACTATCGATTCGATCAGGTGTGCCAACAGCGAAATTGAGATGTAAAAAAAGCGCTAAAATTCAAATAGTGTAATTTTTTTAAATATCGAAAATTGTGTCAATTAATCAAAAAAAAAAAAAAAGACAATTTGCTGAGACTGTTTTCTTATGTAAATAGTAAATATTCCGAAATTATGATAATATACAATTTATAATAATAATAATAATAATAAAATAATAATAATAATGTTAAAGACTTTGTGAAGATTTTTATCTTTTGATAAAAGACTGGATTGTTTGCAATAAAAATATTTCGACTGAAATAAAAATTCTTTTTTTTTTCAAAATCATTCAAATTTTCCCCTTTCTTTTTCCGCAATATTTTTATTTTCTAAAAAAAATAATTCCGTTTTGGTAAATTTCTCTCTACATTTTCCGCAATAATTTTAATTTGTCGTCTGCTAGTTTTTGACAAGTGGGAAAAACAATATTTATATTTTACGTATTTAGATTTTTAGGTGTTTGAAATTTAATAAAAATTTGTGTCAAAATTGACACTAAATATTCTTTTGTCACTGGAAAATGACAGAAAATGGTAAGTAGAAATTTTTTATTTCAAAAAAAAAACGAAATAAAATTTATTCATTTACAAATACCGAATTTTTTTTTTTTTTTATTTTTATACAAAAATATTCTACTTTTTTTTGCGGAGTAAATTATAAATAACATCGAAATTTAATGAAAATTTATTTTATACATTATTATTATTTATAAAATTTTATTTATGACGAGAAAATTGAAAATAAACGTTTCCTAACCTAAAAAATTAATTATCGATATTTTGTTCATTAAATCAGAAAAAAAAACGTTGAAGAATATTTAAAAAAAAAATACTTTTATTAATTTATTCAATGATAATAATACGAAATTAAAAATGTAAAAATTGGTATAATTATTTTTCGCGAAAAAAAAAAAAATATTTTCATAACCTTAAAATTTTCTTTTTTCCGATAACTTTTGGAAATTTTAAATTTATTTAATATTTCTTATCATTATTTGTATAAAAACACTATTTTTCCAAAGATTAATTGTTATTTTTTTATTATTATTATTATTATTTATTATATTAATTACTTTTTGAATTTTTATTTAAAAATTAAAATTATAATTAGTTTTTTAATTATTATTATTATTATTATTATTATTATTATTTATTATATTAATTACTTTTTGAATTTTTATTTAAAAATTAAAATTATAATTAGGTTTTTAATTATTACTATTATTATTATTATTATTATTATTATTATTATTATTTATTATATTAATTACTTTTTGAATTTTTATTTAAAAATTAAAATTAGAATTAATTTTTAAATTATTATTATTATTTGTTTTATTTTTTTTTTTTTAAATTAATTTGTTATTATTATTTTTCCTTTAATTTATTTTCTTTTTTTTTTAGAATAATTTTTCTAATTGAAAAAGTGAAAGAAAATTTTTTAATAAATTTTTTTGTTATTATTAATTAAAAAAAAAAATTAAATAAATTAATTAATATTTGTTATATGTGGTAATAAATATTATTATTATTTTATTATTTTTCTTTTTTATTATTTTTTTTTCATAAATATTTATATTTTTCTTTTCAGTAAATAGTGAAAATCAAGAATCGAGATTAAAATCACAATTTATTGAATTAGACGATAAACCAAAAGATACAAAATGTTTATTGTGCAATTCTAATTTTGTTCTACCGACAAATGAAAAAGAATTTCTCACACATATTTTTAAGGAACATCGTCTTGTTATTGGCGATGTAAAAGAAATTGCGAGTCTCAAGAGGTAATTGAAAAAAAAAATTTTTTTTTTAAATTTAATTAAAACAGAAAATAAAATCAAAAATAAAATCAAAAATAAAATCAAAAATAAAACAAAAATAAAACAAAATTAAAACAAAAATAAAACAAAATTGAAACAAAATTGAAACAAAATTAAAACAAAAATAAAAAACAAATAAAAGAAAATAAAACAAAAAATAAAAATAAATTTCAAGAAATAAAAAATACATATTATAAATAAAACAATAGAAAATATGGAAATTTTATTTGGAAAATTTTTTTTCTAATAAATTTTGTGTGTAAAAAAATTTTTTTTTTCTCACTAAATTTTGAATTTGTTTTTTATTTAGAAAACAATTGAGAAAAAAAATTTCTCGTAGTTTTTTTTTTGAGAAAAAAAAAATGCAAAAAAAATTTAATTACAACACTTTCTCTTTTTCAGTTATGTAAATTATTGGCGTGTAAAATTTCGCGATGAACCTTTAGAGAAATTTTGTACAACATTTTTGGGTGATTGTACACCAAATGGAGAGCCAAGTAAAAATGAAAATTATTTTTTACTCTCAAATTGCATTGCCGAGGATAAAATTCTTCGCGATGAATTGCGTCGAGAAAAATTGGTTTGCAATGTTCTTTTATTTTTTTTCCTTTTTTCTAATTTATTTTTCTAATTACAAATAAATATTTTTTTTTCAGTGTGTCTTAACGGTCAGGGAAAAGTAAGGGAATTTCTTTAATTTTCTGGAATTTTTTTTATAAATAAATTAAAGTAACTATTAGTTAATTTTAAATTAATATAATTTCAATTTAACGAAATTTATGTCCGGAAAAATTGACAAAAAAAAAAAAGGAACTAATTAGAATTTTTCTTAAATGAGAATTCTGTTAAATAAAAATTAGTTGGAATTAAAATTTTCTTTAAAAAAAAAAAAACTTTGTTTAATTAAGAATTTTGTTAAATAGAACTAAAAATAATTTATGAAATAACTGTTTGGATAACATTTTTTTTAAAAGTAATTGAATTTTCAAAGATTTTGCAATTTTTATTTTTGAAATTAATTGAACTTTTCAAGTGATTTTTAATTTATTATTTTTTGATGATTGGAATTATTAAATTTCAAAAAATTTGAGACGGTAAATTTTAGAAATAATTAAATTTTAGAAGTTTTTAAATTGAAATTTTGGAAAATAATTGAATTGTAGTTGAGTTTTAATTGAAATTTTTGAAAATAATTAAATTTTAGTTGATTTTGAATTGAAAATTTTGAAAATAATTGAATTGAATTTTAGTTGATTTAGGATTGAAAATTTTGAAAATAATTGAATTTTAGTTTATTGTGAATTGAAATTTTTGAAAATAATTGAATTTTAGTTGATTTTGGATTAAAATTTTTGGAAATAATTGAATTTCAATTGAAATTTTGGAAAATAATTGAATTTTGGTTGATTTTGTATTGAAAATTTTGAAAATAATTGAATTGAATTTTAGTTGATTTTGAATTGAAAATTTTGAAAATAATTGAATTTCAATTGACATTTTGGAAAATAATTGAATTTTTGTTGATTTTAGATTGAAAATTTTGATAATAATTGTTTTTTTAGTTGATTTTGGATTAAAAATTTATTATTTAATGCTAATACCACAACATTTAACTTATAAAATTTTTTACCACGTCGAATAGATAAATAATTTAATTGTATCAAAATAAATTTTATTTGATCAAAATAAAAATTTTTTTTTAGTGTAATTTACGTCTGTGAATTTTTTAGTGGAATTTTTTTTCCTAACAGTTATTAGACACCCTGTTTTTTTTTATTTTCTAATATATTTATAGTTAATTAATTTTCTCCATTTTTTTTTAAAAAATATTTATTTAACAATTTAACAGGAATAAATTAATTTATCAATTAATTTTTTAAACATATATGTAAAAAAATATTTTTTAATTTCAATAAGAAAAAAAAATTTATGTTTTATTTGTAATTTTTTTTTTTTTTTTTTTAAAGGAATGGATTTTAGGTGAACAATTGCGTGAAAAAATTGATAAAAATTTTCAAAGAGGCTGCATGTTTTGTCGTACAGAATTTACTGAATCACGTCATTTATATGTTAAACATTTGTCTGAAAAACATAATATTCAACTTGGAAAAATGGAGAATTTAGTTTTAATCGATGAACTTTTAGATAAAATACAAAATAAAATCGAAAGGTATTTTATGTTTTAATTTTATTATTTAAAAAATTTTTAATTTATAATAAAAAATTATTATTATTATTATATAAAATCTAAGAATAAAATATTAATATTAATTATTTAATTATTATATTATTAATATTAATATTAATAATATTAATAAATAAATAAATAAATAAATATTATAATTAGAATATTCAAAATTATAGGAGTTTTATTAAATATAATTAATTTTAATTTAATATATATATATTTTCTCCCTTTTCCAGTTTAATTTGCATTTATTGTGAAAAACAATTTAAAGATCGCGCTGTTCTCAAGGAGCACATGAGAAAAAAATTACACAAACGAATAAATCCCGGCAATAAATCGTACGATAAATTTTATATTAATAATTATTTGGAGCCACGTTCCACTTGGAGGCAAAAACAGGTGAGAATTTATTTTCTTTCCTTTCTTTTCTTTTAATGAAAATTATTAAATATTTATCAATAAATAAATAAAATAAAATGTTACAAAAATTTTTTTTTTTTTTTTTTAGTCACAAATTGAAGAAACGGAAGAACCAAGTGGATTTAGCAGTGACAATGATGAGGAAAATTGGTCCGATTGGAATAGTGAGAATGTCGATATTAATTGTTTATTTTGTGATTATATGAAAAATGATTTTAAAAATATTTTAAATCACATGAAAGTGGAACATGATTTTAATTTTGAATTAATAACGAGTAATTGTAATTTTTATCAAAAAGTAAAAATTGTCAATTATGCACGTAAACAAATGCATGTGAAAAAATGTTTATTTTGCGATTGTCATTATCAACAGCTTAATGAACATTTAATTAAGGAAAATCATTTTAAATTACCAGCAAAAGAAATTTGGGATCAACCTGAGTAAGTTTTTTGTTTTTTTACTTTTTCTAATTTAATAAAAAATTAATTTTTTTTTAAACTTTAATTTCAGATTTTATTTTCCAATGTACGAGAACGATTCGTTTTTATACAATTTGGATTCGAATTGCAATGAAGATGAAGATTCGTCTTCGGAAATTTGTCAATAATATTTTATGGTAATTTTTTTTTTATAAATAAAGTAATTTGAAAAAAAAAATACAAAAATAGGAAACGAATTTTCAGAATTTTATAAAATTCATAATTTTATTTATAAAATAAAAAAACAATTTTCTTTTTTTTTCAATGGATTCGAAAAAAGAAATTAGAAAAATGCTTTAATTTTTGTTTTAATGTACAAATAAAAAAAAATGGAAAATTATTTAATAAAGAAATTTAATATTTAGTGGAAAAAAAAAAAATTGGGAACTTTAATAATTTTTTTTTTCTACTTAAAATATTAGAGAAAAAAAAATCCACAATTTGCGTTAAATTTTTTTTTTTGTACCAAATAAAAAATTTTTATTTTAAGTAGAATTTAAAGTAGAAAAAAATTAAATGTTTAATTTTTAAAAAAATTTGTTTTCTTTAAATAAATGAAAGAAATTTTTTGTACTTAACAATTTTTATTCAAACGACTAATTAGTATTTTTTTTTTTCTTTTTTTTTTGAGAAATAAATTAAAATTAAATAAAGAATTCTTTTTTTTACATTTTAGGCAAAAAAAAATTTCCAATGAGATCGAATATTTGTAATTATCAATTTTTACTTACTTTTAAAGAATAGACCTCGATTTTTGACTTTTGAAAGTTTTTTAAGTCCAGCGCTTGTTGATGATTGTGTTTCGGGTTTGAATTTTTCATGTAACGCACGATAAAGTAATTGTGCGTCATTTTTATTTCCCAATAATTCTACTAATTCATCCTATATAGGAGAAATAAAAAGGTAAATGAGTTTTTAATTTTTTTTTGTGTAAAAATTTGGAAAATTAAAAAAGAAAAATTTTAAAAAATAAAATTTAGTGAAAAAAACAAAAATTGTTTTAAATTTCCTACCAAATTCAGTTGAACGAGATGATCCAAGGAATGTCCTTTATTTAAAATGACACGCAAATTTTTTGTATTAACTCCCGGTAATTTGGCGACAAAATCTTGAATATTACAATTATATTTTTCCGTCATTACTCTTTCGTCGCCTTCAGAATCAATTCCAATTTGTGCCGCTCTCACAGCATCCGGTTCATCTTTACCTTTCTGGACCAAAAAAAAACAGAAAATTTAATAAATTAAAAAAAAATTTATTTTCTAAACTAAATAAAATTGAAAATAAATAAATTGAATATTTAAAAAAGAAATAAAATTAAAAATTGAATATTTAAAAAAGAAATAAAATTAAAAATTGAATATTTAAAAAAGAAATAAAATTAAAAATTGAATATTTAAAAAAGAAATAAAAATAAATTGAATATTTAAAAAAGAATATAAAATAAATTGAAATTTAAAAAAAGAAACAAACAAAACCTTGAGTTCTTCAAAAAGTTGTGCAGTTGCATTTGGACTTGGTGACCAAACTAATCTCAATTTTGGAAAATGAATTGTCAATAATTGTAATTTTGCTGTAATTTCCGAGCTCTTCATATCTTTACTGACATAATAATTGCCCTGTAAAATGAGAAAAAAATTAATTGTAAATATTTTGTTTCAAAAAAAAAAAATTATAATTACAAATTAAAAGTGTAACAGGAAATTTTTTTTTAACAAACCTGAAAACAAAATGGTTTATTTGGATCGAATTCAATTAAAAGCATTGGTTTCGCATAATATCGTGTCATTGCAATTGCCTGATTGTACAATCTTCCGGAATTTAATGATCCAATTAAATCAGATATACTTTTACGTTCAACACAAATTTCCGGTGTTAAAATATAATCACCAATCTGTAAATGAAATTTAAATTTTTATTAATTATTACACAATTTATTTAGTGATAAATAATTTGTAAAAAATTATTACAAAAATTAATTTATTTAGTGATAAATAATTTGTAAAAAATTAATACAAAAATTAATTTATTTAGTGATAAATAATTTGTAAAAAATTAATACAAAAATTAATTTATTTAGTGATAAATAATTTGTAAAAAAAATTAATAATTATAAAAATTATTAAATTACAATAAAAAATTTTAATCATTAAAATAAAAAAAAAATTATTTTTAAATAATTAAATGAATAATTATTATTCTTACGACAATTGTTACTGGTTCAATTTCAATTCCTCGTTTATGTAAAATTGCCGGCAATTCACTTCGAAATTCTCTCATGTCAACAATGACTTTTGAAATTGTTTTTTCACTTTCAATTCCACCTTGTCTTGTATTTATTGATTCATCCGTCGATGTTGATGGAAACGCAGAACAATCTTCCGATTTTCCATCTTGTTCCACAGGAACGACCATTGTCTGCGAAAATACAAAAAAAAAAAGGAAATCAAATTTTTTTTCCCCTCATTTCTGATAACAAAGAAAAACTAATTTTTTTTCAATTACAAATTTTTTCTTTTCAATCTGCAAAAAAAAGAAAACTAAAATTTTCCAAAATTTGGAATTAATTTAAACAAAAACTATTTTTTTCTTTTTCTTTTCAATTTGAAAACAAAAAATTTTTAATTTTCCAATTTTTCCAAAAATTTGGAATTAATTTAAAAAAGCAATTTAAGAAATTTAAAATAAATGCATTTGAAAAAAAGGGGCAAATTTTCTCTCCTATTTTCGTAAATAAGAAAAGAAAAATTATATAATAATAAAATCCTTGGTCTGTCCTTCTGTCCTAACTTGAAGTTGGCCTTTTCTGATTTCACGTGTTTTTTTTTAATAGTAATCTTATGACGTGTCAAATTTTGACAATTCTTTTTCTCATTTTTGCCAAAGTTGTATAATTGTGTTTCCAAATTTCGGAATAAGTTTCTTTAAAATTCCAAATTCGAAAATTCAATTCACAAAGCTGAAGTACACAACGTTTACTAACGAAATTTTTTTAAAACTTGTATATTCATTCAAAAATTGTACAAAAAATTAATGATGAGAAAAAAGATGCGCCAGGAAATTTTGTACAAGATAGTAATTTGAAAAAAATTAATTTTTAAAAATTAATTTTTAAGGTACCAGGGTGGCCAACGAATACCTATTAAATATTAATTATAAAAACACAGGCCTCGAATCAACTTGAAGACACAAAAAAAGTCGTTTTAGTCGATTTATATTCCAAAAAAAAAGTGGATTTGTTTTTTAATTTAACAAAAATATTTTATAGATTTTTAAATAAAAATTATTTTTTTTTAATAATAATAATCCTTTTCGAAGGGTTAAAGTTGAAATTTTTAGAAATAATTAAATTTTGAAAAGATATTGTTAATTTTCAAACAATTATTAAATTTTACAGAACTAAAAATAATTTATCAAACAATTTTTGGGAAAATATTTTTTAAATTTAATTGAATTTTCAAAGATTTAAAATTGAGATTTTTGAAATTAATTGAAACTTTAAGTGTTTTTTAATTAAATTTTTTGATGATTTCACCAAAAAAATTTATTAGAATTTTTCATAAATTTTATTATTTCTAAAGAATATATTTTATTTTCTTTTAAAAATACCATTATTTTCTGTAAAATTCAATAAAAGCTGAAAGATTCAATTTTTTTCAATATTTTAATTATAATTTGTGAAAAAATTATTTTTTAAAAAAATTTCAATAAAAAATAGGCAAAAATTCAATTATTTTCCAAAATTCCATTTGAAATTCAATTATTTAAAAAATTTTAAATCAAAAATCAACTAAAATTCAATTATTTTCAAAAATTTCAATTAAAAAGCTTCTAAAATTTAATTATTTCTTAAATTTCCCATCTCAAATTTTTTGAAATTTAATAATTCCAATTATAACTCACCTGAAATTCAAATATTTTTAATTTATTCTTCGGCAAATTTAACTATCATAAACTGTTTTTCGCTTAAAAAGTTTTCAATTTATTGTATTTTTCTCCGCAATTTATAATAAATTTGTTAGTGAAATCATCAAAGATTATAAATTAAAAGTGACTTGAAGTTCAATTAATTTAAAAAATCAAAATCACTGAAAAAAATGTAGGAAAATTTTAATTAAAAATTTCGTAAAATTCAATTAGTTCAAAAAATGTTAATTATTGCTCTTTCTAAACTCAATTATTTCTAAAAAACTTTAACTTCAATTTCTTTTTTGAATTAATTATATCGAATTAATGTATTTTTTTCTATTTCAAGACAGTAATTTTTATTATTGTTATTTTTGGATTAATTTTACAAAGTAAATATTTTCAATTTAAAATAATTGAATAATTGAAAATAATTAAATTTTTGTGATTTTTATATGAAAATTTTGGAAAATAATTGAATTGAGAATAATGAAATTTTATTTGATTTTAAATTGAAATTTTTTGTGAAATAATTGAATTTTAATCGAAATTTTGGATAATAATTTAATTTTAGTTGATTTTTGATTGAAAATTTAAATAATTAATTTTGAATAGAAATTTTAGAAAATAATTGAATTTCAATAAAAAATTTTCAAAATAATTGAATTTTAATTGATTTTGAATAGAAATTTTTGAAAAATAATTGAATTTTAGTTGATTTTCAATTGAAATTTTGGGAAATAATTGAATTTTAATTGAAATTTTGGATAATAATTTAATTTAAGTTCATTTTTTATTGAAAATTTGGACAATTTATATTGAATAAAAATTTTAGAAAATAATTGAATTTTATTTCATTTTAAATTGAAAACTTGGTAAATAATTAAATTTTAAATTGAAAATTTTGGATAATTATTGGATTTTTAATTGATTTTGAATTAAAATTTCGGATAATAAACTGAATTTTAGTTTATTTTGAATTGAAATTTTTGAAAAATAATTGAATTTTAGTTGATTTTCAATTGAAATTTTGGGAAATAATTGAATTTTAATTGAAATATTGGATAATAATTTAATTTAAGTTCATTTTTTATTGAAAATTTGGACAATTTATTTTGAATAGAAATTTTAGAAAATAATTGAATTTTAGTTGATTTTGAATTAAAAATATTAAAAAAATTAATTTTACTTGTTTTTTGAATTAAAATTTTTAAAATAATTGAATTTTAGTTGATTTTGAATTAAAATTTTGGAAAATAATTAAATTTTAATTGATTTTGCATTGAAATTATGGAATCTAATTTAATTTTAATTGATTTTGAATTGAAAATTTTGAAAATAATTGAATTTTAATTGATTTTGAATTAAAAATTTTGAAAAAATTGAATTTTACTTGATTTAGAATTGAAATTTTGGAAAATAATTAAATTTACAGTTAAAATTTTAGAAAATAATTAAATTTTAGGAGAGTTATAATTAAAATTATTAATGTACAAAAAATTTTAAATGCAAAATTTTGGAAATAACTAAAATTCGGAATCTTTTAAATTGAAAATTTTTTAAATAATTGTATTTTAAATGAAATTTTGGAAAATAATTGAATTTTAATTGATTTTGCATTTAAATTTTAGAAACTAATTTAAATTTAGTTGATTTTGAATTGAAAATTTTGATAATAATTGAATTTTAGTTGAAATTTTTGAAAATAATTGAATTTTAATTGATTTTGAATTGAAATTTAAAAAAAAATTGAATTTTAGTGGATTTTGAATTGAAAATTTTGAATTTTAATTGATTTTGAATAGAAATTTTAGAAAATAATTGAATTTTATTTCATTTTAAATTGAAAACTTGGTAAATAATTAAATTTTAAATTGAAAATTTTTGATAATTATTGGATTTTTAATTGATTTTGAATTAAAATTTCGGATAATAAACTGAATTTTAGTTTATTTTGAATTGAAATTTTTAAAAAATAATTCAATTTTATTGTGATTATTTTTTTTGTTTTAAATTATAAACAATTGTTAAAATTCATAAAAATTTTAATTGAAAAATAATTTTGATATAATTGAATTTGTGATGTATTTCATTAAAATTATTAAAAATAATTAATTTAGTGAAGAATCATTTTAGTTGAAAATTTGTTAAATAATTGAATTGAAGAAGATCTGAAGAAGATATAAATTTTATACTAAAAAAAATGTATTTTATTTACATTTTCCTTTCAAATGTAAAAAAAATGTCGTATTTTATTAAAATAAGTCGATAAAAGTCGTATTTTTGAAAAAAAAGTCGGAAAAAGTCGTATAATCCGAGGCTTGTAAACATATATAATTTTCGTTATTATCATTTAATATGAAATAATATTCTAATAAATTAAATTATTATTGATAATTATTAATTTCTTTATAACAAACAATTAAATACTCAATTTGGCGCGCTTTTAATTTTGCTAGTTAAATTTATAAAATCACAACAAATTAAATTTGTTAACTTACAGTTTTGGATTTGATTAATTTTTCAAAAGCATCCTTCTCTCTTCTCAATGATGTGAGATAAGCTTGTTCTTCGACGGATCCACCGTAAATTAAAAAATACACCGTCAAATGTAATGAAACATTTCTATTTTGATAAATCTGTTTTAATAAGCAAAAAAAAAAAAATAAAACAATTTGTTTTTCGTTTCTTAATAGTAAAAATATTTTCTTTTTTTTTTTGCTTCCATTTACCTCAAGTTGTCGAACAGTGGAAATATCAGCTGTATATAAAACCACAAAACTTGGCATAATTTCATTTAAAATTTTTTTCAATGCCATTGAATCGCCGCCTTTTTTTAACGATTGTACAACAACAATTGGAGCTTCCGTTGTAATTGTCGTTAAATCCATTTCGGCGATCTAAAAAGAATTAAAAATAGAAAATAAATTAAAAAAAAAAAAAAATGTTTCTTGCAAATAAATAAATAATGGAAATTACGAAATAATAAATAAAAAGAATAATAATAAAATCCTTTCTTTTTTTTCGGTAACGAAAATTTTACCTGCGAACAATTTTCAAATTGCGATTGATAAATTAATTTCTCCGAATTTGTTTCATCGTTTATGTTTTGTGACAATGTTAAAACATAACTTTCCAATTGTTCATCTTCGTTTTCTTCTTTAAATAATTCCTCATTATCAAAATTATTAACATCATTATTATCTCCTTCCTCTATTTTTTCCAATCGTTTTTTCTTTATTTCTGGTCTTGAAAAATTAATGGAAAAAAATTATTATTATTTATTTATTTATTTTTTTTTTAAATAAAAGAACAAAAAAATTGTAAAATAAATCTTTTACCCAATTTCTGTTTTTTTCATTGATAAATTTTTGTTATTTTTCAATTTTCTTCCCGCTAAACGATGTAAATAATCATTGCCACCGAGTGTTAAGAAATTTTTCACTTGTGTACACATTGAAAAATCTTGTGTTAAAATCAAAATTTTTGGCGGTTCATCATTGGTTTTACGATTTTTTCCATCATTACGATGAATTTCCGTTATTATTTCCGATAGTGCCTCCCATTTTGGATTTAATTCTGGCTTCAATTCTTTCAAAAAAAAAAAAAAAAAAGTAAAGTAAAGAAGAAAAATGTTGCATTATTTCAGAATATTTTCAAAATAAAATAATTTTAATTAATAAAATAACTGATAAATTTATTAATAATTAATTAATAGTAAATGAATATTTAATAATTTTATGAAAAATCTGTATTTAAATTATTATATTATTATTATAACATTTTTTACTCTCGTATATTGAAAAAAGAAGAATTTAATTACCATTGTTGTTTTCATTGTAAACACGGGCTTTTGCTGCTTTAAACATACTTTCGACAATATCCAAAACCATCCAACCGCTACTTTTAATAGCGTAATCCATTGTTCGTAAATTATTAAGCATTGCATAAAATGAAATCGAATCCTCGTGCGTTAAACACCTATAATAAATAAATAAATAAATAAATAAATAAATAAATAAACAAAGAAGTAAATAAAAAGTACATAAAAAAGTACGTAAAAAAATAAATAAAATAAATAAATAAATTTTTTGTTAAATTAGAAATGAAAATTTTTGTTTTTAGTCTATAATTTTCAAAAAAAATTATTTTATTATTTTATCTTAGACTAATTTTTACTATTTATTTTTTCCAGGGAAAGAAATGCTAGAAAAAAAATTCTCTGACTTTTCATTGACCTAAATTACACTAAAAAATATTTATTTCGATCAAATAAAATTTATTTTGATACAATTAAATTATTTACCTGTCTATTATCCACTAATTTCATAATATATGTATATGAATCAAATAAATAATGAAATATTCAAAAAAAGTATTAGAAAAAATTCTTTATAAGAGTTGTGCTAAATAGAAATTAAATCGAATTTTTGTTAAATGTAAATTGAAAATTTTGCATAATATAAATTCCACTTTATACAATTTTCAAAAATAGAAATTCGATAATTTAATATTCGACGCCGTGAAAAATTATTATAAATTAAATGTGGATAATTTAAATAATAAATTATTCGTATTAATGAAATAATTTACTTTATTTGAAGTTGAAACCGATAAAATTAAATTCAAATAATTTTTATTTATATTTAAAAACCAAATATTTCACTGACTTTTCTCTGACCGTTATAGACATCATGTTTTTTTTAAGTTTCTTTTTTTTTGGTTTTTAGTTTATAATTTTAGTAAAAATATTTTTTGTAAATCCAGAAATATAAATAAATAATAATGAATAAATTTAGAAAAAGTAATATTTTTCTTTTCTATTACTTACATGAGCAACGATCGAAGAGTTTTCAAATCGGCAATAAGAATTTTTGTCTTTTGACTCAATTGATGCCAAATTGGATCCAATTGTTGTTGTAAAAATTTGTGAAATTTTTTTGCAACTGCATTTTCAACTGTTAATTCATCTAATTCTAACTGTAAGCAAAATTATAAATATTTCACTTCTTCTTTTTTTGTAAATAATTTTTTTGTTTGTTTGCTTTTTTTTAAACTTCTAGTATAATGTAAATTAAATTTCCTGTTTTTGTAATAATTAATTGAAAATACTTACAAATTTATTATTTTTCTTCAATTCCTTGACAATAAAATTCATAATGTCAAGTAGAGCCGTTTGAATACTCAACATTTTTGGAGTGAGCGAAACATGTAATTCCACGACTTCCGGCTGCAAAAAAACAAAAAATGAATTTGAATATAAAACAATTTTTTCGAATATTTGAATTCTTTTCTTTTTTGTTGCTTTTAGAAAAAAGAATTTTTTTCAAAAAAAAAAAAAAATTACCTCGCGTTTGGATAAACTTTTTTTCACCGTCGAATGAAATCGAGGCCAAAGATATAATTTTGTAACAAATAAAGTTCTCATTACACGTTCAACTTGAGAAAATCCAACTGTGAACGATAAGGCCGAACTGGTGAATGCTTTTATGAATCCAGTCTGAAAAACAAAATTTTATTTTTAATTTCTAATTATTTTATTTATTTGTACTAAAAAATACACAATTTTTTTTTTAATTAATTCATTAGGAAATTAGTAAAAAAAAAGCAATACCTTATTAACTTGACGATAGAGACGAAGGGCAAATGCCTCTTGATATGAATTTATAATATTGTGCGCTCGATAAACTAAAATTCCTGACACTAAATGAAGTGGGACACGTTTTTTTAATAAATCCACAACTAAAATTCGTCCCGATATAAATAAAACACCACCCTCTAAATAAATTCTCTCTCTGTAGGAACAAAACCCAAAAAAAGAAAAGATTATTTTATGTATTTACATAATTAAATAATTTATAATAATAATAAAATTATTATTTTTATGAGAAGAGGAAAACAAATCGAAAAAAATTTTTTTTTTCTACAAACCTTTCCTCAGAAAGACATTGTGACGTTATAACGCGCGGCATTTGTTGAACATTAAAACTTTGTAATTTCTCGAGAAAATAAATTTCCTCCTGATCCGTTGTTCCTAGGACTAATACTAAAAAATTTGGATCAGAATAGGCGCGTATTATATTTGCAAAAACTGTATCCAATGAGAGTCCCCTAAAAAAGAAAGCAAATTTTTTTTTTAAATTCGTAAAAATTAAATTAAAAAAAAAAATGTAATATTCAATATTTTTATTTTTTTCGCTAAAAAAGAAAAAAACATTTTTTAATTTTTGTTTTTGCTTCCTCATTCAAGGTCATTCAAGGTCGTTTGAAGGTCAAATCATGAATGTCTGACTAAATATTTACTTGTATTACTAACAAAATTGCAAACCCGTCCAAATAAATTTTTACTTGTACTACTGAAATTTGTACTACTGCTGAGTAATACTACTGAGAAAATTTCAAACTTTTAGAATGTCTGCCTATATATTTATTAAAACCACTACTGCATGACTCAAGGTCAAGCTCAAGTCAAGGTCGTTCAAGGTCATTTGAAGGTCAAGTCAAGGTCATTTGAAGGTCAAGTCAAGGTCATTCAAGGTCATGCAAGGTCGTTTGAAGGTCAAATCAAGAATGTCTGACTAAATATTTACTTGTATTACTAACAAAATTGCAAACCCGTCCAAATAAATTTTTACTTGTACTACTGAAATTTGTACTACTGCTGAGTAACACTACTGAGAAAATTGAACTACTGCTGAGAAATTTGTACTACTGCTGAGAAATACTACTCGGAAATTTGTACTACTGCTGAGAATTACTACTGAGAAATTTGTACTACTGCTGAGTAATGCTACTGAGAAAATTGAACTACTGCTGAGAAATTTGTACTACTGCTGAGTAATACTACTGAGAAATTTGTACTACTGCTGAGAAATTTGTACTACTGCTGAGTAATACTACTGAGAAATACTACTGAGAAAATTTCAAACTTTTAGAATGTCTGCCTATATATTTATTAAAACCACTACTGCATGACTCAAGGTCAAGCTCAAGTCAAGGTCGTTCAAGGTCATTTGAAGGTCAAGTCAAGGTCATTCAAGGTCATTCAAGGTCATTTGAAGGTCAAGTCAAGGTCATTCAAGGTCATGCAAGGTCGTTTGAAGGTCAAATCAAGAATGTCTGACTAAATATTTACTTGTATTACTAACAAAATTGCAAACCCGTCCAAATAAATTTTTACTTGTACTACTGAAATTTGTACTACTGCTGAGTAACACTACTGAGAAAATTGAACTACTGCTGAGAAATTTGTACTACTGCTGAGAAATACTACTCGGAAATTTGTACTACTGCTGAGAATTACTACTGAGAAATTTGTACTACTGCTGAGTAATGCTACTGAGAAAATTGAACTACTGCTGAGAAATTTGTACTACTGCTGAGTAATACTACTGAGAAATTTGTACTACTGCTGAGAAATTTGTACTACTGCTGAGTAATACTACTGAGAAATACTACTGAGAAAATTTCAAACTTTTAGAATGTCTGCCTATATATTTATTAAAACCACTACTGCATGACTCAAGGTCAAGCTCAAGTCAAGGTCGTTCAAGGTCATTTGAAGGTCAAGTCAAGGTCATTCAAGGTCATTCAAGGTCATTTGAAGGTCAAGTCAAGGTCATTCAAGGTCATGCAAGGTCGTTTGAAGGTCAAATCAAGAATGTCTGACTAAATATTTACTTGTATTACTAACAAAATTGCAAACCCGTCCAAATAAATTTTTACTTGTACTACTGAAATTTGTACTACTGCTGAGTAACACTACTGAGAAAATTGAACTACTGCTGAGCAATTTGTACTACTGCTGAGTAATACTACTGAGAAATTTGTACTACTGCTGAGAAATACTACTCGGAAATTTGTACTACTGCTGAGAATTACTACTGAGAAATTTGTACTACTGCTGAGTAATGCTACTGAGAAAATTGAACTACTGCTGAGAAATTTGTACTACTGCTGAGTAATACTACTGAGAAATTTGTACTACTGCTGAGAATTACTACTGGGAAATTTGTACTACTGCTGAGAAATACTACTGGGAAATTAGGTGCTACTGCTGAGAATTACTCCTGAGAAATTTGTACTACTGCTGAGTAATACTACTGAGAAAATTGAACTACTGCTGAGAAATTTGTACTACTGCTGAGTAATACTACTGAGTAATACTACTGAGAAAATTTCAAACTTTTAGAATGTCTGCCTATATATTTATTAAAACCACTACTGCATGACTCAAGGTCAAGCTCAAGTCAAGGTCGTTCAAGGTCATTTGAAGGTCAAGTCAAGGTCATTCAAGGTCATTTGAAGGTCAAGTCAAGGTCATTCAAGGTCATGCAAGGTCGTTTGAAGGTCAAATCAAGAATGTCTGACTAAATATTTACTTGTATTACTAACAAAATTGCAAACCCGTCCAAATAAATTTTTACTTGTACTACTGAAATTTGTACTACTGCTGAGTAACACTACTGAGAAAATTGAACTACTGCTGAGAAATTTGTACTACTGCTGAGAAATACTACTCGGAAATTTGTACTACTGCTGAGAATTACTACTGAGAAATTTGTACTACTGCTGAGTAATGCTACTGAGAAAATTGAACTACTGCTGAGAAATTTGTACTACTGCTGAGTAATACTACTGAGTAATACTACTGAGAAAATTTCAAACTTTTAGAATGTCTGCCTATATATTTATTAAAACCACTACTGCATGACTCAAGGTCAAGCTCAAGTCAAGGTCGTTCAAGGTCATTTGAAGGTCAAGTCAAGGTCATTCAAGGTCATTCAAGGTCATTTGAAGGTCAAGTCAAGGTCATTCAAGGTCATGCAAGGTCGTTTGAAGGTCAAATCAAGAATGTCTGACTAAATATTTACTTGTATTACTAACAAAATTGCAAACCCGTCCAAATAAATTTTTACTTGTACTACTGAAATTTGTACTACTGCTGAGTAACACTACTGAGAAAATTGAACTACTGCTGAGCAATTTGTACTACTGCTGAGTAATACTACTGAGAAATTTGTACTACTGCTGAGAAATACTACTCGGAAATTTGTACTACTGCTGAGAACTACTGCTGAGAAATTTGTACTACTGCTGAGTAATACTACTGAGAAATTTGTACTACTGCTGAGTAATGCTACTGAGAAAATTGAACTGCTGCTGAGAATTACTACTGAGAAATTTGTACTACTGCTGAGTAATACTACTGAGAAAATTGAACTACTGCTGAGAAATTTGTACTACTGCTGAGAATTACTACTGGGAAATTTGTACTACTGCTGAGAAATACTACTGGGAAATTAGGTGCTACTGCTGAGAATTACTCCTGAGAAATTTGTACTACTGCTGAGTAATGCTACTGAGAAAATTGAACTACTGCTGAGAAATTTGTACTACTGCTGAATAATACTACTGAGAAATTTGTACTACTGCTGAGTAATACTACTGAGAAAATTGAACTACTGCTGAGAAATTTGTACTACTGCTGAATAATACTACTGAGAAATTTGTACTACTGCTGAGAAATACTACTGGGAAATTTGTACTACTGCTGAGAATTACTTCTGAGAAATTTGTACTACTGCTGAGTAATGCTACTGAGAAAATTGAACTACTGCTGAGAAATTTGTACTACTGCTGAGTAATACTACTGAGAAATTTGTACTACTGCTGAGTAATGCTACTGAGAAAATTGAACTACTGCTGAGAAATTTGTACTACTGCTGAGTAATACTACTGAGAAATTTGTACTACTGCTGAGAAATACTACTCGGAAATTTGTACTACTGCTGAGAATTACTACTGAGAAATTTGTACTACTGCTGAGTAATGCTACTGAGAAAATTGAACTACTGCTGAGAAATTTGTACTACTGCTGAGTAATACTACTGAGAAATTTGTACTACTGCTGAGAAATACTACTGGGAAATTTGTACTGCTGCTGAGAATTACTACTGAGAAATTTTTACTACTGCTGAGAAATACTACTGGGAAATTTGTACTACTGCTGAGAATTACTTCTGAGAAATTTGTACTACTGCTGAGTAATGCTACTGAGAAAATTGAACTACTGCTGAGAAATTTGTACTACTGCTGAGTAATACTACTGAGAAATTTGTGCTACTGCTGAGTAATGCTACTGAGAAAATTGAACTACTGCTGAGAAATTTGTACTACTGCTGAGTAATACTACTGAGAAATTTGTACTACTGCTGAGTAATACTACTGAGAAAATTGAACTACTGCTGAGAAATTTGTACTACTGCTGAGTAATACTACTGAGAAATTTGTACTACTGCTGAGTAATGCTACTGAGAAAATTGAACTACTGCTGAGAAATTTGTACTACTGCTGAGTAATACTACTGAGAAATTTGTACTACTGCTGAGTAATACTACTGAGAAAATTGAACTACTGCTGAGAAATTTGTACTACTGCTGAGTAATACTACTGAGAAATTTGTACTACTGCTGAGAATTACTACTGGGAAATTTGTACTACTGCTGAGAAATACTACTGGGAAATTAGGTGCTACTGCTGAGAATTACTCCTGAGAAATTTGTACTACTGCTGAGAATTACTACTGAGAAATTTGTACTACTGCTGAGTAATACTACTGAGAAAATTGAACTACTGCTGAGAAATTTGTACTACTGCTGAGTAATACTACTGAGTAATACTACTGAGAAAATTTCAAACTTTTAGAATGTCTGCCTATATATTTATTAAAACCACTACTGCATGACTCAAGGTCAAGCTCAAGTCAAGGTCGTTCAAGGTCATTTGAAGGTCAAGTCAAGGTCATTCAAGGTCATTTGAAGGTCAAGTCAAGGTCATTCAAGGTCATGCAAGGTCGTTTGAAGGTCAAATCAAGAATGTCTGACTAAATATTTACTTGTATTACTAACAAAATTGCAAACCCGTCCAAATAAATTTTTACTTGTACTACTGAAATTTGTACTACTGCTGAGTAACACTACTGAGAAAATTGAACTACTGCTGAGAAATTTGTACTACTGCTGAGAAATACTACTCGGAAATTTGTACTACTGCTGAGAATTACTACTGAGAAATTTGTACTACTGCTGAGTAATGCTACTGAGAAAATTGAACTACTGCTGAGAAATTTGTACTACTGCTGAGTAATACTACTGAGTAATACTACTGAGAAAATTTCAAACTTTTAGAATGTCTGCCTATATATTTATTAAAACCACTACTGCATGACTCAAGGTCAAGCTCAAGTCAAGGTCGTTCAAGGTCATTTGAAGGTCAAGTCAAGGTCATTCAAGGTCATTCAAGGTCATTTGAAGGTCAAGTCAAGGTCATTCAAGGTCATGCAAGGTCGTTTGAAGGTCAAATCAAGAATGTCTGACTAAATATTTACTTGTATTACTAACAAAATTGCAAACCCGTCCAAATAAATTTTTACTTGTACTACTGAAATTTGTACTACTGCTGAGTAACACTACTGAGAAAATTGAACTACTGCTGAGCAATTTGTACTACTGCTGAGTAATACTACTGAGAAATTTGTACTACTGCTGAGAAATACTACTCGGAAATTTGTACTACTGCTGAGAACTACTGCTGAGAAATTTGTACTACTGCTGAGTAATACTACTGAGAAATTTGTACTACTGCTGAGTAATGCTACTGAGAAAATTGAACTGCTGCTGAGAATTACTACTGAGAAATTTGTACTACTGCTGAGTAATACTACTGAGAAAATTGAACTACTGCTGAGAAATTTGTACTACTGCTGAGAATTACTACTGGGAAATTTGTACTACTGCTGAGAAATACTACTGGGAAATTAGGTGCTACTGCTGAGAATTACTCCTGAGAAATTTGTACTACTGCTGAGTAATGCTACTGAGAAAATTGAACTACTGCTGAGAAATTTGTACTACTGCTGAATAATACTACTGAGAAATTTGTACTACTGCTGAGTAATACTACTGAGAAAATTGAACTACTGCTGAGAAATTTGTACTACTGCTGAATAATACTACTGAGAAATTTGTACTACTGCTGAGAAATACTACTGGGAAATTTGTACTACTGCTGAGAATTACTTCTGAGAAATTTGTACTACTGCTGAGTAATGCTACTGAGAAAATTGAACTACTGCTGAGAAATTTGTACTACTGCTGAGTAATACTACTGAGAAATTTGTACTACTGCTGAGTAATGCTACTGAGAAAATTGAACTACTGCTGAGAAATTTGTACTACTGCTGAGTAATACTACTGAGAAATTTGTACTACTGCTGAGAAATACTACTCGGAAATTTGTACTACTGCTGAGAATTACTACTGAGAAATTTGTACTACTGCTGAGTAATGCTACTGAGAAAATTGAACTACTGCTGAGAAATTTGTACTACTGCTGAGTAATACTACTGAGAAATTTGTACTACTGCTGAGAAATACTACTGGGAAATTTGTACTGCTGCTGAGAATTACTACTGAGAAATTTTTACTACTGCTGAGAAATACTACTGGGAAATTTGTACTACTGCTGAGAATTACTTCTGAGAAATTTGTACTACTGCTGAGTAATGCTACTGAGAAAATTGAACTACTGCTGAGAAATTTGTACTACTGCTGAGTAATACTACTGAGAAATTTGTACTACTGCTGAGAAATACTACTCGGAAATTTGTACTACTGCTGAGAATTACTACTGAGAAATTTGTACTACTGCTGAGTAATGCTACTGAGAAAATTGAACTACTGCTGAGAAATTTGTACTACTGCTGAGTAATACTACTGAGAAATTTGTACTACTGCTGAGTAATGCTACTGAGAAAATTGAACTACTGCTGAGAAATTTGTACTACTGCTGAGTAATACTACTGAGAAATTTGTACTACTGCTGAGTAATACTACTGAGAAAATTGAACTACTGCTGAGAAATTTGTACTACTGCTGAGTAATACTACTGAGAAATTTGTACTACTGCTGAGAATTACTACTGGGAAATTTGTACTACTGCTGAGAAATACTACTGGGAAATTAGGTGCTACTGCTGAGAATTACTACTGGTAAATTTGTACTACTGCTGAGAAATACTACTGGGAAATTAGGTGCTACTGCTGAGAATTACTCCTGAGAAATTTGTACTACTGCTGAGAATTACTACTGAGAAATTTGTACTACTGCTGAGTAATACTACTGAGAAAATTGAACTACTGCTGAGAAATTTGTACTACTGCTGAGTAATACTACTGAGAAATACTACTGAGAAAATTTCAAACTTTTAGAATGTCTGCCTATATATTTATTAAAACCACTACTGCATGACTCAAGGTCAAGCTCAAGTCAAGGTCGTTCAAGGTCATTTGAAGGTCAAGTCAAGGTCATTCAAGGTCATTCAAGGTCATTTGAAGGTCAAGTCAAGGTCATTCAAGGTCATGCAAGGTCGTTTGAAGGTCAAATCAAGAATGTCTGACTAAATATTTACTTGTATTACTAACAAAATTGCAAACCCGTCCAAATAAATTTTTACTTGTACTACTGAAATTTGTACTACTGCTGAGTAACACTACTGAGAAAATTGAACTACTGCTGAGCAATTTGTACTACTGCTGAGTAATACTACTGAGAAATTTGTACTACTGCTGAGAAATACTACTCGGAAATTTGTACTACTGCTGAGAATTACTACTGAGAAATTTGTACTACTGCTGAGTAATGCTACTGAGAAAATTGAACTACTGCTGAGAAATTTGTACTACTGCTGAGTAATACTACTGAGTAATACTACTGAGAAAATTTCAAACTTTTAGAATGTCTGCCTATATATTTATTAAAACCACTACTGCATGACTCAAGGTCAAGGTCAAGTCAAGGACGTTCAAGGTCATTTGAAGGTCAAGTCAAGGTCATTCAAGGTCATTCAAGGTCATTCAAGGTCGTTTGAAGGTCAAATCAAGAATGTCTGACTAAATATTTTCTTGTATTACTAACAAAATTGCAAAAACCCGTCCAACTAAATTATTTACTTGTACTACTACTTGTACTGTGGATAGAATGTTTTTCTGGAAAATGAAAAAATTAATGAAAGTTAAAAATAGAAAATACACATTTCAGCTGCAAAATGGTTTATTTATTTAAATTCAAGTTAAAATATAAAATAATTGTGTTCCTTGAATTAAAACGATTCGATATAATTGTAAATAATTATGAATTATATATTATTTTTCATTGATTTTTAGAAATTTCAGCTAAAATGTGAATTTTTGATTTTTTACTTCCATTAATGCTTTAAATTTAACTCTAATCTATAAGTACTCAAATGTTTATATTATTATTATATTATTTTTGTATATATATTTCAATGTTAATGCTTTCTTCACGAGGAAGCAAATTTTTTTTTGCTGATCGTAAAGAGGAAGCAAAATGTTCATGTAATGAATATTTGAATTTACAACTTGTTTAATTAATTAAACTTAATTTTTTATTTTTTTAAAAATATTTTCTATGCAATTATTACTTGGCAACAATGACGAGTCCATCTTCATGAAGTGTTTCGAGAAACATTTCCGTTTCGTATTCCAACATTTTTACTGCTTTTTCTTCTTTTATATATTTATAAATTATTAATTTTTTATTATTTCTTTTCTTTTCTCAATGTCAGAAAAGTAATTGTAACAAAACATCAATCAACGTCCATAAAAATGTGATAATCACAGAAGGAGTTTCTTTCTGCAAAAAAAAAAAGAAGAGAGAAAAAATTATAATTTGCAAAATTTTTGCTTTCTTTTAATTGAAAGAGAAATACTTAATAATAATTTTAATGCCTGAAATTATAATTGTCTTTTTTTTTTTAATTAATACAAATTAATACAAAAATAATAAAATTAAAAGCAATAAATTTTTTAACTAACATTAAATGAAAAATAGAAGAAAACATGGAGAAAAAAAAAATTGTTTACTTTTGAGAGACGTTTTTTGCGAATAATTTCCGTTGGACTTTGCTCGTTGAAATTTTCGCCTTCCGATAATAAAATTTGAAAAACAGAAAGCGTAAAACGACTATTTTCATGTGATGGATGTCCATAAACACCAATACTGACTGGTCGCTTGAAACTGAAATTTTTTTTTTTTTTTGAATTAATAATCAAATAATTTTATTCGAATTTAATTATTAAAAAATTTGGAATTCTTTTTTTTTTACTCTTTTAAAAGAAGAATAATTTTTTTTTTTTCAACAAAAATTCCTTTTTTTTTCTCTTCATCTTTTAGAAAAGAATAATTTTTATCAAATAAAAATAATTTTTTTCTTCCTCTTTTAAAAAAGAATAATTTTTTATCAAATAAAAATTATATTTTTTTAATTAAGTATTTTTTAATTAATAAAATAATTGTTTTTTTTTCAATCAAGAATTTTTTTTTTATAACAAAAAAAATGATTTTTATTTAAATAAAAAAATTATTTTCAATTAAAAAGAAAAAAAAAATTAAGTAGAAAAAAAAATAAAATTTTAACTTTAAATATAATTATATGAATTTAATTTCATTATACAATTAATTTGAATAATTAAATAAATGTAAATTTGAACCTTTGTGGAATATAAATAATATCTTCGCCACAAGTTGTCGATTGTAAACAATAATTATTTGATTCGTAAGTTGGTTTCGCTGTTATTTGCGAAACATAAATATCTGCATCTCCAGTTCTGCAAAAAAAAAAAAAAATGTTATTTTTCTCTAAAAAATTTTTTATCGAAAAAAAATTAATTTTGGAAAATTAATTTACGGAATTTTTTTTCTCAAAATATTAAAATTTCCAAATTTCTTTTCATTTTTTTTTTTACCTATTTAATTATTAAATAATAACACTGAGAAATAGGAAAATAATAATACTAATAATAATAATAATAAAAATAATAATAATAATAAAAATAATAATAATAATAAAAAAAAAAATAATAATAATAATTAGAACAATTAACAAAAAATTAGAAAACTAAATTATTTTATAAATTCAATTTAAAATATTTTAATATAACTTTGTTTACAAAAATTAATATTTTTAATAATAATAATTGTAAAAATTTTTTAAAAATTTTTAAAAAATTTTAATTAATTAATAAATTAATTAATTTTAATTTTTAAAATTTTTAATTTTTATATAAGTACGAAATGGAGAAAATAAATTTTTTATTATTCTAATAAAAAAATAATAGTAATAATAATAATAGATTTAAATACAGTAAATAAATTAAAATTAAATAATTTTTTAAAAGAAGATTTAAAAAAAATTAAACAGCAAAATAGAAAAGCATTTTATTTATTTATTTATTTTTTTAAATATATTATTAAATTTTGTAGTAACACTTACTCGGAAATTAATTGTATTTTCACAACACCTTCGTACATTAAACTGTAATATTTATAAGAATCCCCGGCAACATCATCTTGCACGGAATGAAGAAGATCTTCTTCAATTGCAATAACTACATTTGACACTATTAACTATTTAACAAAACAAAAAAAAAATAAATAAATTTTAACATATCTATAACACATTTTTCATTATAGAAACAAAATTCTATATAATTATTTTGCACGAAAGAATTTTTTTTTTTTTTTTTTTGAGGTTAGATTACAAGAATTTTTTCGCGCAGAATTTTATATACACTTTTTTCTTATTAAATAAAAGAATGACAATTATAATTATTTAATGACAATGATATCATTAAACTATAGGGGGAGAAGAATAAAATATTTTTTGTTTATTTATAGTTAAAAATCATTTTCTCTAATTATCGTAAAAACACTTACAATTATTAAAGCCGACGCAAACACTGTTTTCATGTTTTTGATTTTTTTCCGTAACATAACCTCACTTTTGCTATTATTGTAAAACGAAAATTGACCTGATTGACCTAATTTAGAATAAAAAGGGGGAAAAAAAATTTAATTTCAATTGAAAAATAATTTTTATAAATATACAGAAAATAGAAAAATTTCTCTGTGTAAAATTGGGAAAATTAGACATTTTTCTTTCTTTTTTTTAGGCAGCTATTTTTGAATTCGCGAAAAATTCGAAACGGTGGAACATAAGATAATTATTGAACCGGAATTGAAACGAAATTTGAAAATATCATGAATATTTATTTACGAATATTACTATTATTATTATTATTATTATAAATATTCATTTATATTAAAATAAATAAAAAATTGATTCTATTTGAGATAATTGTTTTTAAAATTATTGTATTATAATTTATAATTAATATTTATATTTATTTATTTATTCAAAGTATACGGGCAGCGCCCATTCGTACAGTGTACTATGATACGATAATTCTAATTTAAACAAAATTAATCAGCCGCGCTAACATTATTGTTCTCATCATACATAAAATTACGCAGTTCAATTATAAACTTATTTAAAGAAATACCAAAAAAGTTAACACTTGTGCTACACTGATTTGCCTCTTTACACAATCTGTTGATCACAGAATTGTTCAAATAGTTAGTATATAAAATTAAATTAAAAAATAAACCGAAAATTTGGAACTGGGTGTTGAAAGAAGGCGCGAACTTCAAAAATAGTAAAATTAAAAAAATTTATGTTATCTCAAAAGAAAAAATTAGTAAATTTTTTCTTATTTATTAATTCTCTTTGATATAATTATTTCAAATTATTATTATTATATTAAATTATTATTATTATTATCTATTTATAGAAAAAGAAAAAATTGACAAAAAATAATACTTTTTTTATATATAAATTTAAAAAAATCAGGAAGTGAAACGAAAAAAAAGGCGCGAAAAATTCAAATTGTAAAATTTGAAAAGACAACATTTTTTTTTTATTAAAAAACTTTATTTTATTTTATTTTTTTTTTTTTAATTTCAAAAAAACACTTATACAATTTATAAATATCTATTTACATTCATGGGGGGGGGGAAATAATTTTTTTATCTCTCTCTCTCTTCCGTTAATCGTCGTGATACATTTTTGGATTATAAGATGATCCAAATGCATTTATTCGCCTTTTATCAGGACTGATTCCCTCTCTCATGGAATAATATCGTCTCTCAATGACTTTGTCAAAAAATCTACTTAATTTTACCGACGAACCCGAACCAGCTGCTAATGAACGAATTTGTAAACAATCCTGCGGGGGTGAAAAAAAAAAATTATTTATATTTTTTTTTTTAAATTCTTTTAAGTTGAAAAATGATTTTTTCTTGTCTCAATTTTTTTTTTGATTTATTTCAAGAAAAAAAAAGAAAAATGTTTTAATTAAATAATTTAAAAAAAAGTAATTATTCAATTAAATAATAAAAAAACTAATTTTTTTAAAACTAAATAAAAAAAACTAATTTTTTAACAACAAATAAAAAAACTAATTTTTGTAACAACAAATAAAAAAAATAATTTTTAAAAATTGAATAAAAGAACAAATAATTCAAAAAAAATGTTTCAATTAAATAATAAAAAAAAACTAAATTTTTAATATTAAATAATAAAAAAAACTAAATTTTTAATATTAAATAATGAAAAACTATTTTTTTTAAATTAAATAAATATATTTTTTTAAAATAAAATTATTTATTATTTTGAAATTTATTTTAATTTTATTCGAAAAATTCATTGAAAATTAAAATTTTGTAATTTTTCTCTTCTTTTTTTTGAAAATTGTATTTAATGCAAAAATTTATTTATTTTTTTTTTTTTTGCTCCTACCAAATAAATTTCATCTGCTCCACATTCTTCGGCAATTGTCGAAGATCGCCTATAAACAGTCGATCTCACTTGTGCCATTAAATCAGATTTTGTACCAACGACTAGAATTGGAATCTGAAAATTAATTAATTCCATTTTATATGGTACAAACAAAAAATTGCTAAAATTATTTTTTTTTTTTTTTGCTAAAAATCAAATTCAATGAAAAAAAAAATTGTTATTCACACAAAAAGTAAAAAGAAGAAAAGAAAAGAAAGAAACAGAGAAAATGATTAAATATTAAATAAATTAAAAATTGAATATAAAAATTAAAAAATAATAAAAAAAGTATAAAAAATTGAATTTAAAAATTAAAAAATAATAAAATAATATAAAAAATAGAATTTAATTTAAATGTTTAACGTATTAAAAAAATAGCAAAACAAAGAGTTTATTAAAATTAAATTTAAAAAAAATAGATATATAGAAAAGTATGACAAAAATTTTTATTTTGGAAAATTATTAAATTCAAATTAAAAAAAAAAAGATATAGAATAGTATTAAAAATTTTTTTTTTTATTTGGAAAAGTAATTAATTTAGATATAGAGAAAAAATATAAGAACTGAAAATTTTATTTTCAGTTTCATACTTGAGTTGAACCCACAAACTGTTCAGGATCAAAATCATCGATAGATTTTGATTTCAATGAATTTCCATCTTTATTTAAAACTTCCTGTAACCATTTTCGTAAATTTTGTTGTGATTTTCGATTTGACATATCGTGAACTAAAATTATTCCTGCAAATTAAAAGAGGAAAAATAATTATTTTTTCTTTCGTTCAACTAAGAAAGAAAATGGAGAATTTGTTATTACATTAAAAAAAAAAAAAAATTTACGGACATTGCCCGCAAATTTACTAATAAATAAATAAATAATTTAAAAAAGAAACGGAAAAAAGAAAAAAATATTACGAAAAAAATTAAATGAATCACAAATAAAATTTAAAAAAAAAAAATAATTTATTACTTTTATGTCCCAATTAATAATAAATTATAAACTTTTTTTGGAATTTACAAAAAAAAATATTTTAAAACAGGAAAAAAAAATTATTTTCAAAATATTCAAATTTAAAATAAATAAAATATTAAATTAAAAAATTTAAAAAAAAAATTGCAAAATTTAAAAAAAAATTTACAATATTAAAAAAGAAAAAAATTTTTAAATATGTAATTTAGAAAAATAAATATTAAATTAAAAAATAAGAAAAAATTATTTAAAAATATTCAAATTTAAATACCTAAATAAAATATTAAATTAAAAATTACAAAAAAAAATTACAAAATTTAAAAAAAATTTTACAATATTAAAAAAGAAAAAAATTTTAAAATAATGTAATTTAGAAAAATAAATACTAAATTAAAAAATAAAAAAAAATTTATTTTAAAATTTAAGATAAAAGAAATTAATTTAGAAATTTTTGTTAAAAATTTGTCAATTACGTAAATCTAAAAAAAAAATTTATGTTTTTTTTTTCAATTACCGTTTGTATTATTGTAAAAAACTGAACGTGTATTTTGATGACTTTGACTGCCTCCAATGTCCCATAATTCAATAAAATATCGTCTTTGATTTGCAGTTCCTTCTTTATATTCATGTAATTTTACTTCCACTGAACAGCCAATTGTCCATGATGGATTATTCATTGGTTGTTGATGGCAAATTAAATGCGTTAATGAAGTTTTACCAACTCCTATTAATTAATTAATTAATTAATTAATTTTTAATAAAACAAAATCTAAATTTATTTTTTTAAATAATTGACGATAAATATTTTCAAGTAAAATAAATATTTTAATAATAAATTAATAATAATAATAATAATAATAATAAATAAATTCTAAATTTAAAAATTTATTTAAAAATTTACATTCAGAATTATATTGAAAATTCTATGTAAATAAAATAAATTAATTGTAAAAATATTCTAATAATAATAATAATAATATTAATAATAATAATAATAAATATTTTCGTCTTGAGCAGTAAATAAATATTTTAATTATTAATTAATAATTAAAATAATTAAAATAATTAATTTTTAATATTTTTTCTCGTAAATTATAATAATAAAAAAATAAAATTTATTTATTTATTTATTTATTTACGGGACTTCAAAATTAAAGTACTTCAAAATTATTAAATTAATATTTTAATTACGATTTATTTATTAATAAAAATTATAATTAATAATAAAAAATTTAAAATTTTCATTGTTTACATATTTCACAAATATAAATAAATTTGTTAAATAAATTGAAAGAACAATTAATTTTTTATATATTTACGATTATAATTAGAAATTATTATTATTATTATTATTATTATTATTATTATTATTATTATTATTATTATCTAATTATAATTAAATAGTAAAATAACGATAAATAAATAATTATTTTGCAATCTTTATATAATTTATAATAAATAAAAAATAAAAAATAAACTTTTTGTGATGACGTGGTAAATATAACCTCAAAATTGACGAAATTTTTTTTTTAAATTTATAAATATAACAGAGTATTATTTTATAAATAAAAAAAAGTAATAGTAAAAAATTATTTTCAATTTACAATAATTTAAAAAAAAGAACTCTTTTCACGGTAATTGCGTAAATATAAAAAAATTTAAAAAAAAAATTTGTCACTCACCAGAATCGCCAAGAACGAGAATTTTCACTTTATCAATAGCAGCCATTATTATAATACAAAAAATTAATTATAAAGAAAACACAATTAACTAGAATTAAATTATATATTTAAAAAAAAACTACATTAGAGAACTGTGTTAATTATTTTTTTTTTAAAAAAAGAAAACATGTTTTTGACAGCTACTGGGAAACATAACCTCCAAAAAAACTGACTTATTGCGCATGCGCATTTATTTTTATTTTCAAAAAATAAATATTGAAAATTAATAATTATTTATAGAATAATTATTTGTAATTTTTTTTTATATTAATAGGTAAATTATGTAAAGAGAAATTTTTTTCTTGATAAAAATGTTAAAAAAAAAAAAATAATAAATAAAATAAAAAAGAAATTTTAAAAATACCAACGCATGCGCAGTGTTGTTTTGATGTAACCATTTAATTTTAGAAACCTTGTATACGAAAAGGAAGAGAAAATAATGCGCGCAACAGACAAAAAAAGGATGCAATAATAACATTACAATAATTTATGATATATATTATTAAAATCAGTGTTAAAAAAAGGAAATAAATTGTATAGAAATTATTTTTAATTTTAAGAAATTAATGATATTTTTTTTCTTCTATTAAACTCATATTGAAAATTTGCCGCCGCAAATGATTCGACAACAGTGGTGTTTTTGAGGTTAGATTTATCTTTTTTTTCCGCATTTATTTATTTATATTTATTTATCTTGCGTTTTTTTTTTTGCAAACATAAAAATTATTAATGTTTTTTCTTTCTTTCTTTCTTTTTTTTTTCTCTTACAAAAATCTTTCATTTTGCTAAACTTTTTTCTACTCACAATTGAAAAAAAAAATTGTCAATTTAAAATGCAATTGAAAATTATTTTCGAGTTTATTTCTGAAACAATGTTTATTTATTTGTAATTTAGCGAAATTATTAATTAATTTTAATTTACACAAATTTTTTAATTAAATTAAGTTTCAAAATAATAGGAATTTAAATTTTTGACAAAATTTTTAAATTTAATATCATACGAATTTTAATTTATTTAAATTTTAATTGAATTAAGTTTTAAATTATACGAATTTTAATTTATCTGAAATTTTCGAATTTTTAATTTTAAATTTATTCAAAATTTTAATTAAAATAAGTTCCAAAATAATCGAATTTCAATTTACCCGAAATTTTGGATTTTTTAAATTTAAATTTAATCAAAATTAAATTTACTCGAAATTTGGAATTTTTTAAATTTAAATTTAGTCAAAATTAAATTTACCCGAAATTTTGGATTTTTTAAATTTAAATTTATTCAAAACTAAATTTATTAAAATTTTAATTAATTTAAGTTTCAAAATATCCGAATTTCAATTTACCCGAAATTTTTGGATTTTTTAAATTTAAATTTAGTCAAAATTAAATTTACTCTAAATTTTTATTGAATTAAGTTCCAAATTATTCGAATTTCAAATTTACCCGAAATTTTTGGATTTTTTAAATTTAAATTTATTCAAAATTAAATTTACCTGAAATTTGGGATTTTTTAAATTTAAATTTATTCATAATTAAATTTACCCGAAATTTTGGATTTTTAAAATTAAATTTAATCGAAATTTTAATTGTTTTAAGTTTCAAATTATCTAAATTTAAATTTTCCTAAAATTTTTGATTTTTAAAATTTAAATTTATTCAAAATTTAAATTTACCCGAAATTTTGGATTTTTAAAATTAAATTTAATCGAAATTTTAATTGTTTCAAAATTAAATTTACTCGAAATTTTTATTGAATTAAGTTCCAAATTATCCGAATTTCAATTTACCTGAAATTTTTGGATTTTTTAAATTTAAAATTTTTCAAAATTAAATTTACCCGAAATTTGGGATTTTTTAAATTTATTCAAAATTAAATTTACCCGAAATTTGGGATTTTTTAAATTTAAAAAAAAAATTCCAAATTAAATTTACCCGAAATTTTGGATATTTAAATTTAAATTGGATATTATTATTATTATTATTATTATTATTATTTTGGATATTTAAAATTTTAATTTATTAAAATTTTAATTGATTTAAGTTTCAAATTATCCAAATTTCAATTTACCCGAAATTTTGGATTTTTGAAATTTAAATTTATTCAAAATTAAATTTACTCGAAATTTTTATTGAATTAAGTTCCAAATTATCCTAATTTCAATTTTCCCGAGATTTGGATTTTTGAAATTTAATTTATTCAAAATTAAATTTACCCGAAATTTTAATTGTTTTAAGTTTCAAATTATCCGAATTTCAATTTACCCAAAATTTTTAATTAAATTATGTTTCAATTTATCCGAATTTAAATTTATCCAAAATTTTGTATTAATTAAAATTTAAATTTATCCAAATTTTATACAAATTAATTACATTATTTTCAATTATTAAATAATTTTCCTTTTTTTTTTTGAATTTGTTACAGAGTTATTTTATTTTTTTCTTTAATTTTTATAATTTTGTAAATATAGAAATAAATTTTGTTTTGTATTAAAAAAACAAAAAAAAAAATGAGTGGCGAGGAAAGGCTCGTCACGGAAATTCCCAGCAGTTTAAAACAATTGGCAAGAATTGTTGCTCGTGGATTTTATACAATAGAAGATGCTCTTATTATTGATATGTTAGTTAGAAATCCTTGTAAGTAAATTTTTTCAATAATTAATTTTATTTATTTACTAAACAAATAAAAATTTAATAATTTTTCCAATTTATTATCGTATTACTTTTTTTTTGTTAAATATTTTTCATAATTTTAAACTGAAAAAAAATGGTAAATAATGAAAAAAATATCTTTGAAGGCATGAAGGAAGACGATTTATTAGAATTATTGAAATTCGAAAAGAAACAAATGCGAGCGAGAATAGCAACACTTCGTAATGATAAATTTATTCAAATAAGACTGAAAATGGAAACAGGCTCCGATGGAAAAGCGCAAAAAGTTAATTATTATTTCATCAATTATAAGGTAATTTTTTTTTTATTTTAATAATAGTAATAATAATAATAATATTTTTTTTACTTTGTATTTAATTAATTTTTTGATACAAAAAAAATTTAATTATTATTTCATCAATTATAAGGTAATTTTTTTTTTATTTTAATAATAGTAATAATAATAATAATATTTTTTTTACTTTGTATTTAATTAATTTTTTGATACAAAAAAAATTTAATTATTATTTCATCAATTATAAGGTAATTTTTTTTTTTATTTTAATAATAATAATAATAATAATTTTTACTTTGTATTTTAATAATTTTTTGATACAAAAAGAAATTTTTTTTGTTGATGAATTTTGATAAAATTAATTTTCTTAATTAAATGTTAATTAAAAAAAAATATTATTTTTTCAGTCTTTTGTAAATGTTGTGAAATATAAACTTCTTATGATGAGAAAAAAATTGGAAACCGAGGAACGAAATGCAACGAGTCGAGCAAGTTTCAAATGCACCAATTGCCTCAAAACTTACACCGATCTCGAAGTAATTAACTGTAATTAATTATTTTTTTATTTATTATTTATTTAAACATATATAATATTAGATATTTTATTTGTAAAATAGTAAATTATTTAAATAATAATTAATATTATACGAATTTTTAGAAAATAGAATTTTTAGCTGAACAAAAAAATTTTGGTATAGGAAAAAAATTTTGTTTTATTAAAAATTTAATTATAAAAAGAATATCTTTGAAATGGTAATTTAAAAAATTGTCTTAAATAATAATAATAATAGTATTTATAATTATAATAGAATATTATTAAATTTATTTGAAATTTTGTTTATATAGGGTCAGCAGGGGTAAATCCGAACGGGGGGTAAATCCGAACGCTAATTATTTCAGCATAATTAAAATTTTTAAAAATAAGTTCAATATGAGAATTTTTACCTCAAATCATCTTCAAGAGATTCTAAGTATATTATCCCATTTTTCGTTTGTCAATTAGCAACAGCATAAACAAAGATAACGAGTATTGCAAAAAAGATTGAAAATCAAAGATGACACTCTTTCAGTATTTTGTCTCGTATTTCAAGAAAAAGAAGCTAAAAATTTAATTTATTATTTATAATTGTTTGTTATGAATACTAGAACAGAAACTATTTTTCATTTTTGCCTTCTGTCAAATTTTATTAATAATCTCAGACCGTTCGTATTTACCCAGGAAAATTGGAAAACCGGGGTAAATCCGAACGGTATTTTCAATCATTTTTTTTTTACATCAGAGCCACACAAAATTCTTTTTATTTCATTACACTATTATTTTAACATTATAAAAGTTTTTCTTTCTATACCTATCCTCGTTAGTAATTAATAAGCAGAAACTTAATCTCTGTTCTCTCGAAGGAGTGTTTCAATTTTTTTGCAAAATGGTTTGTTGAAAAAAGTTTTTCAGGATCTTAATAAAATTTGGTATTCTACGGTTTTTGGGGTCGCTAATTACCAATTTGAAGTCAGTTTTTCAAAATTCAAAATGGCGGACGAGAATTAAAAAATTCATTGGATTCGCTCGAAAATTGTTATACTCGGGGGGTTTCAGGGTTAGCAAATTTGATCATTTTTAAAAATAAGTTTTAGAAAAGTCCGCCATTTTGAATTTAAAAAATTTCACTTTTATTTTTGTATTTACATTCAATCACTCCAAAAATACTTTCTGTAGCAAGTTTTGCAAAAATCCGTTATGATTTGATAAAGTTATTGAAGGTTTTAATTGTGTAATGCATTTTAATTTTTAACCTGTTTGATTTTTGTATTTATATATGATGCATTATTACATAATAGGTTTATTATCGTATTTTTTTTTGAGTTTTTATATAAGTTTAACAATTGCAATAGTTTAAATTTATTTTCCCTAAGATTTTTCTGAAATACAGTGGCGTTCGTATTTACCCCGGTATTTTAGGAAAGTTGCAAAGTATCGAGGTAAATACGAACGCTAAGTTTCCTGCGATTGTAATTTATCAAAAATTTTTGCTACCCCATAAAATTGTTCTATGGAAGTAAAGTAACAACTTCATGCACCAGAATACCGGAAGTATTTTTTTTTTTAAAGAAAAAACTTATGTTATTGTTGAAACTTACTAAAAGCGTTCGGATTTACCCCGGTTGACCCTACTGAAATAAAATAATAATAAATTTTTTTTTTTTGTAATAAAAGGCGGATCAACTTTTTGACATGAGTACACAGGAATTTAAATGTACTTATTGTGGTGAAATTGTTGAGGAAGATCAATCGGCATTACCGAAAAAAGATTCACGTTTACTATTGGCACGATTTAACGAACAAATGGAACCGCTTTATATTTTATTGCGAGATATTGAGGGTATTAAATTGGCGCCTGAACTTCTTGAACCCGAAGCAGTGGATATTAATACAATTAAGGGGTAAATTTTATTTATTTCCAAATTTTTTTTTTTCTATTTGTATTACTATTTTGTTATTATTTAATTATAATTTTGTTATTATTTAATTATAATTTTGTTATTATTTAATTATTTTTATAATTTCAGTTTTTATTTTTTTTATAATTATGTTTACAGTTTTTATATTTTATTTATTCACATTTATTTTGTAAATTTTTTTTTTTGTATTTATTTTATTTCTCTTATTGTAGTTATTTTGTAAATTTTTTTTTTCTCTTTATAGAATTGATCCAAGAAAATCGGGTACAATACGAGGACCAAATGATCAATGGTCGGGTGAAGGTTCAAGAACATCGGGATTCTTTGTCGAGGAGACGAAAGTCAATGTTCTAATTGGAGACGGTGCTGCGGACGATAATTCCGTCAGTACAAGAAAAGAACAACCAATTTGGATGACGGACAGTACAATTGATAATCCAATCGACGATTCTTTACAAGTATTTTATTTTTTTTATTTTTCTACCTTTTTTCCTTTTTCTATTTAAATTTATCTATTAAATATTTATTTAAATCTTACCAAAAAGAAAACAAAATTAATATTTCCTTTTTACATATTTATTCAAAAATTTGTACTAATAAAGGGCTCGCTAAAATGCAAATAAATAAATAAATAAATAAACAAAAAAGAAGGAAAAAATATAATTTTCTTTTTTTTCAGACCGATTCGACAATTACACAAGACAATATATTGAATAAGGCAGCGGCAACGGCATCGACACCGACAACAATAAATAATAAACAGGGCGAGGATATAATGTCAGTTTTATTGGCTCATGAGAAAAAAGGTGGAATGAGTGATAATAATGCTGTTAAGTCAGTTATACCACAGGAATCGAGTGACAGTAGCGATAATGAAGATAACAATGATATGCAACCTATAGAAACTGGTAAGATTAACAAAAAAAAAAGAAAAATAAAATTTATTATTTATTATTAAACAAAAAAATAAATATTATTTTTCAAAATAAATTATATTTATTAGTATTTTAAAAAAAATATTAATTAACAAAATTTTATTTTAAAAACAAAAAAAAATAAGTATTTACTATATTTTGCATTTAAATTTTGAATATTTATTTATTTAAATTTTTATTTAATAATTTATTTAGTAACTAGCAAAATTAAATTCAAATTTTTATGAAATTTAACAATTGTTTATAATTAAAAAAAACAAAATATCACAATAAAAATGAATTATTTTTTAAAAATTTCAATTCAAAATAAGCATTATTACCCGAAATTTTAATTCAAAATCAATTAAAAATCCAATAATTATCAAAAATTTTCAATTTAAAATTTAATTATTTACCAAGTTTTCAATTTAAAATGAAATAAAATTCAATTATTTTCTAAAATTTCTATTCAAAATTAATTATCGAAATTTTCAATCAAAAATGAACTTAAATTAAATTATTATCCAAAATTTCAATTAAAAATTCAATTATTTCCCAAAAAAATTCAATTTAAAATCAAATAAAATTTCATTATTCTCAATTCAATTATTTTCCAAAATTTTTCATATAAAAATCACAAAAATTTAATTATTTAATTATTAAAAAAAAAATTTAAATGGGAACTTTTAGAAATAATTAAATTTTAGAATCTTTTAAATTTGAAATTTTTGAAAATAATTGAATTTTATTTGATTTTTGATTTAAAATTTTTTAAATAATTGAATTTCAAGTGAAATTTTGGAAAATAATTGAATTTTTTTTTATTGAATTTTTCAGAAAATAATGGTATTTTTAAAAGAAAATAAAATATTTTTTTTTAGAAATAATAAAATTTATGAAAAATTTGAACCAAAATCTTTGAAAATAATTAAAATTTTTGTCCGTTTTTTACAAATTCATAATCAAATTTTTGAAAATTGTAATTTTCACTGAATTGTACTTAAATTTGTAAATATAATTGAATTTTAATTTAAATTTTGAAAAATAATTGAATTTCAAATTTAAATTTTTGAAAGTAGTTGATTTTCACATGGGTGTCTAACAAAGATTGAGAAAAAAATTTCCTGACTTTTCCCTGACATTTTTTGATTTTTCCCTGACTTTTTAATAACCTAATTTCTGCTTTTTTTTTTGGACAAAAATATAATTACTGACATATTTAACAATAAATTAATTTCTAATGGTAGTAAGAAATGGTAATAAAAATCATTCAAGTTTTTTTAGATTTAAAAATTTTTTAATTCAAAAAAAATTTTAATTTTTGTAGAAATTTACAGAAATTTCCCTGACTTTGAATGAAATTTTCTGAAATTCCCTGACTTTTCCCTGACTGTTAGACACCCTGTTTTCAGTTGATTTTGAATTGAAAATTTTTAAAAGAATTGAATTTTAGTTGATTTAGGATTGAAAATTTTGAAAATAATTGAATTTCAGTTGATTTTTAATAGAAAAATTTTTAAATAATTGAATATATCAATTGAAATTTGGAAAATAATTAAATTGTAGTTTATTGTGAATTGAAATTTTGGAAAATAATTGTTTGATAAATTATTTTTAATTCTGTAAAATTTAATAATTGTTTGAAAATTAACAATATCTTTTCAAAATTTAATTATTTCTAAAAATTTCAACTTTAACCCTTCGAAAAGGATTATTATTAAAAAAAAAAATTTTTATTTAAAAATCTGTAAAATATTTTTGTTAAAATAAAAAACAAATCCACTTTTTTTGTGGAATATAAATCGACTAAAACGACTTTTTTTGTGTCTTTAAATTGATTCGAGGCCTGTGTTTTTATAATTAATATTTAATATAGGTAATCGTATTACTATGTTGTACGAAATTTCCTGAAGAAGAAGAAAAAAAATAAAAAACAAGTTAATGAAGGTGAAAAAAAATTAATTTTTTTTCTTTCTTAAAGATGCTGTGGAAATGATGGATTCAGAAGAAGAGGACTCAGTGCCAATGATAACAGTCGGTGGTAAAAATGTTGCAATTACAAATGTAAACGATTCACTAATCGCAGAAATGACACCAGTCGAAAAAGAAGCATACATACAAGCATACCAGGAATATTATTCCCTAATGTACGATTAATACGAAAATTAAAAAAAAAAAATAATAATAATAATATTTCCCCTTCCGCCCTACAAAAAACAAAATTGAAATATTTTTGATAAATATATATTATATACTATTTAAAATATATATATATATATATATATATATATATATATATATATATATATATATAGAGAAAGAAAATATTGAGAACAAAAAATGAAATAAAACAAATTTAGAATAAAAAAAAATATTGAGAAAGCAAATAATTTTAGAATATAAATAAAAAAAATATCAAGAAAAAATGAAATTAAAAAAAAAATATTGAGAAATGAAATAATTTAGAAAAAAAAAAATTGAGAAAAAATGAATTTAGAATAAAAAAAAAAATTTGAGAGTAATTGCGGAAAATTGAGAAAAAACAATGAAAGAATTTCATCAACTTTATTTTCTAAGTACAATATAGATAATAAATATATAAGTCAACGATAAAATGTTTTTTTTTTTTAAATCTCCTTTCCCACACAATATTTATATAATAATAATAATTATACAATAATAGAGAATCTCTCATTGACAATATAATTTTTCTATTCATGTACATTTTTTTTTAAATTCATAGTTTTCTTTTTTTTTTTTAAATTCATGTATTTTAAATAAATTATCTAACACGTCACTTCTGGTAAAACGGGAAAATCGTTTTATTTTTATTATTTTTTTTCCATTCTTTCTTCAATCCATTTCAAGAAAGAGAATAGTAATTTTTTTTAAAAGCTTCATTATGTTTATTATTTTATAATATTAATTTTTCTTTTTTTGTTTCCTATCATCTCTTGATGGAATTTCCGTTCGACCACCACAATCGATCGGAAATTCGTGTAGAAAATTATTTTTTTATTTTTTCTCTTTTTTTTTCCTTTTTTTTATCATTTAAATTTTCATATTTTGCAATTATTTTTCTAATAGATTTTTTTTTTTTAAATTGTAAAAGAAAAAATTGCAAAAAAGGAAAATTTGTATTATAGGATTATAATTATTATAATTATAAAAAAAATATAGAATATAATTACGATAATTATAATTATAAATATGTTTCTTTTTTTTTTTGTTTCGAAATTAAAAAATCACATCTGGGATATTGAAAAAGAAAAACATGTTCAAAATTATTATTATTTTTTTTTTTATGTTTTTTAAAGAGGATTATTTTAATTAGTTGCAATTGGTTTTCAGATGGAATTCATAAAGAGAGAGAGAGAGAGAGTGAGATGTTCAGCCTTTCTTTTTTCTTTTTTTTTTCGCTAAATAAATCGAAATTTTTTTTCATTTTTCTTTATTCTGGTTCATTTAAACGAAGACGGGCAAAATCTTCAAAAACAATGTTGTCATCGTCATCGTTGGCATAACATGAACTCTCATATCGACCGCGATCGATGCTTTTGCTCTTTTTCAATGTCGCCTGTTCCTTCTCAACAGTTCCTGAAATTTTTTTTTTTTTTTTTAATAAATTATTTATTTTTATTTTATTTTTATTTTTTTTCATTTTGTAATTTTTCATTTAGTTTTAATTAAAATAAATATATTAGAATTTTTATTTAAACAATATAATTAATATAATAATAATTATAATATAATTATAATAATTAATTATAATAATTATATTATAATTACAATATAATTATTTATCTATATTTTTTAAAGTAAATTTTTATTTAGCAGAATTTTTATGAAATCAAAAAATTTATATTGTAACAAATTTTTATTTAAAAAAAAATTTTCATTAAACCAAATTTTTAGTGAAAACAAATTTTTATTTAGCCAATGTTTTATGAAAACCAACTTTTTTTTATATTTTAACTAATTTTCATTAAGGCGAAATTTTATTAAATCAAATTTTCATTAAGGCAAATTTTTATTTTAACCAATTTTCATTTAGCAAAAAAAAAAAAATTTGTTAGCTAAAATATTTTAGCTACCAAATATTTTTTCTGTTGGCAAAAATTTTTAATTTACAGTCAATTTTATTTATACATGACTTGTTTCATTGAAAAGAATTTTTTTATTTAAAATTTCGGTTTAATAAAAAAAAATTAGCTAAATAAAACTTTGGTTTAATAAAAAATTTGGCTTAATGAAAATTGGAATTAATAAAATTTCTTCTAAATGAAAATTTGTTAAAATAAAAATTTGGTTTAATAAAAATTCGGCTAAATGAAAATTTTTGATTTCATAAAATTTCGGCTAAATGAAAATTAGACTTAAAATATAAAAATTTGATTTTTATAAAATTGAATAGAATGTTAATTTAATATTTTGGTATCATAAAAAAATTCGGCTAAATAAAAATTTGGCTTAATGAAAATTTTGAATTAATAAAATATCTTCTAAATAAAAATTCATTAAAATAAAAATTTGGTTTCATTAAAATTTGGCAAAATAAAAATTTGTTTTAATGAAAATTCGTTAAAATAAAAATTCGTTAAAATAAAAATTTGGTTTCACAAAAATTTGGCTAAATAAAAATTTGCTTTAATGAAAATTCGTTAAAATAAAAATTTGGCATAATAAAAATTTGCTTTAATGAAAATTTGTTAAAATAAAAATTTGGTTTCATAAAAAAATTCGGCTAAATAAAAATTTGGCTTAATGAAATTTTTGAATAATAAAAATTTCTTCTAAATAAAAATTTGGTTTCATAAAAAAATTCGGCTAAATAAAAATTTGGATTAATGAAAATGTGAATTAAAAAAATTTCTTCTAAATAAAAATTCGTTAAAATAAAATTTTGGCTAAATAAAAATTTGCTTTAATGAAAATTCGTTAAAATAAAAATTTGCTTTAATAAAAATTCGGCTTAATGAAAATTTTTGGTTTAATAAAATTTTGGAAAAATGAAAATGAGTTAAAATATAAAAATTTGATTCTCATAAAATTGAAAGTATTTTAATTTAACATTTTGGTTTCATAAAAAAATTCGGCTAAATAAAAATTTGGCTTAATGAAATTTTTGAATTATTAAAATTTTTTCTAAATAAAAATTCGTTAAAATAAAAATTTGGTTTCATAAAAATTTGGCTAAATAAAAATTTGATTTAATGAAAATTCGTTAAAATAAGAATTTGCTTTAATAAAAATTCGGCTTAATGAAAATTTTTGGTTTAATAAAATTTCGGAAAAATCAAAATGAGTTAAAATATAAAAATTTGGTTCTCATAAAATTGAAAGAATTTTAATTTAACATTTTAATTTCATAAAAAAATTCGGCTAAATAAAAGTTTGGCTTAATGAAATTTTTGAATAATTAAAATTTTTTCTAAATAAAAATTCGTTAAAATAAAAATTTGGTTTCATAAAAATTTGGTTTCATAAAAATTTGGCTAAATAAAAATTTGCTTTAATGAAAATTCGTTAAAATAAAAATTTGGTTTCATAAAAATTTGGCTAAATAAAAATTTGCTTTAATGAAAATTCGTTAAAATAAAAATTCGGCTAAATAAAAATTTGCTTTAATGAAAATTCGTTAAAATAAAAGTTTGGTTTAATAAAAATTCGGCTAAATGAAAATTTTTGATTTAATAAAATTTCGGCTAAATGAAAATTAGACTTAAAATATAAAAATTTGGTTCTCATAAAATTGAAAGAATTTTAATTTAACATTTTACTTTCATAAAAAAATTCGGCTAAATAAAAATTTGGCTTAATGAAATTTTTGAATAATAAAAATTTCTTCTAAATAAAAATTTGGTTTCATAAAAAAATTCGGCTAAATAAAAATTTTGCTTAATGAAAATTTGAATTAATAAAATTTCTCCTAAATAAAAATTCGTTAAAATAAAAATTTGCTTTAATGAAAATTTGTTAAAATAAAAATTTGGTTTAATAAAAATTTGGCTTAATGAAAATTTTTGATTTAATAAAATTTTAACTAAAATAAAAATTGATGGAATTAAAAATTTGTTTTAAATAAAAATTCGACTAAATGAAAATGTAGCATAATATAAAAAAAAATATTTAAACTGAATATTTGGCAAAATATATATTTATTTTTGTTAAAAATTCGGTTTAATTTTAAAAAAAAATATATATATATAGAAATAAATTAAAATTACCTGGAGCTGGATGCATTAGTTTGAATGGAACATCAGTGATCAATTCTCCACCCAATGTTCCACAATTTAATTTCACACGAATTGAATAGGAAATAACAATTCCCATAGCGTCTCCTGGACATTTTCCCTCAGCTACCATTGTTGATGATGCGAGATTCACATCATCGTCCTAAGATTATTTTTTAATTTTACATATTAATTAATTAAAAAATAATGATAATAAAAAAAAACTAATATAATTTTCCCAAAAAAAATGTATTAAATAAAACAAAAAAATAATAATAATAAAATTAAATTTACTATATAATTTCCAAAAAAAAATATATTAATTTTTGAAATTAAATGAAATAATTATTATAATTTTTATAAATAAATAATTAATAATTATAAAAATACCTTTAGATGACCATCGAGAGCAATTCCACGTCGATCTTTGTTACTGCTTGCCAATGGAACAAGGAAAAATTGTTTCGAAAATGATGCACCAGGTGTTATTGGACATCCTTCTCTTGTTTCTAAACTTGCGACATGTCGAGAAAATTGAGCATTAACCATTGTCACCTCACAATGTTGAACCACAAACATCTGAATTTTTCAAAAACAAATTATTTATTTATTTATTTAACAAAGTAAACTAATTTAGTTACTAATTTATTACTAATTTTTTAAATTATATTTTCAATTTTATTTAATATATAAATAATATAATTGTTATTTAATATAATTAATATAATATAATAATATAATTAATATAATATAATTAAGAATAAATTTAAAAAATTAAAAATACTATTTTTGAAAAATTAAAAAAATTACTTGAAAAAATGAAAAATAATTTTTTTTTATAAATAAAAAAATTCTTTCTTTTTTTTTTTTTTTTGCTTACTTTAATATTTTTCACCGTTTTCCGTGAATTATTAGTGATAATAACATTGGCAGCAACTTTTTCACCATGATAATAAATTTCACGATCCAATGTCACTTCCAAATTTAATTTACCCTGAGAGAATGTGAATCCTTTTGAAACAAGAGAACTCGGAAGTCGTCGTCCACGTGTTGGTGGAGCGTATTGAAGTTTTTTAATTGCAAGTGCAACCATTGATCGTTTGTGTCCCTAGAAAAAAAATATAATATTTGACAAAAAAATTTTTTCATTTTTTTTTTTTTTTATTTCAAAAATTAGATATTTTTTTATATATAAAAATTATTTTCGAATAATTATTTACTGGAATTTTTTCATATATAAAATATAATTATTATTAATAATTTAACCAAAACAAAAAACCGTTATTTAAAATAACAAATAATGATAATAATAATTTATTTATTTGTGAAAATTTACATAATAAAAATCAACAAAAAAATTTAATTATAGAGAAATAAAAATTTGGTTAATTAAAAATTTACATAATAAAAATCAAAAAAAAAATTAACTATAGAGAAATAAAAATTTGGTTAATTAAAAATTTGTTTAAATAAAAATTTGGTTAATTAAAAATTTTTTTAAAATAAAAATTCGGCTAAATGAAAATTTTTGATTTACTAAAATTTTGGCAAAATGAAAATGAGTTAAAATATTAAAAAATTGGTTTTCATAAAATTGAAAAGAATATTAATTTAACATTTTGGTTTCATAAAAAAATTCAGCTAAATAAAAATTTGGCTTAATGAAAATTTGAATTAATAAAATTTCTTCTAATAAATAAAAATTCGTTAAAATAAAATTTTGGCTAAATAAAAATTTGCTTTAATGAAAATTCGTTAAAATAAAAATTTGGTTTAATTATAATTTGGCTTAATGAAAATTTTTGATTTACTAAAATTTTGGCCAAATGAAAATGAGTTAAAATATTTAAAAAATTGGTTTTCATAAAATTGAAAAAAATATTAATTTAACATTTTGGTTTCATAAAAAAATTCAGCTAAATAAAAATTTGGCTTAATGAAAATCTGAATTAATAAAATTTCTTCTAAATAAAAATTCGTTAAAATAAAATTTTGGATAAATAAAAATTTGCTTTAATGAAAATTCGTTAAAATATAAAAATTTGGTTAATTAAAAATTTGTTTAAATAAAAATTCGGCTGAATGAAAATTTATTTGTATTTAACTAGAAGACAGTAATTAAAAATTATAAATAATTTTAAATTGTCACATTTAAAATGACATGAAAGTGTTTTTTTTCTATTTTTTTTATTTATTTTTTTTTTTTAGAGAGAAAGAAGTTCCAAGTTCAAATATTGTAATTTAATTATATAAATGACCAACTTATATAATCACACACTAACGAGTTATATAAAAATAAAATAAATACAGTTAATGGGTTTCACTTATAGACTCTCTCTCTCTCTTCCTCTCATCATCCTTAAAATCTATTTTTTTTTTAATTTATTTTCCAAATTAAAAATTAATTAAAAATTAAAAATTTTAAAATTAAAATTAATTCAAATTGAAATAAAATAGAAAAATTTTTAAAATTTTTTTATGTTAATTATTATCAATTCTTTAGAATAAAATTCCAAATGAAATTCCAAAAAAAATTTAATTCAATTTTATTTTTTAATAATAATTAATTTTTTTGTTTGTTAATTCTTTTTAATTAGTTGTTAATTCATTGTAAAAATTTTTATCAGAATAAAATTTATAATTTTTTTTTATAAATTTCTTTTTTTTTAATAATTAGAATTTTTTTTTATTAATTGTTAATAATTAAAAAATTTTTTTTTAAATTAATTGTTAATTTAAAAAAAATTTTTTTATTAATTGTTAATAATTAAAAAATTGTTTTAAATTAATTGTTAAGTGAAAATTTTTTTTTCTATTAATTGTTAATAATTAAAAAATTTTTTTAAATTAATTGTTAATTGAAAAAAAATTTTTTTTATTAATTATTAATAATTAAAAAAAATTGTTTAAATTAATTGTTAATTGAAAAAAAATTTTTTTTTTTATTAATTGTTAATATTAAAATTATTTTTTTTTAATTGCCTTGTCTTCTTCATTCTCGGCGACATAAACTTTGACGATATATTCAACACCAAGGGGTTTGCCTTGATCGTCATCGCCAGGTTGAAGTGTTACCGAACTTGGTGAACTTGATGGGAATTGAAACAAAAATGGATATGCATTTGGTCCCAATTTTCTCAAAAGACGATTTTGAATTGCCGTTGTTTCTTGTTTTTCCTTTCTCATTGGTACAATTTGTTCTTTACTGAGGACCAATTCCTTGCTGAATTTCACTCCCATTACCTCATCCTCTTCTCGTCCATATCGATAAGTCGTCGTTATCTGAAATTCCGTTGTTTTTATATTTTTTATTAATTATTTAATTAATTTTTTTTTTAAAAAAATTATTTTGAAATAATTAAATAATTTTTTTTTGTTAATTATTCGAAATAATTAATTAATTTTTTTGTTAATTATTTCAAATAATTAATTAATTCTTTTTTAATTATTTTCAAATAATTAATTAATTTTTTTTGTTAATTATTTCAAATAATTAATTAATATTTTTGTTAATTATTTTCAAATAATTAATTAATTTTTTTTATTAATTATTTAAATAATTTATTCTATATTACCTAAATAATTAATTGAAAATAAAAAATTAATTTTAATTAAAAAAAATTTAAATAAATTTGAAAAAAAATAATTTTAATTCAACAAAAAAAAAATACGAAAATTAATTATAATTAAAATAATTAGGAATAATATTAATAAATTAATTATAATTAAATATTTAAAAAAAATTTATTTCAATTAGATAATTTTTTTTTTCCCTCACCTGACCAAAGATTTTTCTGCCCTGAAGATAATCATTTTCAACGACGACAATTCCATCAATAGGATCAACATTATCCAAATGATCGATAAAGTCTCGCTTACCTAGATAAACTGTGACCTTGCCTGAAAGTAATTTTTTTTTTACAATACCCCGATATTTAGATTTTTTTTCTTAATAATATTTTTTTAATTATTATTTATTAGAAATTTTTTATATTATTTATAATTAATAATTATTTAATTCAAATTTGATAATCATTATTAATTATTTAATTCAAATTTGTAATCATTATTAATTAATTAATTCAAATTTGTAATCATTGTTAATTATACATATAATTCAAAGTAATAATTATTTATTTATAATTTAAATATTTATTTATTATTAAATTATAATTTTATTATTGTTATCAATTATTTAAATTATTACTAATATTTGAAACGGTTATAGCAAATTAATAATTTCGAAAAATCTCTCGCACGTATGGGGGATCGAACCCAAGACCCTCGGGGACACAAACCGCGTACCCTGACCACATAGCCACGTTAACTTCGTTATTTTAAATAATTTAAATACTTTATTATTTTCAATAAATTACGATTATTATTATCTAAATAACAAATTATTATTAATTAATTAATAATAAATTTAAATTATAATAAATTATTTAATTTAAACAATAATTATTCAATTTTTTTTATTTGTACAATTTAAAATTATTGTTAATTAAAATTTTTATTGCTGACTAGTAATTCAATAATAATTATTAATATTGAAATTCATCCCCCCCTTTTTTTTTGCCCCAAAAACTAAATTTAATTATTATTCGAATTTTTCTAAAAAAAAATTTAAAATTTAAAAAAAAATTTTTTTTTTTAAATTAAAAAAAAACTTACCATTAGGGGTGGTCTTTTTGAAAACCTTAACTGCTACAACGAACACCAAGAATAATAAAGGAAACATTATTTTCACCAATATGAAATTGTTTCCCGCCCAGAAGTGACGGATTTTTGTCTTGTGCCTTTTACTTGATATAGTTTTTAAAAGGCTTCACCCTATCCCCTTTTTCACCCTCCCCTCCCCCCCCCTCAACCCCTCACATGACAACCGCTGGAAGCCCTATCTCATCAATATAATGGCGTTATTTCATTTACAAGATTTAACTAATGAGATGAAAAAATTTTGCACCTGTTACGTGTATAAAGGAACATATATTATTTTAGTTTTCCAAAAACATTTCAAGCGACAAGACACGACTAAACAAAAATTATTGTATAATAATAATAATAATAATAATTAGTATTATTATTATTATGTATTTGAGAGGATAAGAATATTTTTTGCACTTTACATAATGGGATTTTTTTTTTTTTTTTAATAATATGATTATGTTTTGTGGTATATTTATATTAGTATTCCGGAAGCGGAAATGAAGTGAAGAAATAAAAATTTTTTTATTTATTTTGAATTTTTTTTTTTTTAAGTGAATTTAGATTTTAAAAAATATTGTGAATTTATTTTTAATATTGAAATTTATTTGTTTTAGGTTTCATGAAGGGAAAGAAAGAAGAAATAGAAGAAAAAATTTACACGATTTTGAGGTTATGTTGCCGACTTTTTATTGTGGATACAACCTAAAATGACCGTTTCGAGTTTATGTTCTGCCCTTTTTTCATTGTGGAAGAACCCTAAAATTATCTGAATTTTTAGGTTATGTTCTGCTCTTTTTTTCATTGTGGAAGAACCCTAAAATTACCCTAAATTTGTAGGTTATGTTCCCCTTTTTTTATTGTGAAAGAGCCCTAAAATTATCTGAATTTGTAGGTTATGTTCTACCCTTTTTTTCATTGTGGAAGAACCCTAAAATTACCCTAAATTTGTAGGTTATGTTCCCCCTTTTTTTCATTGTGAAAGAGCCCTAAAATTATCTGAATTTGTAGGTTATGTTCTGCCTTTTTTTTCATTGTGGAAGAACCCTAAAATTACCCTAAATTTGTAGGTTATGTTCCCCTTTTTTTTATTGTGAAAGAGCCCTAAAATTATCTAAATTTGTAGGTTATGTTCTGCCCTTTTTTTCATTGTGCAAGAACCCTAAAATTACTCTAAATTTGTAGGTTATGTTCCCCTTTTTTTATTGTGAAAGAGCCCTAAAATTATCTAAATTTGTAGGTTATTTTGCCCCTTTTTTATTGCGGATGAACCCTAAAATTATCTAAATTTGTAGGTTATGTTGCCCTTTTTCATTGTGAATGAACCCTAAACTGACCTGAACTTTTAGGTTATGATTAAAAATAAAAAAAAATAAATAGTTTTTCTATATTGTTTAATTATTATTATTATTATACACTTTTACTAATTTTATTTTTAATTTTAACTAAATTCTTTATTTATCTAAATTAATTTTATGATTATTTTTTATTGTATTTTATTATATTTTTTTTGCTTAGGGACTTTTGGAAAATCTGCATACAGATACCATGGCTTCCGCATGTCAAGGTTATGTAAGGTTGGCAAAAAAAAAAAAATAAATAAATAAAGCTTTCGAACTACTACCAACCCCGACCCACTAAAACCCTTCTTTTGGGACCCTTTATCCACCCTATTAATTTTTTTTAAATAATAAAAACGTTTATCAATGTGAAAGCGAAATTAACAGCACACCAGATGTGTTTTTTTGTAGGTTAGAAAAACTTTCGTTATCCATCGTTTTCAATTTTAAAAATTAAAAACGATTATCAATATCAAAGCGAAATTAACAGCACATCAGAAGATGTGTTTTTTTGTAGGTTAGAAAACTTTTTCGTTACCCTGCGTTATAATTTTTTAAAAAAATAATAACGATTATCAATGTCAAAGCGAAATTAACAGCACATCAGAAGATGTGTTTTTTTGTAGGTTAGAAAAATTTTCGTTATCCTTTGTTTTCAATTTTAAAAATTAAAAACGATTATCAATGTCAGAGCGAAATTAACAGCACATCAAAAGATGTGTTTTTTTTGTAGGTTAGAAAACTTTTTTGTTACCCTGCGATATAATTTTTTAAAAAAATAATAACGATTATCAATGTCAAAGCGAAATTAACAGCACATCAAAAGATGTGTTTTTTTGTAGGTTAGAATAATTTTCTTTATCCTTCGTTTTCAATTTTAAAAATTAAAAACGATTATCAATGTCAAAGCGAAATTAACAGCACATCAGATGTGTTTTTTCTCTGTTGGTTAGAAAAATTTTCTTGTAGATGAAAGGACAGCGTCTATCTCTCTCTCTCTCGCACTCTTAAGCGTTGCCATGACAACATGCAGCCACAAAACCTGTGAACACACCTTAAAAATAAATGACGCCCTCTAAAGGCCTGAGCAGAATAGAAACGTAACCGAAATCGTAACCGCAAACGCAACCGTAAGAATGAGTTAGAGAAGGACAAACAATCTATCTATCCTTCTCTATAACTCATTCTTCCGGTTGCATTTGCGATTACGATTACGTTTCTATTCTGCTTAGGCCTTAAACATGTTCTGAAAGCAAAAAAAATTATAGGTTATGTTTATGATACTTTTTGAAAACAATCATAAACATAACCTATATTTTTGTTCATTTTTCCGCTTTTTGAGCGTAAAATGTAACAAAAAAGCAAAAAAAAATTATAGGTTATGTTTATGATACTTTTTGAAAACAATCATAAACATAACCTATATTTTTGTTCATTTTTCCGCTTTTTGAGCGTGAAATGTAACAAAAAAAGCAAAAAAAAAAATTATAGGTTATGTTTATGATACTTTTTGAAAACAATCATAAACATAACCTATATTTTTGTTCATTTTTCCGCTTTTTGAGCGTAAAATGTAACAAAAAAAAGCAACAAAATTATAGGTTATGTTTATGATACTTTTTGAAAACAATCATAAACATAACCTATATTTTTGTTCATTTTTCCACTTTTTGAGCGTAAAATGTAACAAAAAAAGCAAAAAAATTATAGGTTATGTTTATGATACTTTTTGAAAACAATCATAAACATAACCTATATTTTTGTTCATTTTTCCGCTTTTTGAGCGTGAAATGTAACAAAAAAAGCAAAAAAAAATTATAGGTTATGTTTATGATACTTTTTGAAAACAATCATAAACATAACCTATATTTTTGTTCATTTTTCCGCTTTTTGAGCGTAAAATGTAACAAAAAAAAAGGGAATAAAATGGTTCCAACCAAAAAAATGAAAATATTTCAGTCTTAAAGTTTATATTTATTTCAATAATAAGTGTTTACATAATAGAGGTATTTTAACAATGAAATTAAATTCCTTGCACAAGGAATTTTTCTTTTTTCTCCAGGGTGCGTCCACTCTCACCATGGCCTCTCTTAAATGGTAAAATATTCGCATCTCGAACCGTTATGTGGCTTTCTTTCTTCCTTTCTTTTTTTTTTTTTTTTTTTTTTTAATTTCTTTATAAACTAATTGCAATTATTAATTAACTTAATCTTTACACATGCCACACTCAATCAAGTTTATTATCTCTTCATTTACTTCCTTATTTTTTTTTCCATTTTTCTTTGGGACTCAACTCTCGTTGCTTCTTCGATTACAAAAAAAAAAAAAAACATTTCCATCGATTCATACCACTAAATTCTCGTCAAGATTTTTTTTTTAAGAAAACCAAAAAGAACCTTTTTTTAAAATTTAAAAACTTTTTTCTAAACTAAAAATTATGTTTTTTGTAAATCGTGACGAGAATTTAGTTTCTTTTTTTTTGTCGTTTAAAGAGAGAAAGAGAAAAAGAAAAACTTGGAATTTTCTTTTTTCCAAATTAAAAAAGAAAAACTTGAAATTTGTCGACAATATAATCTTAACGCATAGCCTAAATGAAAATAATTATAATCCTAGTATTATATAAAAAAAAAAAACAGAAAAACAATGTACATACTAAAAAGTAGGTTTTGCTATTTTGAAAAAAAAAAACGTCTTAAAAAGAAAAATTAATTAAATGTTACGTGTCGAAGCAAAAAAAGACGATTTTTTGTTTGTAAATTTGATATATTAACAATGACCAAAGCGTTTTTTTTTTTTAGTCTAATTAATATAGGCACAGTAAAATTACGGATATTCGTTTTCTTTTCTTTTGTTGTCCTTTTTTTTTTTTTTTGCAAAAACGTTGCTATCAGGGAACGTGGAAAATATTCCCCAAATCATTATTATTATTATTATTTTAAAAAATCACCGATTCAAAATTACGATTTTTTTTTAATTTGAAAATACAATTTATACAATAAATTTTGTACACAATTTACGAAAAAAAAAATTCCTCAAAAAAAATGAAGAGAGCGAGCAAAAACAAAAAAAAAAAAAAAAACGATTATCCTAAATTTTTGTTCACCTTAACAAGATAGAGAGAGAGAGAAGATTAATCTAAAAAAAAAAATAAATAGAAAAAAGCCTTTTCGAGTGCCTTTTCTCTTTTTTCTATAAAATAGAATTTTTTAACTAATTCGAAAAGCATTTTTTCGAAAAAAAAAATTCGTCCGCATAAATATCGAAATTCACTTTTTCTCTATTTGTCATCAAATATCAAATTCATCACAATTTTTATATTCAAAAAATATACACATTCAATCTTTTTTTTGCATTCCAAAAATCTGGTAAAAAACAACTTCGTTTCTCAAAATTTTTTTTTTTACCAACGAAGCGAATTTGATTTTTGAAAACAAATTAATTTTTCCGCTTTTAAAAATCTACAACTTCGTTCCTTCTTTTTTTTCACTCAACGAAGTGAATTTGATTTTTGAAAACAATTCCGCCCCCCTTTTTTTTTATCAAATTCAGTATAAAAAAGTGATTCGATTTTTTTAAATTTATTTTTCACTCGATATTTTTGTGATATTTGTGCAATTTAAAGTTCCCTGATATCAGCGCACTTTTTTTTTGTTTTTTCTTTTTTTTTATAACAAACACCAGACGGTACAAATATCGTTAGTTTTTTTTTTAACTAGTATACATTGTGGACATTTTTTGTATTATTTTTTTTTTCATCATTATTAAGAAGTGTGATCGCTGTTTATCGCAAATATTCTACTTAAACTTATTTATAGTGTACTAAACATTTTTGCTCAAAAAAAAAAATTTCATTTTTTTTATTTTAGTTCCTTCAAAAAAAAAAAAAAAAAAAAAATTGATTTCCCCTTTTTTTCGAGTGGTTGCGCAGAATCCACCAATCCATCTTGGCGTTTACGTTCAAGCAAAAAAAAAAAAAATTTTTTTTTTTTTTTTTTATCTCACGCAGTACAAATCTGAAAGTAATTTTTTTTTCTGTGATAAAGTGGAATTTTTTTTCTTTTTACGTCCTCCACAAATTGAATAATTAAAATAATAATAATATAATTAATATATAATAATATAATATAATAATTAATAATTATAATAATATTATTTATTTATTTATTTACGGGACTTCAAAATTAAATTATTATTAAATAATAATTAATATATATTAATAATATATAATAATAATAATAATAATAATAATAATAATATATTTACGAATAATTTAGGAAATTAAATTTTTAGTCCTCGGATCGAAGCAAAAATGTCGAAAAATAAAAATTCAGCTCAAAAATAATAATTTTGACAAATAAAATTCTATAAAATTAAAATTCTAACTAAAGATTTTTAGAAAATTATCATGCCTCCCAATTTTTATTTTTAAAATATTTTTTATTAGAAATAATTATTTTTGAAGAGAAATTTTCATTTTTTCAAAAAAATTAGCATTTGAACAAGAATTTCTTTTTCATGCAAAATTTTTATTTAAACAAAATTTTTAACAACCAAATTTTTGCAAGAATTTTTATTTTACAGTTCAATTTTCTTTTTTTTTTTTATTTTAAAAGAATTTTAATTTAAAAATTGAAATCACATAAAATTGGATTAAATTAAAAATTTTTTTTAAAATTAAAAGTCACGTATAGAAAATTTAATTATTTTTTTTTCTTTTCTAAATTTATCATTTTTTTTTTAAATTTATTTTTAAATTGTTAAAAATAAATAATTGTACAAACGTCATTGTTCATTTTATACGATAATAATAATCTAAACAATTTAATTTATAAACAAAAAAAGAAATATGTATTATCTAATTTATCAATTTTATCTTCATCTAATCTTATAATAAAAGTTTCTAAACGCGAGAAATTCTATTTCTGTTTACATAATTATTGAAAAATATTTAAAGATTGTAAAATAAATTTTCCTTTAAAAGTAATAAAGAAAAATTCCCCAGAAGTATATGTTGAAATAAATAAATAAATAAATAAATAAATAAATATAGAAATAAATACAGAAAAGAATAAAAAAAAATTGTTTTAAAAACAAAATTTAGAAAAATATCACAAAATTCCAAAAAAAAAATTAAGTTTATTGAAAGAGACGAAAAAAAAAACCCTTTTTTGGCCATTTAAATAGAATAAAAGAAAATGATAATGAAAATTTATTAAATTATTAAATTATTTAATTATTTAATTATTATTTAATTATTTAATTATTATTTAATTATTTAATTATTATTTAATTATTATTTAATTATTATTTAATTATTATTAAATTATTAAATATTTATTAAAATTATTTTTGAATTTTACTAATTTACTAGAAATTATATTAAATTATTAAACTCACCTAATATTTTTCACAGAAAAGTATCCTTAACAGTAAGAATCCTACTTAGGATAGATCTGAAAAAAAAAATTTTTTTTATTTTTAATAAAAAAAAAAGAAAGAAAAAATTAATGCAATTCTTTATCAACTTTAATTTTTTTAAATAGAAAAGAATCTTTTTTTAAAAAAAAAAAAACGAAAATAATATTTTTTTTTAAAAAAAAGAAAATAATCTTCTTTAAAGAAACAAAAATAATTAAAAAAAAAAGAATCTTTTTTTAAAAAAATAGCGAAGAAATAAAAAAACGTAAACTTACAACTTGGAGCAGCTGCAGATTCGAATCTTTTTTGAATTTGATCGTATGTGAATTTAACAAATGATTCATATTGCTCGGATAGTTTCATTGTCAAAATCTGGTCGTATTCCTCTCGGATTTGTACTTCTTGATCCTTCAGCATCCGCTCGCAAATCAAACCAACCTAATTTGTAATAAAATTACAATAATTATCAAAAATGTTTACAAATTTTACAAAAATGCACAATATTTTTTTTTTTTTTAATTAAATTTAAATTAAATTTAAGTTTTAATAAATTTTAATTAAATATCTTTTGAAAACTCTCAATTATGTATTTTCAAGAAAAATTATAGATAAATATAATTCAAATTTTTCAAAAATTTAACTTTAAATTAAAATAATATCAGAATTTTCAATTGCAAGTTTTTTAATTAATAATAAAAATAATAATAATAATTATTATTATAATTAATTAATATTATTACTATTATTACTATTATTATTATTATACTATTATTATTATATTATTACTATTATTATTATTATTCTTAATATAATCAGAGTGTCTAACAACTGCTAGGAAAAAAATTCCCTGACTTCTCCCTGAGCTAAATTACACTAAAAAATTTTATTTTGATCAAATAAAATTTATTTTGATACAATTAAATCATTCACCTGTGTCTATTATCCACTAATTTCATATATGTATTTGAACAAAATAAATAATGTTTCGTAAAAAATAAAATATTTAAGTGAAATAAATAAACTAATTATTGGGGACGTATAAATATTCTCAACATTTAATTTAAAAGAATTTTTAAGGGCATCAAATCTTAAATAATCAAATTTTTTATTTAGTAAAATTAAAAAAAGCAGATTTTCTAGTATATCGAATTTCAAATTAATACAATTTCAATTTAACGGAAAACCATTTTTAATTGAATAATAGTTTCAAGTAGTTGAATTTTCAAAGAATATTACAAAAAATAGTAAAAAATAATTGAATTTCCGTTGAGAGTTATAATTAAAATTATTAAATTTCAAACAAATTTTCAAGGGAAATTTCAGAAATAATTAAATTTTAGAAGCTTTTAGATTCAAATTTTTGAAAATAAATGAATTTTAATTGAAATTTTGGATAATAATTCTGTTTTAGTTGAACTTTTTATTGAAAATTTTGATAATAATTAATTTTGAAATGAAATTTTTGAGAATAATTGAATTTTAGTTGATTTTGAATTTAAAATTTGGGAAATAATTAAATTTTATTTTATTTTAAATTGAAAATTTGCAAAATAATTGAATTTTATTTTTTATTAAATTAAAAATTTGGAAAATAATTGAATTTTCTTTGATTTTGAATTGAAATTTTCGGAAATAATTAAATTTTAGTTGATTTTGAGAGGAAAATTTTGATAATAATTGAATTTCAATTGAAATGTTGCATTGAAAATTTTGATAATAAATTTTGTTTTGAAATTTTCGATAATAATTGAATTTCAATTGAAATTTTGCATTGAAAATTTTGAAAATAATTGAATTTCAATTGAAGTTTTTGAAAAGAATTGAATTTTAGTTAATTTTAAATTGAAAATTTTGATAATAATTGAATTTCAATTGAAATTTTGCATTGAAAATTTTGATAATTAATTTTGAATTGAAAAATTGGAAAATAATTGAGTTTTAGTTGATTTTAAATTGAAAATTTTTGAGAATAATTGAATTTCAGTTGATTTTAAATTGAAAATTTGGAAAATAATTGAATTTTATTTTATTTTGAATTCAAAATTTGGAAAATAATTGAATTTTATTTTATTTTAAATTGAAATTTTTGAAAATAATTTAATTTAATTTGTGTTTTTATTGAAAATTTTGATAATAATAAATTTTGAATTGAAATTTTTGAGAATAATTGAATTTTAGTAGATTTTAAATTAAAAATTTTGAAAATAATTGAATTTTACAAGATTTTGAATTGAAATTTTTGAAAATAAATGAATTTTCTTTGATTTTGAATTGAAATTTTGGGAAATAATTGAATTTTAATTGAAATTTTGGACAATAATGTAATTTTAGTTAATTTTTGATTAAAAATTTTGATAATAATTAATTTTGAATTAAAATTTTGGCTAATTACTAAATTTTAATTGATTTTGAATTTAAATTTTGAGTAATAATAGAAATTTTAGTTGATTTTGAATTGAAATTTTTAAAAATAATTGAATTTTATTTCATTTTGAAATGATTTGTGATTTTGAATTAAAATTTTTTTGGTAATTTTATTTGAAATTTTCTTTTTTTTTAAATTATAAACAATTGTTAAATTTCATAAAAACTTTAATTGAAAAATAATTTGAAATAATTGAATTTGTAAATTGAATTTCATTAAAATTATTAAAAAAAATAATTAATTTAGTGAAGAATTTTAGTTAAAAATTTGTTAAATAATTAAAATAAAGAAGATCTGAAGAAAATTTCCCTTTTTTCCAAAAAAAAATGTATTTTATTTAAATTTTTTTTTAAAAAAAATGTAAAAAAAAAGTCGAAAAAGTCGCATTTTATTAAAAATAAGTCGAGAAAAAAGTCGTATTTTTAAAATTAATAGTTACTTTAATTTATTTATAAAAAATTCCAGAAAATTTGAAGAATTTCCCTGACTTTTCACTGACCGTCAGACATCCTGATAATAATAATAATAATAATAATAATAATAATAATAATAATAATAATAATAATTATTATTAAATATTATTTATATAATAAATAAATATTTTTTGTATAAACTATAACAATTTTTTTTTAAAAAAAAAAGAAAATATTCAATAAAATGGAAATAATAACAAATAATAATAATAATTGAAAGGAAAAAAAAAAGAAGGTAAAAATTGAAATGAATGACTACTTGCCTGTTTGAATGTGAAAAGTGGTTTCTCTTTGCATGATGTACTATTACTGTAGGCGTTTGAACCGCAACCAGATGGACTGGAAGGATTTGATGAACCCTCCATATCTGAGGAATCGCCATTATTGCCTTGAGGATTAAAATACAATTGTTTGCGTCGGTGCAATCGGCGGATTTCCTCTCTGATGTTTGCTGCCATTTTTTCTGAATTATTAAAAAAAAAAAAAATGAAAATTTGTTTTTGAATTTTGAATAAAAATAAATTTTTTTATTTCAATTTAATAAATTTATTTTTCAATTTAATAAAATTAATTTTCTTTCTTATTCAATAAAATCAATTTCTTTTTTTATTTAACAAAATTAATTTTGTTATTTAATAATATTTACTTATATATTTATTTATTTTTTATAAATATTAATTTTTTTAATTTAATTAAATTAATATTAATTTCTTTTTACTAATAGGGATTTATTTTACTTATTTACCTGAATATTTTACTTTTGTTACAACAAATTTTTAATTAAGTTGATTAAATTTATTTTATTTAAAAAAAAATATTACAATTTATAAAAATTAAATTTATTTTTGAAATAAATTACAAAATAAAGTAAATTTATTTTAATTTAATACAATTAATTGATAAATAAATAAATAAATAAATTACAAGTTAATAAATTAAATTTTTTTATTTAAAGAAATTTAATTAATTTATTTATTATTATTATTATTTTTTAATTAAATTAATTTAGAGTTTTTTTTTCATCAAATTAAAAAAAGAAAAAATTTTTCAAAAACTTTTAATTTTTAAAAATTCAGAAATTTTTTTTTTAATTAAATCAAAATTAAATATTTTTTTTTAATTAAATCAAAATTAAATATATTTTTTTTAATTAAATCAAAATTAAATATTTTTTTTATTATTTTATATTTCTAGTAAAATATTTTCAAATTTAATTATTTTTTTGAAACTTTTCATTATTTTATTTAATTAGAAAAAAAAAGAATTTTGCTGTATTTTACATGAATTACAAATAATCGTGTAAAATAGAAAAAATTTTAAAAACAAAATTGAAAAATATTTGAAAAATTAAAAGGAAAAATAAATTTTTACGTTCATTAATATTTTTTTTTCATTCATTAATTTTAAATTCATTTATTATTAAATTAATTTACAAAAATTTATTTATTTACAATTAATATTTAATTGTTAGTTTTTTTATAATAATTAAATTACAATAATAATAATAATAATAATAATAATAATACTATTATTTATTTAGTACTATTATTATTATAGTTACTATTTATTATTATTTATTTACTATTATTATTATTTTTTTTATTCATTAATTTTAATTTATTTATTATTAAATTAATTTACAAAAATTTATTTATTTACAATTAATATTTAATTGTTAGTTTTTTTATCATAATTAAATTACAATAATAATAATAATAATAATAATAATAATAATAATAATAAATTAATAATAATAATAATTAGTTCATAATAATAATACTATTATTTATTTAGTACTATTATTATTATAGTTACTATTTATTATTAAATTAATTTACAAAAATTTATTTATTTACTATTACTATTATTATTATTTTTTTTATTAATATCATATATTTATTTATTTGTGGATTATTTAATTTTTAGTTAATTAATTAGAATTTTTTTTAAAAATATATTTTGAAATCTCAAAATTTTTAGTACAATTATACAAAAAAAAAAAAATAAATAAATAAATAAATATAAAATAATAATCATCAATCACATAATATAGAATATTGAGACAGTGTTACCAACATTGCTGCTAATTTATATACGCTTTTGTAAAATATATTAACACTTTTTCTTCAGTAATAATTAAAAAGAGAAAATTTTTTTTTTTTTCTCGAAAATACAAGAAAATTCCCCCCTCCCCACCACCCTTTTGTTTTAAATATAATCGAAAAAGAAAAACAAGAATTTTTTTTTTTTTGAAAATAGTAAATTTCGATTGCGTGCTTCTATACACATATATATATACACACACCTATAATATAATCTATGGTTGGGATCGGAGTCCGTTAGGGCATTACCATATGATTTACGTGTGTTCCCTCCCCCCCTTTTCTACCTTTATCCCGGACCCTTAGGGATCGACTCTTGTACACTCTCCCCCCCCACCACCCCTCTTTACCCCTTAACCCTCAAGCATTCAATTCTCTTTTCACTATAGTAACAAAAAAAAAAAGAAGAAGGGGGGGAGACACTAAATACGGGTTTTAAATCGCCCCAACTGGGCCAAGCCCCTGGCTCCTTGAAAAAAAAAAAAAAAAAATGCTTTCGGAAAAAAAAATTTATATATCCAAAAAAATGTAAAAATATTCCCGAAAATAGGAGAAAAAAATTATATTTTTTTTCTGAAAAATTGAAAAAAAAGGAGAAACTATATATATGAAAATAAGATAAAGTATAGAAAAGTAAGAGAGAGAGAGAAAGAGAGAGAGAGACAGAAAAAAAATGGCCGTATTGAATATAATTACCAGGCGTCAATTTCTGTGATATTTCACCAAATGGCGATGGATTTTGTGTTTTTGTAACATTTGGCGATGAATTACCAGGTGAAACACACATTGGAACGCATCTTCGTCGTTTGTTTGGTCTTCCATGGCTATGCACCGGATCAAATTCCAGAGATCTCTTTAGGGTGGCGCAGGCCATTTTTTTTCTTGTATCGTTTTCGCGTATATAAATGTATATATATAGGTATAGATATATATATATGCGATGGGAGAAACACTACACACTCACGAAACACTTATAAGTCCAGATGACACGAGACGAATTTAGTTGGAAATTTTTTTTTTTTTTTTTATTGCACAGACCACAATATCAGTGGATAGGAAAAAAAGAGAGAGAAAGAGAGTAATGGGGAAAAAAATTGTTTTTAATTCTAGAGGGGATTTTGTTTTGTTTTTTGTTTTTAAAACTAATAACGAGAGAGGGGAGAGAAGAAGAAAATGATGCACCAAAACAAACAGTGACGATCAGTGTAAAAGCAATATGGCCGAACTTCACTGGCCGTTAGCGAAAGAACGACTGTCACCGTTTAGGTGAAATGACGGAGCACGAGTGGGCAACCATCTTTTCTTTTTCAGTCCATCTGGGGTTAATGTCAGGGTGCGGTAACTGTGGAACTGATTTTTCCAGGGTTTGGAATCTAAATACCCCTAGGGTATATATCTTAAACTATTCTCCCTTTGTGGACAGACCTTTATTTTTGTCCTTTATTTCAATTTGCCCAAAACTTGAATTTATTTATAAATTGTACATTGAGCGTAATTTAATTTCGTATTTTCAAAGAAACTTTTGTAAATTAAGCCTAATTTACAAGAAAAATTAGTGAAAAGTAACTAAACTTTCACTGTCTCTTTGTGGACATATTTCTTAATTTGTCCAATTGTGTTTATTTCAACTTGTCCAAATTTGAATTTATACGAATTGTACATTGAGAGTAATTTAATTTCGAATTTTCAAAGAAACTTTGGTAAATTAAGCCTAATTTACAAAAAAATTAGTGAAAAGTAACTAAACTTTCACTGTTCCTTTGTGGACACATTTCTTAATTTGTCCAATTGTGTTTATTTCAACTTGTCCAAATTTGAATTTATACGAATTGTATATATTAATTTAATTTCGAATTTTCAAAGAAACTATATTGTAAATTATGCCTAATTTTCCGTTAGTGGCATAAATGGAAAATGTTTTAATTTGAATTTTGTCCTGAATTTTATAACTCTTGTACAAGTTTCCCATCCCTGGTATAAAAAAAAGAAAACCGGTTATTGTATATTTTATGGAGCATTTACACCTTTGGTAAAAAAAAATTTATTTTGCATTTACCGAAATACTTAAACCTGATTGGTTATTCACAATCTGATTGATAATAGACAACCAATCAAATTTGTGTATTTCGGAAAATGCAAAATAAAAATTTGTTTTTTTTACCAAAGGTGTAAAAATGCTCCATTACGCAATTTCCGTTAATTTTTTTTTTAAAACAACGTAATAAAAAGAAAAACCAAAATAACGAACTAATTAAAAATATTTACTATTTTTACTAATTACTAATTGATTACTAATTACTATTTTCTTTCTTTTCTTTTTTAAAAATATAATTTCCAACCATTTTTTTTTTTTTTTTTTTGTAAAATCTCCCAACAATTTAAAATTGCCGCTAAATTTGAATATTTAAAAATGAAACATGGAATTGAAATAAAAAAATAAAGAGACAGAGGAATAAAACCATTTGTAATTTTGCTTGCCTTCCACTGACATCGTTTCCATCTGTCAATTCGCGGTTTCACTTGCTCTGTGTGTGTGTGTGTTTTTTTTTGTTACATTCCTATCTTTTTTATTGCTTATAAATAATTTATTAAATAAGCTGTTATGGCTGAAAAATTATCTCTAAATTGTTGTCGAATTATTGAAAATTCTCAATATTTTCGGTATTTTGCTCAAAAATTGCGTTTTTTTTAAAGGTTAGGAGTATTTTTTTTTTTTTATTGCGAAAAAAAAGACAAGTGTCAAAACTAATTGTGTTTATAGTTGATTTAAATGTGAAGTGAATATATATATATTTTTTTTATTTGTTCAAAATTTTCGGTGGTGTTTCGTGTTAATTCGTTAAATGTTATACTTTTTTCTGAATATTTATAGTGAAAAGTGTTTTAAATAAAAAAAGAAAACAAATTCAAAATGGTAAGACTTACTGAAGAAATGGTCATTGCAAGAACAAGAAGTTCAGATTTGGCAAACGTCAAACAGCTCAATTGTTGGTGAGTTTTTAAAAAAAAATTTTTTTTATTCAGCCATTTGTTTTTTATTTTTTCTATTTATTTTCTTTTTTTTTTTACTAATGTATTTTTAACGATTTTTTCCCCTTTTTTCTTTTTGTTTGCTTTTTTTTCATTAATATTTTTTCTAATTGTTGTTGTTCTATATTATTATTATTATTATTATTATTATTATTATTATTATTATTTTTTTTTTTTTAATTCATATTTACGTGAAAAAAATACAAAAAAAAATTATTAACAAATTTTTTTTTCTAAAAGATTAAGAAAATATTTTATATAAATTTTTTTTTAGTAATTTTATTTATTTCTTTCCAAGTAAAATTTATGTAAAAAAAAACATTAATTTATCTAGTTTTTAAAATTATTTTTCCTTTTTTTTTCGTTTGAAAATTTTAGTATTTGTATTTATTTAAATATTTTTTTTTTCAGTAAAATATATGCAGAAAAAAAACAATAAAAATTTATCGATTTTTTTCTATTATTTCATAATTTTTCTTTATTTTTGTATTTTTCCTCTTGCAATGAAAATTGTTTTAATTTATTTATTTAATAAACGTAAAATAATAATAATAATTTATTTTATTTATATATTTATTTACAGGCATTATTTATTTAAAATAATAATAATAATAATAATAATAATAATAAAGTAATAGAAATTTATCTCAAATTTTGTTTACAAAAATAAAAATTGAGTTAAAAAAATTATTGAAAAATTAAAATAAAAGTTTTTAATTTTTTTTTTGTATATAAAAAAAAATAATTTATTTGTTTTTTTCTTTAATTTTATATATTTTTAATGTATTTTAAGGTAATTGTTTTAGTTTTTTTTTTATTAAATTTAATTTTTTATAAATAAATAAAAAGAAAAAAAGAGATTTAAATATATTAAAGAAAGGAGAAAGAAAGAAGTACTGTTATAAAGATTGTAAAAATAAAAATCAGTGTGGGAAATCTCTTTGTTTCTAATTAACGCCTGGATTAATTACACACATGAAAATATAACTGTTCTTTTTAAAATTTTTTAATTCAATTTTTAGTTTTTCTTTTAAAATTCATTTTTTTTTAATAAAAATTAATTTATTTTATATTTATTTTTCCCTTTTTTATATATATATATTTTTTATATTATTTTATTTTTTATTTGAAAACATTTTTTTTTATTGAAATTTTTTTTTTGGTAATTTTATTTGGTAATTTTTATTTTTTATATACTACTGTTTATTTATTTTTTGATTTATTTTATTAATTTATAAAAATAAAAGGGTTTTTTCCATTCTTTTTATTTATTATTTTTATTTTTATTAATTAATTAATTAGTTAATTAATTAATTAAATATTCTATTTACAGGGGAACTGAATTAACAGATGTCAGCATTTTACAGAGAATGAAAAGTGTTGAAGTTCTGTCCTTAAGGTATAAATTGATTTAGAATTTTTTTTTTTTGAAAAATTATTTATTTAAAAAAATATTTGTTTTTTTTATTTCTTTCCACCAAAAAAAAAAAAAAAAAATTTAAATATATATAATATTTCTAAAAGTTTATTTAGTTATTTAATTATTTATTTATTTAAAATCAAAATTTTTTCCAATACTATTTTAAATAAAAAAATATTTTCCTTTTTCTTCCTCTTAAGAAAAATTTATTTAATTATTTATTTTTCACTATATTTTAAATTGTTTAAAAAAAAAATTAAATTTGTAAAATTCTTAAAAAAAGGAAAAAAAATATTTATAAAATTTATTTACTTATTTTATTTATTAAAATAAATTTTTAATTTTTTTTAATTTAAAAAAAAATATTTTTAAATTTATTAATTTTATTAAAATAAATTTTATATTTTTTTAATTTTGTATTAAACCAAGTCCACTTCTGGGCCGAAAGGCTGAAGCTTAATTAATAAAATATTAAAATAAATTTTTAATTTTTCTCTAATTTAAAAAAATATATTTTGAAATTTTATTTATTTTTTTATTTTATTAAAATAAATTTTTAATTTTTTTTTAATTTAAAAAAAATATATTTTTAAATTTTTATTTATTTTTTTATTTTATTAAATTGTTTATTTATTTTGCGCACAAAAAATAAATAAATAAAATAACAAAATATTTCAAATATTATTTGTAAAAACAAACAAATTGAGAATGATTTGATGATTCCTCTATAATCTCATGGTCACTGACTATAAAAGTCTATGTGAGAAAAAAGTCACTCTACCCACTCGATATATATATATATATATATATATAAAATATGTAAATAACATTTTACGATTCATTCAATTTATTCTCTGCACTGAATAAATTTCTCATTAACGTCTATTTTCCTTTTGCGACGAATTCCTTCGGTGAAAATTCCATTTATGGAATTTATTTGTTTAAAAAAAAAACAGAAATTATTAATTTTTCAAATTTTTTTTCGTTTTTAAAAAAAAATTTTATTTTTATTTTTTAAATATTTAATTATTGTAAATTATTTTATTTATTTGAAAGAAAGGATTTTGTTTTTTTTTTTATTGTTTAAAAGAATAATTTTTTTTTTCTTTTTCAACAGTGTGAACTGCATCGAAACTCTGGCACCATTTCAATATTGTTCCAATCTTCGTGATTTATTTATAAGAAGAAATAATATTCATGATTTAAATGAAGTTTGTTATCTTCAGGATTTGACGAATTTAAGAAATCTTTGGCTCAGTGAAAATCCATGCGCCGAACGTGAAGGGTGAGAATTGTTTTTTTTTTCGAAAATTTTTTGGGGTAATAAGTATTTTTAAGATTTTGAAATAAAAAAATTTCATTGAAAATTTAAAATATTTTCAATTTACGAAAAAAACAAAAAAAATTAAAATTTTTTCTATTTATTTAATTTAATTTGTGGACAATTTTAATAAATATTTTTATTAAACAAATTCGAAAATTTTTTTAAAAATTTGGAAAAATAATTTGAAAATTCGGAAAGAAATATGAAATTTAGAAAAATAATTTGGATTTTTTTATTTGGAAATATAAAAAAAAAGGAAGGGAATTTAGGGAAGGGAATTTTATTAAAAATAATTTGTTATTTAACAAAATCAATTTTGTTATTTAATAATATTTAGAATTTATTTATTTAATTATTAATTTTTTATCAATTTATTTATTTTTTATAAATATTAATTTTTTAATTTAATACAATAATTAATTAATTTCTTTTTATTAATAGAGATTTATTTTACTTATTTACCTGAATATTTTACTTTTGTTACAACAAATTTTTTATTAGTTGATTAAATTTATTTTAATTAAAAAAAAATATTACAATTTAGATAAATTAAATTTATTTATGAAACAAATTATAATAAATTCATTTTCATTTAATACAATAATTAATTGATAAATAAGTAAATAAATTACAAGTTAATAAATTAAATTTTTTTTTAAAAGAAATTTAATTAATTAATTTATTATTATTATTATTTTTCAATTACATTAATTTCGAGTTTTTTTTTCAACAAATTGAAAAAAAGAAAATTTATCTTTTACAAAAACCTTCTAATTTTTTTTAAATTCAGAAATTTTTTTTATTAAATTAAATCAAAATTAAATATTTTTTTTATTATTTTATATTTCTAGTGAAATATTTTCAAATTGAATTTTTTTTTTTGAGACTTCATTATTTTATTTAATTCAAAAAAAAAGAATTTTGTTGTATTTTACATAAATTACAAATAGTGTAAAATAGAAAAAATGTTAAAAAACAAAATTAAAAGGAAAAATAAATAAATAAATTTGTAATATTTTTAATTTAGGAAAAAAAAAATTAAAAATTTTTCTATTTATTTAATTTAATTTGTGGACAATTTTAATAAATATTTTTATTAAACAAATTCGAAAAATTTTTAAAAATTCGGAAAGAAATATGAAATTTAGAAAAATAATTCCTATAAAAATAATTAATTTTATTTTTGGAAATATAAAAAAAAGGAAAGGGAAAGAAGAAGAAGAAATTTACTTTATTTTTTTTGGTTTTTTATTATATTTTCTTTTATAGATATCGATTGGCAGTTTTGCGGGTTTTGCCAAATTTACAAAAACTCGACGATAAAGTTGTTTCGCCAGAGGAAGTTCAAATTGCACTTTGTCGTGGAAAAATTTTATCTCATCCATTGGATTACGAAGCATCATCACCGCAAGCCAATCAACCAATTGAGGTAAAATTTTTTTTTTAAATTTCTTTCCTTTTTATAAATAAATTTTTTAATTTAAAAATTGAGTTTTTTTTCTTTTTGATATTTCAAGGAGGATTTAACGGAATATTTAGAAGAACCCGAATTGGTCCAGCAAAGAAGATACAGTTCTTCTAGTGATCAGGTAAAAAAAAACAGTTTTTCATAAAAAATAAATAAATTCAAATTCAAAAAACAATATAGATTTAAATTTACATTTTTTATTTAATATTTATTCTTTATTTATTTATATTCTATTTATTATTATTATTTACTTATTTATTTGTTTATATTTATTTTTTATTATTATTTACTTATTTATTTGTATTTATTTTTTATTTAAAAGAATTTTTATTATTTTACCTTTTGTTTTTTTATTTAATTTTTTTTTTTATTTGATCCAAATAATATTTTTTAAATTATTCAAGAAAATTGAATATTTTAATTTTAATTTTAAATAAATAAAAAAAATAAAATAAAATTTTCAATGTAATATTGTAAAAATAATTTTAATTTTTTTAGAGAAGTTACGATGAACAACTTGAACATCAGGAAAATCACGTGACCGACAAAAAAAATGCAAATTATGGTCCATCACCATCACCTCAATACGCTCCAAATAATCATTACGGCTATGAGGTGAAAAAGAAAATTTCTTCTTTTCTTTTGTTTTTTAATACAAATTTTTTCCTATTAAATTTAATTATTTAATTTAAAACTGTTTTTTTTTTAAATTTGTCTTTTTTTTTTTATTTCGCAGTATTCAAATATTTTATCAGCTGTTTTGAGTCTCGTCAAAGAATTGGATTATCCAAGTCTTCAGGTCGTTGAGGTGGCAATAAGAAATCGTAAAGACGATTTAATGGAATGATGTTTTTGGCGCCGTCCCTAAAAAAAGAAAAAGAAAAGAAAATCCCTCGGGACGGCGGTTTTCTTTTTTTTTTTAGTCGCACATTTCACGAAAATAGAATTCTCTGCAATTGAAAAAAAAAAAAAAATATTACATAGCTTTAGTAATTTTATGAAATTTTGAGAACAAAAAAATATTGAAATTAAAACTAAATTGTGCAATTTTAGAAAAAAGTTGAGACAAAGAAAATTTTTTAAATTTCAATTTTTCCCGTAATTCAAAGAAACGAAAAAAAAAAATAATTTTTAAATTATTTTATTATTTTTTCTATGAGACAGAATTTATTTTTTCAAATTTTATTTAATTTTAATATTAAAATTCAATGAATTTTTATTCGAATTTTTTTTGAATATTTACAATAAAATATAAATTATTTATTTTATTCTCAAAAATAAAAAAAAAAAACTAGAGAATTTATTTTTTGCCAAACTTTTCAAATTTTATTTCTTAATTTTTCGAATTATTTACAATAAATAAATTTATTTATTAAGAATTAAATAAATATTAATAAATTTTTTCCAAATTGCGAATAATTAAAATTTTTGAATTATTTTCTTATTAAATTAATAATAATTAAATTAATTAAAAACCAATTTTTTTTATAGATAGAAACAAAAAAATTATTGTTTGACAAAAAAATTAAAAATAGAGAAAAATTGAAAAAAAAAATATTAATATGAAATATAGGATAAATAATAAATAGGAAAATTAACGAAATTTTTGCTGTGAGAGAAAAAAAAGTAATCGGAAGTCTGCTTTTAAAAATGAGCTTTAAAATTTTCAACTTTGAATAATGTTGAAATTTAGATATATTAAAAATAAAATAATATATTAAATATTAAAAATAAAATATATATTAAATATTAAAAATTAAATAAATATTATGATAATATTAAAATATTAAATATTATTTTTATTTATTAATTCAATTAATTAATTGAGAAATTTTAATTAAATAAAAAATAATTATTTAGAAAAAAATAAATAAAATTTAAAAAGAAAAAAAAAATCTATTATTTAATCGATAATTAATAATTATATTATTATAATTATTATTATAGAATTTGAATATTTTGGTGGCAGTGAAAATTATATATTTTTTTTTATTTTTTACATAAAAATGTAATAACGTATATTTATTTATTTATTAATGTTAATTGTTAAATAATAATCATCGACACTTTGCTGTATTAAAAATTAATTATTAGCAATAGATAAATAATAATATATATATTTTTTATACTCAATTTCACAATTTTTGTTTTTAGCTTTTTGCATTTTTTTTTTTTTTTTTTTTTGCTATAATTTTTATTCATGTTTGTAAATAAATTAATAATAGAATTAATTTAAATTCTTCACCGATAATAAAAAGAGAAAATGTTACAAAATTTATATTTGGAAAAAAATTATTTCTCCTAATTTTGTTTTTCTATTCAAAAAAAATTTCCTATTTTTTCCCAATTTTCTCACGATTATTAATTGTTTTTTTTTCTTCTTAAACTAATTTTCCCTCGTTAAGAATTTAAATTTCCCTCCAAATTTTTTTTCAATTAATTTATCCGAAAACACTTTTTCTTTTATTTTGTTCGAAAATTTATAAAAAAAATAAATAATTTTATTTATTATTATTTTAATTGATTACTAAATTTTAAATTTAGTTATTTTTTATTTAATTAAATAAATTTTCATATTTTAATTTAATTATTTTATTTTGTTTTTTTTATTATTATGTTATTATTATTATTATTATATTAATTATTATTATTATAGTAATTATTTTATTTTTTTGTCTTACTAATATTTTATTCCCACATTAAGAATTTGAATTTCCCTCCAAATTTCAAAAACAAAATTTTACGGACAAATTATAAGGAGCCAATTAACAAACAACTATTTAAGATCACGTGACGAAGAAACGAATTCTATAAATAGATTGACGGTTAATATTATATAGTCACGTGACTTAGTGGAATTCACAACAGAGAAATTCTCCTGAATTTTTATTTAATTTCAAAAATAATAGGGACAAAATATTTTTTTGCTAAAAAAGTGCATATATATTCGTTGAAAGAGACAAGTGTTTTCTATAAAATAAAAATAAAAAAATAAATTAACTATCTAATTAGAAAAAAAAGCGCGAACAAATGTTTAATAATTTATTATTTATCATTAAATTTTATTTGTCTTCATCCAAATATAGTATTGTTTCTGTCAATTATTTTTTTCGTTGTTAAAATAAATATTGTGAGTGTTTAAATCATTAAATATGCACATTAAAGAGGTGAGTGAATACATATTTTTTCATGATTTTTTATAATTTTCCCTTAATAATTAATAATATAAATTGAAAATTTTCTAAATTTAATTTTCCAATTTTCGAGGTTAATTTTTTGGTTACGAATTTTTTTTTTTTTATTCCTATAGAGGAATTTGGTATTAGAAAAAAAATGCTATAAATATTTTTCAACACTTTTATTCGTATATAAAGTTTTTTTTTTATTTTATTAAATTTAAATGAAATAAATATTAACGAACATTAGTAAAAAGAAATAATGAATTTTTTTTTTGAGGTTAATTTAACGTTTTTCTCGTCTTTTTTTTTAATTTTAATTTTTTATTTACAAATTTCTTTTTAACATAATTTCAAAAATTTCGAAATCTATTTTCTTCTATATATATATATATATATTACGATTTAGTTTTTCGATTATAATTATATAATGGCAAAATTATAATGAAATTTTTTCCAGAGTCGTTTTTTACGCCATTTCTATAAATTACGAAGATTTCGAATTATTATTTTTTTTTCCTTTTTTTTGAGAGGAGAAAATAATTTTTGTTGTTTCAGGTGAAAATCGAAAATTTTTTATCGATTAGTAATGAATTATTTTGGACTGACATTCATCCTGGTCTCAATACTATTGGTAAAATTTATTATTTTTAGCGATATTTTAATAATTATTATTATTATTATAATTTAATTTTTCCTTTCAATTTCTTTCGATTTATAATCAAATTTGAAGAAAAAAAATCTACAAATATTCTTTTAACGATATTTTAATAATAATAATAATAATAATAATAATAATAATAATAATAATAATAATAATAATAACAATAATAATAATCATAACATTAATAATAATAATAACAATAATAAAAGAATTATTTAATTTTTTCTTTCCAAATTCTTTCGATTTACAATTAAATTTGAAAAAAAAATCTACAAATGTTTTTTTAACGATATTTTAATAATAATAATAATAATAATAATAATAATAATAATAACAATAATAAAATAATTATTTAATTTTTTCTTTCTAAATTCTTTCGATTTACTTTCGAATTAAAAAAAAAATTAATACAGGCCTCGGATTATACGACTTTTTCCGACTTTTTTTTCAAAAATACAACTTTTTTCGACTTACTTTAATAAAATGGGACTTTTTCGACTTTTTAAAAATTTTTTTTTTTAATTTTTAACAAAATACGTTTTTTTTAGTACACAATGCATATCTTTTTTATTTTAATTAGGTATTTAACAAAATTTTTAAACAAAAATTCTTCACTAAATTAATTATTTTTTTTTTGAAAAATAATTTTAATGAAATTCAATTAACAAATAATTCAATTATTTTAAAACTATTTTTCAAATTAAAATTTTTATGAAAATTTAATAATTGTTTATAATTTCAAACAAAAATTAGCTAATAAAATTATCAAAAAAAAAAAAAATAAAATTTTAATTCAAAATCACTTGAAATTTAATTATTTAAAAATTCATTTATCTGAAAGCAATTTTTCAAATCAAAATATTTTTGAAATTCAATTATTTCTAAAAAAAAAATTTCAAATCAAAACCAATTAAAATTCAATCCATTTAAAAAAATTTCAATTCAAAATCAATTAAAATTCGATTATTTTCAAAACTTTTAATTTGAAATTCATTTATTTTGAAAATTTTCAATTATTTTCAAAAATTTTCTATCTTAAATTAACTGAAGTTCAATTTTTTTTTTTATTTCTACCAAAGAATACAGCCGTAGGATTTTTTTTTTTTTTTAGGAAAATTTTCCAAATTTTCAATTCAAAATCAATTAAAAGTCAATTATTTTGCAAAATTTGAATTGAAATTCAATTATTTTCTAAATTATCAATTCAAAATCAACTAAAATTCAATTATTTTAAAAAATTTCAATTCAAAATCAATTAAAATTCGATTATTTTCAAAACTCTTAATTTGAAATTCATTTATTTTGAAAATTTTCAATTATTTTCCAAAATTTTCTATCTTAAATTAACTGAAGTTCAATTATTTATTTTTTTTTTATTTGTACCAAAGAATACAGTCGTAGGATTTTTTTTTTTTTAGGAAAATTTTCTAAATTTTCAATTCAAAATCAATTAAAAGTCAATTATTTTGCAAAATTTCGATTGAAATTCAATTATTTTCTAAATTATCAATTCAAAATCAACTAAAATTCAATTATTTTAAAACATTTAAATTCAAAATCAATTAAATAACCGAGGCCTGTTAATACAAAAATTTTTTTAACAATATTTTTTTAATAATAATAATAATAATAATAATAATAATAATAATACTTTAATTTTTGTCATCAAATATTTTTCGATTTATATACAATTTTTTTTTTTTAATTAAAAAATTAATTAAAACGAAGAAACATTTTTTTGTTAATAATACTTGAAAATTTTTGATAATTAATTTTTCTTTCGTTTTTATAGTTGGACACAATGGAGCTGGAAAAAGTAATTTTTTATTAGCCATAAAATTTGTCTTAACAAATGATTATCCATGTTCAACTGATAATGAAATACTATCATTTCTTAATGATAAAAAAAAATCTATGTTTATTAAAATAACAATTGCAGACGATGACAACAGATTTCTGGTAATAAATTTTTATAATAATAATAATAGTAATAATAATTAATATTAATAACAATAATAATAATAATAATAATAATAATAATAATAATAATAATAATAGGAAACGAAACTAACAATAAAATAATAAATAATAATAAAAAATTCCAAAAAAAATTGAATAAACAGCTTTCCAAAAAGAAAATTGAATAAAAAAGTAATTAAAAATTTTTCTTTTTATTTTTTAATAATTTTTTTTCTTTAATTTAAAATTTGACGCCGTAAAAATTCTTTTAAATTAAATTTTGAGAATATTTATACGTCCCCTCAATTAGTTTAATTATTTCACTTAAATATTTTATTTTTTACGAAACATTATTTATTTAGTTCAAATAAATATAAAATTAGTGGATAATAGACACAGGCAAATGATATAATTGTATCAAAATAAATTTTATTTGATCAAAATAAAAATTTTTTAATTTAATTTCTCTCAGAGAAAAGTTAGGTAATTTTTTCCTAGCAGTTGTTAGACATTTTTTTTTTTTGTATTTTGTTAATTTTTTTTTCCTTTCATCTGACAATTTTATTTAAAAAAAAAAAAAAATAAAAACAATTTTTTTTTCCATATTTAAATAAATTTATTTCGCAGATGGACAAAGATATTGTGACATTTGCAAGACAAATTGAAATAACAAATAATTTGTACAAAAATATTTATATTCTGAATGATAGAAAAATTACTAAAACTGATTATTTCGAGTGTTTGTCACGTGCTCGAATTTTATATAAACGTCCACCTTATATTGTCATGCAAGATGAGGTAAAAAAAAATAACAAGTTTATTTAATATTTTTAATTTAATGATAATGTTTCTTTGTTCAATTTTTTTTTAAAATAATTTTTATTTATTTTTTTTATTTATTTATTAAAATTTTAATTTTAATATTATTGTCTTTTTATTAAATTAATTTTTTAATTTCAAATTTTTTTTCTATTTATTTCTCAAACAAAAAAAAACGAAATTTCAAAATTTGAATTATTTCGAAATTTGTAAAAATACTTTTTGTATAATTTTTTTTTTCTTTATTCTTTATTCTCGTAAAATGTTAAATTGTACATAAATTTTTCAAAAAATTGTTTCTGCTTTTGTTTAAATTAAATTAATTTTTAAAAATGTTTTTTTTTCATTTTATATCAAAGAATATTTTTATTTATTTAAATTATTTATTTAATTTTTAAAATAAAATTCAGGCAACGAGAATTGTGAAAATATCAAATTCCGATCGATTGGAAATATTTGAAGATATTTCGGGTATGACATTTACGAAAAATATGGAAAAAACAATTAATGATTTAGATGAAAAATTTCAAGAAAAACTATCAATTCTCGATGAAGTTGGCGAAAAATTAGGTAAATATTTGTATCACAAAAAATTCATTATTAATGTTTTTAAAGAAAATTATAACATTATTATTTTTATTTCTTTTTTATTGCTTCCTCGTGGAAGAAGGTTTGTAGTCCTTTCGTTTAAAAAAAATTTTTAAAGTGTCGAAAACACATTTTTCTCTATATAGAAACATGTTATATGAGATCCTGATCAATTGTCCGGATGTATGTATGTGTGTGTGTGTGTAGATCCCTTTTTTGTTTAAAAGATAACTTTAACAGGTACAAATTAAACAGCATGTCTCTATTATTTTTTAACCTTCAACAAACACAAATTACCTTAAAAAAACCTAGCAATTGAACCTAAATTGTAAGAGAATAAGAATAATCTATTTTATTCGATTTTTTTAAGAAAAAACGTGTCTGACAAAATATTTACTTGTACTACTGCTGAGTAATACTACTGAGTGATACTACTGAGAAAATATCAAACATTCAGAATGTCTGACTAAATATTTACTTGTATTACTAACAAAATTGCAAACCCGTCCAACTAAATTTCTACTTGTACTACTGGCTAGTAATACTACTTAGAAAATTGAACTACTGCTGAGAAATACTACTGAGAAATTTGTACTACTGCTGAGTGATACTACTGAGAAAATTGTACTACTGCTGAGAAATACTACTCAGAAATTTGTTCTACTGCTGAGTAATACTACTGAGAAAAGTGTACTACAGCCGAGTAAAACTACTGAAAAATTTGTACTACTGCTGAGTAATACCACTGAGAAAATTGTACTACTGCTGAGTAATACTACTGAGAAAAATGTACTACTGCCGAGTAAAACTACTGAAAAATTTGTACTACTGCTGAGTAATACCACTGAGAAAATTGTACTACTGCTGAGTAATACTACTGAGAAAAATGTACTACTGCCGAGTAAAACTACTGAAAAATTTGTACTACTGCTGAGTAATACCACTGAGAAAATTGTACTACTGCTGAGAAATACTACTGAGAAATTTGTTCTACTGCTGAGTAATACCACTGAGAAAATTGTACTACTGCTGAGTAATACTACTGAAAAAAAGCTTCACTCAAGGTCAAGTCAAGGTCGTTCAAGGTCATTTGAAGGTCAAGTCAAGGTCATTCAAGGTCATTTGAAGGTCAAGTCAAGGTCATTCAAGGTCGTTTGAAGGTCAAATCAAGAATGTCTGACTAAATATTTACTTGTATTACTAACAAAATTGCAAACCCGTCCAACTAAATTTTTACTTGTACTACTGGCTAGTAATACTACTGAGAAAATTGAACTACTGCTGAGAAATACTACTGAGAAATTTGTACTACTGCTGAGTGATACTACTGAGAAAATTGTACTACTGCCGAGTAAAACTACTGAAAAATTTGTACTACTGCTGTGTAATACTACTGAGAAAATTGTACTACTGCTGAGTAATACCACTGAGAAAATTGTACTACAGCTGAGAAATACTACTGAGAAATTTGTTCTACTGCTGAGTAATACTACTGAGAAAAGTGTACTACTGCCGAGTAAAACTACTGAAAAATTTGTACTACTGCTGAGTAATACCACTGAGAAAATTGTACTACTGCTGAGTAATACTACTGAGAAAAAGCTTCACTCAAGGTCAAGTCAAGGTCGTTCAAGGTCATTTGAAGGGCAAGTCAAGGTCATTCAAGGTCATTTGAAGGTCAAGTCAAGGTCATTCAAGGTCGTTTGAAGGTCAAATCAAGAATGTCTGACTAAATATTTACTTGTATTACTAACAAAATTGCAAACCCGTCCAACTAAATTTTTACTTGTACTACTGGCTAGTAATACTACTGAGAAAATTGAACTACTGCTGAGAAATACTACTGAGAAATTTGTACTACTGCTGAGTGATACTACTGAGAAAATTGTACTACTGCCGAGTAAAACTACTGAAAAATTTGTACTACTGCTGTGTAATACTACTGAGAAAATTGTACTACTGCTGAGTAATACCACTGAGAAAATTGTACTACAGCTGAGAAATACTACTGAGAAATTTGTTCTACTGCTGAGTAATACTACTGAGAAAAGTGTACTACTGCCGAGTAAAACTACTGAAAAATTTGTACTACTGCTGAGTAATACCACTGAGAAAATTGTACTACTGCTGAGTAATACTACTGAGAAAAATGTACTACTGCCGAGTAAAACTACTGAAAAATTTGTACTACTGCTGAGTAATACCACTGAGAAAATTGTACTACTGCTGAGAAATACTACTGAGAAATTTGTTCTACTGCTGAGTAATACCACTGAGAAAATTGTACTACTGCTGAGTAATACTACTGAAAAAAAGCTTCACTCAAGGTCAAGTCAAGGTCGTTCAAGGTCATTTGAAGGTCAAGTCAAGGTCATTCAAGGTCATTTGAAGGTCAAGTCAAGGTCATTCAAGGTCGTTTGAAGGTCAAATCAAGAATGTCTGACTAAATATTTACTTGTATTACTAACAAAATTGCAAACCCGTCCAACTAAATTTTTACTTGTACTACTGGCTAGTAATACTACTGAGAAAATTGTACTACTGCTGAGTGATACTACTGAGAAAATTGTTTTACTGCTGAGAAATACTACTGAGAAATTTGTACTACTGCTGAGTGATACTACTGAGAAAATTATACTACTGCTGAGAAATACTACTGAGAAATTTGTTCTACTGCTGAGTAATACTACTGAGAAAATTGTACTACTGCTGAGTAATACCACTGAGAAAATTGTACTACTGCTGAGTAATACTACTGAGAAAAAGCTTCACTCAAGGTCTAGGTCAAGTCAAGGTCGTTCAAGGTCATTTGAAGGTCAAGTCAAGGTCGTTTGAAGGTCAAATCAAGAATGTCTGACTAAATATTTACTTGTATTACTAACAAAATTGCAAACCCGTCCAACTAAATTTTTACTTGTACTACTGGCTAGTAATACTACTGAGAAAATTGAACTACTGCTGAGAAATACTACTGAGAAATTTGTACTACTGCTGAGTGATACTACTGAGAAAATTGTACTACTGCCGAGTAAAACTACTGAAAAATTTGTACTACTGCTGTGTAATACTACTGAGAAAATTGTACTACTGCTGAGTAATACCACTGAGAAAATTGTACTACAGCTGAGAAATACTACTGAGAAATTTGTTCTACTGCTGAGTAATACTACTGAGAAAAGTGTACTACTGCCGAGTAAAACTACTGAAAAATTTGTACTACTGCTGAGTAATACCACTGAGAAAATTGTACTACTGCTGAGTAATACTACTGAGAAAAAGCTTCACTCAAGGTCAAGTCAAGGTCGTTCAAGGTCATTTGAAGGGCAAGTCAAGGTCATTCAAGGTCATTTGAAGGTCAAGTCAAGGTCATTCAAGGTCGTTTGAAGGTCAAATCAAGAATGTCTGACTAAATATTTACTTGTATTACTAACAAAATTGCAAACCCGTCCAACTAAATTTTTACTTGTACTACTGGCTAGTAATACTACTGAGAAAATTGAACTACTGCTGAGAAATACTACTGAGAAATTTGTACTACTGCTGAGTGATACTACTGAGAAAATTGTACTACTGCCGAGTAAAACTACTGAAAAATTTGTACTACTGCTGTGTAATACTACTGAGAAAATTGTACTACTGCTGAGTAATACCACTGAGAAAATTGTACTACAGCTGAGAAATACTACTGAGAAATTTGTTCTACTGCTGAGTAATACTACTGAGAAAAGTGTACTACTGCCGAGTAAAACTACTGAAAAATTTGTACTACTGCTGAGTAATACCACTGAGAAAATTGTACTACTGCTGAGTAATACTACTGAGAAAAATGTACTACTGCCGAGTAAAACTACTGAAAAATTTGTACTACTGCTGAGTAATACCACTGAGAAAATTGTACTACTGCTGAGAAATACTACTGAGAAATTTGTTCTACTGCTGAGTAATACCACTGAGAAAATTGTACTACTGCTGAGTAATACTACTGAAAAAAAGCTTCACTCAAGGTCAAGTCAAGGTCGTTCAAGGTCATTTGAAGGTCAAGTCAAGGTCATTCAAGGTCATTTGAAGGTCAAGTCAAGGTCATTCAAGGTCGTTTGAAGGTCAAATCAAGAATGTCTGACTAAATATTTACTTGTATTACTAACAAAATTGCAAACCCGTCCAACTAAATTTTTACTTGTACTACTGGCTAGTAATACTACTGAGAAAATTGAACTACTGCTGAGAAATACTACTGAGAAATTTGTACTACTGCTGAGTGATACTACTGAGAAAATTGTACTACTGCCGAGTAAAACTACTGAAAAATTTGTACTACTGCTGTGTAATACTACTGAGAAAATTGTACTACTGCTGAGTAATACCACTGAGAAAATTGTACTACAGCTGAGAAATACTACTGAGAAATTTGTTCTACTGCTGAGTAATACTACTGAGAAAAGTGTACTACTGCCGAGTAAAACTACTGAAAAATTTGTACTACTGCTGAGTAATACCACTGAGAAAATTGTACTACTGCTGAGTAATACTACTGAGAAAAAGCTTCACTCAAGGTCAAGTCAAGGTCGTTCAAGGTCATTTGAAGGGCAAGTCAAGGTCATTCAAGGTCATTTGAAGGTCAAGTCAAGGTCATTCAAGGTCGTTTGAAGGTCAAATCAAGAATGTCTGACTAAATATTTACTTGTATTACTAACAAAATTGCAAACCCGTCCAACTAAATTTTTACTTGTACTACTGGCTAGTAATACTACTGAGAAAATTGAACTACTGCTGAGAAATACTACTGAGAAATTTGTACTACTGCTGAGTGATACTACTGAGAAAATTGTACTACTGCCGAGTAAAACTACTGAAAAATTTGTACTACTGCTGTGTAATACTACTGAGAAAATTGTACTACTGCTGAGTAATACCACTGAGAAAATTGTACTACAGCTGAGAAATACTACTGAGAAATTTGTTCTACTGCTGAGTAATACTACTGAGAAAAGTGTACTACTGCCGAGTAAAACTACTGAAAAATTTGTACTACTGCTGAGTAATACCACTGAGAAAATTGTACTACTGCTGAGTAATACTACTGAGAAAAATGTACTACTGCCGAGTAAAACTACTGAAAAATTTGTACTACTGCTGAGTAATACCACTGAGAAAATTGTACTACTGCTGAGAAATACTACTGAGAAATTTGTTCTACTGCTGAGTAATACCACTGAGAAAATTGTACTACTGCTGAGTAATACTACTGAAAAAAAGCTTCACTCAAGGTCAAGTCAAGGTCGTTCAAGGTCATTTGAAGGTCAAGTCAAGGTCATTCAAGGTCATTTGAAGGTCAAGTCAAGGTCATTCAAGGTCGTTTGAAGGTCAAATCAAGAATGTCTGACTAAATATTTACTTGTATTACTAACAAAATTGCAAACCCGTCCAACTAAATTTTTACTTGTACTACTGGCTAGTAATACTACTGAGAAAATTGTACTACTGCTGAGTGATACTACTGAGAAAATTGTTTTACTGCTGAGAAATACTACTGAGAAATTTGTACTACTGCTGAGTGATACTACTGAGAAAATTATACTACTGCTGAGAAATACTACTGAGAAATTTGTTCTACTGCTGAGTAATACTACTGAGAAAATTGTACTACTGCTGAGTAATACCACTGAGAAAATTGTACTACTGCTGAGTAATACTACTGAGAAAAAGCTTCACTCAAGGTCTAGGTCAAGTCAAGGTCGTTCAAGGTCATTTGAAGGTCAAGTCAAGGTCGTTTGAAGGTCAAATCAAGAATGTCTGACTAAATATTTACTTGTATTACTAACAAAATTGCAAACCCGTCCAACTAAATTTTTACTTGTACTACTGGCTAGTAATACTACTGAGAAAATTGAACTACTGCTGAGAAATACTACTGAGAAATTTGTACTACTGCTGAGTGATACTACTGAGAAAATTGTACTACTGCCGAGTAAAACTACTGAAAAATTTGTACTACTGCTGTGTAATACTACTGAGAAAATTGTACTACTGCTGAGTAATACCACTGAGAAAATTGTACTACAGCTGAGAAATACTACTGAGAAATTTGTTCTACTGCTGAGTAATACTACTGAGAAAAGTGTACTACTGCCGAGTAAAACTACTGAAAAATTTGTACTACTGCTGAGTAATACCACTGAGAAAATTGTACTACTGCTGAGTAATACTACTGAGAAAAAGCTTCACTCAAGGTCAAGTCAAGGTCGTTCAAGGTCATTTGAAGGGCAAGTCAAGGTCATTCAAGGTCATTTGAAGGTCAAGTCAAGGTCATTCAAGGTCGTTTGAAGGTCAAATCAAGAATGTCTGACTAAATATTTACTTGTATTACTAACAAAATTGCAAACCCGTCCAACTAAATTTTTACTTGTACTACTGGCTAGTAATACTACTGAGAAAATTGAACTACTGCTGAGAAATACTACTGAGAAATTTGTACTACTGCTGAGTGATACTACTGAGAAAATTGTACTACTGCCGAGTAAAACTACTGAAAAATTTGTACTACTGCTGTGTAATACTACTGAGAAAATTGTACTACTGCTGAGTAATACCACTGAGAAAATTGTACTACAGCTGAGAAATACTACTGAGAAATTTGTTCTACTGCTGAGTAATACTACTGAGAAAAGTGTACTACTGCCGAGTAAAACTACTGAAAAATTTGTACTACTGCTGAGTAATACCACTGAGAAAATTGTACTACTGCTGAGTAATACTACTGAGAAAAATGTACTACTGCCGAGTAAAACTACTGAAAAATTTGTACTACTGCTGAGTAATACCACTGAGAAAATTGTACTACTGCTGAGAAATACTACTGAGAAATTTGTTCTACTGCTGAGTAATACCACTGAGAAAATTGTACTACTGCTGAGTAATACTACTGAAAAAAAGCTTCACTCAAGGTCAAGTCAAGGTCGTTCAAGGTCATTTGAAGGTCAAGTCAAGGTCATTCAAGGTCATTTGAAGGTCAAGTCAAGGTCATTCAAGGTCGTTTGAAGGTCAAATCAAGAATGTCTGACTAAATATTTACTTGTATTACTAACAAAATTGCAAACCCGTCCAACTAAATTTTTACTTGTACTACTGGCTAGTAATACTACTGAGAAAATTGTACTACTGCTGAGTGATACTACTGAGAAAATTGTTTTACTGCTGAGAAATACTACTGAGAAATTTGTACTACTGCTGAGTGATACTACTGAGAAAATTATACTACTGCTGAGAAATACTACTGAGAAATTTGTTCTACTGCTGAGTAATACTACTGAGAAAATTGTACTACTGCTGAGTAATACCACTGAGAAAATTGTACTACTGCTGAGTAATACTACTGAGAAAAAGCTTCACTCAAGGTCTAGGTCAAGTCAAGGTCGTTCAAGGTCATTTGAAGGTCAAGTCAAGGTCGTTTGAAGGTCAAATCAAGAATGTCTGACTAAATATTTACTTGTATTACTAACAAAATTGCAAACCCGTCCAACTAAATTTTTACTTGTACTACTGGCTAGTAATACTACTGAGAAAATTGAACTACTGCTGAGAAATACTACTGAGAAATTTGTACTACTGCTGAGTGATACTACTGAGAAAATTGTACTACTGCCGAGTAAAACTACTGAAAAATTTGTACTACTGCTGTGTAATACTACTGAGAAAATTGTACTACTGCTGAGTAATACCACTGAGAAAATTGTACTACAGCTGAGAAATACTACTGAGAAATTTGTTCTACTGCTGAGTAATACTACTGAGAAAAGTGTACTACTGCCGAGTAAAACTACTGAAAAATTTGTACTACTGCTGAGTAATACCACTGAGAAAATTGTACTACTGCTGAGTAATACTACTGAGAAAAAGCTTCACTCAAGGTCAAGTCAAGGTCGTTCAAGGTCATTTGAAGGGCAAGTCAAGGTCATTCAAGGTCATTTGAAGGTCAAGTCAAGGTCATTCAAGGTCGTTTGAAGGTCAAATCAAGAATGTCTGACTAAATATTTACTTGTATTACTAACAAAATTGCAAACCCGTCCAACTAAATTTTTACTTGTACTACTGGCTAGTAATACTACTGAGAAAATTGAACTACTGCTGAGAAATACTACTGAGAAATTTGTACTACTGCTGAGTGATACTACTGAGAAAATTGTACTACTGCCGAGTAAAACTACTGAAAAATTTGTACTACTGCTGTGTAATACTACTGAGAAAATTGTACTACTGCTGAGTAATACCACTGAGAAAATTGTACTACAGCTGAGAAATACTACTGAGAAATTTGTTCTACTGCTGAGTAATACTACTGAGAAAAGTGTACTACTGCCGAGTAAAACTACTGAAAAATTTGTACTACTGCTGAGTAATACCACTGAGAAAATTGTACTACTGCTGAGTAATACTACTGAGAAAAATGTACTACTGCCGAGTAAAACTACTGAAAAATTTGTACTACTGCTGAGTAATACCACTGAGAAAATTGTACTACTGCTGAGAAATACTACTGAGAAATTTGTTCTACTGCTGAGTAATACCACTGAGAAAATTGTACTACTGCTGAGTAATACTACTGAAAAAAAGCTTCACTCAAGGTCAAGTCAAGGTCGTTCAAGGTCATTTGAAGGTCAAGTCAAGGTCATTCAAGGTCATTTGAAGGTCAAGTCAAGGTCATTCAAGGTCGTTTGAAGGTCAAATCAAGAATGTCTGACTAAATATTTACTTGTATTACTAACAAAATTGCAAACCCGTCCAACTAAATTTTTACTTGTACTACTGGCTAGTAATACTACTGAGAAAATTGTACTACTGCTGAGTGATACTACTGAGAAAATTGTTTTACTGCTGAGAAATACTACTGAGAAATTTGTACTACTGCTGAGTGATACTACTGAGAAAATTATACTACTGCTGAGAAATACTACTGAGAAATTTGTTCTACTGCTGAGTAATACTACTGAGAAAATTGTACTACTGCTGAGTAATACCACTGAGAAAATTGTACTACTGCTGAGTAATACTACTGAGAAAAAGCTTCACTCAAGGTCTAGGTCAAGTCAAGGTCGTTCAAGGTCATTTGAAGGTCAAGTCAAGGTCATTTGAAGGTCAAGTCAAGGTCATTCAAGGTCATTCAAGGTCGTTTGAAGGTCAAATCAAGAATGTCTGACGAAATATTTACTTGTATTACTAACAAAATTGCAAACCTGTCCATTTAAATATTTACTTGTACTACTACTTGTACTGTGGATAGAATGTTTTCCTGGAAAATGAAAAAATTAATGAAAGTTAAAAATATAAAATACACATTTTAGATGAAAAATTATTTATTTATTTAAATTCAAGTTTAAATATAAAATAATTGTGTTCCTCGCATTAAAATGAATCGATATAATTGTAAATAATTATAAATTATATATTATTTTTCATTAATATTTAGAAATTTCGGTTAAAATATGAATTTTTGATTTTTTAACTTCTATTAATTCTTTAAATTTAACTCAAATGTATAGGTACTTAAATGGTTTTTTTTTTAATATTATTTTTGTATGTTTATTTCAATTTTAATGCTTTCTCCATGAGGAAGCAAATTTTTTTGCTGATCGTAAAATGGAAGGAGAATGTTCATGTAATGAACATCTGAATTTACAACTTGTTTTATTTTATTTTATTTTTATTTTTTTTCAGACATGAATGTTGAATATTTAGAAGGCAAATATCAGGATGTGAAAAAATATAAACAATTAAAAGGTGAAATTGATTCGATAATACGAATAATTGCTTTTCGTAAGATAAAAAAAATTGAGGACAATCTAAAAGAATTTAATGATAAAATAAGGCAAAATAATAGAATGGAAACTGAAGTTGCAATTGAATTTTCCAAAACTGACGAATTATGCAATAATTTGGAAAATTCGTTGATATTATTGAAAAATGAATTGGAAAATATCAAAAAAATTGGCAATAATTCATCGTATGTATATTTTATTCTTATTCTTTTTTTAATTACTTTTTTTCAAATTAATAAAAATTGAACATTATTTATAAATACATTAAATTTTTATAAAACAAATTATTATTATTTACTATTTACTATTTATTATTATTTTTTACATTTAAAAATTTTTTAATTTCTTTTTTCACCAGAACTAAACATAAAAGTAATGAAGTAAATAAATTGGAAATTAATTCTCGAATTGAAATTTTGGAAGAAGAATTAAAAAATTTGATTGATGATGAAAAAATGGAAAAAGAAAAATTGGATGAAAAAATTCGCGAAATGGCCGAATTTGAAATTGTTTCTCCGAGAATTGTGAGTTTTTTTTTAAAATACAAAATTACATAATTTTTAGTATTATTTTGTATTCTTTTTGTAATTATTTTTTTTGTATTTATTTTTTTTTTGTAATTATTTATTTACTTTTTTTGTTTTAACTTTCTATTCTTTATTATTTTCTTCTCAAATACAAGGAAATTCCTGGAGATCATGATGAAATTGAAAGACAAAAAGCCGCGAAATTGTCTCAATTTAAGGAGATTTACGTGAAAAAAAATATATATCAAATTTCTTCCGATCAGGTAAAAAAAGGAGGAATAATTTATTTATTTTTCTTTTTTTTTTCTATTTTTTGTTGTTTAATTTTATTATTATTTGTCAAATTTAAATTCCCAATTATAATTACAGAACGAAAGGGAAAATTTATTGAAAAATGAAATTATTCAACAACAAGAGAAAAAAGTTGAATATGAAATGGAATTGGAAAAAATAAAAGTACAAATTAATTCTGATACAAATGAGAAAATTGAATTTGAGAGAAAAATTTTTGAATTAGAGGAGAAAATAAAATCTGAAGAATCAAAAATTGCCGCCATTACTTTAACATTTCAAAATGAAATAATTTCTGAATTTTCAAAAAAATTAGCAGAATTGTTAGTTATTTTGTTATTAAAATATTTTTTTTTTTTTGTCAATTTTTGTGGATACGAAAAAAGTGACGTAATTTTTATAAAATAAATATTTAATATTAAAATTTCCAGACGAGATGAATTTTATGAAAAAGAAAAAATTCTTGTCGAAGTAAAATCGAAATTAGCGGATGTTGATGGAAAATTTCGTACTTGTATGAAAAAAGAAATTTATGATGCAATAACGAGCGTTGAAAAAGTTATTGAATCTTTCAGGTAAATTTTATTTTTAAATTAAAATACAAAGCAATAAATTTCTCACAAAAATAATAGATTAATTAGAGAATTTTCATTTTAATGTATTTAATTAGAAATAATTAAAATTTAATTTCTAATTTTCTTAGAAATAATTAAAAAAAAACAATAATAATTATTACAATAAAAGAAATATTTAATTTTGTTTATAAAAAAAACAAAAAAATTTCTTTTCTTTTGTCTACAGAATTAGTGGTGATAATACAGATGAATATTATGGATTATTATTGAATAATTTTCAAGTAGTAAATCGTAATTATCAATATTTAATTGATCGTATTGGAGGAAGACGTTTATTTTATTTTCTCGTTGAGAGTACAAATTTTTCATTAAAATTAATTGAACAAATGAGCAATTTAAATCTTCCAGGAAAGGCAATTTTTTTCCCCCTTGATCGTATTCGTTTTAGACAAAAAAATATCGATGACGAAAATATTGTCAATGCATTGAATATGTTGATTTACGATGAAAAATATGATGACGCCATAAAGTATGTATTTTTTTTATATGTTAACTATAGAATAAGTTTTTTTTTCATTAAAAAAAATTAAAAGTAAAACAAAAAATTCTGATAGAGGAGAAATAGGGAAAAAAAAATTCTATAGCAATTTCTATCTTGAATTTTGAAGGGAAAAAATTATTTATTATCGACAGCTGGTAATGTAGGAATCTACTTTTACATACAGTCGGTTATCTAGAAATTGAGGGAAACCTTAAAATCTCGAATAAACTTATTTGTATCCATTTAAATTTAGAATTTCGAAACAAAACAAAAGTATTTAATTATCCACAGATGATAATGCAGAAATTTACCTTACCGACAGTCGATTATTCAGCAATTATTGAAAAGATTAAATTCTTATATTTGTCTTAATTTAAATCATCTTTAATTTTGAAACAAAACAAAAATTATTCATTATCAACAGCTGTTAATGTAGAAATCTACCTTAACTACAGTCGGCTATGTAGAAATCTACTTTACCTACAGTCGGTTACGTAGAAATATACTTTACCTACAGTCGGTCATGTAAAAATCTACCTTACCTACAGTCGGCTATGTAGAAACCTACTTTACCTACAGTCGGCTTAGTAGAAATCTACTTTATCTACAGTCGGTCATGTAAAAATCTACCTTACCTACAGTCGGCTATGTAGAAATCTACTTTACCTACTGTCGGTTATGTAGAAATATACTTTACCTACAATCGGTCATGTAAAAATCTACGTTACCTACAGTCGGTCATGTAAAAATCTACGTTACCTACAGTCGGTCATGTAAAAATCTACCTTACCTACAGTCGGCTATGTAGAAATCTACTTTACCTACAGTCGGTCATGTAAAAATCTACCTTACCTACAGTCGGCTAAATAGAAATCTACTTTATCTACAGACGGTTATGTAGAAATCTACCTTACCTACAGTCGGCTATGTAGAAATCTACTTTACCTACACTCGGTTACGTAGAAATCTACCTTGCCTACAATCGGTGACGTAGGAATCCACATTACCTACAGCAGAAAAGGTACGAAAAGAAATGGAAATTTTTTTAAAAAATTTTTTTTAGATCAGTTTTTGGAAATGTTTGGGTTTGTCGTGATTTTAAAACAGCAAAAACAATTTCACAACGTTATAATGTATTTTGTTGTACAACTGAAGGATTAAAAATATTTGGCAATGGCATGAGTTTTGGTGGTAATTGGAAAAAAAAAACTTCACCATCTGAACTTTATAAATTAAAACAGGAATTAGCGAATAAAGAGAAACATCTTCAATTTGAAGTAAATGAAATTCATGAGAAAATTGAACAATACAAACAAACAAATGAGGCAAATAAAAATCGTTGTGAAAAAAATGATCATCAGTAAGTTGTGAATTTTTCTTTCTATTTACCAAAAAAAAAAAAAAAAAATGAAAATGTAACTCAAAATTTTATTTCAGAAAAATTTTATTATCAATGAAATTAGAATTAGATCGTCAAAAATACGCAAGAGAATTACAATTAAAAAAAATTGTCGACGCAAAACAAATTAGAAATCAATTGCAATTAAAAATTGAAAAAATTTCATTGAAAATTGAATCATTGAAAAATAATTTAAATAATGAAAATTATTTCTCACAATTACAGGAGGAGGAGGAGATAAATCAAGTTCGTGATTATTTAATATTTTTTTTTGATTTTACATTTAAAAAAAATTCTTCTATGCCGACAGATGGTAAAGTAGATTTCTATATTACCAGCAGTCGGTAAAGAAGATATGTCACTATTCTTTCATCGACTGTTGATAATGGAGATTTCTATACTATCATCAGTTGGTAAAATAATTAAAGTTAAGAAGATATTTGGTTGTTTTATTCTTTGCCAACTGATGGTAAGGTAGATTTCTATATTACCAACAGTTGGTAAAATAATTAAATTTTTTTCTCTTCTTTTGTTTTAGATAAAAATTTTACGAAAAGATATTGTTGATTTAGAAAAAACGAGCATTAAATTAAGAAAATCAACTCAAATTCTTGTGAATGTTGAAGAAAATGAAGAAAAAAAATTAAAAATCCAAATTGAAAAGATGAAGAATCATTTAGAAAAAATTGTCAAATCAAAAGAAGAAAAAGAATTTGAAATTGAAAATTTAAAATTAAATCTCATTGATATTGAATCACGCAATATGACTGTGAATTTTTTCGAAGATTCTAAGGAAAAAATTCATGAATTTGAAATTAAGGTTATTGTCTCATTTTTGTGTATTAAAAAAAATATAAATTTTTTTTAAATTTTTTATAATATAAAATTATTTGTGTCAACTTTTTATTTTTTTATAATATATAATTATTTTTGTAAACTTTTTTTTTTTGTTTTTTTTTCCAAAAATTAGATTCAAGAAATAGAAGAAAATTTAATGAAAGTCGATTTGGAACGCGATGAATTTGAAAATCAATTAATAAATGTGGAAGAAGAAAAAAAATTGATTGAATCAAAACTCAATAGATTAGAGGAACGTCGAAAAAAATATGAAGAGGAAATTTGTAATGCAAAAACAAAATGTTCTAAAGAACGTGATTTTATAAAGCAATCTGATAATGATTTATATGAGAAACTTCAAAAATCAGAAGAAAAGTTTCTGAAGCTTAAGTAATTTATTTTTTTTTTAAAAAAAACCATATTTTAATGTTTCAAATTATTTAAAAAAAAAAAGAAATTTTCTTTCAAACTTGATAATTTTCATATTTTTAGTTTAAAAAAAAAGAAGAAAATTAAATTATTTTATTAAATATTATTTAATTATTATTATTTTATTTGTTTAATATTTAAAAAAGTAGAAAATTAAATTACTTAATTAATTTATTAAACATTATTTACAGTTATTTTCATTTATTTATTATATTATTTGTAAAATATTTAAATTTCTTTTATAATAATTAATAAAGATAATTGGTGTTTCTTTTCCTTTTTTTTTTGGTTTTCCAGAAACAAAGTTCATTTGAGAGTTGAAGAATCATTGGAAAAGACGAATAATTTTAATGTGGAATTTCAAGCTCAGATGGAACAATTGAAAAATATGGGAAATTTAGATGAATGTAGAAGGGAATGTCAAATTATGAATGAAGTTTTAATAGAGGAAGAATTTACAAAAGTAAGTTTAACTTTTTTTTTCATAAGAAAAAAGAAATAAGTATAATAAAACAAAAAAGATACAAAAAATATTATTTATATTTATTTGTTATTTAATAACAAAATTTATATTTTCTTTTTTCACATTTTCAGTTATCTCAAAATTTTGATAAATATTTCAATACATTTGTACCAGACGGCAGAGGTGAATTGGTTAGAAAAATCGTTTCTCTAGCTCCTGGAGTACAGGACACTTTAATTGGAATTGGTAAATATAAATATATTTCATTAAATTTACTTTTAGTATAATTAAATTAATTTTTTAATTTATTAAATTTCTAACAAATTAAATTAACTAAATTAATTCTTTTCAATAATATCAAATGAAAATTTTTTTTCGATTACCTCGAAAATTCAAAAAATTTATTTTCACCTACCTCAGCATCCGCTGGACCAATCAAAAAGTGCGCCATACATTTTTTGTTCCAAACTTTTTCCCTATTTTATTGGCGGTATTCCGGAGCAGTTATCTAGCAAATTTCATTTTCCGAAAATTTTTCCCACAATTTTTTGAGTGTAGCTCAGCATCCGCTGGACCAATCAAAAAGTGCGCCATACATTTTTTGTTCAGAACTTTCTTCTAATCACTATGGCGGTATTCCCGAACGATTATCTCGCAAATTTAATTTTTCGAAAATTTTTCCAAAATCTTTTTGAGTGTAGCTCAGCATCCGCTGGACCAATCAAAAAGTGCGCCATACATTTTCTGTTCAGAACTTTCTTCTAATCACTATGGCGGTATTCCCGAACGATTTTGTCGCAAATTTAATTTTTCGAAAATTTTTAGAAAATCTTTTTGTGTGTAGCTCAGCATCCGCTGGACCAATCAAAAAGTGTGCCATACATTTTTTGTTCGAAACTTTTTCCCTATTTTTTTGGCGGTATTCCCGAGACATTATATCGCAAATTTAATTTTTCGAAAATTTTTCCATAATCTTTTTGAGTGTAGCTCAGCATCCGCTGGACCAATCAAAAAGTGCGCCATACATTTTTTGTTCAGAACTTTCTTCTAATCACTATGGCGGTATTCCCGAACGAGTATCTCGTGAATTTAATTTTTCGAAAATTTTTCCGAATTTGTTTTCTAGTTCAGCTCAGCATCCGCTGGACCAATCAAAAAGTGCGCCATACATTTTTTGTTCGCTACTTTTTGCTAAAGAATTTGGCAGTATTCCGGAACGATTATCTTGCAAATTTAATTTTTCGAAAAATTTTCCAAAATATTTTTGAGTGTAGCTCAGCATCCGCTGGACCAATCAAAAAGTGTGCCATACATTTTTTGTTCGAGACTCCCGGGTTAAGACTTTGGCGGTATTCCCGATTAATTATTTCGCAAATTTAATTTTTCGAAAATTTTTCCAAAATCTTTTTGAGTGTAGCTCAGCATCCGCTGGACCAATCAAAAAGTGTGCCATACATTTTTTGTTCGAAACTTTTTCCCTATTTTTTTGGCGGTATTCCCGAGACATTATATCGCAAATTTAATTTTTCGAAAATTTTTCCAAAATCTTTTTGAGTGTAGCTCAGCATCCGCTGGACCAATCAAAAAGTGCGCCATACATTTTTTGTTCGAAACTTTTTCCCTATTTTTTTGGTGGTATTCCCGAGACATTATCTCGCAAATTTAATTTTTCGAAAATTTTTCCAAAATCTTTTTGAGTGTAGCTCAGCATCCGCTGGACCAATCATAAAGTCTGCCATACATTTTTTGTTCAGAACTTTCTTCTAATCACTACGGCGGTATTCCCGAACGAGTATCTCACAAATTTAATTTTTCGAAAATTTTTGCAAAATCTTTTTGAGTGCAGCTCAACATCCGCTGGACCAATCAAAAAGTGCGCCATACATTTTTTGTTCGAAACTTTTTCCCTATTTTTTTGGTGGTATTCCCGAGACATTATCTCGCAAATTTAATTTTTCGAAAATTTTTCCAAAATCTTTTTGAGTGTAGCTCAGCATCCGCTGGACCAATCATAAAGTCTGCCATACATTTTTTGTTCGAAACTTTTTCCCTATTTTTTTGGCGGTATTCCCGATTAATTATCTCGCAAATTTAATTTTTCGAAAATTTTTCCAAAATCTTTTTGAGTGTAGCTCAGCATCCGCTGGACCAATCAAAAAGTGCGCCATACATTTTTTGTTCGAAACTTTTTCCCTATTTTTTTGGTGGTATTCCCGAACGATTATCGCGCAAATTTAATTTTTCGAAAATTTTTCCAAAATCTTTTTGAGTGTAGCTCAGCATCCGCTTGACCAATCAAAAAGTGCGCCATACATTTTTTGTTCAGAACTTTCTTCTAATCACTATGGCGGTATTCCCGAACGAGTATCTCACAAATTTAATTTTTCGAAAATTTTTGCAAAATCTTTTTGAGTGTAGCTCAACATCCGCTGGACCAATCAAAAAGTGCGCCATACATTTTTTGTTCGAAACTTTTTCCCTATTTTTTTGGTGGTATTCCCGAGACATTATCTCGCAAATTTAATTTTTCGAAAATTTTTCCAAAATCTTTTTGAGTGTAGCTCAGCATCCGCTGGACCAATCATAAAGTCTGCCATACATTTTTTGTTCGAAACTTTTTCCCTATTTTTTTGGCGGTATTCCCGATTAATTATCTCGCAAATTTAATTTTTCGAACATTTTTCCAAAATCTTTTTGAGTGTAGCTCAGCATCCGCTGGACCAATCAAAAAGTGCGCCATACATTTTTTGTTCGAAACTTTTTCCCTATTTTTTTGGTGGTATTCCCGAACGATTATCGCGCAAATTTAATTTTTCGAAAATTTTTCCAAAATCTTTTTGAGTGTAGCTCAGCATCCGCTGGACCAATCAAAAAGTGTGCCATACATTTTTTGTTCGAGACTCCCGGGTTTAGACTTTGGCGGTATTCCCGATTAATTATCTCGCAAATTTAATTTTTCGAAAATTTTTCCAAAATCTTTTTGAGTGTAGCTCAGCATCCGCTGGACCAATCAAAAAGTGCGCCATACATTTTTTGTTCGAAACTTTTTCCCTATTTTTTTGGCGGTATTCCCGAGACATTATATCGCAAATTTAATTTTTCGAAAATTTTTCCATAATCTTTTTGAGTGTAGCTCAGCATCCGCTGGACCAATCAAAAAGTGCGCCATACATTTTTTGTTCAGAACTTTCTTTTAATCACTATGGCGGTATTCCCGAACGAGTATCTCGTGAATTTAATTTTTCGAAAATTTTTCCGAATTTGTTTTCTAGTTTAGCTCAGCATCCGCTGGACCAATCAAAAAGTGCGCCATACATTTTTTATTCGAAACTTTTTCCCTATTTTTTTGGCGGTATTCCCGAGACATTATCGCGCAAATTTAATTTTTCGAAAATTTTTCCAAAATCTTTTTGAGTGTAGCTCAGCATCCGCTGGACCAAACAAAAAGTGTGCCATACATTTTTTGCTCGAAACTTTTTCCCTATTTTTTTGGCGGTATTCCCGAGACATTATCTCGCAAATTTAATTTTTCGAAAATTTTTCCAAAATCTTTTTGAGTGTAGCTCAGCATCCGCTGGACCAATCAAAAAGTGTGCCATACATTTTTTGTTCGAAACTTTTTCCCTATTTTTTTGGCGGTATTCCCGAGACATTATATCGCAAATTTAATTTTTCGAAAATTTTTCTAAAATCTTTTTGAGTGTAGCTCAGCATCCGCTGGACCAATCAAAAAGTGCGCCATACATTTTTTGTTCGAAACTTTTTCCCTATTTTTTTGGTGGTATTCCCGAACGATTATCGCGCAAATTTAATTTTTCGAAAATTTTTCTAAAATCTTTTTGAGTGTAGCTCAGCATCCGCTGGACCAATCAAAAAGTGCGCCATACATTTTTTGTTCGAAACTTTTTCCCTATTTTTTTGGTGGTATTCCCGAACGATTATCGCGCAAATTTAATTTTTCGAAAATTTTTCCAAAATCTTTTTGAGTGTAGCTCAGCATCCGCTGGACCAATCAAAAAGTGTGCCATACATTTTTTGTTCGAGACTCCCGGGTTTAGACTTTGGCGGTATTCCCGATTAATTATCTCGCAAATTTAATTTTTCGAAAATTTTTCCAAAATCTTTTTGAGTGTAGCTCAACATCCGCTGGACCAATCAAAAAGTGCGCCATACATTTTTTGTTCGAAACTTTTTCCCTATTTTTTTGGTGGTATTCCCGAGACATTATCTCGCAAATTTAATTTTTCGAAAATTTTTCCAAAATCTTTTTGAGTGTAGCTCAGCATCCGCTGGACCAATCATAAAGTGTGCCATACATTTTTTGTTCGAAACTTTTTCCCTATTTTTTTGGCGGTATTCCCGATTAATTATCTCGCAAATTTAATTTTTCGAAAATTTTTCCAAAATCTTTTTGAGTGTAGCTCAGCATCCGCTGGACCAATCAAAAAGTGCGCCATACATTTTTTGTTTGAAACTTTTTCCCTATTTTTTTGGTGGTATTCCCGAACGATTATCGCGCAAATTTAATTTTTCGAAAATTTTTCAAAAATCTTTTTGAGTGTAGCTCAGCATCCGCTGGACCAATCAAAAAGTGTGCCATACATTTTTTGTTCGAAACTTTTTCCCTATTTTTTTGGCGGTATTCCCGAGACATTATATCGCAAATTTAATTTTTCGAAAATTTTTCCAAAATCTTTTTGAGTGTAGCTCAGCATCCGCTGGACCAATCAAAAAGTGCGCCATACATTTTTTGTTCGAGACTCCCGGGTTAAGACTTTGGCGGTATTCCTGATTAATTATCTCGCAAATTTAATTTTTCGAAAATTTTTCCAAAATCTTTTTGAGTGTAGCTCAGCATCCGCTGGACCAATCAAAAAGTGGGCCATACATTTTTTGTTCGAAACTTTTTCCCTATTTTTTTGGCGGTATTCTCGAGACATTATCTCGCAAATTTAATTTTTCGAAAATTTTTCCAAAATCTTTTTGAGTGTAGCTCAGCATCCGCTGGACCAATCAAAAAGTGCGCCATACATTTTTTGTTCGAAACTTTTTCCCTATTTTTTTGGTGGTATTCCCGAACGATTATCGCGCAAATTTAATTTTTCGAAAATTTTTCCAAAATCTTTTTGAGTGTAGCTCAGCATCCGCTGGACCAATCAAAAAGTGCGCCATACATTTTTTGTTCAGAACTTTCTTCTAATCACTATGGCGGTATTCCCGAACGAGTATCTCACAAATTTAATTTTTCGAAAATTTTTGCAAAATCTTTTTGAGTGTAGCTCAACATCCGCTGGACCAATCAAAAAGTGCGCCATACATTTTTTGTTCGAAACTTTTTCCCTATTTTTTTGGTGGTATTCCCGAGACATTATCTCGCAAATTTAATTTTTCGAAAATTTTTCCAAAATCTTTTTGAGTGTAGCTCAGCATCCGCTGGACCAATCAAAAAGTGTGCCATACATTTTTTGTTCGAGACTCCCGGGTTTAGACTTTGGCGGTATTCCCGAGTAATTATCTCGCAAATTTAATGTTTCGAAAATTTTTCCAAAATCTTTTTGAGTGTAGCTCAACATCCGCTGGACCAATCAAAAAGTGCGCCATACATTTTTTGTTCGAAACTTTTTCCCTATTTTTTTGGTGGTATTCCCGAGACATTATCTCGCAAATTTAATTTTTCGAAAATTTTTCCAAAATCTTTTTGAGTGTAGCTCAGCATCCGCTGGACCAATCAAAAAGTGCGCCATACATTTTTTGTTCGAAACTTTTTCCCTATTTTTTTGGTGGTATTCCCGAACGATTATCGCGCAAATTTAATTTTTCGAAAATTTTTCCAAAATCTTTTTGAGTGTAGCTCAGCATCCGCTGGACCAAACAAAAAGTGTGCCATACATTTTTTGCTCGAAACTTTTTCCCTATTTTTTTGGCGGTATTCCCGAGACATTATCTCGCAAATTTAATTTTTCGAAAATTTTTCCAAAATCTTTTTGAGTGTAGCTCAGCATCCGCTGGACCAATCATAAAGTGTGCCATACATTTTTTGCTCGAAACTTTTTCCCTATTTTTTTGGCGGTATTCCCGAGACATTATCTCGCAAATTTAATGTTTCGAAAATTTTTCCAAAATCTTTTTGAGTGTAGCTCAACATCCGCTGGACCAATCAAAAAGTGCGCCATACATTTTTTGTTCGAAACTTTTTCCCTATTTTTTTGGTGGTATTCCCGAGACATTATCTCGCAAATTTAATTTTTCGAAAATTTTTCCAAAATCTTTTTGAGTGTAGCTCAGCATCCGCTGGACCAATCATAAAGTGTGCCATACATTTTTTGTTCGAAACTTTTTCCCTATTTTTTTGGCGGTATTCCCGATTAATTATCTCGCAAATTTAATTTTTCGAAAATTTTTCCAAAATCTTTTTGAGTGTAGCTCAGCATCCGCTGGACCAATCAAAAAGTGCGCCATACATTTTTTGTTCGAAACTTTTTCCCTATTTTTTTGGTGGTATTCCCGAACGATTATCGCGCAAATTTAATTTTTCGAAAATTTTTCCAAAATCTTTTTGAGTGTAGCTCAGCATCCGCTGGACCAAACAAAAAGTGTGCCATACATTTTTTGCTCGAAACTTTTTCCCTATTTTTTTGGCGGTATTCCCGAGACATTATCTCGCAAATTTAATTTTTCGAAAATTTTTCCAAAATCTTTTTGAGTGTAGCTCAGCATCCGCTGGACCAATCAAAAAGTGCGCCATACATTTTTTGTTCGAGACTCCCGGGTTAAGACTTTGGCGGTATTCCTGATTAATTATCTCGCAAATTTAATTTTTCGAAAATTTTTCCAAAATCTTTTTGAGTGTAGCTCAGCATCCGCTGGACCAATCAAAAAGTGCGCCTAACATTTTGTTTTCAGAACTTTCTTCTAATCACTATGGCGGCATTCCCGAACAATTATCTAGCGAATTTAATTTTTTGAAAATTTTTCCAAATTATTTTTGAGTGTAGCTCAGCATCCGCGTTTAATTTAAAATTTTAAAAAATCACAAATTTCATTTTTACCTTTCTCAGCATCCGGTGGACCAATCAATTGATAGTTAAAATTTTTTTTTTTTACTGTTGTTTATAAAAAATTTTGATTTTTTTATAATAATATTAAAAATTGTATTATTTTTTTTAAAAAAACAGATTTGTGCGTGGAATATTCGGGCGTTAAGAAACTTGTCAAATCTTTATCACCTGGTGAACAATGTTGTGTATCGATTGCATTTATTCTTGCTGCCGCTGAAAATGAATTGCCACCATTTTTTATTTTTGATGAAATTGACGCTGCATTATCACAGGCAAATTCATTAGTTTTTTGCGATATTTTGGAAAATATCAGTCAAAATACACAAATTTTCATCGTTTCACACAAGTAAGAATTAAAAAAAATAAAATTCGTATTTTTTTTCACACTTGCTAGAAAAAAAGTTTTGTTTTAAAATAAAAAAGAAAATTATCGAAAAAAATTATTTGTGAAAATTTTAAATTATTTAAATTTTTTCAGCCCAGAAATCATTTGTCGTGGAAGGCAACTTTTTAAAGTGATAAATGTGAACGGTCTTTCTAAAATTTTTCCCTTTGTAACAGAGGAAAATAATTTTGAACGAATTTTTGAAGGTGACGACAGTGGATTCTCTCCAGATGAATAGGTTTTTGTTTTTAATTTAAAATATTTTTTTTTTCAAATTATTATTATTATTATTTTAATAATTTATTTTATTATTTTGAATAATTGCAGTTATTTTTCGTTATTTTCATTTATTTTCATACGTTTTTTTTTCTTTTTGAACTATTTGTTTTTTTTGTGTTTTTTCGAATTTCGTAATTTTTTATTTTTAGTCTTCGTGACGCTTTTTAGAAGAGTTTAAAAAAATAAAAAAAATTTCACTACTTTTTTGTTTGTGGTAAATTTTTTTTTTATTTTTAAACAAATATTTTAGATTTTTTAATTGATGTGACAGAAAATTTTCTGTTTTTTTATTTCTTTAGGAATTGACAAAAAATAAAATTAAAAACCAAATGTGTTAGTTTGTTTTAAGGAATGAAAAAATAAATTTTTAATTTTGCTAATAGATTTGAATTTTTTTTTCCAAATAACTAGAATATAAGTAAGATAAATAAATATTAAATAAGATAAATAAAATAAATAAAATAGTTTAAATAAATAAAAATTCGATTAAATTTGAAAAAATACGATTAAATTTTTAAAAGTAATACTCAAAAATTTACATTGCATAACAATATTTATTATACAAATTCCTCAAAGTTTTTTTTTTTTTTTTGGTTGTATTTTTGTTTCGTTTTTTTTTTTTGTTTAAAAAAATAAATTTTTTTTTAAATTAAATATTTAAAATAATAAACTGGTATTTTTTTCGTTTCTTCATTTTTTTTTTCATAATTTTAAGTTATACATAAAATACAATTAATTCACTTTCTCGCTGTACAATTTTTTTTTTTTCTTAAACAAATATTTAATAATACAATTATACACAATTAAAAAAAATATTTTTTTTTTCCTTTTATATTTTTATAGGAAAAAAAAAAAATTTCCATCGTATTTGCAAAACAATTTCTTTTTCTCACATGTAACGAAATCTCAACATTTAGTTTTTCAGATATTTTTTGCGACATTTATTTTTTTAAATTCCAGTGTAAGGTAAAAAACGATGCATAACAAACGTACAATGGCACGAAATTCAAAAAAAAAAAGGTAAGTCTTCTATTTTTTTTTTCATGATAGATTACTTTTTTTTTTTTCTCTCTTTTCATAAATATTTTTAATTGCATTCTCAGGGCGCATGAATTTTCCTATAAAAATTCAGTAATTATAATTATAATTTTCTATTAATTTAATTTATTTATTATTAATTTAATTAATTAATTTACTATAAATTTAATTTATTTATTATTAATTTAATTAATTAATTTACTATTAAGTTAATTAATTAATTTACATTTTAAAGAATTTTTTTTAGAAATAATCAAATTTAAAAATTGTAAAAAAAAATTACGGTATTAATAAAAATTCTGCAAAACAAAAATTCGGGAGGAAAAAAATTTTGTTATGTAAAAATTCTCTCGTATATAAAAAAGAAAATCTGTGAAATTTTAATTTGAAAATTGAAAAATTGATCGAAAAAAATAATTTCTAATAAAATTATAAATTTTTTTATTGTTCCTGATAAAAAATAACTTGAAAATAAAAATTCTAATTAATTATTTCTATAGGAAAATTGTGCGATTCGATTTTTCATACACAACATTTTTTTCTCTCGCAACATTTAATAATAAATTGTACATGTATATATATAATCATTTTTTTTTTATATCTTTAAAAAAAAATATTTTTTTTTTTTTTAGATTTTTCTAGTATTCAGTATTTTTTATTATTATTATTATTTTACAGTACACATAACTTTTTCCATATATTTACACTCGCACATCTTTTTGAAAGCAGATTTACTTTCTTCTTTCGACAAAAAAATAAAAAATAAAAATCAATTTTCTTAATATATATTTAATTAATAATCACATTAATTTGAAAAAACTAATTTTTTTTTTTTTAATAGTAGAGTCATTATTTTCTATAGTGTATACATAAACTGTATATATATATATATATATACAATTCTCACGAGAAATTATGTACACGGACTAAAATTACACATTTTTTTTTCTCCTCTGTACATTGACACAAAAATCACTTCTTTGTTTTTGTTGTTTCATATTTTGCAAAAAAAAAATTTCTTCTTTTTTATTTTAAATTTTTCACATTTTTTTTTTCGAAAATTGAAAAAAAAAATTATTAGAAATTTTTTGTTCTATTTTTTGTCATTTAAAAACCATATTTTTCCCGAAAAAAAAATACAAAACAAATTATTTTTTTTTAGTCTTTAAAATTTTGAATTTTTTATTTCCAGTTAATTCAAAATTTCGTTGAATTTTATTTTTTGAAAAATATTCAAATTTCAAGCGGAAACCAAATATAAATTTTTTTTTAAAATATTCAAATTTCGAGAGGAAATCAAATAAAATTTTTTTGAAAATATTCAAATTTTTCTTCAAATAAAAAAAAAATTCAAAATTTTCAAATTCTTTTTTTTCAATTTTCAAAAATATTAATTTCACAATTTATTAAGAAGTGAATTAAAAATTATATTTTTTCGAAATTGGAAACAAGAAGAAAATTATTTTTCAATACAAATTTTTCGAAAAAATAAAAATTTTTCTTGTAAATTACCAGCAAAGATTTTGTTTATGTTTTTGTTTCTTTTGTTTCATTTTGTTTTGTTTTTTTTTTTAGTTTTTGCTGAAGAATAAAATTTTTTTTTCTTCATCTCACAAAAACAAAATTTCATTCCATATATACCTATATATGTATTTTTTTTTATAATTCATCGATATATCTTTTATTGTCCCCTTCTCCATCTTTTTCAGGAAGATTAAAATTTAAATTTTCCTTTAATTTTTCATATTTCACTTGATTTAATAATTTTTCCGAATTATGTAAAAATTGAATCATATCATTCATTTTTAATACATCATTCGTTGTTGTTATTACTTTATTTAGATTTTCTAAATTTTCATAAAGAATTTTTCGCGTTTTTTCATCAATATTTTGTCCTAAATTTTCCAATAATTTTATATCAATTTTTTTTATAACATTATTATCATTCATTATATCCATTATATTTACATTTTGTTGATTGTCTGGAAAATTTTCCGGCAATTTTTCATTTTCTTGCATTTCCATGGTTTTTTCGGACAATTTTTGATTTTCATTTTCCCAAGAATTTTCCGGCAATTTCGGATTTTTTCTATTATTTAAAGTGTTTTTGGTCAATATTTCATTTTCCGAGATTTTTCCGGACAATTTCGAATTTTCTTGATCGTTCAAAATATTTTGGGGCGCATTTTGTTTTTCTTGATTTTCCACAATTTTTCCTGGCAAAATTTCATTTTCCTGGAATTTTCCGGATAATTTCAAATTTTCTTGATCGTTCAAAATATTTTTTGGTGAATTTCGATTTTCCACAATTTTTCCGGGCAAAATTTCATTTTCCAAGGCAATTCGTGGCAATTTTGGATTTTCTTCATTTTCCCAACTATTTTGAAATGATTCTTCTTTTCCTTGATTTTCTACAATTTTTCCAGGCAAATTTTCATTTTCCAGAGAATTTTGGGGCAATTTTCGTATTTCTACAATTTTTCCAGGCAAAATTTCATTTTCGGGATCATTTTCGGGCAATTTTTGATTCTCTTGATTTTCCACAATTTTTCCGGGCAAATTTTCATTTTCCAGAGAATTTTGGGGTATTTTTTGTTTTTCTACAATTTTTCCAGGCAAAATTTCATTTTCGGGATCATTTTCGGACAATTTTTGATTCTCTTGATTTTCCACAATTTTTCCGGGCATATTTTCATTTTCCAGAGAATTTTGGGGTAATTTTCGTATTTCTACAATTTTTCCAGGCAAAATTTCATTTTCGGGATCATTTTCGGGCAATTTTTGAATTTCCGATAAACGTTTTAGTATATCGAGTAATTTATCAAAATCGGATGATAAATTTTCATTTGTCTCGGCTGTTGTTGTTGTTGTTGTTTTTAATTGAAATAAATTCATGGGCACATTTTCATCGTCAACAAATTTATTTGATTTCGTAATATTTGGCTCCAGTTCACTGAGTTCTTTAAGTAGCCAAGCGACACGTCCAATAATATTTGATTTATTTATTGTCTCATGTGTTTCACCTCGTTCGAGCATTAATATTTTAAAATAATATGTTATTAATGCAAAATCAAGTGAAACACCTGTATTAATATGTTCATTTGAATAAATTGAATTGACAATAATTTGTCTCATTTGTCGCCATTCATTTTCATTTTGTGAATTTTTTTCGTCAAATTTTTTTGACGTTATTGCAGCAGCAACGCCTGATTTTGCTTTTATACAAATTTGATAGAGTATCAAATTTTTTGATGGAAACGCTTGTAAATTGGCAAAATCAGCTATTGGTATTTCATATAATTCTGTGTCACGATTTTGTTTAAGTTCCGTTGTTGATGGCACGCCTCCAATCAGAGAATTCTAAATATTTTTTTTGAACAAAAAAAGACATTTTTTTTTTATTTTTAATTATTTATTGTGTAAATATATTTTATTATTTTGGAAAAAAAAGGAATTCTAGGATTTTTTTCTGTTTAAAAAAAGGGAGAAAAAATACTTTAATTTTTTTTTTTAGATGGAAAAATTAAATTTTCTAATTTGAAAATTTAGAAAAAAAAATTTCCATCAATTTTAATAGTTTGTAAATTCGGGAATAAATAAATAAATTTTAATAGTTGAAAAGACTTTTGGAAAAAATTAACAATAGTTAAAAGCAAAAAAAGGAAATAAATAAATAAATAAAAGCAAAAAAAAAAAACATAGCAAAAGAAATAAAAAATTTGCAAATTAGAAATTTTTTTTATTTTTGTTTTATCTCTCTCACTTTTTCTCAGGTAAATTATTATTTTCAAAAATTAAATTACAAATTAAAAAAAAAAAACTATCATGCGAAACATTTTTTTTTTTTTTTTTCTCTTTTTGATTTAAATTTAATGAAATTTTATTTAACGTTAGCTTTTCACTTGCGTCCAAATCCAAAGAATAAAACTTTCAACAACAATAAATGTCAAACACCAATAAATACAAACCTGGGACATTAATTGTCGATTGAAAATTTCATTGAGTGATCCTTTTAAGCGCTCGAATATTGATTGTTCAGTGGGCGATTTTAAAAGAATATCGTCCTTTCGTTGAAAATCACCTGTAAATGAAAAAAAAAAAAAATTAAAAATGTAAATTAAAAAGGACAACAAAAAAATAAATCTAAACACAAAAATTAAAATGAAATTTAATCCAGAGATAACATAAAAAAAAAATTTTTTCGATTTTTCTCACATTAAATTCGAATTTTTGGCAAAATAAAACTGAAATTAATTAAAATTCTAATTATTTGAAACTTGAATTAATTAAAAATTTGGTAAAAATTGAAATTTAGATAATTTGAAACTTTAAAACAATTAAAAAATTTGGGAAAATTTTAAATTTAAATTAATTAAAAATTGGAAAAATTGAAATTTGAATAATTTGAAACTTAAAATAATTAAAATTTGGGCAAATTGAAATTTCAATATTTTGAAACTTAAAACAATATAAAATTTGGGAAAATTGAAATTTTTATTAATTTGTAATTTAAATCAATTAAAATTTAGAAAAATTAAAATTTGGTTAATTTGAATTTTAAATCAATTAAAATTTGGACAAATTGAAATTTGAATAATTTTAAACTTAAATCAAATAAAATTTGAATAATTTGTAATTTAAATAAATTAAAATTTAGAAAAATTAAAATTTGAGCAAATTGAAATTTGAATAATTTAAAACTTAAAACAATTAAAAATTTGGGAAAATTGAAATTTTGAATAATTTGTAATTTAAATAAATTACAATTTAGAAAAATTAAAATTTGGGCAAATTGAAATTTGAATAATTTTAAACTTTAAATCAATTAAAATTTGGTAAAAATTGAAATTTGGATAATTTGATACTTTAAAACAATTTAAAATTTAGGAAAATTTAAATTTAAATTAATTAAAAATTGGAAAAATTGAAATTTGAATAATTTGAAACTTATAACAATTAAAAATTTGTGAAAATTGAAATTTTGAATAATTTGTAATTTAAATCGATTAAAATTTAGAAAAATTAAAATTTGGTTAATTTGAAATTTAAATCAATTAAAATTTGAGAAAATTGAAATTTGAATAATTTGAAACTTAAAATAATTAAAATTTGGGCAAATTGAAATTTGTAATTTAAATCAATTAAAATTTAGAAAAATAAAAATTTGGTTAATTTTAAACTTAAATTAATTAAAATTTGGACAAATTGAAATTTGAATAATTTGAAACTTAAAACAATTAAAAATTTGGGAAAATTTAAATTTTGAATAATTTGTAATTTAAATCAATTAAAATTTAGAAAAATTAAAATTTGGTTAATTTTAAACTTAAATTAATTAAAATTTGGGCAAATTGAAATTTCAATATTTTGAAACTTAAAACAATATAAAATTTGGGAAAATTGAAATTTTTATTAATTTGTAATTTAAATCAATTAAAATTTAGAAAAATTAAAATTTGGTTAATTTGAATTTTAAATCAATTAAAATTTGGACAAATTGAAATTTGAATAATTTTAAACTTAAATCAAATAAAATTTGAATAATTTGTAATTTAAATAAATTAAAATTTAGAAAAATTAAAATTTGAGCAAATTGAAATTTGAATAATTTAAAACTTAAAACAATTAAAAATTTGGGAAAATTGAAATTTTGAATAATTTGTAATTTAAATAAATTACAATTTAGAAAAATTAAAATTTGGGCAAATTGAAATTTGAATAATTTTAAACTTTAAATCAATTAAAATTTGGTAAAAATTGAAATTTGGATAATTTGATACTTTAAAACAATTTAAAATTTAGGAAAATTTAAATTTAAATTAATTAAAAATTGGAAAAATTGAAATTTGAATAATTTGAAACTTATAACAATTAAAAATTTGTGAAAATTGAAATTTTGAATAATTTGTAATTTAAATCGATTAAAATTTAGAAAAATTAAAATTTGGTTAATTTGAAATTTAAATCAATTAAAATTTGAGAAAATTGAAATTTGAATAATTTGAAACTTAAAATAATTAAAATTTGGGCAAATTGAAATTTGTAATTTAAATCAATTAAAATTTAGAAAAATAAAAATTTGGTTAATTTTAAACTTAAATTAATTAAAATTTGGACAAATTGAAATTTGAATAATTTGAAACTTAAAACAATTAAAAATTTGGGAAAATTTAAATTTTGAATAATTTGTAATTTAAATCAATTAAAATTTAGAAAAATTAAAATTTGGTTAATTTTAAACTTAAATTAATTAAAATTTGGGCAAATTGAAATTTCAATATTTTGAAACTTAAAACAATATAAAATTTGGGAAAATTGAAATTTTTATTAATTTGTAATTTAAATCAATTAAAATTTAGAAAAATTAAAATTTGGTTAATTTGAATTTTAAATCAATTAAAATTTGGACAAATTGAAATTTGAATAATTTTAAACTTAAATCAAATAAAATTTGAATAATTTGTAATTTAAATAAATTAAAATTTAGAAAAATTAAAATTTGAGCAAATTGAAATTTGAATAATTTAAAACTTAAAACAATTAAAAATTTGGGAAAATTGAAATTTTGAATAATTTGTAATTTAAATAAATTACAATTTAGAAAAATTAAAATTTGGGCAAATTGAAATTTGAATAATTTTAAACTTTAAATCAATTAAAATTTGGTAAAAATTGAAATTTGGATAATTTGATACTTTAAAACAATTTAAAATTTAGGAAAATTTAAATTTAAATTAATTAAAAATTGGAAAAATTGAAATTTGAATAATTTGAAACTTATAACAATTAAAAATTTGTGAAAATTGAAATTTTGAATAATTTGTAATTTAAATCGATTAAAATTTAGAAAAATTAAAATTTGGTTAATTTGAAATTTAAATCAATTAAAATTTGAGAAAATTGAAATTTGAATAATTTGAAACTTAAAATAATTAAAATTTGGGCAAATTGAAATTTGTAATTTAAATCAATTAAAATTTAGAAAAATAAAAATTTGGTTAATTTTAAACTTAAATTAATTAAAATTTGGACAAATTGAAATTTGAATAATTTGAAACTTAAAACAATTAAAAATTTGGGAAAATTTAAATTTTGAATAATTTGTAATTTAAATCAATTAAAATTTAGAAAAATTAAAATTTGGTTAATTTTAAACTTAAATTAATTAAAATTTGGGCAAATTGAAATTTCAATATTTTGAAACTTAAAACAATATAAAATTTGGGAAAATTGAAATTTTTATTAATTTGTAATTTAAATCAATTAAAATTTAGAAAAATTAAAATTTGGTTAATTTGAATTTTAAATCAATTAAAATTTGGACAAATTGAAATTTGAATAATTTTAAACTTAAATCAAATAAAATTTGAATAATTTGTAATTTAAATAAATTAAAATTTAGAAAAATTAAAATTTGAGCAAATTGAAATTTGAATAATTTAAAACTTAAAACAATTAAAAATTTGGGAAAATTGAAATTTTGAATAATTTGTAATTTAAATAAATTACAATTTAGAAAAATTAAAATTTGGGCAAATTGAAATTTGAATAATTTTAAACTTTAAATCAATTAAAATTTGGTAAAAATTGAAATTTGGATAATTTGATACTTTAAAACAATTTAAAATTTAGGAAAATTTAAATTTAAATTAATTAAAAATTGGAAAAATTGAAATTTGAATAATTTGAAACTTATAACAATTAAAAATTTGTGAAAATTGAAATTTTGAATAATTTGTAATTTAAATCGATTAAAATTTAGAAAAATTAAAATTTGGTTAATTTGAAATTTAAATCAATTAAAATTTGAGAAAATTGAAATTTGAATAATTTGAAACTTAAAATAATTAAAATTTGGGCAAATTGAAATTTGTAATTTAAATCAATTAAAATTTTGGTTAATTTTAAACTTAAATTAATTAAAATTTGGACAAATTGAATATGGAATATTTTGAAACTTAAAACAATTAAAAATTTTTGAAAATTGAAATTTTGAATAATTTGTAATTGAAATCAATTAAAATTTAGAAAAATTAAAATTATTTTATTTTATTTTATTTATTATTTATTGTAATAAAATATTGCTGTTTTTTTCTTCTTACCAATTGTGAGCGTAAGAAAATCAGTGACAAAAATCTTATGATATTCTTTAATCGCCTCAAGTAGTTGATTTGCCTCAGCGGTAAATAAAAATATAAATGGAATTTTCACATCGTCCACATCTTTACCATCGCCTGACATTGCAAACATTGGCGATGTATTTGCACTTGATCCCGGTGCATTATCCAAAACAATTCCCGCTAAAGCACCCGCTTTTTGTATTCTTCGTGCCTAAATAAAAAAATTAAGAAAAATTTCTAATTTTGATAAATTTTCCCAAAAATAATTGCACCAAAAATCTCGTCTATTCCGTCCATTTTTGTAATTTCGAACAAAATTCGATGAATTGATATTTCTATCAGGAAAATAAATTTTTTTTTTTTTTTTTTTTTTTTTAGAAACACTCACCTTTTCAATAAACATACAAGTTCCCCGTAGGACAATAACAATTTTTCCCTCAATTTGATTGGCGTCAATAATATCGGTGCATGCATTAAGTGGATGTGCAAGGACAACTTTGCCGATTAATTTATTATTGCCACGTAATTCAGGTCCAAATTGTGCTGGACCAGCTAATAATGTCACATCTTCTGGTGGTTCTGTTCCTGGTTTTGTGAATACAATTGATTGTGGTTTTGTTTCAATTTGTTGCGATTGATATTTACTTAATTCAATCATTTCTTGCATAAATAGTAGACCCTCCTCGGCGTCATGTGTACTTTTTGCCTTTTTTAGCGAAAAATAACGAAAAATTATTTCAAAAATTATTTCAAAAATTATTTCAAAATTATTTCAAAATTATTTCGAAATTATTTCAAAATTATTTCAAAAATATTTAAAAACTATATTTCGTATTTCAATAAATAAATAAATAAATAGGTATTAATATTCTAATAATATATTATTAAAAAAAAGTTTCCCTGACCGTTAGATACCCTGAATTTTGCAAAATAAAAAAAGAAAAGGAAAGCAAATTAATTTTTTTTTTCTCAAAATATTTTAAAGAGAAAAAGAAGGGAATTTTTTTAATAATAATAATTAAAAATTAATTTTTTTTAATATAGTAGAAAAATTAGTTTTTAAGTTTTTAATAAAGTAGAAAAATTAGTTTTTATGTTTTTAATAAAATAGAGAAATTAATTTTACATTTTTGAATAAAACAGAAAAATTGATTTTAATATTTTAATAAAATAGCAAAAATTAAATTTTAATCATTGAAAAATTAGTTTTAAGTTTTTTTTTTTAAATAAAATATAGAAAAATAGAAAATCTTTAAACTTACATTAGAAAATGTGTGAAGAAATTGAACACGACCATCGGCAAGTGTTAAAATTGTTATTCCCATATCGCTCAACATTTTCAAATGGTCAATATTATTTGCCTGTTAAAAAAAAAAGAAAAGAAAGTATAATAATAATAATTAAATAAAAAAAAAATAATAACAAATATAATAATAATAAAATAAATATAAATAAATAATAATAAAATAAATAAAAATGAATAATAATAAAATAAATAAAAATAAATAATAATAAAATAAATAAAAAATATAATAATAATAAAAAATAATAAAATAAATTAAAAAAAACAATAAAAAAAATTAATTTGCAAAAACTATTTTCATTAAAAATTAAATAGAATAATATTTTAATAATTTAATGCGAGAGAAAAATAAAAATTCTTTTCTCACCTGAAATTGAGAAGCGCTTAAACGTCTTTTAAAATTTCTCCTCGGACAAACATCTTCGACCATATTTCTCAATGGTTGTCTCACTGATGCTGGGAATAAATGTAAACTATTCGGACATGTTCTGTCCATTTCGTCGACTTCAACTGTATCCCTTTCAAAATCCTGGCAAAATGAAACGAAAAAAAAAAATAAAGAATTTTTTTTACACTTGTATTTTTTTTTTTTTTTTTTTTTTAATATTATGCAACAATTTTCATTTAGTCGAATTTTTTATTCAACTAAATTTTTATTTAAAACCAAATTATTACTAAAGAAATTTTTTTTATTAAAAACAAATTTTTATTAATATCAAAATTTTTTATTTTAACAAATTTTCATTTTGCCGAAATTTTATAAAAATCAAAAATTTTTATTGTCACAAATTTTTATTTAAACCAATTTTCATTTTGTCGAATTTTCATTAAGCCAAAAAATTTCATTTAGCCGAATTTTTATTAAACTAAAGATTTAATTTAAACATATTTTCGTTTAGCCGAAATTTTATTAAATCAAATTTTTATTGCCACGAATTTTTATTTAAAATTTTCATTTAGCAGAAAAATTTTTGTTAAACGAAACTTTTATTTTAACAAAATTTTCATTTTGCCGAAAAAATCAAATTTTTTTATTTAAACTAACATTCATTTAACCGAATTAGACCAAATTTGAATTTTAACCGAATTTTTAATTTTAACGAATATTTATTTAACCGAATTTTCATTAAACCAAATTTTCATTTAGCCGAAATTTTATTAAACCCAATTTGAATATTAACCGAATTTTTAATTATAACGAATTTTCATTTAACCGAATTTTCATTAAACCAAATTTTCATTTAGCCGAAATTTTATTAGACCAAATTTGAATTTTAACCGAATTTTTAATTTTAACGAATATTTATTTAACCGAATTTTCATTAAACCAAATTTTCATTTAGCTGAAATTTTATTAGACCAAATTTGAATTTTAACCGAATTTTTAATTTTAACGAATATTTATTTAACCGAATTTTCATTAAACCAAATTTTCATTTAGCTGAAATTTTATTAGACCAAATTTGAATTTTAACCGAATTTTTAATTTTAACGAATTTTCATTTAACCAAATTTTCATTAAAGCAAAAAATTTAATTTAGCCGAATTTTTATTAAACCAAAGATTTATTTTCACATATTTTCGTTTAGCTGAAATTTTATTAAATCAAATTTCTATTGCCACGAATTTTTATTTAAAATTTTCATTTAGCAGAAAAATTTTTGTTTAACTAAAATTTTATTTTAACAAATTTTCATTTTGCCGAAAAAATCAAATTTTATTTAATTTAAACTAACATTCATTTAACCGAATTTTCATTAAACCAAATTTTCATTTAGCCGAAATTTTATTAGACCACATTTGACTTTTTAACCGTATTTTTAATTTTAACGAATTTTCATTTAACCGAATTTTCATTAAACCAAATTTTCATTTAGCCGAAATTTTATTAGACCAAATTTGAATTTTAACCGAATTCTTAATTTTAACGAATTTTTATTAAACTAAATTTTCATTTAGCCGAAGTTTTATTAGACCAAATTTGAATATTAACCGAATTTTTAATTTTAACGAATTTTCATTTAGCAAAATTTTTATGAAATAAAAATTTCTATTTAACCAAAATTTTTATTCAACCACGAATTTAATTATTTTTCGAATTTTTTATTAAGTGAGATTTTCTTTTTTAACCAAAATTTTTTTCTTTAATTTATTTATATTTCTTTATTTATTATTATGATTTTCTTTTTATACGAATTTTTACATATAACAAAATTTTTAGCTACCGAATTGCAAATTTGTCCGAATTTTTAATTGTGCGAATTTTTTTTTTTGAACACATTCAATTTTCATTTGTCCGAAATAGAATTTTAGAATTTTTTGTTAGAAAAAATGTCCGAAACAAGTTTTTTTTTGTGGAATTTTTAAATAGTTTAAGATAATTGAATTTATGAAAAATATTAGAAAAAAGTGATTAAAAATAATTGAAATTGAAAAAAATTTGAAAATAATTGAAATTTTGGCATTTTACAAAAACTCATTAAAAAAAAAAAAATTGAAATTGAAGAAAAAAAATTTTTTTAATAATTCAAATTTTAGAATTTTGAACAGAAAGTCATTAAAAATAATTGAAATTGAAAAAAAAAATTTTAAATAATTCAAATTTTTGAATTTTGAACAAAAACTCATTAAAAAAAAATAATTGAAATTGAAAAAAAAAAATTTGAAAATAATTAAAAAAATTTTTCAAGAATTATTAATTATTAATTACATTTTTTTTCATAAAAATAATAATTGAATTTCGAATGATTTTAATTCTTTTTTTTTTGTAAATATATTTAAAAAAAAAAGAGTAATTGAATTATTTCTTTAAATACTCACGGATGAGACGTTCGTTCTAACTGATGCCAATGTTAATGGCAATAAATGTCCCTCGGTGGTAAATATAAATTCATCTAAATCAAGAACAAGTTCATTTGGTTCGGCGAATAATAAAAAGAGATATTTTAATGTTTCTGATAATACAAAACTGTCCATTGTGTCGTCATGTTTATTTGTTCGTACATCAGAAACTGCCGCATAGCCACACGTTACACGTGCATATTTTTGTAAACTTTTTAATACTTTACGACCAACGCCTAAATAATAATGATCGCCAGTTGCACGATATAGAAAATATGTTGATTCAAGAAATTCAGGACGCAATGGATGATGTCCCCAATGTACCTGTGTATTAGAAAAAAAAATTCTTTTTTTCTACTTTCATTCTTAGAATATTTTTCAATTTTTTTTCCTTTTTATATTTTCCAAAAAAAAATTAGGGTCAGCCGGGGTAAATCCGAACGGGGGGTAAATCCGAACGCTAATTATTTCAGCTTAATTAAAATTTTTAAAAATAAGTTCGATATGAGAATTTTTACCTCAGATCCTCTTCAAGAGATTCTAAGTATTATCCCATTTTTTGTTTGTTAATTAGCAACAGCATAAACAAAGATAACGAGTATTGCAAAAAAGATTGAAAATCAAAGATGACACTCTTTCAGTATTTTGTCTCGTATTTCAAGAAAAAGAAGCTAAAAATTTATTTTATTATTTCTAATTGTTTGTTATGAATACTAGAACAGAAACTATTTTTCATTTTTGCCTTCTGTCAAATTTTATTAATAATATCAGACCGTTCGTATTTACCCAGGAAAATTGGAAAACCAGGGTAAATCCGAACGGATTCTAAGTCAATTAAAATTCAATTATTTTCCAAAATTTTCAATTTCAAATAAACTAATTTCAATTATTTTCCAAAATTTCAATTCACAATCTACTAAAATTCAATTATTTTCCAAAATTTTCTATTCAAAATTAACAAAATATTCAATTATTTTTTAAATTTCAATTTAAAATATATATATAACTTTAAATAAATAAATAAATAAATAAAATCATCTAAATTTTAACTAAAATACAATTTATATAAATATAATTATATGAATTCAATTATTTTTAAAAATTTCAATTGACATTCAATTATTTCCAAAATTTTCAATTAAAATTCAATTATTTTAAAAAATTTAAATTCTAAGTGAATTGAAATTCAATTATTTTCCAAATTTAAATTCAAAATCAAATAAAAATTAACTCAAATACAATTATTTTCCAAAATATTTATTGGAATTCAATTATTTTAAAATATTTTAATTTAAAATAAACTAATTTCAATTATTTTTTAAATTTTCGATTTAAAATTAACTAAAATTCAATTATTTTCAAAATAAACTAAAATTCACTTATTTGTCAAAAATTTAAATTTAAAAGGTTCTAAAAATTAATTATTTCTAAAATTTTCCATCAAAAATGTTTTGAAATTTAATTATTTTCAAAATTTTTCTATTTAAAATTAACTAATATTCAATTATTTTTCAAATTTTTAATTCTAAAACAACTAAAATTCAATTATTTAAAAAAATTTCAATTAAAATTCAAATATTTTTAAAAATTTTAATTAAATTTCAATTAAAATTCAATTATTTAAAAAATTATCCTTCTAAAATTTTTTTGAAATTCAATTATTTTCCAAAATTTCAATTCAAAATCTACTAAAATTCAATTTTTTTCCAAAATTTTCTATTAAAAATTAACAAAAAATTCAATTATTTTTTAAATTTCAATTTAAAATCAACTAAATTTTAACTAAAATACAATTATATAAATACAATTATTTACATATAATTATATAAATTCAAATATTTTTAAAAATTTCAATTGACATTCAATTATTTTCAAAATTTTTCTATTTAAAATTAACTAAAATTCAATTATTTTCCAAAATTTTTAATTCAAAATCAACTGAAATTCAATTATTTTCCAAATTTTCAATTCAAAATTCAATTATTTTTAAATTTTTCTATTTAAAATTAACTAAAATTCAATTATTGTCAAAAATTTCAATTTAAAAACATCTAAAATTTAATTATTTCTAAAATTTTCCAACTAATATTTTTTGAAATTCAATTATTTCTAAAAATTTCAAATCAAAATTAACTAAAATTCAATTATTTTCTATAATTTCAATTGAAACTACATTATTTTCAAAATTTTCTATTAAAATAACTAAATTTCAATTTTTTTCTAAAATTTCAATTGAAACTCAATTATTTTTTAAATTTTGCAATTAAAATTCAATTATTTTAAAATTAACTAAAATTCAATTTTCCAAATTTTTAATTCAAAATCAACTATAATTCAATTATTTTTCAAAACTTCGATTAAAATTCAATTATTTTCCAAATTTAAATTCAAAATCAATTAAAATTTAACTAAAATACAATTATTTTCCAAAATTTTAAGTGAAATTCAATTATTTAAAAAAAAAAATTCATTTCAAAATCAATTAATTTCAATTAATCAAAAAATTCAATTATTTGTCAAAAATTTAAATTCTAAGTCAATTAAAATTCAATTATTTTCCAAAATTTTAATTGGAATTCAATTATTTGAAAATATTTTAATTTAATGAATACTAGAACAGAAATTATTTTTGATTTTTGCCTTCTGTAAAATTTTATTAATAATATATCAGACCGTTCGTATATTTACCCCGAAAAATTGGAAAACCGGGGTAAATCCGAACGGTATTTTCAATAATTTTTTTCTTATTTGATTACACTATTATTTTAACATTATAAAAGTACATAGAAAAAAGTTTTTTTTTCTATATATGTATCCTCGTTAGTAATTAATAAGCAGAAAAACTTAATCTCTGTTCTCTCGAAGGAGTGTTCCACTTTTTTTTTTTGCCAAATGATTTGTTGAAAAAAGTTTTTCAGGATCTTAATAAAATTTGGTATTCTACGGTTTTTGGGGTCGCTAATTACCAATTTGAAGTCAGTTTTTCAAAATTCAAAATGGCGGACGAGAATTAAAAAATTCATTGGATTCGCTCGAAAATTGTTATACACGGGGGGTTTCAGGGTTAGCAAATTTGATCATTTTTAAAAATAAGTTTTAGGAAAGTACGCCATTTTGAATTTAAAAAATTTGACTTTTATTTTTGTATTTACATTCAATCACTCCAAAATACTTTCTGTAGCAAGTTTTGCAAAAATCCGTTATGATTTGATAAAGTTATTGAAGGTTTTAATTGTGTAATGCATTTTAATTTTTAACCTGTTTGATTTTTGTATTTATATATGATGCATTATTACATAATAGGTTTATTATCGTATTTTTTTTGAGTTTTTATATAAGTTTAACAATTGCAATACTTTAAATTTATTTTCCCTGAGATTTTTCTGAAATACAGTGGCGTTCGTATTTACCCCGGTATTTTAGGAAAGTTGCAAAGTATCGAGGTAAATACGAACGCTAAGTTTCCTGCGATTGTAATTTATCAAAAATTTTTGCTACCCCATAAAATTGTTCTATGGAAGTAAAGTAACAACTTCATGCACCAGAATACCGGAAGTATTTTTTTTTTTAAGGAAAAAACTTATTTTATTGTTGAAACTTACTAAAAGCGTTCGGATTTACCCCGGTTGACCCTAATTTAGGAATATTTTTTCAAATTTTTCGTTATTAGAAAAAAATTTAGGATAATTTTGTTTTTTTAAAGAAAAAAAAAATAATACATACTTGAAAATCAGTAGTGAAAGCTTCTGGAATGAAATTGTGTCGTTGCATCACTTGATAAAGCATCTCGTGTGTTTCGACAGCGGGTTTTATGTCACCTTTCAGTACCTGTTTTTTTTTTTTTTTTGAAATAAAAAAGTAAAATTAAAACTTTTTCGTTGCAAAACAAAATTAATAATAAATTTACAATAAATTTACAAAAAATAGAATAAAATTGTAAAGAAGATAAAAAGGAGAATAAATTTTTAAAAAAAGTAAAATGGAAGATAAATTAAAATAAAGAAAAAAAACGGAAAAATAATAAAATAAAGAGAAAATTAACAAAAATTAAAAAGGAATAAAATTCTTTGAAAATAGGAAATGAATAATAATTTATTATATTTTTTGTAAATTTAAAAATATTTACCTGAAGTCCCGGCCAAAATGCCAATAATGCGTCCATAAAATTTTTTGCATTCGTATTCGGTCTATGCATATGAACATCGAGTAACATTGGTCCTTGACTAACGTATTTCATCACAGCTTGATAATGCCTATTAAATCGGCCCAAATATTTTTCATCACCTAATAAAAAAAATGCAAAATCAAAAAACAATATTAATTATTTTAAATTTCAATGTTATAATTAATATAGATCATTAAATTATTATCGCAAAAAAAAATTACCTAATTCATTTTAAAATTTTATTATTAAAATTCTAATTTTCTTCCCCCCCCCCCCCGTTAATTTATTAAATAAAAATAAATAAATTTCTTTATATTGTAAAAATATTATTAACGTATTTTTTTCAAAAAAAAAAAAAAATGTACAATTACCTAATAATATATAAGCTTTTAAACAATATTCATAATAGGAATCAATTCCGGCGCCAACTCCAGAATCACGTCGCACCCAATCTCCAGAATGAACGTTCAATACTGAACCCATTAAATCGGTTCCACGATGTCGCATTCGCCATAAAACGTCCATTGCCTTTTGCGCTTTATTCTAAAATTTATCAATTAATAAATTATTATTTCTACTATATTTAATTATAAAATAAAAAAAATTTATTGAAATTTACTTCGAAAATTGATTCTCCAGTAAGTCTTGAAAGAGCGGCCATTTCAAGAATCATACTTCCGGCACAGGCAGTGCAAGTTTCACGTGAAACCTCTAATGGTACTCCTTTCATTCCATATTTCAAATTAATCTACAAAAAAAAAAAACAATAAAATTTTTAAAATAATTTTTTATTTTTACTATTTTTTAAAAAAAAAAATAATTTCTTAAAATTTCTTTCTGTTTTTTGTAAATTTTATTTTATTTTTTTTTCTCTACTCACTCGTCCGTATGGAATTCCTGTTGTTGTATTAAATGCGGGCAAAAAACGATATCCTAAGTCTTTGGCTAAATTTAATAATTCACCTCTATACCATGGCATAATGTCAGCTCTTTGCTGTAAATATTCCGCCAAAATATGACCGCTGAGAAGTCCTCTAAAATTTGACGAAAAAAAAGAAAAAAAAAGATATTAAAAAAAAACCAAAATAAATTTTTTTCAATAATAAACGTTAATTTTTAAATAATAATAATAATAAATAAATATAGTAAAAATTTTAAAAATAAATATTAATATAAAAAAAAAGAAGGAAAAGAAAACTTACCCCAGCATTCTGATGTTGGTTTCAAAAAGTGAAACAATAACGTCAGTATCAAAAGTAACATCTTTGATGACTAGTTTAACTGCATTTTCAAATTCCTCAAAATCGCCTAGAACCTGAACAAAATAAATAAATAAACAAAAAAAATTAATTTATAAAATTCTTGTTAAAAATTTTTTTTTCTAAATTCTAGTAATTATTTTTCTTTCCTTTTTTTTTAGGCATTGTTTATTAAAATAAAAATAAAGAACTTACGACGAGAGTATCCAATGTGTCAACCAAAGTTAACGAAAAACTGAAAATTAAAATAATTTTTAGTTAACATTTTTTTCACCCTTCTTTTTTTTTTAATTTCAAAAAATGATTAATTTAAAATTCTTTTCGACATAATAATAATTATAATAATTACAATTATAAATATAATTATAATAATAATTATTATAAATATAATTATAATAATAATAATTATAAATAAATAATTAAATGGAACAAAAAAATCCTAATTATTGAAATAATAATAATTTAATTTTTTTTTAAATAATAAAGGTCCTTTTTTTTGTCGCATTCTTTAATAATAAAATTCTCGTAAATGGCAAATTTTAATAATAAATTTTAATTTTATCTTAGAAAATAAAAACGAGTTTATTTAAAACCCGTTTATGTTTAAAATAAATAAATAAAAAAAAAGACGGGACAAAGTAATATTAATAATTTAAGTATATATTATTTATTGAATTTCTTACTTTTGGACAAAAAAAAGTTTTTTTTATTTCATTTTTCCAAATAAATAAAAAAAAAATTTTCTTCTTTTTCAAGAATTATTTAAATCTTTAAATGTAAAATAATGTAAATATAATTTTTTCGCAAATATAATTATGTAAAAAAATTAATTTATATGTATTTAAAAAATTTTTTTTTTTAAATAACTCACTTTCCAAGGGTTGAGTCAATATCTCCTCTATTTGGCTCTGATCCTCTGTATCTTCCTTTACAACTTAATGGCATTAATTCATCCGCTGGATAAGCGTTGGCCTTGAAAAAAAAAATAAAGAAATAAAAAAAAAAAAAAAATTAACATAATTCATTATAAAATCAAACTATTTTTTTTTCTCTTTGTCATTCACTGAAATTTTCTATTTTTGTATAAAGAAGGAAAAAAAAGTATAAATTACCATATACGCATTATAAGCATGATAAAACATATCTCGTGCTTCTTCCCTGCAAAAAAGAAAAAAAAATTTTTTTTTTTAAAGTATTTAATATAAAATTCTTATTAATAATAATTTTAATGAAAAACAATTAATAATTTTCGTTCCTACTTCATTTCGCTTAATAATTTTTATATAAAAATTTTCAGGGTGTCGTAACAATTGCTAGGAAAAAAATTCCCTGACTTTTCCCTGATTATAATTACACTAAAAAAAATTTTATTTTGATCAAATAAAATTTATTTTGATACAATTAAATCATTCATCTGTGTCTATTATCCACTAATTTCATATATGTATTTGAACCAAATAAATGTTTCGTAAAATAATTAAATATTTAAGTGAAATAAATAAACTAATTATTGGGGACATATAAATATTCTCAACATTTAATTTAAAAGAATTTTTTCGGCGTCAAATTTTAAATTATCAAATTTTTATTTAGTAAAATTATATAAAGTAGATTTTCTGGTACATTGAATTTCAAATTAATACAATTTCAAATTTAACGGAATTTATGTCAAGAAAAATTGTATAAAGAAAATTTTTTTTCAACAGAATTGTTATTTTAGTAAATTTCGAATTAACAAAATATTTACTTAACAGTCATTGAATAAATCCACAATTAACATAATTTTTATTTAACAAAATTGTTAATTAACCAAAGTTTTGATTAAAGAAAATTTTAATTCCAACTAATTCTTATTTAACAGAATTCTCATTTAAGAAAAATTCTACCTCGTTCTTTTTTTTGTCAATTTTTCCAGACATAAATTTCGTTAAATTGAAATTATATTAATTTAAAATTTCAAAAAAAAATATTTAAAAAAATTGCTTTATAAGAATTTTGCTTCATAGAAATTCATTTTAAATCGAATTTTAGTTAAATGTAAATTGAAAATTTTGCATAATATAAAATCCACTTTATAGAATTTTGCTAAATAGAAATTCGATAATTTAATATTCGTCGCCGTAAAAATTTTTATAAATTAAATGTTGGTATTAGCATTAAATAATAAATTTCAATTCAAAATCTACTAAAATTCAATTATTTTCAAAATTTCCAATCCAAAATCAACCAAAATTCAAATATTTTCCAAATTTCAATTTAAAATAACGTAAAATTCAATTGAGGGTTCACATACAATAAGGGGACGCGCAGTATTTTCGTTAGCCCCTCGCGCAGCCGCAGAATCGCTGTACGCGGGGACTTTCACTTTCATGCGTATCCCCTTATTGCATGTGAACCCTCAATTATTTTTAAAAATTTTAATTCAAAATCAATGAAAATACAAATATTTTCCAAATTTCAATTTAAAATAACGTAAAATTCAATTATTTTTAAAAATTTCAATTCAAAATCAAACTAAAATTCAATTATTTTCAAAATTGTCAATTCAAAATCAACCAAAAATTCAATTATTTTTCAAATTTTAATTGAAATTCAGTAAATAAAAAAAATTTCAGTTCAAAATCATCTAAAATTCAATTATTTTCCAAAATTTCAATTAAAAATCAACTACAATTCAATTATTTTCCAAAATTTCAATTTAAAAGCTTCTAAATTTTAATTATTTCCAAAATTTCGCATCTTAAATTTTTTAAAATTTAATAATTCCAATTATAACTCTCCTCAAATTCAATTATTTTTAATTTATTCTTCGAAAAATTCAACTATCTAAAACCATTTTTCGCTTAAAAAGTTATTAAATTATTCTATTTTTGTCTGCAATATTTCTAATAAATTTTTTTTGGTGAAATCATCAAAAATTATAAATTAAAAATCACTTGTAAGTCAATTAATTTCAAAAATCAAAATTCTAAATCTTTGAAAATTCAATTATTTTTAAAAAATGTTATCCAAAATGTTATTTGATAAATTATTTTTAGTTCTGTAAAATTTAATTATTATCTGAAAATTAACAAAATCTTTTGAAATTCAATTATTTCTTAAAAATTCTATTTTAACTCTTCCAAAATTATTATTATTTAAAAAAAAAAATTATATTTAAAAATCTGTAAAACTTGATTAAGTATTGCCTGTAATTTTTTTGACCATCAAAAATTAAAAACTATGAAAACATTTTTAATTCGAATAAATAAATAAAATAAATTCTACTTAGTTCTTTTTTTAGTCAACTTTTAAAGACATAAATTTCGTTCAATTGAAATTATATTAATTAAAAATTTTTTTAAATATAAGAAAATTATAAGAGTTCTGCTAAATGGAAATTAAATCGAATTTTAGTTAAATGTAAATTGAAAATTTTGCATAATATAAAATCCAACTTTATACAATTTTGCTAAATAGAAATTCGATAATTTAATATTAGACGGTGTAAAAATTTTTATAAATTAAATGTGGATATTAGCATTAAATAATAAATTATTCGTATATTAATGAATAATTTACTTTATTTGAAGTTGAAACCGATAAAATAAAATACAAATAATTTTTATTTATACTAAAAAACCAAATATTTCACTGCAAAAAAATTAATTAATTGTTATCCAAGTTTAAAAAATCATTTATTAGATTCAATAAATAGTAGTAAATAATTATTTACTTAATGAATATAAAATATATCACATGCTTAATAATTGAGTATAAAGGCCAAATTTTTAATTTGCATTTGCCTTTGGGAAAAAAAGTAGAAAATTTTTTTTTGAAACTAATAGTTACTTTAATTTATTTATAAAAAAAATTCCAGAAAATTAAAGAAATTCCCCGATTTTTATGGAATTTTTATGTTAATTATTTTCCATTCTAAATTAAAAAAAAGAACATTTTACTTTTGGAAATTTTATTAATTTGGAAAAATAAATTTTTGAAATTTTTATACTTTGGGACATTTTGTACTTTGGAAAAATAAATTTTGGTAATTTTATACTTTGGGACGTTTTGTACTTTGGAAAAATAAATTTTTGGAAATTTTATACTTTGGGACATTTTGTACTTTGAAAAAATAAATTTTGAAAATTTTATAAATTTACTACATTTTAATAATTTGGAAATGTATAAAATTTTCAAAATTGAATTTTCCAAAGAAGAAAATAAAATAAAAATTAAAATGCCACAAAGTATAAAATTTCAAACATAAAAATTTACAAAAATTGTCTAAAAGTATAAAATTTCCAAAATTTATTTTTCCAAAGTACAAAATGTCCTACAGAATAAAATTTCCAAAATTTAATTTTCCAAATTAAAAAATATGCCAAAGTATAAAATTTACAAAAATTAATTTTCCAAACTATAAAAAAAATCCAAAAAATTAAATTTTCCAATGAAGAAAATAAACAAAAAAAAAAAAAAAAAAAAAAAAAGTGCCACAAAGTATAAAATTTTTCAAAAATAAAATTAAAAAAGTAGAAAATTTCAAAAATTTATTTTCCAAAATATAGAAAAAAAAATTCCAAAGTGATAAAATTTTCAAATTAGAAAATAAACCAAAAAAAAAAAATAAAATACTACAAAGTAGAAAATTTTTCAAAAATAAAATTAAAAAAGTTCAACACCCTGAGAATATTATAAATAAATATAATTTTATAATAATTAAATATAAAAGAAAATTAATTATTAGTAAAAAAATACTTATTTTTTAAAATTGTAAATGATAAAATAATAATAGTAATAATAATAATAATAATAATAATAATAATAATAATAATAATAACAAATAATAATAAAAAATAGTAATAATAATAAAACAATAAAAAATAATAATAATAATAACAAATAATAATAAAAAATAGTAATAATAATAATAACAAATAATAATAAAAAATAGTAATAATAATAATAATAAATAATAATAAAAAATAGTAATAATAATAATATAATAATTAATAAAATAAATAAATTTGAAATAAAAAATAATTTAAAAAAAATAGTTTTATAAATAAATACATATATATATATTATATAAAAAAAATTCTAATAATTCTTACTTTAAATTTTCTCGTTCCTCTTTGCTCATAAATTCAATATTATTTTCCTCGATTGCATGAGTATTGAAATATGAATTATATCGAAAAATGAGGAAACATCCCCAGAAAAATAAATAATTTGCCATCGTTGAAATAAATTTTGTTGTTGCTTATTTTTTTATTTTTTTTTTTATTATTATTATTTTGTTGTTGTTGTTTTTTTCCTGGTCAATATAATTCTTTTTGTCAGGATATTAAACACATTGTCGATTTTATCAACTATAATAAGCATTCTATAAATTTATTATTGATATTATTAAATTGCCCCTCGTACGTGGCATTTTTGTTTATTTGACACGACATCGTCATTATCATCATCATCATCATCATTATTATCTTCTGCGCGCACATTAAATATATATATATACACGAAAAAAAAACCACTTTAATCAAAAAAAGAAAATTAATTCACTCACGAAAATTTTTAAATATTTATTTCTTTTTATTAGTTTTAAAAGTCAAACATATGCTACGAATGAAAAAAAAATTATAAATTCGCGTAAATAAATTTCTAACCAACGTAACGCGAAACACTTTTTTTTTTATTAATCGAAAAGAAAATACTATTTAAAAAAAAGGGTAATTATTAATAAATTTTCACTTTCTGAGATATTTTTTTTCTTTTAATAAAATTAAATCTTTCTTTTCGTTCTAAATTGATAAATATATATATATATTTATATGGTAAAAAGGAAATTTTATTTTTAGGTTATAATTTCTCGCGGAATAATATAAGAATTAATTATGTTGTAAGTTTTTTTCTTTTTTGTCATTAGGAAAAAAAAAAAAAAAAAACTAGTGACTTAAATGGCGTATAAGGAAGATAATAAAAAAAAAATACGTTTTTTTTTTTCTTTTTTGATAAGAATTAATTGTTTCTATCAAGGCCAGATGATGTGGCCTGTTTGACAGCTCTGAATTATCTTTCACTTATATACATTTTATATATATATATATATATACGTTTATTTTATACCGATTATATCTATATACATACAAAACAGGAATAAAATATTGTTATCTCTTTATGACGTTTCATTGGTGGTTTTCAATGGGTTTTATTTTTTTCCCCCAAAAAAAAAGAAACCTTCAAAAAATTCACTTCACTCGCGCCTTGTAATTATAATTTTCAAACACTCGCGACGTTTTGAAAATGATTTTTTTATTTTTCATTTACCGATGAAATTATTATTTAACATTGTAAAATAATCATTTTTACAAATTATTTATTACAATTAAACAAAAAAAAGTAGTTATATATACATTTTATGCGATATATATATATCTTTTGTGCCCGAATCATATGATAAGTTTAGTTCCAATTTTCGACACCAGATGACGGCGCGAAAATTTAAATTCTTTTTACTTTTTTGAAAACTTAATTTTATTTTTTTATTTTTTTATTGTTTTATTATTATTATTATTATTATTATTATTATTCTATTATTATTATTATTATTATTATTATTACTCTATTATTTTATTATTTTATTATTATTTATTATTATTTATTATTATTTTATTGCTATTTTATTTTTATATTTAAACATAAAGGAAAAAATAGTGAATTTTAAATCGATATATATCGAATTAGGGAGCGTTCACACTTCGATTCGAAATAATCAATTATGTGTAAAAGCACCTTTAAGTGTCACATTTCGGATATTCTAAAAGTGCTTTTATACCTCCAGTATTTTAGTCAAGCAATCGGCTGGATTGGATTTTCACTGAATTTGATTGGCTCTGACAAATATTAGATTTTCATTGTGAAAATTCGATTTTTTTAGAGCCAATCAAATTTAATGATACTCCGTGAAAATCCAGCCGATTGCTTGACCAAAATACTAGAAGTATAAAAGTACCTTAAATTGGACAATTATTTTTTTCCTAAAAAATTTCCCCTATAGTTATCTAGAGACATTAATCCCCCTAATGTTGGTCAACCTGTATTTTTCCATTATGGCAGAAGAACAACGCATTGCCCATCTCTTTTCTCTGCGTTTCCTCTCAAGAGAACGTAAGCACAAAAACACGCTTTATTTTTTAAATCAATTTTTTTCAATGACATCAATTTAGAATTATTTTATTTTCATCAATAATAAAAATCATCAATTTCATTAGTTTAATTTAAAATTATTATTTCAGATACATCTTCATATCCACAGATATGTCAGACACGGAAAAGTAAGTAGAAATTTTTTTACCAAGTTTTATGTTTGTTATTCTTGTTTTTTTTTTTTTAATGCAGTTTAAAATTTTTGTATTAGTTTTGCGTTAAAATTCAAATTTTGTTTTTTTTATTTTGTCGTTTTTATTTTTAAAATGTGAAATTTTCTATTTTTTAACCCGTGAATGTAAATGTCAATATGTAACATAACCTCTTAAAATATTTCGATGGGAGAAATTTGGGAATTTTTTTTTATAAAGTGAAATTAATTTCTGCTTGATTGTGATTTAAGTAGTTTAATTGAAAAAAAAAATTACTTTTTTAATATTAATCATAAATTGAAAGAATGTAAACATAACCTTAAAAATTTTTTTTTTTTTTTTTTTTGGAGCAAACAATTCAAAACGGAATTTATTATTTGTATTAATATGATGTTATTTTAATTTAATTTTTATTTATTTTTATTGTTTCTTGTTAATTAAAATAAATGTTTATTTATTTAATAAAAAAAAATAGATTTCGTAAATTTATACAAAAACTTTTTTTTTTGAAATCTATAAAGTATTTCTCTTAGTAAATAGAGCAATCAAAATTTTTATTCATTGATTTGGATAAATTTTTTCGTAAATTGATTTTTTAGTAACGAATCCTTAAAATTAAAAAAAAAATAAAATAAAAATTTGCGTAAAAAAAAGTTAAAAATAAAAAATCGGGATTAATATTGAAAAAATGGAGTTAAACAATTTTTTTTTTATTCTTTTTGGCCTTGAAAACTACGAAAAAAATACTTCATTTTATTTTTTGTTTATTTTCTTCATTGGAAAATTTTATTTTGAAAATTTTATTTACTTTGGATTTTTTTCGATTTTGGAAAATTAATTTTTGGAAATTTTATACTATGGAACATTTTGTACTTTGGAAAATTAAAATTTTCAAAATTTTATACTTTTAGACATTTTTGTGTTTTTGTAAATTTTTAATTTTGAAATTTTAAACTTTGTGGAATTTTACTTTTTATTTATTTTATTCTTTAGAAAATTCAATTTTGAAAAATTTTATACATTTCCAAATTATTAAAATAGAGCAAATTTATAAAATTTCCAAAAATTTATTTTTCCAAAGTACAAAATGTCCCAAAGTATAAAAATTTCAAAAATTTATTTTTCCATATTAATAAAATTTCCAAAAGTAAAATGTTCTTTTTTTTTTATAGAATGAAAAATAATTAACATAAAAATTCTATAAAAATCGGGAAATTTCTTTAATTTTCTGGAATTTTTTATAAATAAATTAAAGTAACTATTAAAAAATTTTCTATTCAAAATGAACTAAAATTTAATTATTTTCAAAAATTTTAATCAAAAATTCAATTATTTTTCAAATTTCAATTCAAAATAACGTAAAATTTAATTATTTTAAAAATTTTCAATTCAAAATCAATGAAAATTCAAATAATTTCAAATATATTCAAATATTAAAAATAATTGAATTTGAGGAGAGTTATAATTGGAATTATTAAATTTTAAAAAATTTGAAATGGGAAATTTTGGAAATAATTAAAATTTAGAAGCTTTTAAATTGAAATTTTGGAAAATAATTGAATTTTAGTTGATTTTGAATTGAAATTTTGGAAAATAATTGAATTGTAGTTGATTTTTAATTGAAATTTTTTATAATTACTGAATATCAATTAAAATTTGGAAAATAATTGAATTTTTGGTTGATTTTGGATAATAATGGAATTTTAGTTGATTTTGAATTGAAATTTTTTTTAATTACTGAATTTCAATTAAAATTTGGAAATTTTTGAAAATAATTGAATTTTAGTTGATTTTGAATTGAAATTTTTTTTAATTACTGAATTTCAATTAAAATTTGGAAAATAATTGAATTTTGAATTGAAATTTTTGCAAATAATTAAATTTTAATTGAAATTTTTGAAAATAATTGAATTTTAGTTGATTTTGAATTTAAATTTTTAGAAATAATTGAATTTTACGTTATTTTGAATTAAAATTTTTGAAAATAATTGAATTTTCATTGATTTTGAATTGAAAATTTTAAAAAGTAATTGAATATTACTTTATTTTGAATTGAAATTTGGAAAATAATTGAATTTTAATTAAAATTTTTGAAAATAATTGAATTCATTTTTAATTACTGAATATCAATTAAAATTTGGAAAATAATTGAATTTTTGGATGATTTTGGATAATAATGGAATTTTAGTTGATTTTGAATTGAAATTTTTTTTAATTACTGAATTTCAATTAAAATTTGGAAAATAATTGAATTTTGAATTGAAATTTTTGCAAATAATTAAATTTTAATTGAAATTTTTGAAAATAATTGAATTTTAGTTGATTTTGAATTTAAATTTTTAAAAATAATTGAATTTTACGTTATTTTGAATTAAAATTTTTGAAAATAATTGAATTTTCATTGATTTTGAATTGAAAATTTTAAAAAGTAATTGAATATTACTTTATTTTGAATTGAAATTTGGAAAATAATTGAATTTTAATTAAAATTTTTGAAAATAATTGAATTCATTTTTAATTACTGAATATCAATTAAAATTTGGAAAATAATTGAATTTTTGGATGATTTTGGATAATAATGGAATTTTAGTTGATTTTGAATTGAAATTTTTTTTAATTACTGAATTTCAATTAAAATTTGGAAAATAATTGAATTTTGAATTGAAATTTTTGCAAATAATTAAATTTTAATTGAAATTTTTGAAAATAATTGAATTTTAGTTGATTTTGAATTTAAATTTTTAAAAATAATTGAATTTTACGTTATTTTGAATTAAAATTTTTGAAAATAATTGAATTTTCATTGATTTTGAATTGAAAATTTTAAAAAGTAATTGAATATTACTTTATTTTGAATTGAAATTTGGAAAATAATTGAATTTTAATTAAAATTTTTGAAAATAATTGAATTTTCATTGATTTTGAATTGAAATTTGAAAATAATTAAATTTTAGTTGATTTTGAATAGAAAATTTTTTAAATAATTGAATTTCAATTGGATTTTTTTTTGAAAATAATCGAAATTAAACTTATTAAAAATTTGTAATAATTATAAAATTATAATAATAATACGAATTTTTAGTGACGATGTTCCCTCAGCGGTAACTGCTGGAGGTCCAATGGACATTAATTCCGCTTTGCAGGAAGTTTTAAAAAATGCCCTCATTCACGATGGTGTTGTTCATGGACTTCATGAAGCCGCCAAATCCCTCGACAAGTAATTTTACTGTTTTTTTTTTCATTTATATTTTATTTATTTAATTATTTAAAATATATATTTATATTTATACTTTTTCCTTTCTTTTATAAAATAAGAAGAAGTATTTTTTTTTCTATATTTTTAAAATATTTGTAAATTAATATTATTTTTAATATTTTCAAAAATATTTCTTTTTAATTGTTTTAAAACTATTTTTATAATATATTTAACTTAAAGTGAGATTTAATTTATTTTTTGTTTATTTTAAATATTTAAATTTAAAAAAAAAAAATAAATACCTTTTTTTGTCAACTTTTTAAATTTTTAAGTAGATAATATAATTTAATTAAAAGTAATTTTAATTTACATTAATTTTAATTTAGAGTAATTTTAGTTTAATTTTTGATTAAAATTAATTTTTATTTTTTATAGTATTTATTTTGATTTACTGCAATATTAGTAAATTACAATTATAAATATTTTTTTTTGAAAAATTTAAAATTAAATTTCCATTTTTTTGTTTCGCTAATAAAAAAATTTAGTTTCTTGAAATAATTTTATTTTAATATTATTTATTTATTTTTTTTTTTGTTTAATAGAAAATAAATAATAAATTGTAAATTTTGAACAATTTAGGAGGCAAGCAATGTTGTGTATTTTGGCGGAAAATTGCGACGAAGGAATGTACAAGAAGCTCGTTCAGGCACTTTGCAATGAGCATCAAATTCCATTAATTAAAGTGGATAATAATAAAAAATTAGGCGAATGGGCTGGTCTTTGTAAAATCGACAACACCGGCAAAGCCAGAAAGGTCGTTGGCTGCTCTTGCGTTGTAATCAAGGTAATAATTGAAAATTTCAATTATTTTTTTTCTAATGAAACCAGACAAAAATCGAATTTCTAATTTTATTTATTTTTTTGTCAATTTTTAAAATTTTGTTTACAATATTTCGATTTTTTTTGTTTTTTTTTTTTGTTTATAGAATGAAACAAATTTTTCATTAAAAAAATCTTTTCAATTAATTAAATTATTTATTTATTTACAGAAACAGATTTTTTTAGTTTGTAAGAGAAAAAAAAATTGTAATTTTTTATACTAAAACTAAATTAGAATAAAAAAATTACAATTTTTTTTTTAAATTTAAGCATTGATAAAAATTTTAATTTATAAATTAATTTTTGTTAATAAATAAAGCGATTTATGTCGGGTTCCATTTTATTTTATAATTATTATTATTATTATTTAAAATGATGAAATTTTGGCTCCCTCTTCTGAGACGAACCCAAATATATAAAAAAAAAAAATCTGCTGATTTTACGCCTTTCTGATAATTATTTAAAAAAAAAAGGAAAAAAAAATTAATTTCGAAAACCAAAATTCTAATGGAAACGTTTTTTTTTTTTTTTTTTGTTTTCTATTTTTCAGGACTTCGGAGAGGAAACACAGGCCAAGGATGTTCTCATGGAATATCTTAAACAAAATACGGTACATTAGTTGTCGAATAAATTTTTTTAAGTTCATTCACTGAATTTTTTTATTTAGTAATTAATTTAATTTCCCCTTCCCGCCAAATTCTCTATTTTATTAAGAAAAAAAAACCAAAAAAATTAATTGTATATTAATTTTTTTTTATTTAATAAATTGATTTTTATTGCTAATTATTTAATTAATATTTTTCAAATTTTTGATAAATAAAATTATTTGAATTAAATTTTTATATACGGAAAAAACTAGTAAAATAGTTTTTTTTTACATTTTTTTTGTTTTCAAATATTTTTTTATTTTCTTTTTATTATTAAAATTTTTATTTAATATTTAAATTATTTATTATTTTAATTTAAACGAAAATTTTATTTTATAAAATATATTTTATAATTATTTAAATATGTGACGCGTTCTGAAAAGAGGACCTTAGAAGGGAAAGAAATTTTAGGTTATGTTTATGATTGTTTTAATTAAAAATAAACAAAGATTAATTAACTTTCAATAAATAAAACTATTAAGATATAATTTTTTTAAAAATAAATGTAATATTTACTCATTAAAAATAAGGAATTTAATTCCTAAAAATAATTAATTTTTAATAAAAAAAAAGGCTAAAAAAATTATAGGTTATGTTTATGATTGTTTAAAGTAAACAGAGAAAATTAGCGATTAACTTTCAATAAAGAAAACTAATATTTAATATAATTAAAAATAATAATAATAATAAATAATCTAAGAACTATCATAAACATAACCTATAATTTTTTGCTTCTTAAACGTCCCTTTCTTTTTAAATTTTAATTGTTTAATTATAAATCAAAATAGTTTTCATTATTTAATAATTTAATGTTTACTTTCTTATTAATTATAAAATAATTATTTATATTATAATTCATTAATAAAAGCAAATTTATTTAATAAAAAATTATTATTTTTAAAATATTTTTATTTTCCTATTTTCGAAAAAAATGCCATTATTTAAAATTCCCGCCAACAATGCGTTTTGCGTTAAATTTTTAAATTCTAACGCAGTCATGTAAACACAGCCTTTAAGGCGTTTGTACACCTCACAAATTCTAAAGGCGCTCTCACACCTTTTTGACTGCCTGCAGGTTACCATGGCAACGCACGGGAGTGAGTGCGACAGAAAATTTAAAAATTTGAATATTCAAAATTTTCTGTCACACTCGTGCGTTGCCATGGTAACCTGCAGGCAGCCAAAAAGGTGTGAGTGCACCATAATGGAGCATTTACACCTTCGGCAAAAAATTTTCTTCACTTTGCATTTTTCGAAACACACTTACCTGATTGGTTGTCCAGAATTTGATTCATTATTGTGAACAACCAATCAGGTAAGTGTATTTCGGAAAATTCAAGGTGAAGAAAATTTTTTTTGCCGAATGTGTAAATGCTCCATCAGAATTTGTAAAGGCACTCTCACACCTTTTTGGCTGCCTGCCTACCATGACAACGCACGAGTGTGAGTGAGACAGAAAATTTGAATATTCAAATTTTAAAATTTTCTGTCGCACTCACTCTCATGCGTTGCCATGGTAACCTGCAGGCAGCCAAAAAGATGTGAGAGTGCCTTAAGGTGTACAAGCGCCTTTAAGATGCCTAAACAGGGATCGGTAGGTAACATACTTAAAGGTAAAATACCTTCAGTATTTTTGGTCAAGCTCGATTGAATTTTCACAATTATATCCCTAATTTTGATTGGCTCTGACAAATATTCAATATTCAAAAAAATGTTTTTTTCATGAAAATCGTTGTCTTCGAGAGACAATACGATTTTTGCCCATTGTGAAAGTAGCCTAAAAGTTACGTTCCAATCCCTGCTCTTTAACTCTCTCTCTGTCTTTTTTTCCGTGTTCCACCTACCCAACCCTGCGATAAGCGCGCGCATTAAATATATTCCATCCCAATTTAAGGCCTAAGCAGAATAAATTCTTGAACGGGAAGGCAAACGTAAACGGAAACGTAAGAATGTGTAAGAGAAGGATAGCAAATATCTTTATTCTTCTCTCACTCATTCTTACGTTTCCGTTCACGATTGCGTTCCCGTTCAAGAATCTATTCTGCTTAGGCCTTTAGCATCAGTCCCCCACTAAACGGTCGCCATTTTTATTTTCTGGCAAAACGAATTAGTTCGTTGAGGTTGTGTGATTATCGTCATATATATATATATATTTTTTTTTCGTTTTTATTAATATTAAAATAAAAATATATAATAAAAGAAAAATAGAAAGTTTTGTGTGTGCTTTGTTGTTTTTTTTTTTGGTGAAAAAAAAGAAAGAAAAATTGAAATTTATCATAAATGAAGATGGTAGATAAAATTGAAATGAGCCTCGACGATATTATAAAGCAAAATAAAGGTGGAAGAAGCCGTGGCGGCGTTGGTGGACGACGTGGAAGAGGTATTACCGGCGGTTCACCCCGTAGAGGAGCCCGTGGTGCCCAAAGAGCTGGCGGTGGCGTCATGAGAGGACGTAATCGCGGTGGAATCGTACGAAATTCACTTCCCTACACAAGAGTAAGTAAAAAAAAAAATATATATTTGATTCTCGAAAATTTCCCCCGCTTTTTTTTTCTCTTTTTTTTTCCGAAAAAAAATCGATTATTTTTAGAAAAATAATTTCTGTAATTTATGTTAGGGAAAAAAAAAATTAATTTTTCTTGTATATATTGAGAAGGCATTTTTCGGATGATGTAAACACGCTTTTGAAATAGTGGAACTGTTTTTATATTCTTGTTTCCTTTTTGCTTCTATAATATATACGATGATAAATATATATACATGTGTGTGTGTGTGAAATTCGATTAAATTCTCGAAATTTTGTCAATTTCTTCGAACTAGGTCGTTTGAAAACGAAAAAAGATATTTGTGTGAAATTTTTTTTTTTTTGTGCTTGAAAAATGAAAGGAAAATTTATTTTTAGTGAATAAAATTGTGAGAATAGAAAAAAAAAATAAAAACAGAACCGAAAGGTAATTTTAATTTCTCTGTTGGGATTTATCTTATCGAATCAAATTTCTGTTTTTGCTTACAATGACCGTTATAATGACGTCATTTTTGTCTCGGTGAAATTTTTAATTCGTTAACAATATTTATTTTATTCTCATTGTATATAATGAAAATGTCTTAAATTTGTGCTATTTTTTTCTTTTTTTTTTTTTTTAATTTTTATTCCAATTTTTCTTGTTTGGAAAATATTTGTTTGTTTTGTAATTTTGTATTTTTTTTTGTTTCCTTTTTAATTTTTTGTTAATTATTTTTAAATTTTTGTTTCTTTCTTTATTTTTTTTTTTATTATTTTTACTTCTTTCTAAACATTATTTTTTTTTATTATTTTTCCTTTATTTTGTGTTTTTTTTTTTGCTTCTTTTTGTATTACATTTGCTTTTATTTTATTTTTTATTATTTATAGTTCTTTGCATTTTGGCTTTGAATGAACTTCCGGTACACAGAAATAAATTTAAATTATAATCTATAATACAAAACAAAAATTATTTTTACTTTCTTTTATAATTTTTATATTTGCTTCCACTTTGTTTTACTTTTTTTTACTTCTATTTGTATTATTTTTATATTTCCTTTTTTTAAAATTATTATTTTTGTATTATTTTTACTTTTTTTTTTGTAGTAAGTTTATTTTTGTTTCATTTTATTTATTATTTTTATTATTGCTTTCTTTTGAATTAGAAATTCGTTTTGATGAAAATTCTTGCAAAATACTAATTCGAAAAAAATAAAAATTTGACTCAAAAATAATTATGACAAATGAAATTCCATAGAATGAAAATTTTAACTAATAACAATAATAATAATAATAATAATAATAATAAAATGTTCAAAACAAATTTATTTTCAAATTACAAATTTCTAATTATCAAAAATTTGTACTTTGAAAAATAAATTTTGGAAATTTTCTACTTTTTAAATTTTATTTAGAAAATTTTCTACTTTGTTGCATTTTATTTTTTGTTTATTTTCTAATTTGGAAAAATTTAATTTTGGAAATTTTATACCTTAGATTTTTTTGATTTTGGAAAATTAATTTTTATAAATTTTATACTTTGTAACATTTTTTAATTTGGAAAATTTAGTTTTGGAAATTTTTTACTTTGGATTTTTTTTTGATTTTGGAAAATTAATTTTTGTAAATTTTATACTTTGGAACCTTTTTTTAATTTGGAAAATTAAGGTATCACATCGGTAAAACCGTTTTCTATAGATTTTCTTGAAAATTTTACCATATGTTCTTATTATCATTCTTGACAAATTTGCAAAATATGAAGAATTTTCACCGTACGAAACCAGAGATATTAGCAATCAAAGTTGCTTATTTTGCATGGGAGACGGGACTAATGTATGGGGGAGAAGTACATTTTCATAAATATCATCAGAAGTTTTCTATAAATTTTTTTCAAAAACTAATGTTGAATTCACGAATAAATTTGGAACTAAAATATACAAAAAAATTTATAGTTTACCGTGCCGTTTATTTGTAATTATAAATTAAAAATTCTATTTCATGACGTCATTTGCAATATATAGCACACCCGCCACTTTGATGTGGCAACATTGCAGGATGGTAACATTAGTTAGAGAGAGACAGTAGTCCACAGTAGTCAAAGCGAGACTTATAGCGACGTTGTCAAACCTCCTACTCCTTTCAATCGCTGCTAGTGTGGGGTATACGTGTACGAGTGTATTTGTAGAAGTAGGTACAGTATGGGCTGAGAGTATAGGGAGTTGAGGGCGAAAGTATAGTGCGGGAAGTATTAATGCGAACTACAAACTTTTGACTCCGATTAGTGCCGATGTGATACCTTAAATCTTGAAAATTTTATACTATGGGACATTTTGTACTTTGGAAAATTAAATTTTGGAAATTTTATACTATGGGACATTTTTGTATTTTTGTAAATTTTTATTATTGAAATTTTATACTTTATGGAATTTTACTTTTTATTTATTTTCTTCGTTGGAAAATTCAATTTTGAAAATTTTATACATTTTCAAATTATTAAAGCAAATTTAAAAAATTTCAAAAATTTATTTTTCTAAAGTACAAAACGTCCCAAAGTATAAAATTTCCAAAAATTTATTTTTCCAAAGTACAAAATGTCCCAAAGTATAAAAATTTCTAAACTTTATTTTTTTCCATATTAATAAAATTTCCAAAGGTAAAATGTTTTTTTTTTTTTTAATAGAATGGAAAATAATTAACATAAAAATTCCATAAAAATTAGGGAATTTCTTTAATTTTCAGGAATTTTTTTTATAAATAAATTAAAGTAACTATTAGTTTCACAAAAAAATTTATTTACTTTTTTCCCCAATCGCAAATGCAAATTAAAAATTTGGCCTTCACACTCAATTATTAAGCATGTGATATATTTTATATTCATTAAGTAAATAATTATTTACTACTATTTATTGAATCTAATAAATGATTTTTTAAACTTGGATAACAAATTTCTTAATCTTTTTTCAGTGAAATATTTGGTTTTTTAATATAAATAAAAATTATTTAAATTTTATTTTATCGGTTCAACTTCAAATAAAGTAAATTATTCATTAATACGAATAATTTATTATTTAATGCTAATATCCACATTTAACTTATAAAAATTTTTACGCCGTCGAATATTAAATTATCGAATTTCTATTTAGCAAAATTGTATAAAGTTGGATTTTATATTATACAAAAATTTTCAATTTACATTTAACTAAAATTCGATTTAATTTCCATTTAGCAGAACTCTTATAATTTTCTTATATTTAAAAAAATTTTTAATTAATATAATTTCAATTGAACGAAATTTATGTCTATAAAAATTGACAAAAAAAAAGAACTAAGTAGAATTTATTTTATTTATTTATTCGAATTAAAAATGTTTTCATAGTTTTTAATTTTTGATGGTCAAAAAAATTTCAGGCAATACTTAATCAAGTTTTACAGTTTTTTAAATATAATTTTTTTTTTTTTAAATAATAATAATTTTGGAAGAGTTAAAATAGAATTTTTAAGAAATAATTGAATTTCAAAAGATTTTGTTAATTTTCAGATAATAATTAAATTTTACAGAAATAAAAATAATTTATCAAATAACTTTTTGGATAACATTTTTTAAAAATAATTGAATTTTTCAAAGATTTAGAATTTTGATTTTTAAAATTAATTCAACTTCAAGTGATTTTTAATTTATAATTTTTGATGATTTCACCAAAAAAATTTATTAGAAATATTACAGACAAAAATAGAATAATTTAAAAACTTTTTAAGCGAAAAATGTTTTTAGATAGTTGAATTTTCCGAAGAATAAATTAAGAATAATTAAATTTGAGGAGAATTATAATTGGAACTATTAAATTTTAAAAAATTTGAAATGCGAAATTTTGGAAATAATTAAAATTTAGAAGCTTTTGAATTGAAATTTTTGATAATAATTGAATTGTAGTTGATTTTGAATTGAAATTTTGAAAAATAATTGAATTTTAGTTGATTTGGAATTGAAATTTTTTTTTAATTACTGAATTTCAATTAAAATTTGGAAAATAATTGAATTTTTGGTTGATTTTGGATTTACAATTTTGAAAATAATTGAATTTTACGTTATTCTGAATTGAAATTTGGAAAATATTTGAATTTTCATTGATTTTGAAATAAAATTTTTAAAAATAATTGAATTTTACGTTATTTTGAATTGAAATTTGGAAAATAATTGAATTTGAATTAAAATTTTGGAAAATAATTGAATTTTACGTTATTTTGAATTGAAATTTGGAAAATAATTGAATTTGAATTAAAATTTTGGAAAATAATTGAATTTTCTTTGATTTTGAATTGAAATTTTTAAAAATAAAATAATAATAATTTAGCAGAACTGTTATAAAGCATTTTTTCTAATAATTTGTTTAAAAATTTTAAATTCCATATTCTGAATATGTGTTTAATATTTAGTAAAAATTAAAAAAAAAGTTTTGATATTAATTTTTATTTTATTTATTAAAAATTTTCATTTATTTATTTTAATTTGCAAAGTGAAGTTTTTGAAAGTGTTTTTTTTATAATCATTGGTACAAAAAGTAGAAAAGAAAATTATTGTAATAATAAATTTTCTATGATTTATTTATTTATTTTGTGGAATTATTTTTTTTAGGGCGATGTGAATCTTGCATGGAAACATGATATGTTTGATGGAGTGAAAAAAGTCGGTCGCGGCCTGATTGGCAGCTCTGGAACCACCAAACTTTTGGTATCCAATCTCGATTTTGGAGTTTCCGATTCAGATATACAGGTGAGCAAAATTTTTTTCTTTATTTTATTATAATTTGTATTTTTTTTCTTTTTTATAATTTATTGCCTAATACTTATATTAATATTTCAATTTAATAAATAAATTTAATTATTTATTTATTAATTTTATTTATTTATTAATTATTATATTATTTATTTATTAATTTTATAAATTTACAGTAAATAAATAGTAAAGTAAAATAGTATTTTTTATTTCTTTATTTATTTATTTATTCAAGTAAATAAGAATGTAACAGGATTTTTTTTTTTTTTATTATAAATAATTTTTTTCAATTGTAAAAAGAAAATTAACAATTAAAAAGGAAAATTTTGTTTCTTTTTGGAAAATAAAAGGGTTTTTTTTCCTTAAAATTGCTTCTTTTTGGAAAATAAAAGGTTTTTTCCTTAAAATTGCTTCTTTTTGGAAAATTAACGATTTTTTCCTTAAAATTGCTTCTTTTTGGAAAATAAAAGGGTTTTTTTTCCTTAAAATTGCTTCTTTTTGGAAAATAAAAGGTTTTTTCTTTAAAATTGCTTCTTTTTGGAAAATAAAAGGTTTTTTCCTTAAAATTGCTTCTTTTTGGAAAATTAACGATTTTTTCCTTAAAATTGCTTCTTTTTGGAAAATAAAAGGGTTTTTTTTCCTTAAAATTGCTTCTTTTTGGAAAATAAAAGGTTTTTTCTTTAAAATTGCTTCTTTTTGGAAAATAAAAGGTTTTTTCCTTAAAATTGCTTCTTTTTGGAAAATTAACGATTTTTTCCTTAAAATTGCTTCTTTTTGGAAAATAAAAGGGTTTTTTTTCCTTAAAATTGCTTCTTTTTGGAAAATAAAAGGTTTTTTCCTTAAAATTGCTTCTTTTTGGAAAATTAACGGTTTTTTCCTTAAAATTGTTTCTTTTTGGAAAATGAAAGGTTTTTTCCTTAAAATTGCTTCTTTTTGGAAAATTAACGGTTTTTTCCTTAAAATTGTTTCTTTTTGGAAAATGAAAGGTTTTTTCCTTAAAATTGCTTCTTTTTGGAAAATAAAAGGTTTTTTTTCCTTAAAATTGCTTCTTTTTGGAAAAAAAAACTAATTTTCTTTTGTTAATTTTCATTTAGAAATCGAAAATTAAATTTATTCAATCAAAAAAATGTGTGTATTTTTTTTTTTTAGGAACTTTTCAGTGAATTTGGTCCGCTAAAATCGGCTGCAGTTCATTATGATAGATCTGGTCGTTCTTTGGGCTCAGCCGATGTTATTTTCGAAAGAAGGGCAGACGCAATTAAAGCCATGAAACAATACAATGGAGTTCCTCTTGATGGTAATTATTAATTTTCCCCCCCAAAAAAAAAGAAAATAAAATAAAATTCTTTATAATAATTAAATTAAAATTTGAAATTTGTATATTTTGCGCAAATTTTATTTATTTTCAAAAAATAACTTTTAAAAGAAATTGAAATATATTTAGAGAAAATTTATTAAATTTTTTTTTTTTTCAACAAATAGAGAAAATAAAAAAACTAAATAAATCTGTACAAATAAATAATTAAACAAATAAATAAATTTTGAAGGTCGTGAGATGAATATTCAAGTGGCAACTTCAGAGATTCCAGTTCCACAGACAATTCGCAATACATCGAGAATTGGAGGCGGCAATTTTCCACAAAGATCACAACAACGTTTCCGAGGAAGTCGAGGAAGCGGACCCACCAGAGGTAGGGAAAAAAATAAAATTTATTTCCTTTTTTTAAAATTAAAAAATAAAAATTAATAAAACATTTTTCTATGTAGAGAAAATTAAAAAAATTTCTAAATATAAGAAAAATTGTTTCTAAGTAGAAAAAAATTTAAAAAGAAAATTTCTCTACGTAGAGAAAATTTAGAAATAAAAATAATTAAATACTAAAAATTAAATAATAAAAAAAATTCCCCTAAAGGTCGAGGAGGCGGTGGAGCGGGACGCAGAGGTGGAAGAGGCGGTAATCGCACAGCGACAAAAACCCCAACAGCCGAGGAACTTGACGCCGAATTGGAAGCTTACGTTAAAGAAGTAAAGTAACGTAAAATCGTAACAAAAAAAAAAAAATAATAATAATAAATAATAATAATAAATAACGAAAGAAAATAAAAAATTTAAAAACAAAATATCTTGCACGCGTTTCACAAGAAGACAAAAATAAAAAAAAAAAATCGATCCTATGTTTATATTATCTGCACACAATGAAAGAATGTGTGTGTTTTGTCCTTAATCTCTTTTTAATTTTTTTTTTCTCGTATTATATAAAAAAAGTGACAATGCGTGTATACAATGACTTTAATCGAAAAAAAAAAATCATCATTCGGCCCTTAATTCTGTGTGGGTTTTTTTTTTTTCACCACGTAGTAAAATATAAAAGGGTCAGGGGAAAAAAAACCTTTTTTTTTTTTTTTATTTATATATTTGTAATAACTCGGCGACCAATGAATTAATACCAATTATTTCTAAGTTTACCCCATTTTTTTTTCTTTTTTAATCACACACACATATATTGTTAAAAAAAAATTTATAAATAAATTCAATTTTAAAGACTGTATGAATTTTTGTATGAGAGTGCGATTATTATATAAAAAAAAAAAAGAAATTGAAGGAGTACATTACCAAAAAAAAAAATAAAAATACTAGAAATAATAAACACACACAAAAAAAAAGAAATAAAAATAGAGAAAATTCGCAAAAAAAAAGTCAATTTTTCTCATTTATAATAGCCCTTTAATAAACACATGATAAATCTTCTGTACATATATATGTTTATGAAAAAATATTCACTAGAAGTTAACGATTTCGGGGGACGACGTTTTTTTTTCAAAAAACAAAAAAAAAATTACACTAAAAAAAAAACGCTTTTTTTTTAATTCTCTTCTTCTTTTTTTTGTGTTCTATTTTTATTTTAACAACTTAAAAGTAAAAATCAGTCGAGATTTTTGTTTCTTTTTCTCTCTCTTTTTTTTTAAATAAATTCTTTATACACATTATGCAAAATTTTTTATGGGGGGAGGGAAAATATTTTAGCACGCTAAAAAGAAAAAAAATAAACAAAAATTGACAACAACGACGAAAATCAAAAAATTACACTAAAATTTTTCTCGAATTTTTAATAATAATTATTTTATACTTTAGTTTCTTATTGATTTTTTTTTTTTTTATAATCTTTTTAATGTTCTTCTTTTGTCCTTGAGCATTTTTTTCTTCTCTGCGGTTAATTTTTTATCGCCAGCGTGCTTTTTGGGAAGTGGACCGCCAGCATCGAGGAATTGTGATCCATTTTCGAGACCGATTTTTCCTTTTCTAATTGCCTAAAAGAACGATTAAAAATTATTTAAATTAATTTTTTTTTTTCATTGTTTTAATTTTCAAATTATTTTTATATAATTTGTCAATTTCTAAAAAAAATTGTACTTAAAATTCTTCGTTTAATTAATTTTTTTTTTTTTAATAATTTTAATTACAATTTTTCTACAATTCAGAAAAAATAAAAAGGTTTTTATTTAATAGAAATAATTTTAAAAAAATTTTGAATTCTTTAAAGTTTGTAAAAAAAAATGTTATCAATTAAAAATGAAACTTTTAATTTAAAATCTTATGAAATTTCTTTACTTTCATAAAAAAAAAAGTTTTAAATCGATCGCTTCTATAATTCAATTATTTTATTTTATTTTACTTTTATTTACTCACTTGTGCGTGAACTTCTGTCATCATTTTCGCTCTATCCGAATAATCATCGTACCTTTCCAATAGTAATTTACCTGCTTCCTCATTAAGCGCAGATTCGGCATTTGGAACAATTAGCAGACACTTTACGGTCTAATTAAAGAGGAAAAAAAAATTATTTATTATTATTTCATTGAAAACAAAAAAAAGCAAATTCCGAATATAAAAAAAAAAAAATTTAATAGGAGCCGCATGATTGTGTTCTAAAAATCATAACAGGATTTATAATTTGGAAAATTAAATTTTTTAAATTCTTATAATTTAGAACATTTTAATAATTAGGAAATGTATGAAATTTACAAAAATTTATTTTTCCAAAGTAATTTATTTTACTTTAATTTATTCATTAAAAAACTTCCAGAAAATTAAAAAAAATTCCCCGACTTTTCCCTGATTATTATGGAATTTTTATGTTAATTATTATCCATTCTATTAAAAAAAAAACATCTAACTTTTGAAAATTTTGTACTTTAGGACCTTTTTGTACTTTGGAAAAAGAAATTTTGGAATTTTTATAAATTTGCTACATTTTAATAATTTGAAAATGTATAAAATTTTCAAAATTAAATTTTCCAACGAAGAAAATAAAAAAAAAAAATAAAATGCCACAAATTATAAAATTTCTAAAAGTATAAAATTTTCAAAATTTAATTTTCCAAAGTACAAAATGTCCCCAAAGTATAAAATTTCCAAAATTTAATTTTCCAAATTAAAAAATGTCCCAAAGTATAAAATTTCCAAAAATTTATTTTCCAAAATCGAAAAAAATTCAAAGTAAAAAATTTCCAAAACTAAATTTTCCAAATTAAAAAATGTTACAAAGTATAAAATTTCCAAAAATTAATTTTCCAAAATCAAAAAAAATCTAAGGTATAAAATTTCCAAAATTAAATTTTCCAAAGTAGAAAATAAACAAAAAAAAAAGCCACAAAATTCCAAAATTATTATTATTTAAAAAAAAAAAAATTATATTTAAAAATCTGTAAAACTTGATTAAGTATTACCTGAAATTTTTTTTCACCATCAAAAATTAAAAACTATGAAAACATTTTTAATTCGAATAAATAAATAAAATAAATTCTACTTAGTTCTTTTTTTTTGTCAATTTTTATAGACATAAATTTCGTTAAATTGAAATTATATTAATTTAAAATTTTTAAAAAAAGTATTAGAAAAAATGCTTTATAAGAGTTCTGCTAAATAGAAATTAAATCGAATTTTAGTTAAATGTAAATTGAAAATTTTTGCATAATATAAAATCCAACTTTATACAATTTTGCTAAATAGAAATTCGATAATTTAATATTCGACGGCGTGAAAAATTTTTATGAATTAAATGTGGATATTAGCATTAAATAATAAATTATTCGTATATTAATGAATAATTTACTTTATTTGAAGTTGAAACCGATAAAATAAAATACAAATAATTTTTATTTATATTAAAAAACCAAATATTTCACTGAAAAAAGATTAAGAAATTTGTTATCCAAGTTTAAAAAATCATTTATTAGATTCAATAAATAGTAGTAAATAATTATTTACTTAATGAATATAAAATATAACACATGCTTAATAATTGAGTGTGAAGGCCAAATTTTTAATCTGCATTTGCGATTGGGGAAAAAAGTAAATAAATTTTTTTGCGAAACTAATAGTTACTTTAATTTATTTATAAAAAAAATTCCTGAAAATTAAAGAAATTCCCTAATTTTTATGGAATTTTTATGTTAATTATTTTCCATTCTATTAAAAAAATAAGAACATTTTACCTTTGGAAGTTTTATTAATATGGAAAAAATAAATTTTGGAAATTTTTATACTTTGGGACATTTTGTACTTTGGAAAAATAAATTTTGGAAATTTTATAAATTTCCTACATTTTAATAATTTGAAAATGTATAAAATTTTCAAAATTAAATTTTCCAACGAAGAAAATATAAATAAAAATTAAAATGCCACAAAGTATAAAATTTCAATAATAAAAATTTACAAAAATACAAAAATGTCCCATAGTATAAAATTTCCAAAATTTAATTTTCCAAAGCACAAAATGTCCCAAAGTATAAAATTTTCAAAATTTTATTTTCCAAATTAAAAAAAGGTTCCAAAGTATAAAATTTACAAAAATTAATTTTCCAAAATCAAAAAAAAATCCAAAGTAAAAAATTTCCAAAACTAAATTTTCCAAATTAAAAAATGTTACAAAGTATAAAATTTCCAAAAATTAATTTTCCAAAATCAAAAAAAATCTAAGGTATAAAATTTCCAAAATTAAATTTTCCAAAGTAGAAAATAAACAAAAAAAAAAGCCACAATGTATAAAAGTTTAAAAATAAAATTAAAAAAGTAGAAAATTTCCAAAATTTATTTTCCAAAGTACAAATTTTTGATAATTAGAAATTTGTAATTTGAAAATAAATCTGTTTTGAACTTTTATTATTATTATTATTATTATTATTATTAGTTAAAATTTTCAATGAATTTCATTTGTCATAATTATTTTTAAATTATCAACCAATTACAATTTTATGGATAATTTTTTGATTGGTTGATAATTTAAAAATTCGCGCCCAAAATTGATTGTTTCGATCATTTATGCAATTTCGGACAAATGAAAATTCTTATCAATTATAGAAATTCTGTTAAATGATTTTTCGATTAAATAAAAATTCTGCGAAATAATCGGTTTTCATGCAAAATTCAATCAAATAGGTAATAATTCAAATAAATGAAAATTCATTTGAAAAAGAATAAAATTTGAAAATTCTATTACAATTAAATTCTAGCCAATAAAAATTCTTTAAAATGTCCTATTATGTTAAATAAAAATTCTGACAAATAAAAATTCGAATAAATAAAAATTCGAACAATTAAAAATTCGAACAAATAAAAATTCGGCTCAAAAATAATTATGAGAAATGAAAATTTTGACGATTTTGACTAATGATTTTTTAGAACATAATCGTGCGTCCCTTTTTTTTATATATATAAAAAAAATGTTAATTTTAAATATTTTCACTCACCAATAGAATGTGTTTTATTCCGAGATCAGATTTCCAATCTTTTTTTAAAGTATTTACGCAAATTTCACCATTTTTCGCAACATTTGGATGGAAAATTTTCGTAAGAAAAAAGGCCTTCGGTGGTCCCTGTGGAAAATCTTTTCCCAATGCCAATTTCACTTTAAAAAAACCACCCGCGTATGGAGTTCCGGCTATGGCAAAGAAGAAACAAATTTTTTATTCCCCTCCCTTCTAATATAACCTCAAAAACTATTTTTTTTTTGTTAAAAAGAATTGTTTTTTCCTAACATAACCTCAAAAAATATTTTTTTTCGTAAAAAAAAATTGTTTTCTTCCTAACATAACCTCAAAAAATATATTTTTTCGTAAAAAAAATTATTTTTTTCCTAACATAACCTCAAAAAAATTTTTTTTTTTTTGCCAAAAATCATTTTTGGTATAAAAAAATTTTATTTCTTATTCCTAACATAACCTTAAAAAACTATTTTTGAAAATAATAGTTATAAACAAAAAATTGTTTTTTCCTAACATAACCTCAAAAAATATTTTTTTTTTTTGCTAAAAATCTTTTTCGTAAAAAAAATTATTTTGTTTTCCTAACATAACCTCAAAAAAAAATATTTTTTTTTTTGCCAAAAATCATTTTTGGTATAAAAAATTTTTATTTCTTATTCCTAACATAACCTTAAAAAACTATTTTTGAAAATAATAGTTATTAAAAAAAAATTGTTTTTTCCCCAACATAACCTAAAAAATACCCTTTTTTTCCCATATAAAAATCTTTTTTGTAATTAAAAAAAAAAAAACCAAAAAAACTCACCAGGTCCTTCGATCACAGCTTGAATGTCAGTTATATCCTGTTCATTAATAATGACTCGTATACCTTCTGGAGGTTCATTTGACAATTCATTTACCTCCTTGGCAACGCGTCGAATAATTTGTGGCGATAAATTTTCCACATTTGAAATCTACATATACATATCAGATACATATATATATATACAAAATTAACGTTCATATGCAATAATATTGCGAAATAATTGGGCGTTTAATTGATGTTTGGTTATGTTATTTGTGACGAAATATTTTTTTTTTAGTAAACATATCATGAAACGTCAAAAAAAAAAAATGTGTTGGAGAAATGTCTAAAGCGTTTATAAACATTCGAGTCGTGTATAATGGGACGAGTGCGTGTATGTGTATTTTTTTTTTGTTGTTTATTCATATATAAATAGAAGAGAAATAAACTTACCGATGACGCTGTCGCCATTTTTTTTTTTTTACCTAAATTTCTATTTACTAAACTAATTTCAATTGTAATAATGCTTTACTTTAAGGGTGAAAGTGATTAAATATTTTGGAAAAACAATGATTAAAATGAGGAACAATAATTAACGACAACGACGACATTAAAGCATAACGTCATCATGCAACTAAAACTTTTTTGAAAGACACTGGCCAATTGTAATTTGATTTCACATTTTCCACCAATCAGCAAACGGATATAAAAGTATACAACCAATCAAAACACACCCAATCATTGAACTGTCCTTTGATTCGTCATTTAATAAGTTCTCCAAAATACGCGGGGTTTTTCAAATCGTATTTAATTTAAAATAATATTTTTAAATAATTTTTTTTTAAAATAATAAAATAATTTATTTAAAATAAAGTAATGCAGAGAAAGGTTTTTTTTTTGGTAATAATACACAATTATATAATTGTTTATATATTTTCGTAATTATTAATACAGATATTGACTTTAAAAAAAAATGGAACTTTTTATTACTACATTTAATAAATCCCCCCCCCCCCCCAAAAAAAAACACGTATACATTTTGTAGAGTACAAAAATTGTTGAAAAAAAAGAAACGAGTACAATTGATAGGGAAGACAACCGGAAAGTATATATATATTTATATATATAATAGAAAATTAATTATGAAACTAATTAATATTTTTCCTATTTATTTAGGTAATTATTATTTTTTTTTTGCATGCATCAATAATTTAACTTAATTTCCCACTAAAGATTAGTATATATTTATTTTTATAAAAAAAGAAACGCCTTCTAAATATTGCGATGTTCTTTACGGCGAAACGCTATCTGTTGACAATTTTTCGAACTATTTTATAAGTAGGCTTTTTGTCCAGAGTGGCAAAATGAAATTTATTGAACATAGAATAAAAAAATGTTAAGCCACGTTCCCAGCGGACATTTCAATTTTTTTTCGTTTTTTTTATACACCCAATTGCATAAATACTGTACTTCCGGTTTGATATTTTTTTAAAAAGTCGTTAGACTTCTATAATAATGTTATTAGTTCATGGTGTAACCAGCCACGAACTAATAAAATTATTATAGAAATGTTAGGGCATTTTAAAAAGTCGTGACATTTCTATAATAATTTTATTAGTTCGTGGCTGGTTACACCATGAACTAATAAAATTATTATACAAGTGCCAGGGCATTTTGAAAAGTCGTTAGACTTCTATAATAATTTTATTAATTCATGGTGTAACCAGCCACGAACTAATAAAATTATTATAGAAATGTCACGACTTTTTAAAATGCCCTAACATTTCTGTAATAATTTTATTAGTTTGTGGCTGGTTACACCATGAACTAATAACATTATTATAGAAGTCTAACGACTTTTCAAAATGCCCTAACACTTCTATAATAATTTTATTAGTTTATGGTGTAACCAGCCACGAACTAATTATTATTATAGAAGTGTCACGACTTTTCAAAAATGTCATCAAACCGGAAGTACAGCATTTATGCAATTATGACTTCTAAATAAATGCTATGAAAAATCATCGTCCTTCGTATATATATATATATATATTTATATTTATTGTCATTAAATTAATTAATACATACATCGTAAATTCTCATTAAATTATAATTATATTAAATACTAATATATAAAAGAATTGCCATCAATATTATTTTAGTACAAAATGAAAATAAATGTGATGCATTTTGTAAAGAAAAATAAAACATAGAAGCAAACAATTATAGATTATGTTTATGATAGTATTATAGTTTACAAAAAATTATAGGTTATGTTTATGATAGTTTTATAGTTTACAAAAATTATAGGTTATGTTTATGATAGTATTAAGGCCAACGCACAATAATTTCGCTAAAGTCATTCCCAAACGAGATGCATGAGATAGAAAAGGATACAAATATATTTCTGTCCTTTTCTAACTCATATGTTTCACGTTCGCGAAACTATATATTCTGCTTAGGCATTTATACTTTAACAAAAATTGTAGGTTATGTTTATGATAGCTTGAAAATAAGTAAAAAATACGATTCTAAATACAAATTTTGATTTTACATATAATTAAAAAAAAAACGATCATAAACATAACCTATAATTTTTTCTTATTTCTTAGTTTGCGTCACAAATATTTTGCCATAAGCGAAAAATGAATTTTTCGCGTTAAATAAATACAAAAAAAACACAAAAAATTACAAATAATTAAACAAATTAATCTCCCATATTATTATTATTATTATTATTATTAACGCTAATAATGTAAATTAAAAAAATATTTTCATGAAAATCTAAATAACTTATTGATTAAATTATTTGGAAAGTTTGAAAATTTAACACTAATTATACTGAAATTTTATCTATAAATAATCTTTTAGAATTATGTAAATATATTTTTATATAAAACGCAATTTATTTATATATATATATAGAAAAATGAATCCATTTAAAAACGGATTTAACTATTTAAAAAACTTATTATTTAATTTAAAAATTTTGATGACAAATAGTATTTTATAAGATTATTATAATTTGAATATTTTAAAAATAGATTTTATAATAGAATACGATTGACGATGTTTTTCTTTTTCTTGGAAAAAAAATTTATATTTAGTCAAAATTCAAATTATTCGCGGTTCTTTTTTTTTGTCCAGTAATTTTTTTTAATAATTATGATACGTTTCTGGTTTGACAACATTTTTTTTTTGAAAAGAGACTTCTATAATAATTTTATTAGTTCGTGGCTGGTTACACCATAAACTACTAAAATTATTTAGTGTCACAACTTTTCGATCGTTTCACGACATTTTTATATCAATTTTATTAGTTTATACGAACTAATAAAATTATTATAGAAGTCTCACTACTTTTCAAAAATGTCGTCAAACGATCGAAAAGTTTGTGACACTAAATAATTTTAGTAGTTTATGTTGTAACCAGCCACGAACTAATAAAATTATTATAGAAATGCCACGACTTTTCAAAAAATGTCGTCAAACCGGAAGTACAGCATTTATGTGGATCTTTAAGCAAAGGCAAAAAGGTATCTTAAGGCCATGTTAAAATTGTACTTTAACATGGCCTTAAACTTTAATGAAACTATAATAAAATTATAGTTATTTAATTCAAAAACAAAATAAAATCAATTATTCGCGAAAAAAGAATCAAATAACCAATTTAATGTAAATTAAAAATTTACATAAAATTGTAAGCGATAATAGAATTTTCACTAAACATAAATTATCGATATAATATTCTCGAAAAGAAAACATAACCTCAATTTTTTTTCTATTTCCCATTTTTACGCTACATTATTATTATTATTATAACCTAAAAAATAGAAAAAATTAAGGTTATGTTTTATTTTTTTTTTTTGAGTCAGTTACAAATAAATGCAATTGCGCATGTTCAGAGAAAAGAAACCTCATTGGTTACTCGTTATTTTCCATGATTTGCAAAAATCGGCAAAAAAATACCAGATAACCTAAAATAAATATTCTTTTTTTTAAAAAAAAAAAGAATATAAATCCGAATTTTTATTATACGACATCAAGAAGCAAAATGTAAAAATAGATATTCGTTACGTGCTGCCAACAAGCGGCGTTTTTTTGCACTACACTTCCAAAGAAAATAAATTTTTCTACTTTTACTATCGTGATGCCGTAAAAATTTTATTATTGAAAGTAAACAAATTTTTTTTTTGAATATCCGGTATTTTTTCGATTTAAATTATTCGCAACATAACCTCCAAAATTTTTAACCAATACGATTATTGATTAACACTCGTTAAAAATCGATTTTTCAGTTATTCAAATCGTTTACTAATCGATAATCAAAAATTGCTGTAAATCGATAATCAAAAATTGCTGTAAATCGATTATTAATCGATAATCAAAAATTGCTGTAAATCGATTATTAATCGATAATCAAAAATTGCTGTAAATCGATTATTAATCGATAATCAAAAATTACTGTAAATCGATTATTAATCGATAATCAAAAATTGCTGTAAATCGATTATTAATCGATAATCAAAAATTACTGTAAATCGATTATTAATCGATAATCAAAAATTGCTGTAAATCGATTATTAATCGATAATCAAAAATTGCTGTAAATCGATTATTAATCGATAATCAAAAATTGCTGTAAATCGATTATTAATCGATAATTAATTGTTAATCGATACTTGATTATTAATCGATAATTGATTTTTATAAACAATTTTCTAAATTATTATTTTTCAACAATGATTTTTTTTTATAGAAAAAAAAAAAAAATTTTGATCATCGTGTTTACAAATAAATTATATAATTGGTAAATAAATTATTTAACAGAAAAAAAAATTAAATTCTTTTTCCATTACAAATCAATGAAAAATATTAATTTGAAAAATTATTTAATTAAAAATTCTTTAATATGAAAATTTTAACTAATGATTTTTATGGAAAATTCAACCAATGAAGTTCTTTTCTTCTTTTTTTCTCTCTCTCTCACTCTCTCAAAAAAAAGGAAACGCATGACTAAGCTCTAAAATTAAATTTTTCTTCAGAATTTCAATTTAATAGAATTTAGAAATTTTAAGTTATATTCGATTATAATTTAAAATTTATTTTTAGCCAAATTTTTATTATTTGTTCGAATTATTACGAGAAATTTTAATTTACTGAATTTTTATATTAAAAAATTGTTACTTAAACGAATTTTCATTTTAGAGAATTTTTTTTTTATTTTGTCAATTTTGAAATAAATTATTTCAAAAATTTATTTTTTTCAAGTACAAAATTTTTCAAATATATCAAAAAAATATTTCGAAATTTTGGTATTTGAAAATTTTTGTACTCGGAAAGAAAATAAATTTTTGAAATTTTTTACTTCTGGATTTTTTTTTAATTTTGAAAAAAGAAAAATTTCCGAAATTTTATTGCAGCATTTTTTTTTAGTATTTACAAAATTTTGTAAATTTTTTCGTGGCTTTTTCCATTTGGAAAAAAATAAATTTTTGAAATTTTATACTTTTGTATTTTTTTTTTTTTAATTTGGAAAAAAACTAATTTCGAAAATTTTATATACTTTAGGGACATTTTGTATAGTTTGGAAAATGTAAATTTCCGAAATTTTCTACTTTTTGATCTTTTTTTTAATTTGGAAAAATAAATTTTTGAAAATTTTATACTTTTGGCCTTTTTGGGTTTTTTTTTTGGAAATTTTCTAATTTGGAAAAAGTAAATTTCAGAAATTTTATACTTTGGGACATTTTTTACTTTGGAAAATTAAATTTTTCAAAATTTTATACTTTTGGAACCTTTTTTTACTTTGGGAAATTAAATTTTTGAAATTTTATACTTTTAGAGAATTTTTGGAAATTTTATATTTTGGAACCTTTTTTTACTTTGGAAAATTAAATTTTTGAAATTTTATACTTTGGGACATTTTTTACTTTGGAAAATAAATTTTTGGAAATGTTATACTTTGGGACATTTTTTACTTTGGAAAATTAAATTTTGGAAATTTTATACTTTTGGACCTTTTTTTCTTTAAATTTGGAAAAATTTAATTTTGGAAATTTTATACTTTAGGATATTTTAATTTTGGAAATTTTGTACTTTTGGCCTTTTTTTCGGGTATTTGGAAATTTTTTAATTTGGAAAAATGTAAATTTTTGAAATTCTATAATTTTGGAAAATTTTAGAAAATTTGGAAATTTATAATTTTGGAAATTTTATACTTTTGGAATATTTTGATATTTACAAAATTTTGTAATTCAAATTAAGTAAATTTTTGTTTTTATCTCAATTTTCTTTTGAAAAAAAAAAAATGTAAAATTTCGTTAATTTCGTTGGCAATTTAGGAAAAATTTTTTCTCCTTTTATGAAAAAATGAATTTTCCATTTTTTTTTTTTTTTTAATTTTTGATCTTTCTTTCTCTTTGAAAAATTCGTTTTGGAATTTTGTATTTTCAGTTTTGCTCCGAATTTTTTTTTTATTTTTGATCGGTTAAATAATCGATTATTATTTGAATCAAATAAATTTTTGTCATTATATATTTAATTAAAATTTAATTTTGTAATTCAGTTAAATTTAATTTTGTAATTTAATTTTGCAATTCAATTTTGCAATTTTTTAATTTAATTTTGCAATTCAATTTTTTTAATATAATTTTGTAATTTAATTAAATTTTCAAATTTAATTAAATTTAAATTTTGTAATTTTGCAATTGAATTTTGTAATTTAATTAAATTTTCAAATTTAATTAAATTTAAATTTTGTAATTTTGCAATTCAATTTTGTAATATAATTTTGTAATTTAATTAAATTTTCAAATTTAATTAAATTTAAATTTTATAATTGAATTTTGTAATTTAATTTTCCAATTTAATTAAATTTAAATTTTCCCATTAAATCAATTAAATTCCATTCAATTTTCCCCAAAAGCTTAATTCATTCGTCTCCTTTTATATATAAATCCAAAAAAAACCATAATCTCTCACCTCTGACAAAAATTAAAAAAAAAAACCTTTCTTCTCTTCCTCAAATTATCTTCAAGGTTGCGTCTCATGAAATTTGAAATAATGTATCTTCATTGCCTTAATATTTGGATATTTAATTTTACATCTTGGACAAACAGTTCCAGTTGCACCTCTAACATTATATGATGTGAGATCAGTTTCCTTAAATAATGAATCCTTATCATCGCCAATTGATTTATAAACAATTCTATGCGAATTATAAATATGTTTCTCCATTATTCCCCGATGAAAAAAATGTTTTTCACACAATGTACAACTATAAATCATATTTGAATGTTGTAATTCATGACTTTTTAATGCATGTAAAGTTGAAAATATCATATTACAATTAATCACCGTACATGGATGTTCCATTGTATTTTTATGTTTCATTGAAATATGTTGTTTTAAATTTGAAATATTTGTAAATTGTTTACTACAAATATTACATTTAGATTCTAAATTTTTTGAATCATTTTCTTGTGTTTTATGGATCAATTGTTTATGTTGATATAATATACTCATATTTGGAAATATTGTTTTACAAATATGACAAGTTACCGGTTTTTTCATTGTTTCGTTTCTCTTAAACAAACATTCGGGTGAAATTGCTCGATGACGTTTTAAAGCCGATTCAGCGGTGAATGTTCTTCCACATGGATGACAAATAATTTTTTTTCCTATTGTAAATTTTTGCATATTCATTTGTTTATGTAATTTTTTATGCCTTGCTAATATTTTTCCTGAACTATAATATTTATCACAAATTTCACAATGAAATTTCTCTTCTTCTTGTAATGATGATGATGATGGTTCTGTTTTTGCCGTTCTTGCACAATGAACATCCCAAACGTGTTTACGAAGATCACCAACGTCATTGAATTTATCATCACAAACTTGACATTGTAATTGTATCATTGGATTTATCATTGGAAATGATTTTCTCGCCTTTGCTGGTTTTGTCATTGTATTTTGATTATCGAGACTAAATCTTGAATTAGCGCGATTATGCCAGCCGCGATGTATTTTTAATGATGATTCCTCAGCAAATGTTTTACCACAAATTTCACATTCATGTGGTACTTTCACTTTGGCGTGATGATTATTTATGTGTAAATCTAAATTCGCCTGAAATACAAATGTTTTTGGACATTCCAAACATGTGAGAACAGTTTTTTCCAAATTGTGCGCAACACGTTGATGCTCGTCATAGGATTCTTTATTTTTAAAAATACGTTTACAATCACAAATAAGTTTTTCATTTTCACCATGAGCATTGCGTATGTGGCGTTTTAAATTTGCAACATTAGAAAATATTTTCCCACATTCATGACATTCGGTATTTTTTGTTTTATTTCCATACTCTAAACAGGAAGTATTTGCTGTTCTTTCGCTTGGATCATCAATTCCATGATCCTTCATGTGTATTTCAAGAGCACCAGCGCTACTAAACATTGAACGACAAATAGCACAGGAATAAATTTTCACTTTAAGATGTAAATTCCTATGTTCTGTTAATTCACCACGTGTCGCGAATATTCCATTACAAAGATTGCAAGAGAATTTTTTCTCCTCAAAAAATTTCTTACGATGAAATTCATGATGCGTGAGATAATCGCCTGGCGAACGAAATTTAGCGGCACACTTTGGACATTTTAATTCTTTTTTCTTATGTTCAATCATCACGTGACTGTGAAATTTATTGAAAACCAAAAATGTCATTCCACAATCAATACATTTATACGATGTTCTACCCTCTGGTTGTAGGCTCGCGCATAATTCACGATGTTTTATCATATTTGATTTATATCGATAGATCATTCCACATAAATCACATTCATGATTATAGGCAGGATCACCCTGTCCATAGGGAAGTGATGTCGTTAATTTTACTGGCGGTGACATTAATTCCTCATATTGTTTATCCGAATGTTTAGCTAAATGACTCAATAATTCCTTTCGATTTCCCATTGCCATTGTACACATATTACAAGTGAAATATTTCTCCGTTCCTTGAATTGGTATGACCAATGCAATTTTCATTGCGCATTCAAATGAAATTTCACAATGTTTTTTATAGGCATTTTCATTGCCAAATTCCGTTAAACAAGCAACGCATGTAAACGCACGTAAATCGGGCATATGTTGACGAATATGATTTAAAGTTGTTAAACAATCATTGAATGATTCCTCACATGAATAACAGGTAAATGTTTTAAATTGACTTATTATATTTTGTTGTACTGGCGTTAATGGTGCGTCCTCTTCAAGATTTTCCAATTCCTCTTCAACATCTTCAATCATTTCTTCCTCCTCCTCTTCTTCCTCTTCTTCTCCTTCATTTTCTAAATTTGAAATTGAATGAAAACGTGCCATATGCTTTGCATACGATGTTTTTGAATGTAAATTTATTTGACAATGAAGACATTTACGTTTAAATATTCTTGCACCGCGAAAATGTGTATGTGGTCCACGTCTTATTTTCTTTTTTCCCTTTAATGATGAAACTTTTTGTTGTTTTATTTCTTTTATTTCTAAATTTACCGAATTTTCTAAATTTTCTGTATTTTCTGTATTTTCTGTATTTTCCATATTTTCTGTATTTATATGATTTTCCTCAATATTCAATGAATCGTCAATTGGCTCGGTTTTTATTGGCAATGGATTAAAACGTTTTGCCTCATTACCAAAATCTTTTGATAATCGTCGTTTTGTTGATTCGCGATTAATTTGTTTTTCACTATTATTTTCATTATTTATTCCTTGAATATTTGTCGTTATTTCCATATTTTCAATTTCTGTTTCCATTTCTTGTTCTTGTTCTCCATTTTCAATTATTTCCAAATTTCCCGATGTATTTCCAATTATTTCCAATGAATTCTCATTATTCTTGTCTAATTCGGCATTTTTCTCTGTAATCTAAAGGTAAAATTTCCAATTAAAAAAAAAGTTTGGTTATTAAATTTACAATATTACGAAATATCGAAGAAATAATGAAAAATTAATTTTGTTTTCAATTTGAAAAATTGGATAGAAATTACCTTTTCTAAATGTGAATGTTCGATGGAATCTTCTTCTAATTCTTTCTTTACGGTTACAACCTGTAAAAAAATAAAAATTAAACTTAAAAATGAACCATCAAAAAAAAAAAAAAAAAAACAAATATTAATTGTTAAAAATATTATTAATTTTCAAATTTATTAAATTCTAAAACGATAAAAAAATTGATTATTTTCCATTCTATAAAAAAGAAAATAACAAAAAAAACAAAAATTGCAATGGAAATATTTTTTTTAATTATTTTCCATTCGATAAAAAATGGAATTAAAAACAAAAAAGTTAATTATTTTCCATTCGAAAAAAAATGGAATTAAAAACAAAAAAGTTAATTATTTTCCATACGAGTAAAAAATGGAATTAAAAAACAAAAATGTTAATTATTTTCTATTCTATAAAAAAAAGGAACATTTTACTTTTGGAAATTTTATATTTTCGGACATTTTGTAGTTTGGAAAAAAATTTTTTTTAGAAATTTCATAATTTAGGATATTTTAATTTTTGATAATTTTATACATTTGGCCTTTTTTTTGGGGTATTTAGAAATTTTGTAATTTGGAAAAATGTAAATTTTTGAAATTTTAAAAAATTTAGTACCTACATTTTAATAATTAGAAAATGTGAAAAAATTTCCAAAATTGAATTTTCCAAAGAAGAAAATAAACTTAAAAGTAAAATGCAACAAATTAGAAAATTTTTCAAAATAAAAATTTACTAATACTAAACTGTCCCGAAGTATGAAATTTTGAAAAATTTAATTTTCCCAAAATACAAAATGTACCAAAGTATAAAATTAAAAAAATTTATTTTTCCAAAGTATAAAATTTGTAAAAACCCAAAAAGGCCAAAAGTATAAAATTTCCAAAATAAAAAATGTCCCAAAGTATAAAAATTCAAAAATTTAATTTTCCAAAGTAAAAAATGTCCCAAAGTATAAAATTTCCAAAATTAAATTTTCCAAAGTAAAAAATGTCCCAAAGTATAAAATTACCAAAATTTAATTCTCCAAAGTAAAAAATGTCCCAAAGTATAAAATTTCCAAAATTTATTTTTCCAAATTAAAAAATGTCCCAAAATATCAAATTTCCAAAAATTCATTTTCCAAAATACAAAAAAAATCTAAAATATAAAATTTCCAAAATTAAATTTTCCATAAAAGAAATGAAATAAAAAGTAAAATGACACAAAGTATAAAATTTCCAAAATAAAATTAAAAATGTAGAAAATTTCCAAAATTTATTTTTCCAAAGTAATAGTTACTTTAATTTATTCATTAAAAAAATTCCAAAAAAATTAATAAAATTCCCCGACTTTTCCCTGATTTTTATGGAATTTCCATGTTAATTATTATCCATTCTAAATGAAAAAAGAATATTTTACTTTTGGAAATTTTATTAATTAAGGAAAAAAAATTTTGGAAATTTTATAATTTGGGACATTTTGAAGTTTGGAAAAATAAATTTTTGAAATTTTATAAATTTTGTACATTTTAATAATTAGGAAATGTATAAAACTTCCAAATTTGAATTCTCCAACGAAGAAAATAAATAAAAAGTAAAATGCCATAAAGTATAAAATTCCAAAAATAAAAATTTACAAAAATGTCTAAAAGTAGAAAAATTTCCAAAATTTAATTGTCCAAAGTACAAAATGTCCCAAAGTATAAAATTTCACAAATTAAATTTTCCAAAGTAAAAAATGTCCCAAAGTAGAAAATTTCCAAAATTTAATTTTCCAAAATAAAAAATGTCCCAAAGTATAAAACTTCAAAAATTTAATTTTCCAAAGTAAAAAATGTCACAAAGTATAAAATTTCCAGAGTAAAAAATGTCCCAAAGTATAAAATTTTCCAAGTAAAAAATGTCCCAAAGTATATAATTGCCAAATTAAAAAATGTCCCAAAGTATAAAATTTCCAAAATTAAATTTTCCAAAATTTTTTTTATCAAATGAAAAAAATGTCCCAAAGTATAAAATTTCCAAAATTTATTTTTCCAATTTAAAAAATGTTCAAAAATATAAAATTTCCAAAAATTTATTTTCCAAAATCGAAAAAAAAAATTCAAAGTATAAAATTTTGAAAATTAAATTTTTTCAAAGTAGAAAATAAATAAAAAATAAAATGCCACAAATTTATAAAATTTCCAAAATAAAATTATAAAAAAGTAGAAAAAATTTCCAAAATTTAATTTTCCAAAGTAAAAAATGTCCCAAAGTATAAAATTTCCAAAATAAAATTAAAAAAGCAAAGAATTTCTAAAATTTCTTTTTTCAATGTACAAATTTTTGATAATTATAAATTTGTAATTTAAAAATAAATTTGTTTTGATTCTTTTTTTTTTCCTAACATTTTGAGTTCATTTTGTAAATTGAATAAATTAAATTTTTGGAAATTTTTTTTCATTTTGGAGCAATTTTTTTTTTTTTTTTAATATTTTGTATAAAAATTGAAAAATAGAAGGAAAATTTTATTGAAAATAATACCGGAAGTGGTTCCGATTGTTTTGCCAGCCATGCCGATAATTTGTCCTGAGATTGAAGACACTCCTTTTTGTATTGATGCCATTGACTGACTTTATTAACGCAAGTGATGCAAATTAAAGTCGATAATTTATCATCTTGAGAAATCTAAAAGAAAATTTTTTCATTTAAAAAAAAAAAGAACGATAAAAATAAACATACAATCATTGACGAAAAAAAAATACAAATTAAATAAAGAATTTCATTTAATTAAATGTATTTAAAAAAAAATTTTTTTTTTTTGTACGAAAGAGCGTTTTTATTTTCCTCTTTTATAATAATAATAATAATAATAATAATAATAATAATAATAATGATAATTTATCCAATAAATAAATAAACAAAATTCTAAAAAAAAAAATTGCAGAAAATAGTAAATTTTATAAAGAAATTAGGAATAAAATAAAAATAATAGAAAAAAAAAATAATAATAATAATAATAATTTATCCAATAAATAAATAAACAAAATTCTAAAAAAAAATGCAGAAAATAGTAAATTTTATAAAGAAATTAGGAATATAATAAAAATAATAGAAAAAAAATATGAAAATATAAAAGAAAACGAAAATACAATAAAAAGTTTAAAGTTTATTAAAAATAAAGAAAATCAACGCAATTAGAAAAAAAGAGTTAAAAAAAAACTTTCCACATAGAATTTAATTTTTTTCTTTTCATCACTACTTTCAAAGAAATACACAAGCCACACAAAAAATAAACGCTACTACTTTTCCTAATTGCTTTTTAATCGCGAAATATATTTTCCGCAATACATAACCTCGAAAAATAGATATATTTTCAAGCATTTTTTTTTTTAATAAAAAAAAAATCGCATTATTTTATGTTTATTAAACAAGAGAGAGAGAGAAAAAAAATGAAGAAAGAAAGACAATTATTATATATTTTACTTACTTGAAGAGATAAACAATTTTCTATTTTCTCAATTAGTGGTTCTACGTTGTAAGCAGCACCGAAAATGGAAGATCTTGTTTCTTCGGTTGTTAAACAAAGTCGACATGCACTTTCTAGGCCTTGCAATTCTTCGATATCCTTCATTTTTCTTTTTTCTTCTTTTCAGGAAAAGTCCATAAATGAAGCGTTTCCCAAAAAAAAAAAAAAAAAAAAATAACTTTTAAAACACTTTTTCCGATGATGCTATACTTTTTCTATATATATATATAGTATATAATGCGGAGGAAAAGAGAAAAGACGACAACCGACACGACGACGACGACGACAACGGTGCGGCAAAATTTTTTTAAGGTTAGGTTAGAAGAGAAGCAATAGTGTGCGCGCGCATATTCCCACCACTCTAAAATCGCTTTTTAGCGGGAAAATTCAAATTACTCGATTATCGTTTTTTTTTCAAAATTTGTTTTATTATGGAAATTATTTTTATTATTTAAAATTTTTTGATATTATTTTTTTTATTTTTTATTTATTTACAATTTACCCTTTAGTGTTGGTATAATTATTTGAAAAAAAAGTATATTTGGTAAAAAATAAAATGTGTGGCTAACTTCAGATTTAACAAGTGCACGTGCGTGGTGACGAACATAACCTGGATAATCGGAGTGCTGAAATTTTTGTTTACGTTCTTTTTTAATATATATATATAATAAAAATAGTAAAAAAATTAGTAGTGTCCATTTGTAAATAATGGAAAATAATTGTGATTTAATAAAAACAATTGAAGACGATCAGGATGTTCCCGATTATTCGGAACCATCGGATGAAGAAGATGACGTGAGTAATTATAACCTCAAAAGAAAAATAATTTCTCTATTAAATTTAACTGTAAAACAATAAGAAATAATTTTTTTTCTATTTTGTTTCTTTATTATTTAACAATAAAAGTATTTCTTTGTTTTCAATAAATTTCTTTTTATATAAAATCTGGTTTTTCGTTTATTTTTTACATTTCACTTTTTGGTTTCAAACTTTTTTTCTTTCATTCTATCTTTCTTTCTATATATTTAAATCATTTAAATTATACAATTATTTAATTTATAAATACAAATTCGTTATAAATAGTTAATTTTTATTTGTAATTAATTTATTGTAATTATTTTTTTCGTAATTAATTTTTTGTAATTATTTTTTTCGTAATTTAATTTTTTCGTAATTAATTTTTTGTAATTATGTTTTTCGTAATTAATTTTTCGTAATTATTTTTTTCGTAATTAATTTTTTGTAATTATGTTTTTCGTAATTAATTTTTTGTAACTACTTTTTCTCGTAATTATTTTTTTCGTAATTAATTTTTTGTAATTTTTTTTTTTCGTAATTAATTTTTTGTAATTATGTTTTTCGTAATTTAATTTTTTCGTAATTAATTTTTTGTACATAATTATTTTTTTCGTAATTAATTTTTTGTACATAATTATTTTTTTCGTAATTAATTTTTTGTAATTATTTTTTTCGTTATTAATTTTTTGTAATTATTTATTTTGTAATTATTTTTTTCGCAATTAGTTTTTTGTAATTATATTTTTCGTAATTATTAATTTTTCGTAATTAATTTTTTGTAATTATTTTTTTTCGTAACAATTTTTTTTGTAATTACTTTTTATCGTAATTAATTGTTTGTAATTATTCTTTTTTTTTCCCCTCCCATCGTCATCGCAGTTTCAGCCAAGAAAACAGAAGAAAAAAGAGCGTAAAGATTTTGAAAATGATTTTCAATTTATAAATAATACATCGGAATATAATGAGGATCCATGGAATGATTTAAATAAATATATTAAACGTAAAGCAAAAACAAAACTCGATGATAAAATAAAAAAAGCTCGTTTAGAACGTAAGGTAAAAAGAAAAATGATAAATTTTCTCTTATTTTCCAGAGATTTTTTGTGTTTTTCGTTTATTTAAAAAAAAAAAAAATTTTCCTTTATATTTAGAATGAATTAAATGAAGACGATTTAGAGGTGAAAGAAATTCACGAGGCTGATACAATTTATCTTTCTGACGAGGATTTAAAGAAAGGTGAATATTTTTATTTTAAATTTTGAAAAAAAAAAAAAACAAAGATTTTTTCATTAAATATTTCAAATTTAAATAATTAAATAATTAAGTATTGACCAAAATTAATTCTCCAATAAATAATAAATTTATATAACAAATTTTTTTTTTTATATAAATTCTGGTAAATAATAAATTTAATTTTTATACAAAATAATAATTTAATATATAATTTATTTATAATATAATAATAATTTAATAAATTTAATAATAATAATAATAATTTAGTATTTTTACTATTTAATGAAATTTTCTTCGAATTTCCATTTTTTTTTTAGTGAAAATAAATTAATTTTGTTTTATTTTTTGTGAAAATTATAGATGTATTTAAAACAAAGGAAAAGAAAGGGAAAAAATTTGTGAAAGAAAAGGATAAGGAATTGATGGATTTTGAGGAATGTTCCAATTATGATACGTCTGCAACTTTTTACCAGATGAATCTCTCGAGGCCTTTAATGAAGGTTTTTTTAAAATTTTTATACCTATATTTTGTTTCCTTTTTTCAAATTGTTTTCAGAATTTTAAAAATAGAAAAAACAAATTTTTCGTTTTGTAATTTACCTTTAAAATTGTTCAATTTTTTCGATATTAAAAAAAATATATATAAAATATAAAGAAAAGAAAAAAATAAAATCAACAGAAATGCAATTCGATAGTAAAAAACAATAGTAAAATTATCCTTTAAATTTTTTTTTTTTTTTTATGTTGCTAAAGAAGAGTTTTAAAATTTAGGGTGTCTAACGGTCAGGGAATTTAATTTTGAAAATTTTATATTTTAAATTTTTTTGTACTTTGGAAAATAAATTTTTGGAACATTTTTTACTTTGAAAAATTAAATTTTAGAAATTTTATACTATGGGACATTTTGTACTTTGGACAATTAAATTTTGTAAATTTTATACTTTTAGACATTTTTGTATTTTTGTAATTTTATACATTGTGGCATTTTACATTTTATTTATTTTCTTCATTGGAAAATTCAATTTTGGAAATTTTATAAATTTCCAAATTATTAAAATGTGTCAAATTTATAAAATTTCCAAAATTTATTTTTCTAAAGTACAAAAATGTCCTAAAGTATAAAAATTTCCAAAATTTATTTTTCTAAAGTACAAAAATGTCCGAAAGTATAAAAATTTCCAAAATTTATTTTTCCATATTAATAAAATTTCCAAAAAGTAAAAAGTTCCTTTTTTTTTTAATAGAATGAAAAATAATTAACATAAAAATTCCATTAAAAATCAGTGAAAAATTCAGGGAATTTATTTAATTTTCTGAAATTTTTTTAGAAATAAATTAAAGTAACTATTAGTTTCAAATTTTTTTTTTTTACTTTTTTCCCAAAGCAAATGACTTTGGAAAATAAATTTTGGAAATTTTATACTTTCGGACATTTTGTACTTTGGAAAAATAAATTTTGAAAAATTTTTATACTTTGTGACATTTTAGTATTTGCAAATTTTTATATCGGAAAATTTTTTAATTTGTGGCATTTTACTATTAAGTTTATTTTCTACTTTGGAAAATTCAATATTGGAAATTTTATACAATTTCTAATTATTAAAATGTTTTAAATTGTAAAATTTCAAAAATTTAATTTTCCAAATTATAAAAATTTCAATTATCAAAAAAGTTCAAGAGTATTGAAAATTTCTAAAATTTATTTTTTTCAAACTACAAAATGTTCCAAGGTATAAAATTTCCAAAAGTAAAATGTTCTTTTTTTTATAGAATGGAAAATAATTAACATTATTTTTTTATTGTTTTAGAATTTAATAAATATTTAAAAATTAAAAACTTGTTATATTTTTTTGTTTATTTTTTGCAATTCTATTTTTTTTGGAGTCCTTTTTTAGTTTCTATTTTTTGCAAACTAACACTTTTTTTTACATTAAATTCCATTTTTCTTTCTTTTTTTTGATACTTAAAGTATTTATTTATTTTTTATACTAAAAATGAAAAAAAAACCCCGCTTATTTGATACAAAATACTGGAATTAAAATTAAAAAACTATGAATTTTTTTTAAAAAGGCGTCGGCGTCAATGAATTTTATTCATCCAACGCCAATTCAAGCGGCGACAATTCCAGTTGCTTTAATGGGTCGCGATATTTGTGGTTGTGCCGCAACTGGAACGGGCAAAACGGCGGCTTATATGCTGCCAACATTGGAAAGATTACTTTACAGACCAGTTGAAGGCGCTGCGATTACTCGAGTTCTCGTTTTGGTTCCAACAAGAGAATTGGGCGTTCAAGTTTATCAAGTCACAAAACAATTGGCACAATTCACGACCATTGAAATTGGTTTGTCCGTTGGTGGTCTCGATCTTAAAGTTCAGGTAAAAATTACAAAAATTTATATTTTATTCTCTCTATTTTTTTTTCATTTATTATTTTATTGCATCGAAATCTCATTTAATAATTTTTTTTTTAATTTCTTCCATAGGAATCAGTGTTGAGAAAAAATCCAGATATCGTAATTGCGACTCCTGGTCGTTTAATTGATCATTTAGCGAATACACCGTCTTTTTCCTTGGACACAATTGAGGTTTTAATTTTAGATGAAGCCGATAGGTAAGATTAAAAAAAAAATACTTTCAGTTTACAAAAATGTTTTTACTATTTTTAAATCCGTTTATTTTGTTAAATTAATTAATTTTCTAGAATGTTGGACGAATATTTTGCGGAGCAAATGAAACATATTGTGAGACAATGTTCAAGAACACGTCAAACTATTCTTTTCTCAGCGACAATGACTGAGGAAGTTAAAGATTTAGCCGCCGTTTCATTGGAGCGGCCAGTTAAAGTTTTCGTCGACAGTAATCAGGACGTGGCTTTCAATTTGAGACAAGAATTCATTCGGTAATTTACATAAAAAAAGCCAAAACAAAAAAAATTGCCAAAAAAAAGAAATAGATTTAAAGATTAAATTTTTTTCAGCATCCGCAAGGAGAGAGAAAGAGATCGTGAGGCAATTTTAGCGGCACTTATTTGTCGTACATTTCACGATCATACGATGGTTTTTGTACAAACAAAAACACAAGCGCATCGACTTCATATTTTACTCGGATTATTGGGAGTCAATGTAAGAAAAATTATACATTAATTTAGTTATTGTATTATTTATATATAATATTTATTTATTATATTATTAATAATAAATATAAATTGTCCCTTCAGCGGGTTGCAAACGAAAAAGGTTTGTTTTATATTAATGATGAATAAAAAATTAAAATCTACGAAAAAGAGCAATGAAGGGGTTTTTAAAAAACGAAAATAAAATATTTAACGTAATTTGGAAAAGAATTTCGAATTTTTTTTTTGAAATTTGAAGGGGAAAATAAAATTGCAATTTTCCAGGTTGGTGAATTACATGGAAATTTAACGCAACCGCAACGTTTGGAGAATTTACGAAAATTTAAAGACGAGGAAATTGACGTTTTAATTGCAACCGACGTCGCTGCTCGCGGTTTAGATATCAGTGGGGTTAAAACTGTTATTAATTTTGTTATGCCCGCAACATTACAACACTACATTCATCGGTAAATTATTTTTAAATTAAAAATAGATCATTATTTAAATTAAATAATTAATTACAACTATTTTTTTTTAAATGGAAAATTTTTTTCTTTTTAAGAGTTGGAAGAACGGCAAGAGCTGGACGTGCGGGTGTTTCGGTATCATTGGCCGGCGAACAGGAGCGATCACTTGTTAAAGAAGTGATAAAACAAGCGCGAAATCCAGTGAAAAATCGTATAATACCACCGGATATTATTGAGAAATATTATAAAAAATTGGAATCATTTGCCGATGATATAACACGTATTTTAGATGAGGAGAAACATGAGCGAGAACTTGCAAAATTAGAAAATCAAGCAAATAGAATGGAGAATTTATTGAAAGGAAGCGAGGGACAAACGCGAACTTGGTTCCAAACAAAGAAAGAGCGAAAGGACGAAAAAGGTTTTAAAATTTATTTTCAATTTAAAGAAAAAAAAACAAAAAAATTTCTTTCAAATTTTTATCATTTTTGTAAAATTATTCTCTAAACTAATTGTAGACTTTTTCTTTATTTTTTTGCTTTTGAAATTTTTGTAACTTAAAATGTATTTTTTTTATGAATAATTAATTTATTAATTGAATTTCTAATTATTAAAAATTCAATTATTGAATTAAATGTGTAATTTTTTTTGTCTCAAATTTTACAGAAAGATTGCAATTAACGGAAAAGAAATCGACGCAATTGAAGAAGGAAAAATTGAAGGAAAAGGAAAATGGTAAGGAAAATAAAAAGAAGAAACAAGATAAAAAAAATGAACCAATTGATGAAGCTGAGGAGCGTGTTAATAAGGAATTGGAAAAAGTTGCAGCATTTCAAGCGCGTGCTGCTAAACGAATGAATAAACAAAAGAAAATTCGTACTGTCGTTGAGAATGATTATCATTCGATGGATAAGAAAAGTAATTTACTTTTTTTTTTGAATTTTAAACAAAAATTTGTAAAATACATTTTTTTTTAAATCATTATTTAATTTTCTAAAATTTCTATTTATTAAAATTTTTTGTTTATATTTAAATATAAATATTTATTTATAGGAAAATTTTTATGTTTATTTGCTTTTTTAAATGTAGAAAAAAAAATTGCTTTTTACTAAACAAAATTTCTTAATAATAATAATATTCTTTTACCATAGAATTGAAGAGAAAAGCAAAATCATCATTTGTTGAGGATTTAACAGACACAAGTCGCAAAGGAGTCAAACGAATGCGTTACGAGTGAGTAAAATTTGATTATTATTATTATTATTCCAAAAAAAACAAATTAGTAATTGAAAAATGCTTTTAGAAAATTTTGAATTGAAAAATTTAAAATAATTTAAATTTATGAAAAATTTTCATAATTATTGAATTATTATTATTATTATTGAATAATTTAGAGAAGAATTTTAGTTAAAAATTTGTTAAATGCAAATTGAATTTAAATAATTTATCCTTTTTTTTTTTTTTGCAGGGCAAATAAAAAAAGTCCGAGAAAATTTCCAGGCGCCAAAAAAGGACAGAAAAAAGGTGATAATAAATTTACATCGAGAGGGAAGGGTCCAAAAAAATCTTTTGGAAAACGTTGACGAAAAAAAAAACAAACAAAAAAGGAATTTTTGTCAAAGAAAAAGAAATGACAAAGAAAACAAAAATCAATCTCGAACGAAAGAAAAAAAATGAAAATAAAATGAAATTATTTTTGAATTTCGCAAAACTAATTTTTTTTTGTAAATAAAAAAAGATTTTTAAATTGAAATTTTGTTTTTTCTTAATTTTTTTTTTTTTATTATAGATCCAATACAATACTTGCGGTCACAAAAATTTTGACAATTCAAATGACTTTAAAATCTGCTTTCTCTTGTTTCGTCGGGAAATTTCAGCACTCGATTTTCTTTTTTTTGTATCAAAAAAAAAACTTATTCGTCGTTATTTTTTTTAGAATACCAAATTTTTTCTAAGAATTGTAAACAAAAATTTTAACGATTCTTTTTTTATTTCTATATGGTGAAATAAAATTCGTACTGGAATTTCATTGAAGAAAATAGAAAAATGCAGTTCCATGTGTTTTTTTTTATTTTTTATTTACTTTCTAGATTTTTATTTACCTTAACTTCAAAAATTATTAATTATAATTAATATTATTACTTATTTCCTTAATATTTTTTTTTTTTTGTTTTGTTTTTATTTTAAACTTCACTTAACTTTTTTTTTTTTTTCTTCACTTATTCATTATTAAATTCTTACTTGTTTATCAATTAATCAATTAATTTAAAATAATTCATCATGCTTAAAAATTATATTTTTTTTTTTATAATCTGAAAAAACGACGGCACATTCGATGAAAGGAAAAAAAAATAGAAAAAAAAAATATATATATATATATATCACACATCTCATTCACACACATTCTTTTCTTTTTTGTATTAAAAAAAAAAAAAAAGAACAATTAAACAATAGCGAGAATCTCGCGTAAGAAAAAAATTTATATATATATTTATAAATAAGAACACGGCCTGGAAAAAATGGAAAAAAAAATTTTTTCCAAGAAAGTTGAATTAAATATTTATATTTCTAACTTAATTTCAAAAAATTTTCCTTTCTTTTTCTCCAAATATTTATAAAAATAAAACAAAGACAAAAAAAAAAACGATTCAACTTTCTTGGTAGAAAAATTATTTTTTTTATATATTTAGAGAAAAAAAAAAAACTGTTTCGCAATCAGAATTCTAAATAAATTAACAAACTCTTTTTTTTCAACCACAAATTGCATTTAAATAATAATAATAATAATAATAATAATAATTCTCAATACTTTACACAAAACAAATTAATTTTCGTCAAAAACGGATTTTTTTTTGCAAAATTTAATATTTTCACACAATGTGCAATTAAAATTTTTTTTATTTTTTTTTATATAAATAAATGAAAATTAATTTTTTCATTTTATAAAGAAATGAAAATTAATTTTTTCACTTTATAAATAAATGAAAATTAATTTTTTCACTTTATAAATAAATGAAAATAAATTTTTTTCATTTTATAAATTAATGAAAATTAATTTTTTCATATTATAAATAAATGAAAATTGAATAAATTTTTTCGTATATATATAAAAAAAAACAGAATACATATATATATATAGAAGGGGGGGACAAAAAAAAATTTTTTTTCAAAATAAACTCCCTTGAAATTCAAAGAGAAAAAAAAAATCATTTTTTTTTTCTTTTATATTTAGAAAAGAAAAAACAAATACGCGAAAATTCGCAATTTTTTTTTTTTTGTTGTTTGTTAAAGAGCAAAATTCTATCAAGTGTGTGTGTGTGTCTTTCTGTGTACAAATAGGAGATGAAAAAAAAAAAAAATAATAATCAATTAACGTCATAGATAAAATTCTATCCTAAAAATTGTTGAAATTATGAAACAATTCTCGAAATTTTGAAAACAGAAAAAAAAAAAGAAAACAAATTTTCTATCACGAAGGAAAAAAAAAAAAAAATAAACGAGACAGAAAAGTTTTCTTTTTAAGAAAAATAAAGTTAAAAAAAAAAAAACAAGGAGTGAAAAAATTGAGAAGGGGATTTTAATTTTCGTTTCTTTTTTTTTCGAGAAATATTTCATAATTTAAACGACTTATTTAAAAATACGCGATCGACTTAAGTGTACTAATTGTTGTACATAACCAAAATATTTTGTTTCCACATTTTTGTAAAAGTGTTTTGTGTTTTTTGTGTATGTATTTTTTTTTGTATGTGTATTTTTGTTTTTAATTTTTTTTCTGCTTTTGATGATTAACGACGTTTCCTTTAGCTTTCGTCGTATTTCATCTTTTTTTTTTTTCGCTTTCCACTTAAGATGCAGTCAATCGATTATTATTATTATTATTATTATTATTATTTGTTTATCTTGTCCGTGTCCCTTAATGCCCTTTTCGAAGGTGGTTCTTCAATCTAAAATCACAAATAATTAAATTATAAATTTTTTTCATAAAATTAAAATTATTATTTATTTATTTATTTAATAAATTGACGAATTTATTCTAAAAAAAAAAAATTTTTTTTTGATAAGAAAAATTACAAGAAATAAATAATTTATTATTTTATATTCTTACCTCTTCCTCTAAACCTGGCAGTTGAATTCTAGTTTCTGAGGCTTCAGCCGGCTGTTAAAAAATAATTTAAAGAAAAAAATATAAATAATTTTGATTATATAATTATAAAAATTATTTTAATAAACATGGAAAAAAAGAATATTGAGTTATTTCGTGATTCAAAGAGAGGAAAAAAAAGCAATTATTACCTGCGCGTCGATACATTCCATTTCTCCGATGTGCAGCTTGAAATTATATTTAAAAATTGCCAATTCGTTTTGTTTTTACATTATTTTTTTTTTTTGTTTTGTAAATAAAAATATAAAAATTACCTTTTTTTTTGGTTTTTAAAGTAAAATTCGATTTTGCATTAAAATACAAATAAATAAATAAATAAAAAATAATTAGAATAATAATAATAAATATATAAATAGTATAATAAATAAATAATATAATATAAAAAAGTTTTCAAAATTCAATATTTTTTTCTGAATTTTCAAATAAAAATTTAACAAAAAACAAAATTCAACGAAGCTGCGAGAAAATTTCTTACACCAGAATAAAAGAACGATTTTTTAAATTAAAATGTTTGAAAATTAGAAGAAGAAAAAAAACTATTTTGTTTCAACAAAAAAAAAGAGAAATAAAAGAAAATTTAATTAAAATAAAAAAGAAGAGGAAAAGAAAATTTAAGTACTTAAAAAAAGAAGAAATAGAAAATTTAAGTAAAATTAAAAAAAAAGAAGAAAATTTAAATTAAAAAAAAAAGAAGAAGAAAAACAAAAATTTTTAGAAACAATTTCTTACCCTTGCGTCAGTTTCATTTGGTCCAATGCCAACCTCCTTTTGTCCCTTCTTTCTGCGTTGTGGCCGTTCATTAAACGTGTGTGTATTTAATTTCCCCTTTGGACTTGACATATTAATTTGCATTTCAGTTGGCAAATAATTTTTTGAATTCGCCAATAATTCATCGGCGCGTTTAAAGTACATTGTCGGAATTCTCAATTCACTTGGAAATTCTTTTAAATCAAAATTCGTCGTTTTTGAAAATATTACATTCATCGCTAAATCACAAACCGCCCACAATTTCTGCAAAATAAACGAATGAAAATAAAAAAATTAATAATTTATTTATTTCACTTTTAAATTTAAATATTAATTAATAAATTTTTAATTTATTATTTCACTTTTAAATTTAAATATTAAATAATTAATTTATTATTTAACTTTTAAAATTTTAATATTAACTAATTTCAAATTTTCAATAATTATAAATTTTGAACTTTATTTTTCAAATATTCAATAATTTTTTGCCACTTTTTTTTTCTCAAACTAAATTTTAAAATATTTTCTTTGACCTTCAAACAAAGAAAAAAATTTGAAATAATATCGTAAGAAAAATTGTTTATTTAAAAATAAATAAAATTTAATTTTTTAATTTAGAATTTTACTGGAAAAATAAATTTTCTTTTTTTTTTTCTCTTTCCAAAAACTTACAATGTTGACAATATCGTCGTCTGGCCTCATTGCATCTTTGTGACTTTTCATTCTTTCGACGAGATTTTTATAAAATCCATAACAATAATATTCATTGCGTGTTATTAGCGGCTCAAGAATAAACCAAAGACACGACTGAATTGTTTTTAATTGTGAAATATCAGTGTGATTCGTAAATTCTGGATCGTGAGCAAGAACCGGAACTGCGAAGACTAACATATAATCTGGCAAAATATGTGGCAGTTGACCTGAAGAAAAAAAAAAAGAGAAAATAATTTTCTATTAATATTCATTAATAATAATAATTACATTAGAAAAATTCAATTCGAATTTTAAAACAGAAATAAATATTTAAATTCATTTTTTTTTTCAAACTATCTGTATTCGATTATCAAATTTTTTTTTTTAAATAATTTTTCTAATAAAATTAATTTCTAATACAACTATTTTTTAATTTAACTATTTTTTTTTTATTTAACAATTTTCTGATAGAACTATTTTTTTTAAAAAAAAAAGTAAATTCTAATTAAACTATTTTCTGAAAAAAACTATTTTAACTATTTTTTTATTTAAATATTTTCTGATAAAAATAATTTTTTTAAAAAGTAAATTCTAATTAAACTATTTTTTGAAAAAAACTATTTTCTAATTAAACCATTTTCTGAAAAAAACTATTTTTTTATTTAACTATTTTCTGATAAAACTATTTTTTAATCAAATTAATTTCTAATAAAACTATTTTTTTATTTGACTATTTTCTGATGAAACTATTTTTTTTAAAAGTAAATTCTAATTAAACTATTTTCTAAAAAAAACTATTTTCAAATAAAGTTTTTTTTTTATTTAACTATTTTTTGATAAAAATAATTTTTTTAAAAAGTAAATTCTAATTATACTATTTTTTAATTAAACTATTTTTTGATAAAACTATTTTTTAATCAAATTAATTTCTAATAAAACTATTTTTTAATCAAATTAATTTCTAATAAAAATATTTTTTTATCAAATTAATTTCTAATAAAACTATTTTTTAAAAAAAAGTAAATTTTAATAAAACTATTATCCAATAAAAGTAGTTTTTAATTAAACTATTTTCGAATAAAATTAATTTTTCCCAAAAAAAATTATTACTTTTTTTTTTTTTTTTTTTTTGAAGACTTATAATTAATTTTTATTTCAAAAAAAAATAATTTTCAAAGAAAAATTTGTGTACAATAGCTAAAATTTAAAAAATATGAAGAAAAACTTACCCATTGCGCGTTCGACAGTTCCAAGCGAAAGGGTTTTAACATAATCTCTTCGTTTTGTAATGTCCGTGTGCATATAAGACTTTAAAACGCACTTTAATCTTTTGTCTTGTTCCTTACCGGCAAGAGCATAATATCCCATAAAATCGAGTGGCAAACATTTATTCGGAATTCCCCTTCCAAGACCTTTATGCAATTTATTTCCAAAAGCCTCTCTAACTTGAGGAACGTCGTCCTGTTTTTTTTTTTTTTTAGAAAAAAAAAAAACAAATTCCAAATTAAATATTACAAATATTTTACAAATAAACAAATATATTTTTAATTCACCATTTTTCCTTTATTTTGAATTGAAAAATCAATAAGACTTCTCAAAAATAAAGGAAAAATATTTTAGGGACGAAAAATCAAGAAAAAAAAAAATAAAGGAAAAGAAAAATCGAAAAATAGAGAAAATCTCACCACCATTAATTGAGAGAGATTGTAAAATTGTTCAGCGGTAAATTGATCGCCAACTCCTTTTTGTTCGCAAATTTTCAACATTGAACAACCCGCCTGAAGACGTAACCAACTCATTTCCGCTTTACTTAATCTTCCCTGTTGTAAAAGATCGCCTTTATTAACAATAAATGCATTCAGCATACGAAATGTTTTTTGCGCTGATAAAACATCAGTTTTCAATCCCAATAGCCAACGTGCCATACATTTTAAACCCTCTAAACGGCAACGTGTCTCCTCTGGTAATTGATCCTCCCGACACCAATCACCGTCTATCGAATCTGTTGTCGGTTCATTTACATCCTTTACCAATAATTCCTTCACAATCTTAAAATTGAAAAAAAAGAAAATTTCGTTTATTACATAATCATTTAAAAAGAGAAAGAATAAACAATTTTTTTTTCTTTACCAAAAAAAAATTGTTTTTTTTTTCTAAAATACTCACTTTTCTTGAGACTAAACTTTTAATTTGCGCCTGATATTTTTCAGGTAAATTATAAGCAATATGACCAAGTGTAACAATTGATGTACGATAATATTCAGATGTTGGCGTTAATGTATTTTTAATTCTCTCAATTATTTCCGGGAATATTGTATCATGAATATTTGGCATATTCACAAATAAACAACGTATCGCTTGTTTTGCTTGTTTTGGCGTTCCAGTTTCAGAGAAATTCTTACATATTGGCGCCATTAAATTCATTATTTCGGGCGCAACATCGCACAATGGACGATATTTCCCAAGGAATGTAAATATCGAAAGTACAAGTGGCGCAACCATTTCATCTTCAAGATCCAAAAATTGTACGAGTTGCATTAAAATATCATTGTGCATAAAATGCGGTCCAAATGCAAATGACAACATCTAAAAATAGAAAAAAAATTACAAAAAGGCGAAACAATTTTAAAAATACAATTTTAAAAAAAAAACCCTTACCACTAACAACCTGAGGCCTTTTTCCCCAGCATTATTTGGATTAAGTCCAATGTCCTCAATAACATTTCCTCCTTTTAAACAATCCAGGACGTATTGAATTAAAACCTATTAAAGTTACACAAAAATATTAAAAATTTGCAAATTTATCGAAAATAACGTGAAAATTCTCACCCTAATTGCCTCCTCGTCAATCATCACTGAACTAACTCTCTCAAGAAGCATTTTAATTGTATTATAATACAAATTTGTCATAACTGGTTGTCCCAATTTTTTTAAAACTGCACTTGTTGTTTCAGCGCATTCTTTACACGATACATTTGGCTGAACAATTGTCTCAAGTCCTTGCAATAGTTGCGCATCTTTTTTCATATGAGCGCTAAATTTTTGTAAAAATTCTTGCACTTTCATTGGATCGGGTAAAAATCGTGAAATTTGTAATATTTTATTTGTCAATTCAGTTGAGGCATCGGGTTTTTTTATTATCTCAATCCATTCGACCACCGATCTTCTTACACTGGAAAAAAACGATTTTTTTTTTAAATATACCTAAAGAAGAGGAAAAATTATTATATAATAATAAAATGCTTGGTCTGTCCTTCTGTCCTAACTTGAAGTTGGTCTTTTATGATTTCACGTGTTTTTTGAATAGTGATCTTAAGACGTGTCAAATTTGTGTCAAATTAAATTTGAAAATTTTAGAAATAATTAAATTTCAAAAGATATTGTTAATTTTCAAACAATAATAAAATTTTACAGAACTAAAAATAATTTATCAAAAAATTTTTTGGAAAACATTTTTTAAATTTAATTGAATTTTCAAAAGATTTAAAATTGAGATTTTAGAAATTAATTGAACTTCAAGTGATTTTAATTAAAATTTTATATGATTTCACTAAAAAATTTATTAGAAATTACAGACAAAATACAATAATTTGATAATCATTTTTAATTGAAAAATGGTTTCAGATAGTTGAATTTTCAAAGAATATTATAAAAAAATTTAAAAATAATTGAATTCCCTTAGAGTTATAATTGAAATTATTAAATTGCAAAAAATTTTCGATGGAAAATTTTAGAAATAATTAAATTTTAAATGCTTTTAAATTCAAATTATTGAAAATTCAATTAATTTTGAATTCAAATTTTTTAGAATAATTAAATTTTCTTTAATTTTGATTTGAAATTTCGGAAAATAATTAAATTTCAATTAAAATTTTGGATAATAATTCATTTTTAGTTGATTTTTATTGAAAATTTTGATAATTAATTTTGAATTGAAAATTTAGAAAATAATTAAATTTTATTTGATTTTAAATTTAGATAATAATTGAATTTTAGTTGATTTTGAATTAAAAATTTGGAAAGTAATTGAATTTTCTTTGATTTTGAATTGAAATTTTGGGAAATAATTGAATTTTAATTGAAATTTTGAATAATAATTTAATTTAAGTTCATTTTTTATTGAAAATTTGGATAATTAATTATGAATAGAAATTTTAGAAAATAATTGAAGAATTTTATTTCATTCTAAATTGAAAACTACGAAAATAATTGAATTTTAAAAGATTTTGAATTAAAAATTTGGAAAGTAATTGAATTTTCTTTGATTTTGAATTAAAATTTTGGGAAATAATTGAATTTTAGTTGATTTTGGAATTGAAATTTTGGAAAATAATTGAATTTTTGTTAATTTTCAATAGATAAATGTGGAAAATATTTGAATTTTAGTTGATTTTAAATTAAAATTTCGGATAATAATTGAATTTTATGTGATTTTAAATTGAAAATTTGGAAAATAATTGAATTTTAAAAGATTTTGAATTAAAAATTTGGAAAATAATTGAATTGTCTTGGATTTTGAATTGAAATTTTGGAAAATAATTAAATTTCAATTACAATTTTAAATAATAATTCAATTTTAGGTGATTTTTGATAATTAATTTTGAAATGAAATTTTAGAAAATAATTTTATTTTATTTGAATTTAAATTGAAAATTTGGAAAATAAGTGAATTTTAGTTGATTTTGAATGGAAATTTTGGGTAATAATTGAATTTCATTTGATTTTAAATTGAAAATTTGGAAAATAATTGAATTGTCTTGGATTTTGAATTGAAATTTTGGAAAATAATTAAATTTCAATTACAATTTTAAATAATAATTCAATTTTAGTTGATTTTTGATAATTAATTTTGAAATGAAATTTTAGAAAATAATTTTATTTTATTTGAATTTAAATTGAAAATTTGGAAAATAAGTGAATTTTAGTTGATTTTGAATGGAAATTTTGGGTAATAATTGAATTTCATTTGATTTTAAATTTAAAATTTGGAAAATAATTGAATTGTCTTGGATTTTGAATTGAAATTTTGGAAAATAATTAAATTTCAATTACAATTTTAAATAATAATTCAATTTTAGGTGATTTTTGATAATTAATTTTGAAATGAAATTTTAGAAAATAATTTTATTTTATTTGAATTTAAATTGAAAATTTGAAAAATAAGTGAATTTTAGTTGATTTTGAATGGAAATTTTGGGTAATAATTGAATTTCATTTGATTTTAAATTGAAAATTTGGAAAATAATTGAATTGTCTTGGATTTTGAATTGAAATTTTGGAAAATAATTAAATTTCAATTACAATTTTAAATAATAATTCAATTTTAGTTGATTTTTGATAATTAATTTTGAAATGAAATTTTAGAAAATAATTTTATTTTATTTGAATTTAAATTGAAAATTTGGAAAATAAGTGAATTTTAGTTGATTTTGAATGGAAATTTTGGGTAATAATTGAATTTCATTTGATTTTAAATTGAAAATTTGGAAAATAATTGAATTTTAAAAGACTTTGAATTTAAAATTTAATAATTTGATAATTAATAATCTGATGCCTATAAACATATAATTTTTATTTTTATCATTTAATATGGAATAATATTCTAATAAATTTATATAATTATTGATAATATTAATTTTTAATTTCTCTATAACAAATAATGAAATACTCAATTTGGCGCGCTTGCGCGCGTTTAATATTGCTAGTTAAATATAAAAAGACAAACTTACGCGAGTTGATGTTTTTGAAGTTCAACAAATGCCTTTGATGCATGATCATCAATTGTTCCAAGTAAATGATAAAGTTTTTTCATTCTTTCCTCAGGTGGAAGTGTATAAGGCACTAAGCAAATGTTCAGTAACCTTTCAACTAATAAACGATCCTCCATTCCTGGCATATAATAACCGTGTAAAATTTTATCCTTTATCCATGTTACCGCTTTTTTTGTCGCTTGTGGCACATCAGCGTCATCCAAATGTTTCTTATAAATATTCGCAAGACCCGACATTGCCTCTTTTCTTATTTTAAACTGCGGAACAAAAAAATATCATTCTTTGTTCTGTTTCAAAAAAAAAAAAAAAGAAATTTTTTTTCGCGAAAAAATTACCTTTTTATCAAGTGTTCGCTCCTTAACAAATTCAAGTAGATCCTCACTATCGGAAACAACTTCAAAATCTCTTTTTGCAGTGGTGACAATTGCCATAACAACTTCATAGCGTACATTTTCATCAGCGTCATGTTGTCTTAATTTCAATGTATTTGTAATATCCTTTCTCAATTCGGGATGATTTAATAAAAAATGCATTGAATATTGTACGCATTTAATACGTATTGACACTGTAATATCATTGAAACGTCCAAGAAATGCACGCCACAATTGTGAATGTTGAATTGCAAGTTGTGAACCTTTTTCAGAAAACATTCGTGCCAATAATGCAACAGCTCCTAATCTTTCATTTTCCGATGCTGATTTTAATTTACATTCCAATTGTGGTAATACCGAGAGCAATACACTTGGACAAATGTGATTTAATTCATAAATTAAATCATAAACTTTCTTTGCAATTTGTAAATTTTTCTCCTCTTTACCCAATATTAGAACATGATTGAAAAACTGTAAAAATAATTTTTAAAATTCAATTCAATTTAAAAAAGTAAAAAAAGAAAAAAATTCCTAACTTTTTCTAACTTTTATTTAATAAATTTAGATTAAAAAATTTTAATTTTTGTAGAAATTTCCCTGACTTTGAATGAAATTTTCTGAAATTCCCTGACTTTTCCCTGACCGTTAGACACCCTGTTAAAGTATTTTTAAGATATTAAAAAACTATATTTCTTGCATCGAAAAATTTAAGAAATTCATAAAAAAGTACTTTCTTGCCAAATTTTTAAAAAGTTCCCCAACTTTTAATTAAATTCCCTGACTTTTCCCTGATTAAAAAATTTTCCCAACTTTTTCTTATATCCTCTTTCGTGTCCATAGCAAATATGGATCTAATTATTCTACCGTACAAATTAAAAAAGTATATAATTAACAATAAAAATATTGTTGTTTATGGCTTTTTTTTACTTTGGACGGTAGTATTGTTTTTCGTCAAATTTAGTTATTTTTATTCATCATTAATATTAAACAAACTTTTTTTCTTTTGAAGACCGCTGAAACTTGGTACAAACAAAATTATTTGTATTAAATGTAAACAGTTGGAGATTAATTGAAAAATATAAAATTACAACCATATTTGAAACATTTAATTAGTTAATTAGTTAATTATTAAATAGAAATTGATAATTACCGCTTGAATATAGGGTTCCAAAGTGTCGCTACATTTAACAACAAGTTCCTTAGCGAGAAGATAAGCATTTTTCCTTTGCGTTTTATTCGGCTCGACAATGTTTAATAAAATAATATCCAATAATTCGTTGCTAACAATATCGGACTCAGTGATTAAAGGACACAAAACATCAAGCATAAAGCTTTTCACTTTTCCCGAGTGTTCGTCACTGAAAGAAAAGTTTTTTTTTTTTTTTTACATACTTTTATTTTTTCCAAAAAAATAGTCAATTACTTTAAATACTTTTCAATTTATTTTTCAAATTAAAAATGTAATTTCTTTTTTTGAAAAAAAAAACTAATTTCTCGAAAATAGTAAAAACTCACTTGACAATTTTGAACATGAGGGAAAATAGAGCGCAAAATATTTCCTGACAATCCTCAAGTTCAAAGCACATATTAAATGATTTGACGTAGGCCAAATTTTCCAGAAGATAAAAATAACGTTTAAACGCAGGATCTTTGGGATCCTTTAAGCCGGCCAATTGCTTAATAAGGAACAGAAAAATTGTCTTCACCTATTAAAAACGAAAAAATGGAATTTAGTTTTTCAATTTCAAGTTTTCTATATAAATAAAAAAATTATTTATTCAACAAAGTAGGTTATAAAAAAAATTAAAAAATTCTGTTCTTTAATATTCTTTTGTACTAAATTAATTAAAATTTTTTTAGAACATTAAAAATCGAAAAAGGCAAAAAAAATTACAAAGCGTCAGAAATTTAAAAAAAAAAAAAAATTTTTTTATAAGTTAAATGTGGATAAATAATAAATTATTCGTATTAATGAAATAATTTGCTTTGGGAAAAAAAGGTTAAAAATTTTTTTTTTTTTTTTTTGAAGCTAATATTTACTTTAATTTATTTAGAAAAAATTCCAGAAAATTAAAGAATTTCCCTGATTTTTTATGGAATTTTTAAATTCCCTGACTTTTGCCTGATCGTTAGACATCATGTTAATTACATAAAGAAAAGAGTGAAATTTAATCAAATTTTTGCTGTGGAAAAAGAAAAGAAAAATATAATTACCTGATCAGCATCTTTATAGGGAGCTTCAGGCGCATAAACTCTGAGAACATCAGCAATGCAACAGGCAATTAAAAGTTGAACATCTTTACTTGGATGCATCAAAAAATGTTCCTCTGCTAAATGAAGGGCCAATGGAATATATTGTTGATACATTCCCTCATCTTGGCCCATTGCTTGCAATGTGTGTGCTAAAGTCTAAAGAAAAAAGTCACGAAAAAAAAAATTTTTAATTAAATATTAATTTAATTAAATATTTAATTTAATTTTACAATAAAATATTTCAAAAAAAAACAGATATAGAATTTTTTTTATACAAAAATTAATTATAAAAAAAATGATTATTGTATAATTATATAATATAATTTACAAAAATTATAGTAGAATAATTTAAATAAATATTAAAATAATTATTTTTAATTAATAATTATTATTTAGATTTTCTAATTTCTAATTAATAATTATTATTTAGAATTTCTAATTTCTAATTAATAATTATTAATTTCTAATTAATAATTATTAATGTTAATTTCTAATTAATAATTATTAATGTTAATTTCTAATTAATAATTATTAATTTTAATTTTTAATTAATAATAATAATTAATTTATGATTCAAAGTAGAATAATTATTCTAAAATGAAAAGAATTAATTTTTTTTTTTTAATTTTTGGTCTTTACCTTTAGTCGTCGAATTAATTCATCAGGACCCAAATCTTCGGTGACGGGCCTGCACCCCTGAGGGTAAACAATTTCAGTCATTGTGTCAGCTTTGAAATCGACACAGATTAAAAAAATTGTCTATCTTGATAATGGTTTAGAATACCGTCCAAACTCTGAAAATAATTAAAATTCAACTCAAAATTTCATAAATCTGAGAAAAAATTATTGCAAAGAAAAAAAAAAAATTACCAAATTTCTTCGTATTTAAAAATTAATATTAATTAATTAAAAATTAATTAATAATTTATTTAAAAATTAAACGAAAAAAAAGAGAATACAAAAAGCAAATTTAAATCAAAATAAGTAGATAATAAACAAATATTTTGTAGATAATTAACAAATATTAATAAACATAAATAAATAAAATAACGAAGATAAATAAATTTAAAAAAAAAAATTATAAATAAATAAAACAAATAATTAAAAAAAAATTATAAATTATAAAAATTAAATATTTAATATTAAATTATAAAAAAAAAATATAATAATAAATATAAATAAACAAAAAATAATAATAAACATAAATAAATAAAATAGTAAAATTAATTAATTACTATTTAATTTAATTAATTAATTTTCAATTTCGAAATTTTTTGAATTGTACAATTTTTTTTTTGTATATAAAAAATTTTATTTACGAAACAAATTTGTTAATAAACAAAAAAAATACCTTCAATTTGAAAAAAAATTTTCAAAAAATTTTTTTTTTTTTTACAATTTCACGAAAATTATAAAAAAAAACACAATTTCTCCAAATTATAGAAAATAATCGAAAAAAAAAATTTTCGAAATATAACATACAAAATACCGATAATTTAAAAAAAAAAACCGAGACCCAAACAATTGTTAATAATTCCCTCGTAAAAACAGAAAATAAAAAAAAAATTTCATCAACCAAACATTTAATAGTGAAAACAATTTTTTTTTTTTTTTTTGAACAATTTTTAAAAAACGATTAACAATGATATATTATCACATAAAATTTCATAGCATCGTTTTCACACACTAAAAAAATTTTTTTTTTTTTTTGAAGGTTATGTCGGCTTGTCCCCGAACGCATTCAACGAGAAATGTAAACAATATTAGTAAATTAAATAAATTTTTCTAATAAAATTGGTAATTTTTTCTTTTTTTGAAAAACAATTGACAATTAATATTGATAATGAAATTTTTTTTGTAAAATAATATTAATAATAATTTTGAAAATTATTTACCTGGAGATATGCATAGACACCGCGCCAGGGCCCCGTGTGGCACACTCACAAAAATATCAATAAAGCAAATATAATATCAAGTCTGATGCTGTTAAACACTTGGGATTTTAAATGAGTTATTATTCACGAGAACTTGTCACTAATTACATTTAAGTACGATTGATTTTTACATTAATTAATTCCCGGCAATGGTAAATCATTATTTAACGTTGCAATAAAAAATGCGAGAAAAATGTGCTAAAAACCGTCTCTTCGTTTCGGTTAAACCGTGTCAAAGGACGCGACAGCGCATTTTAGCAACGTGAAGCATGCAGTGAACCGTGAAAAAAAGTGTGGGATTCAGCCGTGTTTACAATACGGAAACTACTATGCGCCACCTTGCGACGAGGCGAAACTAACTTTAAGGTGCTTTTTAAATACCGCCAGTATTTTGATCAAGCAATCGGTTGGATTGAATTTTCACAGAGAATCACTGAATTTGATTGGCTCTAAAAAATATTCAATTTTCACACTGAAAATGGAATATTAGTCAGAGCCAATCAAATTCAGTGATACAACCGTAAAAATTCAATCCAGTCGATTGCTTGATCAAAATACTGGAGGTATAAAAGCACCTTTATGCTGCATAAAGCTGAGTCTACAATGGGCACATTACTACGCGACGTGAAGGCCTGAGCAGAATAGAAACGTAACCGTAATCGCAATCGTAAACGGAAGAATGAGTTAGAGAAGGATAGTCATATATTGTCGTTCTTCTCTTACTAATTCTTCCGTTTGCGATTACGATTTCGGTTACGTTTCTATTGTGCTTAGGCCTTGAACTAGGAATGTGCAAGTCGAAATCGATTTTCGATTAAAATCGATTAATAATATGCGATTAATCGAATAATGGAAATTGATCGTTGAAAAAGCCAATTAAAAATCAATTAAATTCGACTTTTAATCGATTAAATTCGAATTTTCAGGATTAAAAAGTCAATCGATTAATTGACAATCGATTTTTCGTTTCCAATTCACATCCCTAACGTGAACGTGCCCAATGTAGACTCAGCTTAAAGCAGCGTCGGACGTGAACGCGAACGTGTACCTAATGAGAGAGAGAGAGAGAGAGAGAGAGAGAGGAGTAAGGAGATCTATACCCCTCTCTCTCATAAGGTACACGTTTGCGTCCACATCCAACGCGCATATTGTAAACGCTGCTTAACTTGGTTTCGCTTTTGTAAGTATGCCTTCATGCATTAGGATGGCATAAGGTTATTCAAGTTGGGTGTGGGAAAGCCAAGATGGATGATGGCTGATTGTGCACAATCAGCCATCATCCATCTTGGCTTTCCCACACCCAACTTGAATAACCTTATATAGGCGCTTCCGTACAAACCTACTAAATTTTACAGCACGTTAAGGCCTTTCTGCAATATGTTCCTAAATGTTTGCATTGCGTGACTGACGCGTTGGTTCACAGTGACGTCATCAAAGCATTGATACCAATAGAGAACAAAAAGTTTGATTTATGATTTTAAGGCACTGAATTTTTTAATTATAAATATTAAATAATTAAAAGCCGTCGAGAAACATTTGCATTAAAAATTGCAAAATTGCGAAAAACATGGATAAGAGGAACATAAACCAAACTTTTTGTTCGCGATTGGTATCAATGTTTTGATGATGTCACTGCGCTTGCAAACCAACGTATTTTAGTTTCTATTTTTAATTACCTATTTAATTAATTAATTTTACATTATTTTGAAATAGACCGCCATGCGCAAACGGTCACTGCGCATCAATTTCTCATCACGCGAAAAACCTGCGCTTTAAGAGAACCCCCCACTAAAATTGTCTTTATGAGAGGTTTCTCTATAATTTAAAGCCTACGCACAATAATTTCGCAAACATGAATAAAAGAGAAAAAGTTCTTGCTATTCTATTGTGCGTTGTCCTAAATTTAATTGTCCGTATAACCTAAATGTGACAAATTTTCGAAAAAAAATTACCATTTTTTTTTTTTTTTTTTTTTTAGTTTATTACTTAATTTATTTATTATAATAAATAATTAAAAATGGAAATACAAGTAAATAGTGCATTTGCAAAAGACTATAAATCTCTTGAAAATAATATTTTAAATAAATTAAAACACATAAAATTAGACGATGAATCGTTAAAAAAATTAAAATTTCATTTTGTCAATCAAATTAATTCAAAAAGAACATTTGAACGTATCAATAAATTTGATCAACTTTTTAATGTTTTGAAAAAAAGAAATATTATTGACCATAATAAAATAGAATCTTTTAATTTTGCCTTGGATGCTATTCAAAAAAAAGAATTGTCCAGAGAGGAAAATTGTAATTTAGAGAAAGAATTTTTGAATTTGTTTATTACTAATTCTTATGGTATTTTGATTTTTGTAATTATAAAAAAAATAAAATTATTTACTTTTTTGTTTATTTTATTTTTAATGCCCTCACTCGTTTTTAATGATTAATTTTTATAATTTTTGAATTTAGTCACTGCAAATACATCAACATTTATTGAACATGATTTAGAAATTACAAAAAATATTGCAATTCTCTCACAACAAAATTGTGAAAGTGATTTGTGTAAAAAAAGAAATTTTCAACAAAAAGGTATGAATTTATAAAAAGAAATTTTTCTAATAAGTATATATATATATTAATATAGAGACGAAAAAAAATTATAGGTTATGTTTATAATTAGTTTTAGCCCAGTTATAATTTATTTGAATTTCATTTATAAAATTTCAATTTAAACATCTAATTAATGCTATCGATCTGATAAATTTCTGATTATAATAATTTTTAAGGTTATGTTTATGATAGTTTTATTTTGATTACAATAATTATAGGTTATATCTATTTATGTACGTTTTTAATTTTTAAGAAAAATAATAGGTTATGTTTTATATGATCGTTTTACTAAATTGATTTAAAAAAAATATTTACTTATCGTTTTACATTAAAAAATTTACAGGTTATGTTTATGATCGTTTTACTAAATTGATTTTAAAAAAATATTTACTTATCGTTTTACATTAAAAAATTTATAGGTTATGTTTATGATCGTTTTATTATATTGATTTTTAAATAATATTGGGTTTTTGTTTGAGTTTTACTCTTATTATAGGTTATGTTTATGATTATTGTACCTTTATTAAAAAAAAATTAGATATGTTATTATCCTTTTACCTCGATTAAAAAAAAATTTTAGAGGTTATGTTTATTACTCACAATAAACTTGCAACAATATTCGTAACATTGCCTCAAAATATTTAACTAATATTGCAGAAATAACCTAATTTGTATTTTACATAAGTATCATAAACGTAACCTATTATTTTCTGCTCAGAAATAATAAATAAGAAACAAAAATAATATAGGTTATTTTTTTAAAAAAATAGTTTTACTTATTGATATAAAAATTATAGGTTATCTTTATTATAGTTTTATCTTAATTATAAAAAATTGTAGTCTTTTTTTATGATAGTTTGAAGCAAAAAATTGTACGTTATGTTTATGATAGTTTGGAGCACAAAATCGTAGGTTATGTTTATGAAACTTTTATCTTAATTATAAAAAATTGTAGGTTATGTTCATGATAGTTGGAAGGAAAAAAATCTTGGTTATGTTTATGATAGTTTGAAGCAAAAAATTGTAAATTACGTTCATGATAGTTTGGAGGAAAAAAATTCTAGGTTATGTTTATGATAGTTTAGACAAAACAAAATTCTAGGGTTATGTTTATGATAGTTAGAACATGATTTGAAAAATTAGAGTTTACGTTTATGATTGTTTTGATTAAAGAAACGGTTATTTTTAAAAAAATAGTTTTACTTATTGATAAAAAAAATTATAGGTTATCTTTATTATAGTTTTATTTTAATTATGAAAAATTGTAGGCTTTTTTTTATGATACTTTGAAGCACAAAATTGTAGGTTATGTTTATAATAGTTTTATCTTAATTATAACAAATTGTAGGTTATGTTCATGATAGTTTAAAGCAAAAAATGGTAGGTTATGTTTATGATAGTTTGGAGCACAAAATCGTAGGTTATGTTTATGAAACTTTTATCTTAATTATAAAAAAATTGTAGGTTATGTTCATGATAGTTTGAAGAACAAAATTGTAGGTTATGTTTATGATAGTTTGGAGCACAAAATCGTAGGTTATGTTTATGATAGTTTGAAGCAAAAAATAGTAGGTTATGTTTATGACACTTTTATCTTAATTATAAAAAATTGTAGGTTATGTTCATGATAGTTTGGAGCACAAAATCGTAGGTTATGTTTATGACAGTTTGAAGTAAAAAATCGTAGGTTATGTTTATGATACTTTTATCTTAATTATAAAAAATTGTAGGTTATGTTCATGATAGTTTAAAGAAAAAATTGTATGTTATGTTCATGATAGTTTCAAGAAAAAATGGTAGGTTATGTTTATTATAGTTTAAAGCACAAAATTGTAGGTTTTGTTTATGATAGTTTGGAGCACAAAATTGTAGGTTATGTTTATGATACTTTTATCTTAATTATAAAAAATTGTAGGTTATGTTCATGATAGTTTAAAGAAAAAATTGTAGGTTATGTTCATGATAGTTTCAAGAAAAAATGGTAGGTTATGTTTATTATAGTTTAAAGCACAAAATTGTAGGTTTTGTTTATGATAGTTTGGAGCACAAAATCGTAGGTTATGTTTACGATACTTTTATCTTAATTATAAAAAATTGTAGGTTATGTTCATGATAGTTTAAATGAAAAAATTGTAGGTTATGTTAGTTAAGTTATGATAGTTTAGAGCAAATTTTAGGTTATGTTTATGATAGTTTAAAGCAAAAAAAAAGAATTATAGATTATGTTCATAATAGTTTGGAATAAAAATACACAAAGTAAATAAAAATAAAAATATTCGTCTCTATTACACAAAAAATAAAAACTAATTTCATTTTAAAATAATTAAATTAAAATTAATCATAAACATAACCTCAATTTTTTTCTTCTTATTATTTGTAAATTATTTTTTCTGCATTAAAAAATGATATAATTTTTTTATTTTTCAGTGATGCTTGAAATTAGCGATCGAATAGGAATTAAATGGAGAAATTTGGCGCGATATTTAGGTATAACAGAAATGATAATTGATCAAACGGAAATAAAATATTCAGATTTAAAAGAAAAAGCATATCAGGTTAGAAAAAACCAAAAAATTAAGGATATTTTTTTTTTTTTTAAAAAAAAAAAAGAAGAAATTTTTATTTTATTTAAAAAATTTTTCTATTTATTTTTCAGATATTAAGAATGTCTCAAGAACAATTAACTTTTGAAAATTGGCGAAGAAAATTAATTTATGCTCTCGACAAAGTAAGAAGAAGAGATCTTTGTGATTGGATAGAAGATATTTATTTAAAAAGTTATTGAACTCATAATAAATAAAAATGTATCTATTATTTTTTTTTTTTATAATGTATATATGTATTTTTTTTTTTAATTTTTTTTATTGTAAACGTTAATATATATGAACATTCGCTGCAGTTGATGTTTTTTTTTTTTCTTACCATCATCATTTACAAGAATTTTTTTTCTTTCTTTAAATATATTCTTTAGAAGAAAAAATAAAAGCAAGAAAATTTTTTCTTTTCAAAACTCTTTCAGATCATTAAAAAAAAAAAAAAGAAAAGAAAAGAAAAAAAAAATGAAAAAAAAGTCATGTAGAAAAATACAAAAAGAAGATCTTGAAATGAGTTTTTAATTTTTTTTTTTTTTGGAAATATTTGACAATAAAAAATTAGCAAAATTTGATGATAGTTTTTATTATATTGATACGAGAATATGTTTTAATTTCGTATTCAAATTTTCGATTTTTTTTTTAACGAATTTTATGAAATTGAAAAAAATATATATACATATAATAAAAATTTCATTTCTATTCATATTTTTCTTTAATGAAATATAATTATTTTTTTTTTTTTTATCTCAACCAAAAATAATTGAATTTTTTTCTCTTTTGCTTTAAATGTTAAACATTAAATGTTTTTTTTTTTTAAATATGTCTATCCGCTATTTTTTGTAATTATAGAAAAAGTAAATTCAATTTTTTTTTCCTTTTTTTATAAAGTATTGATAAATAACAATATGAAAGAATTCTTTGTATGAAAAAAAAGAGAGAGAGAGAGAAAGAAAAACCAAGACTTATTTAGAAAGAAAAAAAAAGGAACGAAATATTAAATGACAATTAATAGGCAAACAAAACGTAAAAAAAAAAAAATAGTCATGACTTTTGATAATCAAAGTCTTGGATAACTTTCAGAAAAAAAAATAAATTCTTTTTTTTTTTTTTTTTTAAACTGTATAAGTATTTCTGGTCATGCTTCCTGTTTTAACCATTGTATCACTGTGAATTTGGTAACCTATTGTCACTTTTGACGTAATCCTCAAGCGTTCTTTTAACTTGCGTCTAGAAAAAACAAAAAAAATTCGAAGAGGAAAAATAAATTTTTCATTCTCTCATAGAATAGAAATGAAAAAAAAAAAAATTCAATTTTCTTTCAATAAAAATCGTAATATACGATTATAATAATAATAATATTAATAATAATAATAATAAATTTAGTGAAGAATTTTAGTTAAAAATTTGTTAAATAATTAAAATAAAGAAGATCTGAAGAAAATCGGCATTATATACTAACAAAAAAAAATGTATTTTGTTTAAAAATTTTGTAAAAAAAAAAAAACAGTCGAAAAAAATAATTATTGTAAATTGAATTAAAAAGAAAAAAAAAAGAAAATTACCCAATTTCCATAATGCTCTGTGAACTATGTGCATCTCCTGTCCAAAGAGCGAGTTTATCTTGACGTGGCCTAACATTAACAACAGCTCCACATATATCATCGGAAAATTCATTAAATCCCTCGCCAATCATGCATAATAATATTTCAAGCCAAAAACGATCTAATTCAGTGGCTCTTTGTTTTTTCTCAAGATTAATTAGCCATCTTCCTCCACTTTTATTAGCATCATCCTCCCACATTGGTCGTATTCCTTGTTTAAACATACTATAATCGGAGCCACTTCTTAATTCTGAGGCACATTTAATGTGATTGTACAAACTGCAAAATTTACAACAAAAAAATTAACAAACATTTTTCTTAATTGGACAAAAAAAAAATTGAATAAATAAATTAAATTAATTAATAAATAAAAAATTAATGAAAAAAACATTTTTATTAACTGGAAAAAACAAAGAATAAATTATGAAATAAATAAATAAATAATAAATTAAACAGGGTGTCTAACAACTGCTAAGAAAAAAATTCCCTGACTTTTCCCTTATCTAAATTACACTAAAAAAAATTTTATTTTGATCAAATAAAATTTAATTTAATACAATTAAATCATTTGTCTGTCTATTATCCACAAATTTTATATTTATTTGAACTAAATAAATAATGTTTCGTAAAAAAATAAAATATTTAAGTGAAATAATTAAACTAATTGAGGGGACGTATAAATATTCTCAACATTTAATTTAAAAGAAGTTTTACGGCTTCAAATTTTAAATTATCAAATTTTTATTTAGTCAAATTATATAAAGCAGATTTTCTAGTACATTGAATTTCAAATTAATACAATTTCAAATTTAACGGAATTTATGTCAAGAAAAATTGCATAAAGAACAATTTTTTTTTCAACAGAATTGTTATTTTAGTAAATTTCGATTTAAAAAAATATTTACTTAACAATCATTGAATAAATCTACAATTAATAGAATTTCTATTTAACAAAATTCTTAATTAAACAAAGTTTTTATTGAAGAAAATTTTAATTCCAACTAATTCTTATTTAACAGAATTCTCATTTAATGAAAAATTCTACTTAGTTCCTTTTTTGTCAATTTTTATTAGACATTAATTTCGTTAAATTGAAATTATATTAATTTCAAATTTTTGAAAAAAGTATTAGAAAAAATGCTTTATAAAAGTTCTGCTAAATAGAAATTAAATCGAATTTTAGTTACATGTAAATTGAAAATTTTGCATAATATAAAATCCACTTCATACAATTTTGCTAAATAGAAATTCGATAATTTAATATTCGACGACGAGAAAATTTTTTATAACTTAAATGTGGGTATTAGCATTTAATAATAAATTTAAATTCAATATCCACTAAAATTCAATTATTTACAAAAATTTCAATTAAAATTCAATTATTTAAAAAATTTTCTATTAAAAATCAAGTAAAATTCAATTATTTTCAAATTTTTTAATCCAAAATCAACTAAAATTCAAATACATTCAAAAAATTCATTTCAAATTCAACTAAAATTCAATAACTTTCCAAATTTTCAATTAAAAATCAACCAAAATTCAATTATTTTCCAAAATTTCAATTGAAATTCAATTATCAAAATTTTCAATTCAAAATCAACTAAAATTCAATTATTTTCCAAAATGTCAATTGAAATTCAATTATTTTCAAAATTTTCAATTCAAAATCAACCAAAATTCAATTATTTTCCAAAATTTCAACTGAAATTAAATTATTTTTAAAATTTTCAATTCAAAATCAATTAAAATTCTATTATTTTTAAAATTTTCAATACAAAATCAACTAAAATTCAATTATTTTAAACATTTTCAATCCAAAATCAATAAAAATTTAATTATTTTATAGAGTTTTAATTGAAATTCAATTATTTTCCATTCAAAATCAACTAAAATTCAATTATTTCAAAATTTTCAATTCAAAATCAACTAAAATTCAATTATTTTCCAAAATTTCAATTGAAATTAATTATTTTATAAAGTTTTAATTGAAATTCAATTATTTTCCAGTCAAAATCAACTAAAATTCAATTATTTTCAAAAATTACAATTCAAAATCTTTTAAAATTCAATTATTTTTAAAAATTTCAATTTAAAAACTTTTAAAATTGAATTATTTTCCAAATTTTCAATTGAAATTAAATTATTTTCAAAATTTTCAATTCGAAATCAACCAAAATTCAATTATTTTCCAAAATTTCAATTGAAATTAAATTGTTTTTAAAATTTTCAATTCAAAATCAATTAAAATTCTATTATTTTTAAAATTTTCAAAACAAAATCAACTAAAATTCAATTATTTTAAACATTTTCAATCCAAAATCATTAAAAATTTAATTATTTTATAGAGTTTTAATTGAAATTCAATTATTTTCCATTCAAAATCAACTAAAATTCAATTATTTCAAAATTTTCAATTCAAAATCAACTAAAATTCAATTATTTTCCAAAATTTCAATTGAAATTAAATTATTTTCAAAATTTTCAATTCAAAATCAATTAAAATTCATTTATTTTCAAAATTTTCAATACAAAATCAACTAAAATTCAATTATTTTAAACATTTTCAATTCAAAATCATTAAAAATTTAATTATTTTATAAAGTTTTAATTGAAATTCAATTATTTTCCAGTCAAAATCAACTAAAATTCAATTATTTTCCAAAATTTCAATTGAAATTAAATTATTTTTAAAATTTTCAATTCAAAATCAATTAAAATTCTATTATTTTTAAAATTTTCAATACAAAATCAACTAAAATTCAATTATTTTAAACATTTTCAATCCAAAATCATTAAAAATTTAATTATTTTATGAAGTTTTAATTGAAATTCAATTATTTTCCAGTCAAAATCAACTAAAATTCAATTATTTTCAAAAATTTCAATTCAAAATCTTTTAAAATTCAATTATTTTTAAAAATGTCAATTGAAATTCATTTATTTTCAAATTTTTCAATCCAAAAACAACTAAAATTCAATTATTTTTCAAAATTTCAATTCAAAATCACCAAAAACTCAATTATTTTCCAAAATTTTAATTTTAAAGCTTCTAAAATTTAATTAGAAGGTTTCGTATGAATAAAACGATAACATTCGGACCATTGTTGTTTTAATAAAGGTTTACTCCAACGTTTCGAAATCTAAATGATTTCCTCTTCAGGGAGTCAAATAAGAAACATATGTCAAGTCATAGAAATAATGGTCAATTGCGGTGTCAAATTAATAAAAAACAAAACCACCCTAATGTTGGAGAACTTTCTAAAATTTAATTATTTCTAAAATTTCCCATCTCATAATTTTTGAAATTTAATAATTCCAATTATAACTCTCCTGAAATTTAATTATATCGAACTTGAATTTATCACTTGAAGTTCAATTAATTTCAAAAATCAAAATTATAAATCTCTGAAAATTCAATTAGTTTTAAAAAAATGTTATCCAAACAGTTAGTTAATAAATTATTTTTAGTTCTGTAAAATATTTAATTATTTTCTGAAAATTAACAAAATCATTTGAAATTCAATTATTTCATTAAAAATTTAATTTTAACTCTTTAAAAATTACTATTATTTAAAAAAAAAAAAAAAAATTGTATTTAAAAATCTGTAAACCTTGTTTCAAGTATTGCCTGAAAATTTTTTTCACCATTAAAAATTAAAAACTATGAAAAAATTTTTAATTTGAAATAGATATTCTTTTAAATCGAATTTTCTTTAAATGTAAATTGAAAATTTTGCATAACTATAAAATCCAACTTTATAAAATTTTGCTAAAAATAGAAATTCGATAATTTAATATTGGATGGTGTAAAAATTTTTATAAGTTAAATGTAAAAATTTCCTGATTTTTCCCTAACCCTTTAAAATTCCCTGACTTTTCCCTAATCGTTAGACACCCTGTAAATAAATAATTAAATTAATAAATTAAATAAATAAATAATTAAATAAATAATTAATTAAAAAACATTTTTAATAATTGATAAAAAAACGTAGAATAAACAAAGTAAATAAATAATTAAATGAATAAATTATTAAATTATTAAATAAATGAATAATTAAAAAAACATCTTTAATAATTGTTAAAAAAAACGTAGAATAAACAAAATAAATAAATAATTAAATAAAAAATTAATTGAAAAACATTTTTACTGAAAAAACGAAGAATAAACAAATAAATAAATAATTAAATAAAAAATAATTTAAAAAATTAATTAAAAAACATTTTTATTGAAAAAAACGAAGAATAAACAAAGTAAATAAATAATTAAATGAATAAATTATTAAATAAATAAATAATTAAAAAAACATTTTTAATAATTGATAAAAAAACGTAGAATAAACAAAATAAATAAATAATTAAATAAAAAATTAATTGAAAAACATTTTTACTGAAAAAACGAAGAATAAACAAATAAATAAATAATTAAATAAAAAATTAATTAAAAAAACATTTTTATTGAAAAAAACGAAGAATAAATAAAATTTATTATGTAGAAAAATAAATAATAATAATAATTATTTTATAATAAATAATTATAATAATAAATTCAAAATAATATTAATTATAATAATAATTATTGTAAAAAAATTAATTAAGAAACTTTTTTATTGAAAAAAAAAAACGAAGAATAAATAAATTATTAAGTAAATCAAAAAATATAATTAATTTACAAAATTTAATTAATATAATTTAATAAAATTAATAATTAAAAAATGAAAATACCTCCAAAAGTCTTCAGCCGTATCAAAGCTGGTAATTTCACGTTGACTTTGCTCCCATGATTTTGAACGATCTTGTTCATAATACCAAAGAGTCCACGTGTTTTGAAGGGGATGTTTAATTAACAACTCAGGTGGAAATTCTTCCATACTAACGAGTTCCAATTCTTTTTTATCAACTTCCTAAATTTTGTAATTTTTTTTTTTTAAACAATTTTAATAACCATTTTTTTTTCAATTGTTAATTATTTTCAATATTAATATATAAATTTTGCAAAATTATAATCACAAAAAGAAAAAAATGAAAACTAATTTTTTTTCCCTTCACAATTATTACGGTAAAAAATAATTAAACATATGTATATATATATATATATGTGTAATGAAAACAAAAATAATTCGATAACAAAAATTAACCTCTATTAGTTTGATAAGACAATTTTTACGATAAGAAACAATAATTTAGAAAAATTTTCATAAAAAAAAAAAAAAATTATTATTATTTAGAACAATCGAGAAGGGAAAATTGTTATAGAGAGAAAGGGTGTTGAGAGGGGAGGTGGAGTGGGGGAAGACGTGTGTGAGAGAAGATTATAGACAAGTTAAATGTATTTTTGTATTTTAGCAATTCTTTTGTAAATAGATAAATATTCTAAATTGTTTTTAATAAAATTATGAAAAAAATTGACAAAAATTGATGATTAATTATTAGTGTGTATTTTATTTGTTTCATACCTCCATATCCTCGGAATTATTTGTAGCCATATCACTAGTTTGCTTTCTAAAAGTTTCCTTCATTGAAAGAACCTCATTGACAAGGCAACGCAATGGCATGCTGGGAAAAATTTAGTAATAACGACAGAGTTGGGTTGGTCGTTAAAACAAAAAAAATTTTATCTAAAGAGATAGGAAACTCAATGGGAGAAAAATGTTGCATTGATAAATATGGTACATTTACAATTTCTGTTGATAACTATTTTTTTTTTCTTCTTTTCTTTCGAAAAAAAGTATAACGCTTTTGTCCACAATTGGGATCAGAAATCACGCGAAACTGACCCACCCCTGAGCCTTCTTGTGACAACCATCTTGGTTTTTTATCTCTTTCTTTTGTATATGTTAGAGAAACACGGAATGAAAACATGGCCACCACAACAAGGCTCTCACCAGATGGCGTATCGCAGTATTTCAGATCCCAATTAAGGTACTTTTTCACACCTCTAGTGTCAAGCAATTCATTGGATTGAATTTTCACGATTGTATCACTAAATTTGATTGGCTCTGACAAATATTCCATTTCCACTGTGAAAATTGAATATATTGTTTAGAGCCAATCAAATTCAGTGATTCTCCGTGAAAATATTTAATTCAGCCGATTGTTTGACCAAAATACTGGGAGGTATAAAAGCACCTTAATTTCATTTTCATTGTGAAAACAGAGTTGCCAATGATCCTACCTAAACGCTACTGCGCTTGCGCTACGACAACTCTTTTATAGGTCGAAAAAAGCGCGCTTATATAAAATGCTTAATAATAAGAAAACTTTAATAAAGCAATATAAAACTATTTTCACTATTGAATTTATTTTTTTTGTTAATTATATTGCTTCCTAATAAAAAATATACTAATTTCCTTAATATACTTAAGTATATAATAATAATAATAATAATAATAATAATAATAATAATAATAATAATAATAATAATAATAATAATAATAATAATAATAATAATAATAATTTTATTATATTTATATCATTATTGTAATTATTTTTTAAATAAAATATTCATAATCTATTATTATTATCATCAATATAATATTTATTATTATTATCATTATTTTCAATAAATTATTATTAAATATCTATGAATGTATTACATCTATTGGGAACTGTAGAGCTGCGATACGCCATCTGGTGTCGACCCACTTGCGGTAGCCATTTTTTATTTTGTCTCTGTCTAACATATGTATAAAGAAAGAGACAAAACAGCAAGATGGTTGCCGCAAGTGGGTTCAGGGTTGTGTAGTTACACAAGATTTCGGATCACAATATATTTCAAAAAAAAAATGAATCGAATTTTTTTTATACTTTTTTCCCAATTCAAATTTTCCTTATAAAAAAGTACAAAAAAATTTCGCTAAAAAAAAAATATATATATGTATATATTATAGATAATTAATTAATAACAATTTAATAATAATAATAAAAATAAATAATATATTACATAATTAATTAATAAATATTAAATTGAGAATAATAATAATAATAATAATAGATTATACATTTTATATAAAAAAATAATAACAATAATGATATAAATATATTAAAATTTTTAATATTATAATTATTATTATTATTATTTTTACATACTTAAGTACATTAAGTAAATTAATATTTTTTTTATTAAGAAGCAATATAATTAACAAAAAAAAATAAATTCAATAGTGAAAATAGTTTTATATTGCTTTATTAACGTTTTCTTATTATTAAGCATTTTATATAAGCGCGCTTTTTTTGACCTATAAGAGAGTTGTTGTAGTGCAAGCGCAGTAGCGTTTAGGTAGGATTATTAGCAACTCTGTGTAAAGGTGCTTTTATACCTCCAGTATTTTGGTAAAGCAATTGGCTGAATTGAATTTTCACGGTTGTATCACTGAATTTGATTGGCTCTGACTAATATTCCATTTCCACCGTGAAAATTGAATATTTTTAGAGCCAATCAAATTCAGTGATTCTCCGTGAAAATTCAATTCAGCCGATTGCATTACCAAAATACTGGAGGTATAAAAGCACCTTGAAAATGTAATGAAAAAAAAACCAAGTTATGTAAGCACCTTAACGAAAAGAAAGAAAATTTGTAGAAAAATCTTAAAAATCTCCGAACGAAACATTTGAGACGTTCAAGTATTATAAATTTATTTGCCCAATTTGCATCCTTTTTTTTTCCCCAACTTTGGAAGAACATTCCCATCTCTGACTATATATGACATAAAAAGCGCAGTATTCTGTCGTGTCGTGTCATGATAGAATGTATATTGTACAAATTTACCAATTTACCATGATAAAATAGTTCGTGATAAATGATAAATCAGAAAATTTTATTTAAGGTTAAAGGGGGAAAAAAAAAAGAAAAACTATGTAAATTTTTTCATTACCCATCTCCATTAGGAAAAATGTATTATCGTTGAAAATAAAAACGCGATTGTAAATAATTTGACATTTTCAATCTTTAGTGGAAATTTATTTATTTATTTTTATTTTTTTTTTTTAAGAGAGAAAAAAAAAAAAAAAAAAAAAAATGCCCCACGTTGCAAGAAATTGTCCACACATTGCAAGTCAATGTGATTCGGGAATTATTGAATTAGCAATTTCTTATAAGGATCGTTTTAATAAATGTAGTGATTGTGAAAGTGATGGTCCTAATTTATGGTTATGTCTTTATCATGATTGTCATTGGATTGGTTGCGCTGAGACAAATCCCGATCATAGTTCAATTCATAATCAAAAATTTCCAAATCATTCAATTCATATGAATTTATGTACAAATAGATTTTGGTGTTATTCATGTGGTAATGAAGTATTTGCATGGCAAAATTCAATGTCAATAAAATCGGAATTTAAAAAATTTGCTGGCGATGCATCGTGTATTGAAACAAAATCATCGGATTTACAACGTTTACTTGTTGAAACGTGAGTAAAATTCAATTTTTTTCCGTTTTTTTTTTTTTTTTTTTTTTTTTTATAACAATAGTGATAAATATTTTTTTTTATTGTAAAAAATTAAGAAATCGAATGATACGATTTTTTTGCGATTTTTTTTTTTTACAACTAAAATAACGAAAATTTTTTTTCTTTAAATTAATTAGTTTTAATTTATTCATTTTTATTTAATAAATTATTAATTTAAATTAATTATAAAATTAATTAATAATTATTAATTATTTTTATTAATTAATTATTAAATTATTAATTATTTTTATTAATTAATTATTAAATTATTAATTATTTTTATTAATTAATTAATAGTTAATTTTAAAAACTATTAATTATTTTTCTTAATTAATTAATAATTAATTATTAAATTATTAATTAACTAGCAAAATTAAACGCGCGCAAGCGCGCCAAATTGAGTATTTAATTGTTTGTTATAAAGAAATTAAAGATTAATATTATCAATAATAATTTAATTTATTAGAATATTATTACATATTAAATAATAATAATGAAAATTATATGTTTACAGGCCTCGGATTATACGACTTTTTCCGACTTTTTTTTTCAAAAATACGACTTTTATCGACTTATTTTAATAAAATGCGACATTTTTTATTTTACATTTGAAAAAAAATGTAAATAAAATACATTTTTTTAGTATAAAATTTATATCTTCTTCAGATCTTCTTCAATTCAATTATTTAACAAATTTTCAACTAAAATGATTCTTCACTAAATTAATTATTTTTTATAATTTTAATGAAATACATCATAAATTCAATTATATCAAAATTATTTTTCAATTTAAAATTTTTTATGAAATTTAACAATTGTTTATAATTAAAAAAAAATATATCACAATAAAATTCAATTATTTTCAAAAATCTCAATTCAAAATCAATTCAAATTCAATTATTACCAAAAATTTTAATTCAAAATCAATTAAAATTCAATTATTATCCAAAATAATTTATTATTATCAAAATTTTCAAACAATAATCAACTAAAATTAAATTATTATCCAAAATTTCAATTCAAAATTAAAGAAAATTCAATTATTTTCAAAATTTTCAATTTTAAATCTTTTAAAATTTAATTATTTTCCAAATTTTCTAATTCAAATCAAATAAAATTAAATTATTTTCAAAAATTTTTAATTCAAAATCAATTAAAATTCAATTATTTTTAAAAATTACAAATACAAAATTAAACATAAAATTTACTTATTTTCAAAATTTTTAATTCAGAATCTTTTAAAATTCAATTATTTCCCAAATTTTTAATTTCAAATAAAATAAAATTCAATTATTTTCAAAATTTTCAATTCTAAATCTTTTAGAATTTAATTATTTTCCAAATTTTCTAATTCAAATCAAATAAAATAAAATTATTTTCAAAAATTTTTAATTCAAAATCAATTAAAATTCAATTATTTTTAAAAAATACAATACAAAATTAAAAATAAAATTTAATTATTTTCAAAATTTTTAATTCAAAATCTTTGAAAATTCAATTATTTTCCAAATTTTCAATTTCAAATCAAATAAAATTAAATTATTTTCAAAAATTTCAATTCAAAATCAATTAAAATTCAATTATTTTCTAAAAATTTTAATTAAAAATTAATTAAAATTCAATTATTATACAAAATTTCAATTGAAATTCAATTATTTTCCAAATTTTCAATTCAAAATCTTTTAAAGTTTAATTATTTTCCAAATTTTCCATTTCAAAATCTTAGAAAATTTAATTATTTTCCAAATTTTCAATTCAAAATATTCTAAAATTTAATTATTTTCCAAATTTTCAATTCAAAATATTCTAAAATTTAATTATTTTCCAAATTTTCAATTATTCATTATTCATTATTTAACAAATTTTGAACTAAAATGATTCTTCACTTAATTAATTATTTTTAATAATTTTAATTAAATACATTACAAATTTAATTATATCAAAATTATTTTTCAATTAAAATTTTTTATGAAATTTAACAATTGTTTATAATTTTAAAAAAAAATATCACAATAAAATTGAATTATTTTTTAAAAAATTTCAATTCAAAATAAACTAAAATTCAATTATTACAAAGAAATTTTAATTCAAAATCAAATTAAAAATCCAATAATTATCCAAAATTTTCAATTTAAAATTTTATTATTTACCAAGTTTTCAATTTAAAATGAAATAAAATTCAATTATTTTCTAAAATTTCTATTTAAAATTTTATTATCCAAATTTTCAATCAAAAATGAACTTAAATTAAATTATTATCCAAAATTTCAATTCAAATTCAATTTTTTTCCAAAATTTTCAATTCAAAATGAACTGAAATTAAATTATTTTCCAAATTTAAAATCAAATAAAATTTCATTATTCTAAAAAATTTGAATTCAAAATTAATTGAATTTTCAATAATTTGAATTTAAAAGCATCTAAAATTTAATTATTTCTAAAATTTTCCATCTAAAATTTTTTTGTTGAAATTTAATAATTTCAATTATAACTCTAAGGAAATTCAATTATTTTTAACTATTTTAATAATATTCTTTGAAATTTTAACTATCTGAAACCATTTTTCAATTAAAAATGATTTTCAAATTATTGTATTTTGTCAACATTTTCTAATAAATTTTTAGTGAAATTATCTAAAATTTTAATTACAAAACACTCAAAGTTTCAATTAATTTTAAAAATATCAATTTTAAATCTTTGAAAATTCAATTAAATTTAAAAAATGTTTTCCAAAAATTGTTTGATAAATTATTTTTAGTTCTGTAAATTTTAATAATTGTTTTTGAAAATTAACAATATCTTTTGAAATTTAATAATTTCTAAAAATTTCAACTTTAACCCTTCGAAAAGGATTATTATTAAAAAAAAAATTTTTTTATTTAAAAATCTGTAAAATTTTTTTGTTAAAATAAAAAACAAATCCACTTTTTTTTTGGAATATAAATCGACTAAAACGACTTTTTTGTGTCTTTAAGTTGATTCGAGGCCTGTGTTTTTATAATTAATATTTAATAGATATTCGTTGGCCACCCTGGTACCTTAAAAATTAATTTTGAAAAATAAATTTTTTTCAAATTACTATCTTGTACGAAATTTCCTGGCGCATCTTTTTTGCTCATCATAAATTTTTTGTATTTGTATACAATTTTTGAATGAATATACACGGAAAATTTTTTGGTGCATCAGGTGCGCAATCTATGGTAGAAATGTTGTACTATGGGTTGCAGGCAACTGTTATCCTGATTTGGCGCGTCAGAAGCGCTGTAAGAGACATCAGACGCACTGTACGGGACATAGGTTGCACCAAACTGGGATAACTGATGTCCGTTTTTAAAGTACAAAATTTTTGTAACTAACCAGTACAACCGGTACACCAAAATTTTTTCCGTGTACAAGTTTAAAAAAAATTTCGTTTGGTAAACGTTGTGTACTTTAGCATCGTGAATTGAATTTTCGAATTTGGAATTTTAAAGAAACTTATTTCGAAATTTGGAAACACAATTATACAACTTTGGCAAAAATGAGAAAAACAATTGTCCAAATTTGACACTAATTTTCAAATTAAAAATTTTATAAAATTTGAATAATATTGTTTAAAATTTGAAGAAAAAAAAATTAAGAATATAAAATTACCAAAAAAATTTCAATTCAAAATTCCTTGAGATTCAATTAATTTCCAAAAATTTCTATTTAAAACCTTCAAAAATTCAAAATTTTCAATAATTTTTTTTTTTTTTTTTTTGGAAATTAGTAAAAAAAAAAAAATTTACTAACGGAGCAAAAAATTAAATTATTTTTTAAAAATAAATTTCAATTTCATATACAAGAGAGATTAAAAATAGATAAATTTTTGAAAAATTTTTTTAGAAGAAATTAAATATGTTTTTCTTTTTTTTTTTCTAGATTTTTGGAGAGTAGACGAGATCAGGAATTAAGGGAAAGTCGAATAAATTCTGAGAAAGGTGATGCAAATGATAAATTTTCGCCATCTGATTCACCTGATAGTACTGATTCAGATGATGGTAAAGATTTTTCTGGTAAACCACGTGGATTAGTTGGTTTACAAAATATTGGCAACACTTGTTATATGAATGCGGCATTACAAGCATTGTCAAATGTTCCACCATTGACACAATTTTTTTTGGATTGCACACACATGGCAACTTATATTTCAAAAGATAGAAAACATGGCCTCAGTCTCAGTTATTTGAATCTCGTCAGGGATATGTGGAATCGTAAAAATAGAGGATATGTTGTACCTCATGGGATACTTTCTGGAATTAGAACGGTATAAATAATTAATTAATTCATTCATTCCTTCATTAATTAATCATTAATTTCAAATTTTTTTTTTAAAGAATTTTATTTAGTGATAATTATATTTTTTAAAAAAGAATTTTCAATTATCGAATTAAAATTTATGAGAAAAATCAATTTTTAAAATTCAAATATTTTCTGAATTAAATTAAATTTTTTTTTTTCTAAAATTTAATAAATTTTAGTGAAATTCCAATTTTTATGTAAATTTAATTTTTTTTTAAATTCAATAATTTTTTGAAATTTTATACTTTGGGACATTTTGTAGTTTGGAAAAACAATTTTTGGAAATTTCATACTTTGGGACATTCTGTAGTTTGGAAATTTTTTTTTTTTTGAAATTATATACTCTGGGACATTTTGTAGTTTGGAAATTTTATACTTTGGGACATTTTGTATTTTGGAAAATTTTTTTTGGAAATTTCATACTTTGGGACATTTTGTAGTTTGGAAATTTTATACTTTGGGACATTTTGTATTTTGGAAAAATAAATTTTGGTAATTTCATATCTTGGGACATTTTGTAGTTTGGAAAAATAAAATTTTGGAAATTTTATACTTTGGGACATTTTGTAGTTTGAAAAAAACAATTTTTGAATTTTTTTAATTTGGGACATTTTGTAGTTTGGAAATTTTATACTTTGGGACATTTTGTATTTTGGAAAATTTTTTTTTGGAAATTTCATACTTTGGGACATTTTGTAGTTTGGAAATTTTATACTTTGGGACATTTTGTATTTTGGAAAAATAAATTTTGGAAATTTCATATCTTGGGACATTTTGTAGTTTGGAAAAATAAAATTTTGGAAATTTTATACTTTGGGACATTTTGTAGTTTGGAAAAAACAATTTTTGAATTTTTTTAATCTGGGACATTTTGTAGTTTGGAAAAAACAATTTTTGAAATTTTTTAATCTGGGACATTTTGTATTTTGAAAAAATAAATTTTGGAAATTTCATATTTTGGGACATTTTGTTGTTTGAAAATTTTATTCATTTGGGGACATTTTGTAGTTTGTAAAAATAATTTTTTAGAAATTTTATACATCGCGACAGTTTAGTATTTCTAAATTTTTTTTTTCGGAAAATTTATACTTTGTGTCATTTTTTACTTTTATTTATTTTCTACTTTGAAAAATTAAATTTTGAAAATTTTATACATTTTTTCTAATTATTAAATTATTTTTAATTTAGAAAATTTCAAAAAATTTAATTTTTCCAATCTACAAAATATTCAAAAAAAAAAAAAAAATATATACAAACCTCTCTGTTGTTATACATCCCCTGACGACAGTTCCATTTAGAATAATTTTTCGAAAAATTTCCAATTTTTTTTTTTTTTTTTTTTTGGAAAATCGATACAAAAAAAAAATAGAAGAAAACAATAAAATTATTTCAAATATTTTTATTTCAAAAATTTTGCAAAATTTCAATAATTAAAATTGTTATTTACAATTTAATATTTGAAAATAATTGTATTTTATATATATATATATATATATTTTTTAGGTTCATCCAATGTTTCGCGGTTATCATCAGCACGATACACAGGAATTTTTACGTTGCTTTATGGATCAATTGCATGAGGAATTAAAGGAACATGTTGAAGAGGATAAAGAATTGATATTGCGTTTAAAAAATTTTGGTGAACATTCATCGGACGATGATGAAACAGAAATTGATGGTGGCACTGGTTCAAGTCAATCGGACGCTGAATATGAGACATGTGATTCAGGTGTTAGTGAACAAAGTTCATTGAGCGATGAATGTGAACGTGGTATTAAACGACGTTATTCACGTGTATCGCAAACAGATAAATTGAGAATAAAATTTAATAACAATAATAATAATAATAATAATAGTCGTCTTAATAAAAAAACAAATACAATTGACGATTCATTTTCTCAACAATCATCGCAAAATTCACCAATAAAACATTCAATGAAAAAACAAATTAAAACCAAAAGTATAATAAGCGATACATTTGATGGTAAATTATTAAGTAGCGTTGAATGTTTAACTTGTAATCGTATTTCAACGAGAGTTGAAACATTTCAGGTGAGTTGAAAAAAAAAAAATAATAAAATAAAATGAAATTTAATTTAGTTTTTAAATTAATTTTTGTAATTTTCAGGATCTCTCGCTACCAATACCAAGTAGAGATCATATTGATATGCTTCATCAAGGCTCATTAACACCACAAAAAGCTGGACCATGCTCTGATGTTGTTTATGTGACAAATCAATCGGGTTGGTTCTCATGGTTTTTTCAATGGATGAGATCATGGTTTTGGGGACCAGTTGTAAGTCTTCATGATTGTTTATCAGCATTTTTTAGCGCTGATGAATTAAAAGGTGACAATATGTATAGTTGTGAGAAATGCAATAAACTTCGTAATGGCATTAAATTTTCCAAAGTTCTTGAATTGCCTGAAGTATTGTGCGTTCATTTAAAACGTTTTCGTCATGAATTAATGTTTAGTTCAAAAATAGCAAATTTTGTATCATTTCCACTTGAGGGACTTGATATGAGGCCATATTTACACAAAGAATGTATATCAAATGTTGCAATTTATGATTTAATATCAGTTATTTGTCATCATGGAACAGCTGGCGGTGGTCATTATACATGTTATGCATTAAATCCAATTGTCAGTCAATGGTTTGAATTTGATGATCAATGTGTAACGCAAGTATCACCAGAGACTGTTAGTAATTGTGAGGCGTATGTGTTATTTTATAAAAAATCATCAGCCGAAATGATGCGCTTAAGAGATAAAACAATGGAATTAATGGAAATATCAGCGCGTGAACCATCGGATTTAAATTTTTTTGTCTCACGACAATGGATTAATAGATTTAATACATTCTCAGAGCCTGGATCAATTGATAATTCAGATTTTTTATGTCCACATGGAGGTGTTAATCCAGTTAGAGCGCAATTTGTTGATAAAATTAGTATGCCAATACCGCAAGCTGTTTGGGAATTTCTTTACAGCAAGTAAGTTGGTTTTTTTGTTTTTAATTTAAATTAAAAAATAAATTTGGAAAATAATTGAATTTTAGTTGTTTTTGAATTGAAAATAATTGAATTTCAATTAAAACTTTATAAAATAATTAAATTTTTAATGATTTTGAATTGAAAATGTTTAAAATAATTGAATTTTAGTTAATTTTAAATTAAAAATTTTGAAAATAATTTAATTTCAATTGAAAATTTGAAAAATAATTGAATTTTTTAAAGATTTTAAATTGAAAATTATGAAAATAATTAAATTTTTTGTTTAAATTTGAATTGAAATTTTTAAAAATAATTGAATTTTACGTTATTTTAAATTGAAATTTGGAAAATATTTGAATTTTCATTGATATTGAATTGAAATTTTTAAAAATAATTGAATTTTACGTTATTTTGAATTGAAATTTGGAAAATAATTAAATTTTGGTTGATTTTGGATTGAAAATTTTGAAAATAATTAAATTTTTAATGATTTTGGATTGAAAATGTTTAAAATAATTGAATTTTAGTTGATTTTGTATTGAAAATTTTGAAAATAATAGAATTTTAATTGAAATTTTAGAAAATAATTTAATTTTGGTTGATTTAGAATTGAAAATTTTGAAAATAATTGAATTTCAATTGACATTTGAAAATAATTAAATTTTGTTAGATTTTGAATTGAAAATTTTGAAAATAATTGAATTTTAGTTAAATTTGAAATGAATTTTTTGAAAGTAATTGAATTTTAGTTTATTTTGTATTAAAAAATTTGAAAATAATTAAATTTTTAAATATTTTGAATTAAATTTTGAAAATAATTGAATTTTAATTTATTTTGAATAACAAATTTGGAAAATAGTTGAATTTTAATTGATTTTAAATTGAAATTTTGAAAAAAATATTCAATTTTAGTTGAAATTTGTAAAATAATTAAATTTTGGTTTATTTTGGATTGAAAATTTTGAAAATATTTGAATTTTAGTTGATTTTGAATTGAAAATAATTGAATTTCAATTAAAACTTTATAAAATAATTAAATTTTTAATGATTTTGGATTGAAAATGTTTAAAATAATTGAATTTTAGTTGATTTTGTATTGAAAATTTTGAAAATAATAGAATTTTAATTGAAATTTTAGAAAATAATTTAATTTTGGTTGGTTTAGAATTGAAAATTTTGAAAATAATTGAATTTCAATTGACATTTGAAAATAATTAAATTTTGGTAGATTTTGAATTGAAAATTTTGAAAATAATTGAATTTTAATTGACATTTTGGAAAATAATTGAATTTTAGTTAATTTTGAATTAAAAATTTTGAAAATAATTAAATTTTTAAATATTTTGAATTAAATTTTAAAAATAATTGAATTTTATTTTATTTTGAATAACAAATTTGGAAAATAGTTGAATTTTAATTGATTTTAAATTGAAATTTTGAAAAAAATATTCAATTTTAGTTGATTTTGAATGGAAATTTTAGAAAGTAATTGAAATTTAGTTATTTTTAAATTAAAAATTTTGAAAATAATTAAATTTCAATTTTTGACAATAATTGAATTTTAGTTGATTTTGAATTGAAATTTTTAAAATAATTGAATTAAAATTAAAAATTGGGATAATGATTGAATTTTAGTTGATTATGAATTGTTTTGTTTGAAAATAATTTAATTTTAATTTTTTTTTTAATAAAAAAATTGGAAAATAATTGAATTTTAATTGATTTTGAAATGAAATTTTTTGAAATAAATAAATTAAAATTAAAAATCTGGAAAATGATAGAATTCTAGTTGATTTTGTATTGAAAATTTTGAAGATTATTTAATTTTAATTGATTTTAAATTGAAATTTTTGAAAATAATTGAATTTTAATTTATTTTGTAAATTGAAATTTTGGAGAATTAATGAATTTTAGTTTGATTTTGAATTGAAGATTTTGAAAATAATCGAATTAAATTCAAAAATTTGGAAAATACTTAAATTGCAGTTGATTTTGAATTTAAATTTTTGCAAATAATTAAATTTCAAGTGATTTTGAATTAAAAGTTTTTCGTAATTTTTTTTTCAATTTTTTTTTTTTTTTTTTTTTAAATTATAAACAATTATAAAATTTCATAAAAATATAAATTGAAAAATATTTTAAATTAATTGAATTTATGAAGAATTTCATCAAAATTATTAAAACTAATTAATTTAATGAAGAATTTTAGTTAAAAATTTGTTAATTAAAAAATAAAAAATTTAATTTCAAATAAATACAGAGAATTTTTTTTTAAGAAAAATAATAAAAAAAAATTTTCAAATAATAATTCTGTTTTTTTTTTTTTTTTTAGATTTGGTGGTGGACCAGCGTGTACACATCTTTATGAATGTCCAATTTGTGAAGAAAAACACGAGTCTTTAGAAAAACGTCGACTCTATGAAATGGATATGTTTCATAGATTAAATCATAATTCAGATAATCCAACTGCTGTTTATGCATTGGCAATGGCATGGTTGAGACAATGGCAGAGTTTTGTTAAAAGAAAGGAAATTCAACCGCCAGGACAAATTGATAATAGTTCAATAGTTGTCAATAAAAATGGACAAATTGTCTTAAAAGCAGGTTGGTTAATAATGACAATTTTATTAAAATTAAGATAAATTGAAAATGAAATAAAAATTTGATGTTTCTTTTTTTTTTTCTTTTTTTATTTTTGAATCACTATTCCAATTTCAAATATTACAGGCCTCGGATCGACTTTAAGGGACACAAAAAAAAAAAGTCGATTTCTATTCTAAAGAAAGTCGATTTTTTTTATTTTAACAAAATTTAATTGATTAATAAATATTTTACTTTAAATAACTAATGTTATTAGATATTAAATTCATTTTATTAATTTCTGTAATTAGAATAATTCTTTAATGAATATTATTAAGAAAAAAATTTTTTTTTTCTATTTCATAATCAAACTAAAAGAGACAAATTTTCACAATTTTATTTAATTAGAACAAATTTCTTTAAAAAAAAGAAAAAAAAAATTCTTAAAGTTCCATTTTTTAAATTTTTTCAAGTCTAATTTAAATAATTTATTCGAATTAAAAATTTTGTCATAGTTTTTAGTTTTGATGGTGAAAAAAAATTTCAGGCAATAATTTAATCAGGTTTTATAGATTTTTAAGTAAAAATTTTTTTTTAAAAAATAATTATTTTAGAAGAGTTAAAGTTGAAATTTTGAGAAATAATTGAATTTTAAATGATTTTGTTCATTTTCAGACAATAATTAAATTTTTCAGAACTAAAAATAATTTATCAAAAAAAAATTTTAGATTTTTAATTTAAATTTTTTTGAAGATTTCTGTTTTAAAGAAATTAATTAATTGATAATAATTGAATTTTATTTATTTTTTTTTTTTTTTGAATTGAAATGTTGGAAAAAAATTGAATTTTAGTTTTATTTTAATTGGAAAATTTAAAAATAATTGAATTTCAATTGAAATTTTGTAAAAAAAAAAAATTGCATTTTAGTAGAGTTATAATTGAAATTATTAAATTTCAAAAAAATTTTAGAACGAAAATTTTAAAAATTATTAAATTTTAGAAGCTGTTAAAATGAAATTTTGGAAAATAATTGAGATATAGTTGATTTAGATTGAAAATTTTAATAATTAATTTTGAATTGAAATATTGGATAATAATTGAATTTTCATTGAGTTTGAAGTGAAAATTTTGAAAATAATTGATTTTAAATTGAAATTTCTGAGTATAATTGAATTTTAGTTGTTTTTGATTAAAAATTTTGAAAATAATTGAATTTTAAAAGATTATGAATTTAAATATTGGAAAAGAATTGAATTTTAAAACATTATAAATTAAAAATTTTTGAAAAGAATTGAATTTTATTTGATTTTGAATTGAAAATTTGGAAAATAATTTTATTTTTGTTGATTTTTAATTGAAATTTTAGAAAATAATTGAAATTTAGTTATTTTTAAATTAAAAATTTTGAAAATAATTAAATTTCAATTGAAATTTTTGAAAAGAATTTAATTTTAGTTAATTTTGAATTGAAAATTTTGAAAATAATTGAATTTTAATGGACATTTTGGAAAATAATTGAATTTTAGTTAATTTTGAAAATAATTGAATTTTAAAAGATTAAAAATTAAAAATTTTCGAAAAGAAATGATTTTCATTTTAAGAATGATTATTTGATTTTGAATTGATAATTTGAAAAATAATTAAATATTAGTTGATTTCGAATTGGACATTTTGAAAATATTTGAATTTTAATTGACATTTTGTAAAATAATTGAATTTTAAAAGATTATAAATTAAACATTTTTGAAAAGAATTGAATTTTATTTGATTTTAAATTGAAAATTTGGAAAATAATTAAATTCTAAAAGATTTTGAATTAAATTTTTTGAAAATAAATGAATTTTAGTTGATTTTGGATTTAAAAATTTGAAAAATAATTGTATTTTTGTTGATTTTGAATTGAAATTTTAGAAAATAATTGAAATTTAGTTATTTTTAAATTGAAAATTTTGAAAATAATTAAATTTCAATTGAAATTTTTGAAAACAATTGAATTTTAATTGACATTTTAGAAAATAATTGAATTTTAGTTAATTTTGAATTGAAAATTTTTAAAATAATTGAATTTTAGTTGATTATGAATTGTTTTGTTTAAAAATAATTGAATTTTAATTAATTTTGAAATGAAATTTTTTAAATAAATAAATTAAAATAAAAAATCTGAAAAATGATAGAATTCTAGTTGATTTTATATTGAAAATTTTGAAGATTATTTAATTTTAATTGATTTTAAATTGAAATTTATGAAAATAATTGTATTTTAATTTATTTTGTAAATTGAAATATTGGAGAATAATTAAATTTTATTTTGATTTTGAATTGAAAATTATGAAAATAATCGAATTAAATTCAAAAATTTGGAAAATACTTAAATTGCAGTTGATTTTGAATTGAAATTTTTTGCAAATAATTAAATTACAAGTGATTTTGAATAAAAAATTTTTGGTAATTTTATTTTCAATTTTTTTTTTTTTTTTTTTTTTTTTTTTAATTATAAACAATTATAAAATTTCATAAAAATCTAAATTGAAAAATAGTTTAAATTAATTGAATTTATGAAGAATTTTATTAAAATTATTAAAACCAATTAATTTAGTGAAGAATTTTAGTTAAAAATTTGTTAAATAATTGAAATAAAGAAAATCTGAAAAAAAATCCGGATTGAACGCCAAAAAAAATGTATTTTGTTTAAAAAAAATTTTTTTTTCTTTCAAAAAAAAATGTAAAAAAAAAGATTCAAAAACGTCGCATTTTACTAAAATAAGTCGAAAAATTGTATAATCTGAGGCCTGACATTATTTCCCTATTTTAATGTCCTTTAAAATAGACAAAAAAAAAAAAAAAAAATCTCCAAAATATTGAAAAACAATTTTACGTTCTATTTGTTTTTTCAATTTTTATCTTTAGGATCCGACTATGGACAAATTCCCGAGGAATTATGGCAATTTTTATTAAACATTTATGGCGGTGGTCCTGAATTAATGTTACATTGTCAACGTCCAATTCCACAAACAACATCGGTCCATGAATTTCCCGATTTGTCAAATTTAAAGCGCTCTGAGGCTAAATCAAATAAAATAAGCGCGACAAAAAGTGCTGAAACTATTTTACAACAAGACAATGCAATTGAAAATTTAACATCGGAAAATGATTTTCATCAATGGTTACGTGAAGCCGCACTTAAACCACTATAAAGAAAATAATTAATTCCCAAAAGAAAATAAAAAAAAAAAAAAAAATTGAAAGTTGATCTTTCAAATTACAAAATTAATTCAGAAAAAAAAGAAGTATTTTATTGAAAATATAGAATCTAAGTAGGTCCATTGTGTACAAAGTTTTTTTTTTTTTGGGGGGGGGAAAGAATATTCTATTTTACAGTTATTTGAGGATCCTTTTCTTTCTTTTTCTTTTTCTAATATCATTCAAAAAAAAAAAATTTTCTGAGTTATCTGTGATGGAAAAAGAAAAATTTTCTTTCTCAGAATAATTTCTCTATTTTTTTTTTTATTTATGAATGATTGGCATTTATTATTATAATTATTATTATTATTATTATTATTATTATTTGTGCGAAGAAAAGAGGGAACTCAAGACTGACGATTCGCAGTTAAATCACATTTAATTAGCATTTCGGTGAAAGCACCAAAAAAAATATATATATATATATTTTATCTTAATACTAAAATACAACGAATCTGCCAAAAAAAAAAAAAAAAAATTCATTTTTTTTTTTTTTTTTTGACAAATTCTCAAAGAGAAGAAAAAAAAGAATTGACATCATTCCTTTCGTGTTGTTATTTAATTGTTAAGTGATTTTTTGAATGTAAATTTTTGTAATTAAAATTAATTACTATAGTTTGTAAATTTTTAAAGAATTTCATCATTTGATTGACTAATTGATAATCCAGTGTCATTTTTCTTTTTTTACACTGTATGACTTTTTTTCTTTTAAAAAATAATTTTAATGGGAGAATGTTTATGGGACACAAAAAAAAAGGTTTAATTTTGTTTGAAAAAAAAAAAAAAAATAAATTTGAGAGCAAAATGTAAGATACTTAGATAAATAAAAAAAAAAGAAAATTGGTTTCTTTATTTATTATATATGATAAAAAAAAAACTCTTCTTCTTTGTAAATTCCTAACATTTATTTTTACAAACAGAAATCGATTTTTTGTAAATTATAAATTTTTTCAAAATTCGAAATTTTTTTCTTTCAAATCAGGGAAAAATAAATTCAAATTTTTGTAGCAACTCTGATGAAAAAAAAAAACAATTTCATTTATTTTATAATAAAAATTTTTTAAATTAATATTTAATTCAATTTTTTAATTAAACTAAATTATTAACTAAATTTTTATTTAAAAGAAGAAAAAGCAGCGCATGCGTTTTTTATTTTTTTTTTTGAGAAAAAGAGGAAAGTACGCGCAAGACTGAAAATGAGAAAGCATCTCTCTCCCTCCCCCCCCTCTCTCTCTCTCTCTCTCGTTCGTGTGGATTTCGGTCGCATTGATCGACGCTCCGAGGGATGTTACCCATTCTGATCTCAACCCCTGTAACCACCATCCACCCCAGTCAATGCCGCGATTAAAAATTTTCAATTCTGATTATTTAGAACATAGAACGTAGAAAAAGAAAGAAGAAGAAGAAAAAAAATGCGATTATTTCGCTCATATTTTTAGCTAGTATTTTTTTTTCGATTCAAACAAAATATTTTGCATAGAATTTTTTTTCTAAATCCCCAAAAAAATCTTTTCTTTTCTCGCGCAAGTGCCTCAAAAAAAAAAAAAAAGAAATTCAGTTTCATCAAAAAGCGAGTGATCATCGTATTTCTGACAATAAATTTAAAAAAAAAATCATCGAATATTTGGTAATTAATTTTTATTAATTATTATATTATTATTATTATTATTATTTTGCTAAATGTGAAAATTATTTTTTTTCTCCAAGGACTATTTCTCAAGAGGCGAAGGCCATTTTCTATATTGGATTATTGAATTTCATTCAATTTCTAATGATGTTTTTTTTTTATTATAATTATAATTCTTTAATTTAAATTTTCATTTAATTAATTTTTCATTTAGGAAAATAATAATTAAAATTTTTGTAATTATTTAATAAATTTGATTTAAAAAAAAAAAATTCATTAATAAAAATAAATATATAATTATTATTATTTCCCTGGGGGAAAAATTAATAATTAATATTAAATATATATTTTTGTATAAATGAATTTTTTTTTTAAATTTAATAATTAAGGGCAAATTTTTGTATAGTAAAAAAAGATTTTTTTTGTTTAAATTTTCTGTATTTTTAATTTAATATAAAAAATATGTCGATTGATTATTTTTAGAATAATTAAAAAAAAAAAAATTTTTTTTTTAATTTTTCCTTATCGAAATAAATTAAAAAAATTTTTTTTTCCCTTAGCAAAAATTTTATAAGTAAAAGAGAAAATTTTCATTTTTTTCTTTCGATTAGACAATGGCGTACTTTAGAGGTGTCTTTATTCCCTCATTGACTGCAACTGTAAATGTAGCATGGGAAACAATAAAGGCAAAATGGCCAGAAAATAGTCCATGTATGGAAATAATTCGCGGTGCTGGCGGCAGTGGTGAAACACGAGGTACTTCCGGTAATTTTCGATCATTTAATGAGGGTGAAAATACTGAAATGACCACAATGAAAGGTCAAGAGCAATATGGTGAACAAGGAATTGCTGAGGATTCCTTCAGCTATCAAAGAAGCAGGTAAAAAGAAAAATTATTAAATAATAAAATTTATTTTTTATTTTTTTAATTTTGCAAAAAAAAAATGAACTATTTTTCGTAAAATTTAAATAATTTTATGAAGGCGAAAAAAAATTATTAATTTATAATTAATTATTATTAAAAAATATTATTAATAATAAATAATTAAATAATAATTATTAATAACTGATAATTAAATAAGAATTATTAATAATTATTTATTAGGTATTTAATTATTAATTATTTAATTATTAATGATTAATTATTAATTATTATTTTGCCTTCTTAAATAATTTTTTTAGAGCGCGTTACATATTTAATAAATTCTGTTAAATAATAATAATAATAATAATGATAATAATTCTGAAGAAATAAGCCTACGAAAAAAATTATAGGTTATGTTCATGATAGTTTTATTTTAAAAAAAAATTAATTTTTATTAAAAGTTCCTATTTTAATTATGTAAATTCAAAAACAGGTTTTATTTTCTAAGTAATAAAGATAATTTTTTTTTTTGATCCTATTTGTGTATTTTTACTCCAAACTATCATAAACATAACCTATAATATTTTTTTTTGCTTCTTAGATTCCTTTCTTCACACAGCACTTTTAAAACTTTTTTTGAAAATATTTGACGCACTGTGAAAAAATGTATCTAAGAACCAAAAAATTATAGGTTATGTTTATTATTTGTTTTATTAAAAAAAATTATTATTACTAACAGTTCCTTATTTTAATTATGTAAACAGTTAATTTAATAACTTTTCAATAACAGTTTTTAGTTTCTATGTAGGAAACATTTTTTTTTCCTATTTGTGTATTTTTACTTAAAACGATCATAAACATAACCTATAAATTTTTTTTTGCTTCTTAAGTTCTTTTCTTCACACAGCAGTTTTAAAATTTTTTTTGAAAATATTTGACGCACTCTGAAAAAAATGTATCTAAAAACCAAAAAATTATAGGTTATGTTTATGATTGTTTTATTAAAAAAAATTATTATTACTAACAGTTCCTTATTTTAATTATGTAAACAGTTAATTTAATAACTTTTCAATAACAGTTTTTATTTTCTATGTAGGAAACATTTTTTTTTCCTATTTGTGTATTTTTATTTAAAACGATCATAAACATAACCTATAAATTTTTTGTTGCTTTGGTTTTTTTTCAAAGCATATCACAAATAAAAAAAAATATTTGAAATTTTTTTGAAAATATTTGACGCACTCTGAAAAAAATGTATCTAAAAACCAAAAAATTATAGGTTATGTTTGTGATAGTTTTATTTTAAAAAAATAATTATTATTATTAACAGTTCCTTATTTTAATTATGTAAACAGTTAATTTAATAACTTTTCAATAACAGTTTTTATTTTCTATGTAGGAAACATTTTTTTTTCCTATTTGTGTATTTTTATTTAAAACGATCATAAACATACCCTATAAATTTTTTGTTGCTTAGGTTTTTTTTTTCACAGCATATCACAAATAAAAAAAAATATTTGAAAATATGTGACGCAGTTGTGAAAAAATGGAACTAAGAAGCAAAAAAATTATAGGTTATGTTTATGATTGTTTCGAGTAAAAATACAAAAAAAGGGAAACTAACCTCATTGTAAATAATAATTGATATTTAAGTCTTCATTACATTTAGAATAATTAATAAAAAATGTTGTTTTCATTAAATATTAATAAAATAATTAAAAATGTTGTAATCAAATACAGAACGATCATAAACATAACCTATAATTTTTTTCTGTTTTAAATCCCTTTTTTCAGGGCGTCATTTCTATTTTGTATTTAAATTTCGTTTAAAAATCAATAAATTCACTAATTTTGCTAAAAAAATTTTGTTTATTTTTCTTTTTTCTTTCACTTGTTTCAGTGATAAAATTAGAACCGGAAGTATCAGTAGTGGAGGTTTCAGTGATTATGACGAAGGTGGTGGTGGTGAATTTGGTGGTTCGGGGGTGAAGATCAACGAATGGCAGGCTGCTTATAATGTCACCAATGCCATACAGGTAAAATAAAATTTCAAAATCGAATTATATAGGTATTTTTAAAAATTAAATTATAATTTTAAAATAGAATTCTGTTTTATTTTTATTAATTTTGTTAATATAATTTAAAAAAAAATAAATTATAAAAAAAAAAATTTTCAATTATTTCAGGGAATGTTCATCGTTTCCCTTCCATTTGCCGTACTTCGCGGTGGTTATTGGGCAATTGCAGCCATGATTGGTGTGGCGCACATTTGCTGTTACACAGGTAAAATTTGAAATTCAAAATAATTTCTAATACGCCAAATGGCGGATTGTATGATGCGAATGCTCCACAAAATTTGTGGAACACGAGATTGAGATTGAAATTCTGTCTAAAATGTATTAAAAAAAAATGATAAAATTGATAGTATAATTATTATAATCAATAAGTTTTATGCATTTTAAGATAATAATTGTTAAATAATTATAAAAATTTAATGTTGTTATTAATTTCAATCTATTAAAATTTATTATCAACATTTGTCGATAAAATCAATACAGCCACGCTTTTTATCAAGTAGGTGGCAGCACTCTTTTTTTCTTTTCTTTAAATTTTTTTTTATTAAAAGCAAAATTCTTATTTGTTAAACGAAAATATTGGTAAAAAAAATGTATTATTTTATCAAAAAAATTAATATTTTAATAAAAAAATATTATTGAAAGAAATGAATTTTTTTATCCAAAAAAAAGGTGAAAAATATTCATTTTTTTAACTGTAGTAGATTGAAATTAATAACAACATTAAATTTTTATAATTATTTAACAATAATCATCTTAAAATGCATAAAACTTATTGATTATAATAATTATACATCAATTTTGTTATTACGAGAGAAGTGGAAAATCTGCATAACCCTGGAGGCCTACTTCCAAGTTAGATAGCGTACTCTCAGGTTATGTGGGGATGACTGCTTTTGTTCTGGCCGACCCACTAAAAACCACACCCTTTTTGGGACTTCAACTCCATTGATGGAACTGCTTTAAGCTTTATACATAGCCAGTGAAAGTCTTCTTACTTTTGCTCTCTGTCCTAAATCCTTAACTGAGTGCCAGGGAACGAAGAAGGAAAGCGTCTGCTTCTATTTTAAAACAATAAAAATACTGTCCGAAACAACCATGACCTGACAACGCTTGTGTAAGGTAGTAGCCAACTTCAGAATTGCGCTTATCGTCGTGCTCAAGGCCGACTGGGATGTCTGGGTCTTTAAGGATTATAACTCCCGATCTTAAAATAAGCATATCTACCCCCTAACGAAAGAACTACCGACATGTTGAAACGGCGGCGATTTGGCAAGTCGCCTCGCTACCGATGGGGAAAGAGGAGGAAAAATTGCCGATGTAAGGTCCTTAAGAACCAAAACGGCGAAGAAGACCGGGTGCCCTTCCAGGAGGGGACGGTTAGCATTGATTCCCTTCGCCCATGCAAGTAGAACTTGAGCGGATAAAGGGGAACCAGCGGGGACCTCGTGGAGGTTCCGTCTTCGAGCTAATCTCCACCAGCCGATGGTCTGGTAGGTCACACACACACACTGATACAATAGGGTGCCCAATGAAATGGCGGAACGGTTAGTAACATTCATCTTGGACCCGATAACACTCCAACAGGAGGGGGCGTGAGTTAGCGAGGACAAGAATCTTGCACTTCCAACGGGGACCACGTGGAACATCCGCTCCCAGATCGAAGTATCAGACCGCAGTCTGAAACCACAATGGTCTCACCCTGCCTCCGGACGAGGAGGCGAACTGCGTTCAAATTTCCCTCTTTAGTCGCCTCGAGCGACACCTGATGGGATACGGGAAGACAAGTTTTCCGGTCGGACTTCCACTGTCAACAGGCACAGGGAGGGTTCCATTTCACATGGTGAACACGTGGCAGGCGTAGTGCGTTCATACATCATCGGTAATGTCTCATCTCAGCGTCTCCTTTGAAGCGGTACTTAGCTAAATGGGTAAAACCCTCCGCACCCCTTTTAGTCGCCTTTTACGACATGCAGTGGGCTACAGGCGTTCTATTCTAAAGCGCCACGGCGAAGTAGTTAACTTCACAGTGTTTCCTATCTAACCATGTGGCGTGGAGGGAAATCAGGCGGTAGGTCCACCTACCTTTAGACTCCCAATCCCATCTCTCCTGCCATTTCTGAACGAGTCTACTTCTGGACTCTCTGTGATGGAAGATCTCCTTCCTTTCCATCGTCAATAAATCCATTGGCGGTAATCCAGCGAGTACCATAACAGCGCAAGTAGACACCGTTCTGAAGCCTGACACAATTCTCCGTGCCGGGTCTTTCTGAACCGCGAGGAGTCTGTCAGAGATGCTGTGGAACTTTAGGGCCGAAGCCTAAACAGGGGGCAGCATAAAGCTGCTTTGATTGAACCACAGTCGCCACTAATCTACGTTTCTTTTCCCTGGGGCCACCGATATTGGGCATCATCCTCGAAAGGTTTCCCATGCATTCGGTGGTTTGGAGTGACGAGATGTTAATATGTTGTCCGAAATTCAAACGTTTGTCCAACGTCACTTCCAGGTACTTCAGTTTTGTTCCCCATGAAACTACAGATCCTCCAATTTCCAACCGCGGGAATCGGAAGTCTCTCCGATCTGTGATGAGCCTCGGTTTTCTCGACAGCCATTTTCAGACCATGTCAATTCAACCAAGACCCCATTCGTCGAAGACTATCATCGAGTTTTATTTGTAAAAGATTTATCTCGTCCGCACAGCATACCAAAAGCACGTCATCCGCAAACCCGATTAGAAACGTATCTTCCAATAAGTCCAACCTCAGGAAACCATCATACCTGACGTTCGCATCATACAATCCGCCAGGGCGTACTTTAAAAAATAAAAATAATTAATGGAAATAATTCCCTTGTAGAAAAAAAAGGGTGGCTAATAAAATTTTGTTTCTCTCTCTGTTTTTTTTTCAAAAGGTAAAATTTTAGTTGAATGTCTTTATGAATTGGATCCAACAACAGGTCAACGTGTAAGAGTACGTGATTCATATGTGGCAATAGCAAAAGAATGCTTTGGACCACGTTGGGGTGCACGTGCTGTTAATATTGCACAAATAATTGAACTTTTAATGACATGCATTCTTTATGTTGTTGTTTGCGGTGATTTAATGGTGGGAACATTTCAAGAGGGTGCATTAGATACACGAAGTTGGATGATGTTAATTGGAATATTTCTTATTCCATTGGGTTTTCTTAAATCTTTACATCATGTTTCGGTATTGAGTTTTTGGTGTACAATTGCACATCTTTTTATTAATGCAATTATATTTGGTTATTGTCTATTGGAAATTGGCGATTGGGGATGGTCAAAAGTAAGATGGAGTATTGATATGAAAAAATTTCCAATATCATTGGGTGTTATTGTATTTAGTTATACATCGCAAATATTTCTTCCAACACTTGAGGGTAATCTTATTGATCGTTCAAAATTTGAATGGATGTTAAATTGGAGTCACATTGCGGCGGCAGCATTTAAATCGTTGTTTGGTTGGATTTGCTTTATGACTTTTCAGGTAATTTTTTTAAATTAATTTATTGAATGAAAAAAAAAAATTATTAAATTGTTGATTGAAATAAAAATTTTACGAGGCAAATTAGTTTAACTAAAGATTTCTAAAATACAATTATTTCTAAATTTTGCATCAAAAATTTTCTTTTAAAACTCAATTATTTCTATATTATTTTTTAACTTAAATTTCTTTTTGAATTAATTATATATTGAATTTTATCTGATTCGAATTTTTAAATAACAGAAATTTTAATTCACTGAATTTCTAATTTTTTATTGATAATGATCATTTTATTGATGGTGACAAATTACATCGGAAATAACTATTCCGCAGTTTCTGGGTCTGAAAAAATTCAAAATTTTGTTAATTATTAATTACATTTTGAATTGTTTAATTAAAAAAAAAATCCTTAAAAGTCGTCGTAAAATTTTTATTTCAATCAATATTAATGAAAATGAATGTAAAACAAACTAAATTAATTTTTTTTTTAAATTTTAACTAAGGCCTTGGATTACAGGACTTTTTCGACTATTTCCGACTTTTTTTCAAAAATACGACTTTTTTCAAATTATTTTAATAAAATACGACTTATTCGACTTTTTTTACATTTAAAAAAAATCTTTTTAAAATAAAATACATTTTTTTTAGTATAAAATGCAGATCATCTTCAGATCTTTTTTATTTCAATTATTTTACAAAATTTTGAACTAAAATTCTTCATTAAATTAATTATTTTTATTCATTTTAATAAAATTCATATAACAAATTCAGTTATTTCAAATTATTTTTTAATTAAAATTTTTATGAAATTTAACAATTGTTTATAATTTTAAAAAAATAACAAATAAAATTACAAAAAATTTTTAATTCAAAATCAATTAAAACACAATTATTATTCAAAATTTCAATTCAAAATTAATTATTATCAAAATTTTCAATCAAAAATCAGCTAAAATTAAATTATTATCTAAAATTTCAATTCAAAATCAAAGAAAATTTAATTATTTTCAAAATTTTTAATTCAAAATCTTTTTAAAATTTAATTATTTTTCAAATTTTTCTATTTCAAATCAAATTTAATTAATTTAAAAAATTTTTAATTCAAAAACAATTAAATTTCAATTATTTCACAAAATTTTAATTCAAAATTAATTAAAATTCAATTGTTATACAAAATTTCAGTACATAAATTATTTATTATCCAAATTTTCAATAAAAATCTACTAAAATTTAATTATTATCCAAAATTTCAATTCAAATTCAGTTATTTTTAAAAATTTCAATTCAAAATCAATGAAAATTTAATTATTTTCAAAATTTTCAATTCAAAATCAATGAAAATTTAATTATTTTCAAAATTTTCAATTCAAAATCTTTTAAAATTTAATTATTTTCAAAATTTTTTCAATTTAAAATCTTTTAAAATCCAATTATTTTCAAAAATTTCAATTCAAAATCTTTTAAAATTTAATTATTTTTGAAAGTTTCTATTTCAAATAAAATTAAATTAATTTAAAAAATTTTTAATTCAAAATAAATTAAAATTCAATTATTTTTAAAAATTTTCAATTGAAATTTAAACATAAAATTTAATTATTTTCATAATTTTCAATTCAAAATTTTTTAAAATTTAATTATTTTTCAAATTTGAATTTAAAATCAAATAAAATTTAAATTATTTTAAAAAATTTTTAATCCAAAATCAATTAAAATTCATAATTTTTAAAAATTTCAATTCAAAATCAAAGAAAATTTAATTATTTTCATAATTTTTAATTCAAAATCTTTTAAAATTTAATTATTTTCCAAATTTTCAATTTAAAATCAATTAAAATTGAATATTTTTTCAAATTTTCAATTTCAAATCAAATAAAATTAAATTATTTTCAAAAATTTCAATTCAAAATCAATTAAAATTCAATTATTTCCCAAAATTTTAATTCAAAATCAATTAAAATTCAAATATTATACAAAATTTTCATTCAAGATTAGTTATTATAAAAATTTTCAACTATAAATCAACTAAAATTTTATTAGTATCCAAAATTTCAACTAAAATTGTATTATTATCCAAAATTTCAACTAAAATTGTATTATTATCCAAAATTTCAATTGAAATTCAATTATTTTCAAAAATTTGAATTTAAAAGCTTTTTGAAATTTAATTATTTCTAAAATTTTCCATTGAAAAATTTGTTTGAAATTTAATAATTTTAATTATAACTCTCAATGGAAATTCAATTATTTTTTTAACTATTTTTATAATATTCTTTGAAAATTCAACTATTTAAAATCATTTATCAATTAAAAATGTTTATCAAATTATTGTATTTTTGTTCGCAATTTCTAATAAATTTTTTTTTAGTGAAATTATCAAAAAAAAGTTTTAATTAAAAATCACTTAAAGTTGAATTAATTTAAAAAAATCTCAATTATAAATCTTGTGAAAATTCAATATTAAAAAAAAATGTTATCCAAAAATTATTTGATAAATAATTTTTTTTTTAGTTCTGTAAAATATTTAATTATTGTCTGAAAATTAACAAAATCTTTTGAAAATTCAATTATTTTTAAAAATTTCAACTATAACCCTTCAAAAAGTATTATTATTTAAAAAAAAATTTTTTTTTTTTTTATTTAAAAATCTAAAATATTTTTTTTAAAATAAAAAAAAAATCGAATTTTTCGTTTTTTTTGAATATAAATCGACTAAAACGACTTTTTTTTTTGTTTCCTTTAAGTCGATCCGAGGCCTGTAATTTTTTAATTTAATTTTTTCCAATTAACTATTTTTCAAATTATTTATTTATTTTTTTCTGTCATTTTTAGGATGATACACAGCAGGAGATAACAAATAATTTACATTCAACGGGATTTAAAGGATTGGTTAATACATGTCTTGTGGTAAAGGCAGTACTTTCATATCCATTGCCATATTATGCTGCGTGTGAATTACTTGAGAGGGCATTTTTTCGCGGTAGACCAAAAACAATATTCCCCACAATATGGACAGTTGATCGCGAATTAAAAGTATGGGGTTTAGCATGGCGAATTGGAGTTATTTTATTTACAATATTTATGGCCGTTTTTATACCACATTTTGGTATATTAATGGGCTTTATTGGCTCATTTACAGGGACAATGTTATCATTTATTTGGCCATGTTATTTTCATTTAAAATTAAAAAGAAATTCCATGGATATGGGTGCGGCGGCTTACGATTGTTTTGTTATATTTTTGGGCGTTCTCTTTGGTGTTATTGGAGTTTATGACTCGGGTAGTGCATTAATCGAAGCTTTTGAAATTGGTTTACCATTTTAAAAAAATTTTTTTTAAAAAAAAAAATTTTTTTAAGAATTTCTAAATTTTTTTTTCAAAATTTTGAATTTCAAAAATTTTTTGCGCAGTTTTTTTGTTTTTAAATATGATGAGAAACGTGACAATATGAAAACTAATTTTTAAGAATCAATGTCTTCCACTGTTAGAAAGAAAAAAAAAAAAAAAAATGAAAAATAGTAATTAATATACAAGAAACTTATACAAGTTAACTATTGTTACGTAGGTTCTGGATTTTATAATTGGATTAAGAAAAAAACTCATCATTTTTATATATAAAATAATATATATATGTGTGTGAGTTAATTTTTAACGTCATGGAATTTTAGAAAAAGGGAAAAAATTCGAAATTTCAAATTTTTTTTTCCACAATTTACAATTCTGACAATAATTATCATTTTTTTTTAGGAAAAATTTTTTGCAGTTTCGAATTTTTTTTTTTATTAAATTTCCTCGATATTGACGTGTATAAATATAAATATCATGAAAGAAAAAAAAAAGTACAATTAAGTACGAATAATAATAATAATAATAATAATAATTAGTCGAATCGAATGTCTTCCAAAGTCTCTATAATTATTATACAAGACGATACAAAAAATAATAATTGTAGATCTCATATCAAAAAAAAAAAAAAAGCTATATTAAAAAATGTAGCTTGTAGCGAACTAAAAGTGCAAAAAAAAATGCTCCTCTAAATTTTAATTTATAAATAAATTAAATTTATAAATAAATTGAATTTATAATTAAATTTATAAATAAATTAAATTTATAATTAAATTTATAATTAAATTTATAATTAAATTTATAATTAAATTTATAATTATATTAAATTTATAATAAAAATAAATTTATAAAAAAAATTTTTTTTTGTGAAATTAAATTCCTGATTAATTAAGAAAAAAGAAAAAGATTTGCATTAATTTATTTAATTGTAAAAGTGCGTCTTCCAATGATGTCTTCCAGAACAAAAAAATATACCAAATATATATATATTATACTGTAATGTTACGATATACACGTCTAAAGTTATATATATATATATAAAAGAAAAAAGAAAAAGATTGAAAGATATTGTGCATGAGTTTTATGTAGATGGAATTAATTTCCAATTTAAAAAAAATTGAATTTAGAATTTATAACATTTGCCAGAGTTGTACGCTTTTTATATATGGGGAAAAAAAAAAAAATTTTGCTAAAAAACATTAATTCTCAAAAAAACGAAATTCAGTTTATTTTTAATTATTCTTTTCCTTTATAAAATAAGTATAATTAAAAAAAATAACGTACCTCTGGACAACAGTGAAATAAAAAACTATTATATTATAAAAAAATGTTGACCAGATGAGATTAATTATACATATTATTATAGGGACAAGGAAACAAAAAAAAAAAAAAACAAATGGCGTGTAAAAATATTGTTTAAGAGAAATTTTTCGCAAATAATGTCTTCCAATTTTTATTCAACTATTTATGATTAATGTGTTTTTAATATAGCATCTAAAAAAAAAAAAATCATTCTTAGATGTTATAAAGTTGAATAGAATATATGCGTTACAAATTATTATAAAAATAACAATAATTATAATAAGGGGCTTCCATATTACGAAAAAAAAAAAAAAAAAAAATGAAGAAATATATATATATATCATCAATTTTAATCTATGCCGAATTTATTTCCTTAAAAAAAAATTTTTTCCCTTTCTTTAAAGAAAAATTTAATTAGATATTTTCAAAAATTTCAATTCAAAATCTTTTAAAATTGAATTATTTTCCAAATTTTCAATTTAAAATCAAATAAAATTGAATTATTTTCAAAAATTTCAATTCAAAATCAATTAAATTTCAATTATTTACCAAAATTTTAATTCAAAATTAATTAAAATTGAATTATTATACAAAATTTCAATTCAAAATAATTTATTATTATCCGAAATTTTCAATAAAAATCAACTAAAATTTAATTATTATCCAAAATTTCAATTGAAATTCAATTATTTTTAAAAATTTCAATTAAAAATCAAAGAAAATTTAATTATTTTCAAAAATTTTCAATTTAAAATCTTTTAAAATTTAATTATTTTCAAAATTTTAAATTCAAAATCTTTTAAAATTTAATTATTTTCCAAATTTTCAATTTAAAATCTTTTAAAATTTAATTATTTTCAAAAATTTCAATTCAAAATCAATTAAATTTCAATTATTTACCAAAATTTTAATTCAAAATTAATTAAAATTCAATTATTATACAAAATTTTAATTCAAAATAATTTATTATTATCCAAATTTTCAATAAAAAATCAACTAAAATTCAAATATTACCAAAAATTTCAATTGAAATTCAATTATTTTTAAAAATTTCAATTAAAAATCAAAGAAAATTTAATTATTTTCAAAATTTTCAATTTAAAATCTTTTAAAATTTAATTATTTTCCAAATTTTCAATTTAAAATCTTTTAAAATTTAATTATTTTCCAAATTTGTATTTAAAATCAAATAAAATTCAATTATTTTCCAAAACTTTTAATTCAAAATCAATTAAAATTCAATTATTACCCAAAATGTTAATTCAAAATCAATTAAAATTCAAATATTATACAAAATTTCCATTCAAAATTAGTTATTATCAAAATTTTCAAATTATAAATCAACTAAAATTTTCATTTTAAAAAATAAAATATTTTACTTTCTGTGATTTTTTACGCATTCTAAAGAAAGGAAGCAAAAAATTGTATGTTTAAAATTTTTTAGAGTAAAAGTACCCAAAATATTTATTTTTTTTTTTGCTTCTTGTCCCTTTCGTTACAAGTAAAATTTATCAAATTCTTCTCATTATTTAGAAAGTAATGAAAGTGTCGAAAAAAAAAACAAACTTTCTCTAAATCAGTGAAAATCAATTCGTTATGCACCAATTATTATAATCATTATAATAAAAGCCAGAAATTCTCACACATGGAGTTTAGTTGATTTTTACATTTCACGTAAAACATGAAATTATCAATAGTGAGTACATTAAAAAAAAAAATGTTCTAATAAAAACCCAAAAAATTACAGATTTAAATAAATAAAAATTTTTCCCTTTTTTTTCTAGATTTCGATAATTTTTCTTTGTCTCATTTTTCAAATTGTAAATTGTTACGATAAAAATGAAGAAGAAGAAATAGAAGAAGAAGAAGAAGAAGGTAAGTTAACAGATTTAATTGAAAAAAAATTTAATTAAAATGAAATTTTTTCCATAATTTTTCAGTTATACCACGTGTAAAAGTAAAAGTATTTCGTGGACCAATGGCAGAGGAAAACGGTGAATTATTTGCACCCTGGGGATTTTGGATAAAGCAACCAAGTTTTTAAATAAACAAAAATTAAATTTAAAAATAATAGTTTATCAAATTTGTTTAACAATTTTATTTCATTCAAAAAAAAAAAAAAAAAAAAAAAAAAAAATTATTATTATTGTGTAAAAAAATAAATAAATATAATACAATAATAGTTATCTAAAATTATTCCAAACAAATTTGATTAGACATTTCCATTAATTGTTCATACCTTATTTTTAATTCTTCTGGTTCGGCTAAAAATTTCTGCCAAAGAATTGTTTTTTCTCTTTCTAATCCACCAATTTTTTCCTATAAAGAAAAATTTAATTTAAATTCAAAGTAAAAAAAGAAAGAAAGAAAAAAATATTCTTTTACCATCATTTCCTTTAATTTATTTCTAATTATCGTAATTTCCATTTGTAATCCACTGAGATTTCTTTCGGTTTTATTAATTTGTCCTTCAACTTCGAGTGAAAATCCTCCTGAATTTTGTATTTCACGATTATAACTATTTATCAATGTTCGATCACTAGAAAAAATTAATTCTAATTTATTAATTAATCTACTAATAATTTAATTAATAATTAATAATTATTTGTATTAATTAGTAATGAAGTTTTTTTTCCTTTTTTAAAATAAAAAAAAAAAAAATTCTACTTACAATAATTGTAAATTATTAACATTACTATTCATTGTTTCTAAAAGATTTTCTTTTAATTTCATATTTTCATTTAAAATTTCATTGAATTTTTCAAATGCCATTTCCAATGAATTTGGATTTTCTTCAATTTTCATCATTGCTGTAAAATATTTATTAAAAATATTGTCATTTACAAAAGTAAATGATGAAGTGGAAGAAATTTTATTTTTTGCTTTTTCCATCCAAATCTAGAGAAAAAAATTTCAAAAAATGTAACTTAGTTTTTTGGAAAATTAAAAAATAAGGGAAAAATGATAATAAAAATTTTTTTTCACTAACACAACGTTTGGTGCATGATGAATATTCCATATCAAGATAATTACGAACATCGGAAACAAATTCTTCGATTTGTGTTAATTTTTGATTTTCAAGTTCAACTAAAATATATAATAAATCAGAATGTACGTGACCATGATTTCTAACAAGTGAAAGAAGTTGTTGTAATTTTTTAATAGAATATTCCCTTCTTTCTTGTGTTGCTTTTGCATTATCAACAAGAACTTTATTTAACATTGAACTCACAAATCTCTCACAAATCACGGGTATTTGATGTTCTTTTAAAATTGTCACTTGTTTTTCTAAATTATCACGTTTTACTTTAAGCTCCGCAATGTCGGCTCTGTAATTTTTATTTTATTATTATTATCATTATAATTTTTTTTATATAATTGTATATATTATTATTATTATAAATAAATAAATAAATAAAATAATATTTACTTTATTTATGGTATTTATTTTTTTATATTTCTTTTATTATTTATTTACTATTTGTTTATTTATTAATTTAAAAAAAAAATAACAGAAAATGAAAATTTTTCAAAAAGAAAAAAAGAAAAAAAAAAAACCTCACCTAAGAAGCGCTGATGTTTTTGGCATTAAAACATTGCCATTGTTATAAATTTTTTCCGCATAATTTATCATTGCTTGAGTTGCATCTTTTCTTCCTTTTGCCAAAATTTGCGATAATTTTGTTTTATTGAGTCTGTAAAAATTAAATTAAATAAAATAAAATGTAAATTTTTGTAAATAAAATAAATATTAGAATAAAAAGGAAAATTCAAAAATTTAATTAATACATAAATTTTAAAAATAATATAAATAAATTTAAAATTAAATTAAATAAATAAATTTTAAATTGAAATTAATAAATAAAAATTAAAATTTGCAAAAAAAAAAAGGAAAAAAATTAATAATGAACATTTGTAAAAAAAATACCTTTGTTGAATATTTTTTAATTCAATGATTTTCTTTTCTAAATTTTGTTTTTCGTTTGAATAATCTAAATTAATATCGGATTCAGTATTAATTGATGATGAACGATCATCGTCATTAACAACATCGTCAGTTGATGTTCCAAATTCTTTTTTAATGTAAACTTTTAAATATTCATTATATGTTTCCATGTGTTTTACAAATAAATCCAAAGGTAATTGTGTCCAAAGGCAAGGTGCGCATTTCTGTAATTTTTTTTTTTTTTTCTTAATTAAGAAAGAAAATGATAATTCTTAAAAGTAATGATTAAATAATTATAATAAATTAATATATTATTAAAAATTATTAAAAATTATTATTAAATAATTATTATACCTTTTGAGAAGCGTCAGAATAAATAGAAACAAGTTGTTCAACTTGTTCTGAAAGTTGACGTTGAATAGATTCAAATTTTTCCATTATTTCAATACTTTCCTCAAATGTAAGTTTTTCTTCAATTTTCACTTTTTCCAATTCATCATTTTCTCTTTCAATTTGCTCATCTAAATTACTCTCTATATTTCTGTTTTTTTTTTTTTTAAATGTAAATATTAAATTAACAAAAAATTTAATTAATTACTGAATTAATAAAAATTAATTACTAAATTAATAAAAATTAATTATTGAATTAATAAAAATTAATTACTAAATTAATAAAAATTATTAATTATAATGAATTATTATTAATAAAAATTATTAATTATAATTAAGAATTAATTATTAAATTAGATTTCTGTTTTCTTTTGTATGTAAATATTATTAAATTAGAATTATAGATTAAAATATTAAATTAAATAAAATTAAAAAAAAAAAAATTCTTTTTTTCCTTATAACAAATAAATAAAAAAAGAATTACTTAAAGTTTTTTATTCCATTTTCAAGTGATTGTAGATAATTTTCATCAAAATTGTGAACTATTTTAACAGATGTAAAATTTGCCAATAAATCATCTTCCGTTACATCTGATTCTAAAATTTGTAAAAAATCCGGATTTTCAACAACTACTTCCGATAATGCTTCATCTAATTCCTCTCCTTTAAGCCATTTACCAGATTTTTTAATTTCTTCTCCTCTGAAACAAATTTAATTCAATTTTTAAATTTTTTTAATTTATTTTTTTAAAATAAATAAATAAATAATAAAATAAATAATAAAATAAATAATAAATAATAAATAATAAATAAATAAATAAATAAATAAATAATAATTATAAATATAATAATAATAATAATAATAATAATAATAATAATAATAATGATTATTATTATAATGTTATTATTTTATTATAAAAATCTTTATATTTTGTTAAAAAAATTTTATAAATCAATTGTTATAAGAAAATAAAAAAAAATAAAAAAAAATAAAAAAAATTTTTGTTATAAAAAAAAAATTTTCGAGTTACGCGCAGTAACAGAAAAAAAAAATAAAGAAAATTTCGAAAAAAAAATTAAATATATCTTATTTATTTATTAATAATAAAGCGAGATTTAATTATTTAATTGCATTTTTACAAAATTAGAAAAAAATAAATCGATATTTTTAACTAATTTAAAAATTTTTATTATATATTTGATATTTCGGAAAAATAAACAAACATAACCTAAAAAAAAACTTTAGAATAATATAAAATAAAAAAATTAATAATAAAGCAAATTGTTTTAAAACCAATTTTTCCATCAGTTACATTTCGGAAAAATAAACAAAACATTAACCTAAAAAATAAACAAAACATAACCAAAAAAAAAAAACTAGAATTTAAAAACCAAAACAAAGTTTTTTTTTTTTAATTTCTATTATTTGCAAAGAAATAAAAAAAAAATGATATTTTACTCACAATTTAATTTCCTCTTCAGTTAAAACATAATCAGGTGATAATTCATTGCAAAACCATAATAAAAAATCATTTGAAGTTGAATCACTACAAAGTTCATCGAGTGCTTCATTTGTGAGATTATAAAATCGTTTTGGAAATAGTTGTTTAATTTTTTTACGTAATTCTTCAGAAGTTAAATTCATTATTTAGTTAATATTTATATATATTTAATTAATAGTTGAAAAATTTCTAATATTTAATAAATAAAAATCAAAACCAAAAAAAAATGCTCATGAATGAAATTTAAACGACTTTTCTCAGGGTTGAATACGTGATAATTAACTGTTTTAAGGCAGTGTTTATATGACAGCGCGTTCGAAGTTTCGTTAATTAAAGGTGCTTTCACACCTAAATTTTTTTTTCTCCAAAACGATCGAATCACTGAATTTACTTGGCTCTGTTATTAATTTTTAATAATTAACTTTACTAATAGTGAATTTTTAATTAGGGGAAAAAACCAGGAAGGGTAAAAAAATTTAATTTTTACGAAAACACACCAGGGTTGTGTAGTTATATGTATAATTTTGCAGTTTTCAACAATAAAAATAGTATTATTTTATTTCTACTTATTACTGTTACTTTTTTTTTGTAACCGTAATATACACCTAAATAAGAGTATATAAAATATAATTTTTATTAATAATTAATAAATAAATACAAAATTCATGTTAGAAATTTTAGTCACCTCAATATTACGGCCCTGCGTAAAAAAGTGCGCGCGCCGATTTTCTTCGTTCGCCAGTTCAGTAACTTGGAAACCTCCATGCAGTAAACATGTTTTATCAACATTAAAAATTCGTCACTTATCGAGGGTTTACAGTAAAATTATCCAGGTATTTATTTCTTTTCTATAATTTTTATTGAATATAGTTTAGAAAAATACATTATTTATCATATATATTTGACGGGTGTTTTTTTTACATCAATTTTATTTTACATTTTTATTTTGAGTGTAAAAAGTAATAATTTATTTATTACAATGAAGCTTGTTTAAGTTGCCATTGAAACATTTGAATTTGTCTTAAGAGACCAGTTAATCGTGTTCCCGTTGATGGTTCACGATTATTAGAATAATAATAATTGTCGCGATTATTTTTATTTAATTGCAAATGTGGTGAAAAATATGCGCGTATTGTTGGATTATGTGCATAATTAATTATTGGCTTTTGATTTGATGATTCCGATGACATGCAAATAAAATTATTTTTCTCTGACATTCTTTTCATTTGCTTTTTTAATGACATCACCTATTTATATTTATTGAAAATTTAATTTAATTTTATAATTTAATGATTAATAATAAATAATTTTGAAAATTTAATTCAAATTTAGTAATTTTGTATAATTACTTCCTTATAGAGTCCAACAACGGCATTAATTTCCTCCTCCTTTGCAGTAAGATCAACTTCAAGTTTTTCTATTTCTTTTGTTAATGATTTTCCCTTATATTTTTCTGACTTCTCTTGCAATTTTTCATATTTTCTATGAAAATTATTTTAATTTATTTTATTAAATTATTTATTATTTCACGAATTATTTTTTATTGATATTTATTAATTAGTAAATAATTAATAAATTTATTTAGTTATTAATTATTTATAAATATTAATAATTATTAATTTATAAATAATTACATAATTATTTTAAGTAAATAATTGTTAATTAATAAATAATTATTTTTTGTAAATATTAATAAATAATTAATTATAAATAATAATAATAATAAATTTATTCATTTGTTAATATAAATGAATAAATTTATTATTATATTATTATTTATATTTTAAATGCGATAATTATTCATTTAATCAAATTATTGAAATTATTATTTGTTAATTGTAATGAATAATTGATAATAATTAATAATAATGATGAATAAATAAAATTTAAAAATATTCACGAATTCATTTCTTCGAATTCATCATGAAGTTTTATTAAAACGTCTCTATTTTCTTTTTCACGATTTACATGCAAATTAAAAGAATTTTTTTCTTCCACATTCAATTCCATCTAAAGAAAAAAAATAATAACAATTTTTTTTTAACGAATTAAAAAAAATTCAATTTTTTTTTTACTAAAATTATTTTTAATGAATTTTTTTATTAATTAATTATTTTATTTAAATTATTTTTTTAATTAATTTTTTTTATTGAAATAATTGTTAATTAATTTTTTTTTTACTTAAATTATTTTTAATTCAATTTTTTTTTTTTTTTTTTTTAATTAATAAAGAAAAAAAAACCTCTTTATCCTCAAAAAGTGTTTCACAAATATTTCGATTTTGAAAATTTTGCTGCAATGAGGGGGAAATTTTTTTTTTTAAATTTTCACCAATTCGATTGTTTGTTGTTGATGATGATGATGAAATTTGTGATTGTTTAAAATTTAACATTGAATTTTTTAAATATAAATTAGAATTTTTATTTAATCCAAATTTTGAATTTATTTCATTTGATAAATTTTTTAGGGGCCTATTTCCTTGACTCATTTTTCGTATTAACATTGTGGAAACAGCTTGTGGTTTTGCCTGTTTACTTTTCATTATACTCAACACCTATATTCATTATTTTTTTTATTAAATAAATTTATTCTTATAATAATATTTTATAATAATAATAATAATAATAATAATAATAATAATAATATTTTATAATAATAATAATAATAATAATATTTTATAATAATAATAATAATGATTTTTATTATTATTTGAATTTTTATTTTAATAATTTTTAAATTTAGCGCCATTATTGAATAGTTTTTTATTACATGGTTGGCACTACTGTAGTTTGGTTAATTCACAATATTTGTAACCTGAATTTCTGCTTTTTAAATTTGTAAGTTAAATTAAAATTATTAATAATTATTCATTAATGAATAAAAAATAATGATAAATAATAAAAATAATAAGAAGAAGAATAATTTTTATTGTTAAAATAAAAACGTAAATAATAATAAAAAGAAAAATAATTTTTATTATGATTTTTTGCGTTTTTATTTTAACGATTTTTAAATTTAGCGCCATTTTTCTAATAGTTTTATGTTACATGATTGGCACTACTGTAGTTTTGTCCATTTTACACGATTCCTAACCTAATAATTATGCTATTTAATTTTAAAAATTCAATTAAATTATTAAAAACGAAGAAGAAAAAAAGAAATTAAATTATTAATGAATAATTATAATAAATATTAATAAATAATTATAATAAATATTAATAAATTTAATTTAATTTAATTAAAATTGTTTTAAAATAAATAAATGAAAATTCTACTAAAAAAAAAATGATAATAATTCGCGTGGCAAAAATAAAAATTCAATTAAAAAAAAATTTTGGTTTAGAAAAAAAATTGGTTTTTTTTTTTCTATTAAAGGCATTACCGTACTTGTTGAATATTAAGTCCTAAATTGTGACTCGGTGAAATTGAAGTGCCAATTGTAAATGGAATATTTTGAAAATTAAATCTATTGTAATATGAACGTTGAACTCTCTTTAATTTTGACGCAACTGTTGGTTGTTCATAATTTCTCATTAAAATTGGATCATAAAATTTATTTCCCTTATATGAATTTAAATAATTCACTTCATTTTTGTTTTCATTGATATTTTTTTCAATTGATTCATTGTAACTGAAAAAATATGATTTTTATTTATTTATTTAACAATTTTAAATATTTATAATAAATTCGAAAATTTTAATTTTCAAATAAATTTTGTTTTTTTTTTTTGTAAATTAAAATATTTCCAAATAAATTTTGTTTTTTTTGTAAATTAAAATATTTCCAAAAAAATTTTTTTTTTTTTGTAAAGTAAAAAAGTTTCCAAATAAATTTTGTTTTTTTTTGTAAATTAAAAAAATTTCCAAATAAATTAAAAAATTTTCTTTTCTAAATTAAAATATATTTCAAATAAAATTTTATTTTGTAAATTAAAATATATATTTCAAATAAATATTTATATTGTAAATTTATTTTTGCATTAAAAAAAAAATTTTTTTTCAATAAATAATTTAAAATAATTATAAAAAATAATGAAAAAAAAAAATTTCAATTTTTTTTCATTATTACATTGATTTTTCTTTTGATGGAAAAATATTGTTGACTATTGGCAATTTTTGTTCATTTCCTCTAATTTCCAATTTTTTCTCAATTTCTTCATTTTTCAAATTTTTCGGCATAATTTCATAAACAGATTCCTCATTAAAATGAGGATTCATTCGTGAATGTTTACTTGAAACAATAGACATATTTTCATTTTTTAATGCTCTATTGTGATAAATTTCCACTAAATCATTGAAATTTTCATCAATTTTTCCTTGTGGATTTTTTGATAAACTCAAACTGCGAGTAGCTTTTAATTAAAAAAAAAAAAAAAAAGGAAAAAACATTTTTTTGCAAATTAATTTTTTTAATTAATTAAATAAATAAATTAGTAAATAATTGAATAAATAATTAATTCCAATAAATTAATAATAAATAAATATTAAATATTTTTTAATTATAAAAAAAAATATTTAAAAATTATTTTTATTTATTTATTAATATTTTTTTATTTTATTTTAAAAAAAATATTTTTTTTTTATTTGATTTTTTATACCATTTTTGTGAATTTTTTCTTTTCTTCGTTTTCGTTCTTTTTTCATAATAATCAAATTATTTGAATCACGTTTAGTTGGAATTGTACTTTTTGAATTGAAACTTGGTAATTTTCCTTTTTTCATTTTTTTTCTATTATTAATTTTATCAATTGTCATTATACTTTCATTAATTATTAATCCACTTGTTTTTGATAATGATTTTTTATCATTTTTTTGTAATTTTTTTTTAATATTTTCACTATTATCATTATTATTATTATTATCATTCTTATTCTTATTATTATTATTATTATTATCATCATTGTTATTTATTAATTTTTGTTTAACAATATTTTCAACACCTTCGATACTTTGACAAAATTTTACAAATAATTCGTCCCTTAATTGATTTTTATTTAAATAATAATTATTATTATCATCATTATTATTATTATTATTATAGTTATTATTTTCCAATATTTCATTATTTATTATTTGTATATTATTTTTATTATTTATTTGATTATCGTTGGTTTTAATTTTTTTTTTTTTTTTTGTCAATATTATAAAATTTTCTTTGATTTCATTTTCAAAATTTTTTATTGTTCTTGTTTTATCTTGTGTTTGAAAATTATTTTTTACTTTACATTCGTCTTTTATTTTAATTTCAATTTTCATTTTTGTATCGTCTCTAATTTCATTTTTTTCATTATTTTCATTTTCTTCAGTGATATCAAATTTTTTTGATGATAATTCTTGAATTTCAATTAAATTTTCTGTTGAATAAATATGAAATTATTGATAATTTTTTTTTTCAAATTAATTACATTATTATAATAATAATTATTAATTAACAATAATTATTTTAATTATTTAAGAATAATAATTAAACAATAATTATTTATTTATAACTTTAAAATTTATTAAATTTTTTTTGTTAATAATATTAATTTAATAATTTTATTAAAATTAATTTATTATTATTTATAATTATTGTTGATTATTATATTATAATATTTATTTAATATTAAAAATAATAAAACTAAAAACTATCAATAAAATAAACCGTTTAAATTATTTTCGCTATTTGTTGAAGATGGAAATTTTTTTTCTTCCATATTTTGATTGACAAATGTTTTTGAAATTTTATTATTATCATCGTCCCTAAAAATCTGAAAGAAATATTATGTTATTTTTTTCGGTAAAAAAAAAAATTAATAACGATTTTTTAATTTTTTCTTTGATAAAAATAAATTAAAAATATTTTTTTTTAAATAAAAATAAGTTATAAATATTTATAAATTATTTATTATATAAATATTTATAAAAAAAACTATTTTTTTTCGAAAATTCAAATGTTTTACCTCATTTTTCTTGGTTCTTGATAAAACAATTGTTGGCGGTGAATTTGTTTTGTAATTAAAATTTATTTTCTCCTCATTTTCAATGATTTTTTGATTTTCTAATTCAAATTCTCGCGATGACGAAGATTTGAGATTTTTTTTTGAATTAGTTCGTTCATTTTCCGCTTTACATAAAAAATAAAATAAAAATATATAATTAAATATAGAAAAAAAAATATATTTTCAAATTTTAAAAAATTCCAGTTAAAAAAATTACCGACTGTCGGTAATTGATGAGATCTTTTTTTACCGACCGAAATAAGGCGGTAATTTCAAAAAAACAAATGTCTATTTTTTCAAATTATTAATTTTCTAAATTATTTTTTATTATTAATTAATTATTTATTGTTAATGAATTAATTTATTATTATTTATTAATACCAATAGTTTCCTCTATTTTAAAATGCCATTTATTAATTTCATTTTCAACATTACGAAAATGTGAATTTTGTTGATTTAAAAATTCCTCCAATTCCTTTGATGGCGATTGTTTTTTCAAATCTGATCTTGTTAGGGGAAAAAAAATTTCTTCATCTAAATCATTATTTGATTGTATTTCAATAGCTTCCGTTGTTATTCCTTCATTATAAAGCTTTTTCATTAAACCCAATTGTGTTTTTAATTTTTCACATTTTGTCTCCGACATTTCCAATTGTTCGCCAATTTCTCAAATTTTCCAATGAAAAAAAAAAAAATATATTAAAAATTTTTTCTTTTAAAATAAATTTTTTTATTCAATACTTTTTATTTTTTTTTTAAATTTAATTTATAATTAATATTAATTAATTTATGCTTGGAAAAAATAATTATTAATTTATTTTTTATTAAAAAAACAGTTAAAAAAAGAAATTAATTTTATTTTTTTAATTGAATCTAATTTAATTTATAATTAATATTAATTAATTTATGTTAAATTAATCATTAATATTTAAATATTTTTAAAATATAAATATTTAAAAAAATTAATTATTTAATTAATATTAAAAAAAAATTATTTATTAATTTATAATAAATAAAAAATAAATAGAGAAATTAATTTTTGTTTATTTTTTTAATTTAATTTATTATTAATATTAATTAATTTGTACTTAAAAAAATAATTAATTATTAATTTATAATAAATAAAAAATAAAAACCAATAAAAAGGGGAAAAATCATAATAATTAAATTATTTTCAAAATTTTACCAGTAATCCGTGTTTTTGTGTCCATTTTTTTCTTTCAATGACAGTTAACGAAATTTTGCAAAAATTGTTTTGTCATAATTTTCAAATATTATTATTTTTTTTTTTAAAAAAAAAAGGTAATTTTAATGCAAAAATCGCGAAAGTAAATTTTCTAAGAAAAAAAAATTTTATACTCACAAAAAAAAACCTTTAGAATACTAAAAAGAATTAGTAGGTTAATATTTCTGTTATTACTCAGTTTTTTTTTTTTTCCTAATTTCATTTGTCAAATTTTTGAAATTTCCCCCGCTTTTTAATAATCGACTGTCGGTAAAAAGAAATCTTTCATATCGACAATGAAAAAAAGGCGGCAATTTCAAAATATAAATAATTAGTTTTTTAAAATTTACATTTATAAAATCAAATAGTAGAATAAAAAAAAATATTACTAAATTTATTGATTAAAGAAGAAAATTTAATTAATTTTAAAAAATTTATTTAAATAGAAAAAAAAATGAAGACTCGTTTTTTAGTGTTTGAAAAATTGAAACATAACCTAACTTTTTAGAATTGTCACTAGAGGCGCGGGAACTGTGTGTGCTATATATACTTTTTTTTTTTTTTTCTAAAAGTCTCTTTGGGGAATTTATACCTGTGAATTTTGAGAAATCTAGTAGTTGCAATTTTGCAAATGGTGGACGGGCTGTCATCATTGATACGTTAACATCAGGTAAGAGACACATTTTTTTTTTTGCACGCTATTTTCCCTTCCCGGCAATTTGTTTTCAAATTATATTTTATTTTTGATGAAAAATTTTGTGATAATTTTTCCAACAACAAAAAAATGTCTGAAATTTTCTTTCAAGTATTTTCACACTAAAATAAATCATTTAACTTTTTTTATTTAAAGTTACGTAAAATTATTGCACAAGATATAAAAAGCAATAACTATATATATATATATATATATATATATATATATATATATATATATATAGGCAAAAATTTTCACCGCATACGAAATAGCAAATTTGCTTTCTTTTTTTTGTCCCATGAAATAAATTTTCATTATGAAAAAAATTTCTCCCTTTTTTTTCAAGTATTAATAAAATTAGAGACAAAATATATTATTATTTTTCCCGGATTTTTTCCACATTGAGTTACAAACGGAGTGCGTGAAAAAAAATAACCTCATTTTTTCCAAGAATCGTATATAGGATATATATATATGTATAGTTGATGGAAAGAATAAGATTGTGTAATATAGAGAAAGAAGTTTTTTTTTTTTTTTTTAAATATTATTTCATTGTTGGTGTAAAAAATATTTTTTCTTTTTTTGTTTTAAAGAAGTGAATTTTATTTTTCAAATTTTGGATATTATATATTTAATTGCCATCGATGACGTGTATGTGTGTGTGTGTGCGTTTGTCATAGCAGACGAACGTCACATGTCAAGGCATGTTCTTGTCGGAAATTCTTTTCAAATAACATAAAAAACAAGAGGTATTTAAAAATTGTCGTAGATTTATTTTTTGTTAATATTTTAAATAAAAATTCGAAAACTATTTTTATTTATTTTTTTTTTTTTTATAAACGAATAGAGAATTTTTTTTTCTGTTGCTCTTCGAAAAGCATTTCTAAAACAAGGTTCGTGACCTTATTCTTTGAATTTCCTTATATTTATAACCTCTTTTTCGAAGGTGCGGTATAATGCTTTTAATTTCCTTCAATTAAAAAACGATTTTCTTTGGAGAGTTATTTTTTAAAATTATTTTCTATATTTTTATTATTTTATACCCAAATTAATTATTTGATTATTTTTATTATTATTATTATTATTATTATTATTTTATAATTTTTATCATTATTATTATTATTATCATTATTATTATTATTATTATTATTATTATTATTATTATTATTATTATTATTATTATTATTATTATTTTGCAAATAATAATAAAAATTATTATTATTATTTTTTTTTTTTTGCAAATAATGATAAAAATTATTATTATTATTAATTTTTTTCCCGTCCATATTAAATAAATTATTATTTTCAAAATTTTGACCAATTTGAAGGATTTTTTAAAAATTTTTTATTTAAATTTTAATATATTTTGTAACTAATTTTATCAATGATTTTTGTTGAAAAAAATTTTTTTTTAAAGAAATATTACAAAAATTTTAAATAAACTAAAAAAAAAAAGTAATGTAATGTTTTATTATTATTATTATTATTATTTAAAAAATTAAACGAAAAATTTTTGAAAATTTATTTTTTCCAAAAATTATTAAAATTAAGTTAAAATAGTGAGAAAAAAAAAGTTTTAATAATTTTTTTATTATCGTTTTTGCGAATTTTTTTTTTTTCTAAAAAAAAAAAACGAAAATCTTTTAAAATGAATTATTTTTTGCAAAAATTAGAATTTTTTATTAAAATTAAGTTAAAAAATAGTTGGAAAAATTCTAGTTTTAATAATTTTGTATCGTTTTTGGGAATTTTTGAAAAATTTGATTTTGACAATGAAAAATTTTTGAAAAACATTTATTTTTACAAAAATTATTATTTATCATTAAAATTATGTTAAAAATAGTAGGAAAAATTTATTTACAATTATTTTTAATCGTTTTTGCGAATGATAATAAAAATAATAATAATAATAATAATAATAATAATAATAATTATTATTATTATTATTATTAATTTTTTTTTATTATTCGCAAAAACGATTAAAAATTATTGAAACTAAATTTTTCCAACTATTTTAACTTAATTTTAATTGATAAATAATAATTTTGGTGACAATAAAAAAAAAATAATAATAATTATTATTATTATTATAATTATTTTTTTTTTTTTATTATTCGCAAAAAACAATTGAAAATCATTGAAACTATATTTTTCCAACTATTTTAACTTAATTTTAATTGATAAATAATAATTTTGGTAATAATAAAAGAGAAAATAGTAATAATTATTATTATTATAATAATTTTTTTTTATTATATTTCGCAAAAATGATTGAAAATTATTGATACTAAATTTTTCCAACTATTTTAACTTAATTTTAATTGATAAATAATAATTTTGGTAATAATAAAAAAAAAATAAATAATAATAATAATAATTATTATTATTATTAATTACTATAAAAATATAATTATAAAAAAAATAAAACTGGTAACTAAATTTTAATGAAATTAAAAAATAAATTTTTTTAAAATCAAATATTGTTTTTTTTTAAATTTTTTTGTTTTCGCAAAAAAATTTTTTTTTTAAACTTGTAGGATTTTGTTTTTTTGAATAATTTTACAATTTTTTCAGTAAATTTATTTTACAATTTAGTTTCATTTTTTGCAAATTCTTCGAATTTTCAAAAAAAAAAAAAAAATTTTATACAAAATTGAACGATTAAATGCAAACAAAAAAAAAATGTTTACATTTCCCCTTGATTTTTGTTTTGAAAATTTTACATAATTTTTAACAGAAATTGAAATTTTTAAATTATAGAATTAAAAAAAAAAATTTTTTTGTAGTTACGATTTTTGGAAATGTTTAGAAATGTTTATAAATTTTATTTTTTGAGAAATTAGAAAGAAAAAAAAATTTCACACACATTGTTGGCAAAAATGTTAGTTTAGAAAATTTTTTCAAAAATTATTAATTTTCGTTTAAATTTTTAAAGAATTTAATTTTAAAAATAAAAATTGGTAAATATTGTTTTTTTTTTTTTTTTTAATTGAAAGAATTTAGAAAATTTTTCTAATATTTTTTTACAATATATAAAAAAAAATAAATTTTTTTTGAAAAAAATGAAAATAGAAAAAAAATTGCGTCTACTTTTTTTAATTGAAAATTATTAAATTTCATTTTTTTTTTTTGTTTGCTTTTGCAATGTTATGACTTCATATTTCTTTCTTATCAAATTTCAAATAGGTCTGCGATAAAAAATATTTGATTCATTAAATTCCCAATGTTTCATTTTTGTTTATTGTTTCTCGGGGGGGATTTTATTATTTTCTCTTATCTCAATATATCCGGCATTTCCGAATTGAATTTGATTAATTGTTTATTGAAAAATTTATAATTGTTTATTGAGAAAAAAATTAGTTTCTTAATTCGAAATAAACAATATTTACTAATAATAATAATAATAATCATAATAATAATAATAATAATAATTATAATAATAATAATAATAATAATAATAATAATAATAATAATAATAATAATAATAATAATAATAATAATAATAATAATAATAATAATAATAATAATAATAATAATAATAATAATAATAATAATAATAATAATAATAATAATAATAATAATAATAATAATAATAATAATAATAATAATAATAATAATAATAATAATAATAATAATAATAATAATAATAATAATAATAATAATAATAATAATAATAATAATAATAATAATAATAATAATAATAATAATAATAATAATAATAATAATAATAATAATAATAATAATAATAATAATAATAATAATAATAATAATAATAATAATAATAATAATAATAATAATAATAATAATAATAATAATAATAATAATAATAATAATAATAATAATAATAATAATAATAATAATAATAATAATAATAATAATAATAATAATAATAATAATAATAATAATAATAATAATAATAATAATAATAATAATAATAATAATAATAATAATAATAATAATAATAATAATAATAATAATAATAATAATAATAATAATAATAATAATAATAATAATAATAATAATAATAATAATAATAATAATAATAATAATAATAATAATAATAATAATAATAATAATAATAATAATAATAATAATAATAATAATAATAATAATAATAATAATAATAATAATAATAATAATAATAATAATAATAATAATAATAATAATAATAATAATAATAATAATAATAATAATAATAATAATAATAATAATAATAATAATAATAATAATAATAATAATAATAATAATAATAATAATAATAATAATAATAATAATAATAATAATAATAATAATAATAATAATAATAATAATAATAATAATAATAATAATAATAATAATAATAATAATAATAATAATAATAATAATAATAATAATAATAATAATAATAATAATAATAATAATAATAATAATAATAATAATAATAATAATAATAATAATAATAATAATAATAATAATAATAATAATAATAATATAATAATAATAATAATAATAATAATAATAATAATAATAATAATAATAATAATAATAATAATAATAATAATAATAATAATAATAATAATAATAATAATAATAATAATAATAATAATAATAATAATAATAATAATAATAATAATAATAATAATAATAATAATAATAATAATAATAATAATAATAATAATAATAATAATAATAATAATAATAATAATAATAATAATAATAATAATAATAATAATAATAATAATAATAATAATAATAATAATAATAATAATAATAATAATAATAATAATAATAATAATAATAATAATAATAATAATAATAATAATAATAATAATAATAATAATAATAATAATAATAATAATAATAATAATAATAATAATAATAATAATAATAATAATAATAATAATAATAATAATAATAATAATAATAATAATAATAATAATAATAATAATAATAATAATAATAATAATAATAATAATAATAATAATAATAATAATAATAATAATAATAATAATAATAATAATAATAATAATAATAATAATAATAATAATAATAATAATAATAATAATAATAATAATAATAATAATAATAATAATAATAATAATAATAATAATAATAATAATAATAATAATAATAATAATAATAATAATAATAATAATAATAATAATAATAATAATAATAATAATAATAATAATAATAATAATAATAATAATAATAATAATAATAATAATAATAATAATAATAATAATAATAATAATAATAATAATAATAATAATAATAATAATAATAATAATAATAATAATAATAATAATAATAATAATAATAATAATAATAATAATAATAATAATAATAATAATAATAATAATAATAATAATAATAATAATAATAATAATAATAATAATAATAATAATAATAATAATAATAATAATAATAATAATAATAATAATAATAATAATAATAATAATAATAATAATAATAATAATAATAATAATAATAATAATAATAATAATAATAATAATAATAATAATAATAATAATAATAATAATAATAATAATAATAATAATATTAATAATTATAATAATAATAATATTCCTACCGCTGTATTTTTTGATACAAAATAAAAATATATAATAATAATAATACATTTATTTAAAAATATTAATTTTAAAAAAAAATTCCTACATTTTAAAAATATTTTGACTATACATTTTTGTTTCAATTTCCTTCTAAGAATATTTTTTATTTTTCATTTAAATAGCTTATTTTATATAATTATTTAATAACTGACTATTATTTTTGTAAATCTCTCTTTATATATATATATTGTCAAACGTTATACAATTTAAGTTTTAGCACCAAATTACATAATACCAAACATCGTTATAAAAGTTTTTGAAATGAAAAAAAGAAAAAAAAAAATATTTCAACTCATTCTTTTTGGTTTATATATTTTTTGGCACAAAATCATATTGATTTCGTCACTTATTTATTTTAAATGTTGGCACTTTAGTTCAGATTGCGCAACATTTTCATGCGTCTCACTATTATTATTATTATTCTTTTATATTATTCAGAACTGCGAGAAATAATAAAAAAAAAGATTGTCCCTTTTTATATATTTATTGTAAAAATTTAAAACACAAGGTTATAGATTCCTCTTCCTCGAGTAATTAATTTTATAAAGAAAAAAAAATTCCAAGGATTTCATTTTTTTAAATGCAAGAAAAAAAAAAGTATAGACAATAGAATAAATAGAAGAGATAAAATAATTATAAATGAGTCATTTTGATATTGAGAGAGACATTGACCTACGGCGTCTCGAGAGAGAATAAATTCTCTCTTCGACAAAGTGTTTTTAGGTTTGTCTCACGGAATAAATTTCAAAAGAAACCGGCAAAATCAAGGAAGGGGGAAAAATAACGATTTGAAAAATTAAAAACAAGAAGAAATGATATATGTATATATAATGTTTTATGTCTGATATTGATAAGAAACAGTGTTCTAGTTTATAGAAATATATATATATATATATATATATATATATATATATATATATATATATATATATATATGTTTTACAGACATCTGCGTGTTATTTCATTGAAAGCTTCTTATCTTGTATTCACATTTATTTTTGGTTAAACATTTTTTCTCTTTCTTCAAATATATGTATAATTATTTCTCTTTCATTTGGATATGATGAAATTTTTTCCCCTAAAGATATGCTAATAAATTGTAACACATACATTTGGAGACAAAAACTAACAATTTTTATGTCAAAAAAAAAAAAGTAATTATTATTTAACTATTGCTACTTCAAAATTTTATTATTGCAAGATTAAAAGATTTTTTCATTTTTTTTTAAAAGGTCAAAAATTACCGTAATCTACAAAAAAAAAAAAAAATTTCACTAGTGATTGAATTTTTTTAAAAATAAAATTGTTAATAGTTGCTCTTTTATTTGTTTTTACATAGGTGAAAAATGTATAAAGCAAGAACTGTATTTAGTGCACTAACTCCTTTGGCCCCACGCGTTTGTGGGGCCGAAAGGTTCGCATCATGGCTAGTGAGGAGCCACCCTTTGGCCAGAACAAGTCAGGTTGTTATACCTGAATCAGGACGACGATATAGCAGTAGTCGTGTTGCAACTGAACCATTTTTAAATGGAAGCACCAGCTCGTATGTTGAGGAAATGTACAATGCCTGGCTCCAGGATCCATCAAGCGTTCATGTCGTAAGTATACTCGAAATAGTAATAAAACATAAGGATTTCAAAAATAATATTATTAATTTTGCGAGATTTGTGAGTTTTAATTGTCTCTGATTATGAATCTGATCTTAAATTCATAATCAGCGACACCAAAAACCCCCGAGTAACAAGTTTCAAGCAAATTTGACGAATTGCGAAAAAAATCCTCCATATTGGATTCGCCATTTTGAATTTTCAAAATCTGACTTCATATTCGTAATCAGCGACCCCAAAAACCCCCGAGTACCAAATTTCAAGTGAATCTGGTAAATTTTTTAAAAATACGTCCTCCATATTTGATCCGCCATTTTGAAATTTTAAAATTTGACTTCATATTCGTAATCAGCGACCCCAAAAACCCCCGAATGATAAGTTTCAAGTGAATTTGGTAAATTTTTTAAAAATATGTCCGCCATTTTGCATCCGCCATTTTGAATTTTTAAAATCTGACTTCATATTCGTAATTAGCGACCCCAAAAACCCCCGAGTACCAAGTTTCAAGTGAATCTGGTTAATTTTTAAAAAAATACGTCCGCCATTTTGAATTTTTAAAATCTGACTTCATATTCGTAATCAGGAAACCCAAAAATCCCCGGGTAACAAGTTTCAAGCGAATTTGACAATTTAAAAAAAAACCCGCCATATTGGATCCGCCATTTTGAATTTTGAATAACTGCTCATTGCCATTAAATATAAATATTTGTAAGGTTATAATAATTAAATTTTGATTTGTCGTAATCTTTTCGTAACAATTCTCATTTGGCCAAATCTGTATCTCGTCTAATTTTTATTTGGCCTAATCTCCGTTTGACACTCATTCATAAACGTGATGTTAGAGCAAATACTAAATTAGGTTTAATACAAATAAGGCCAAATAAAAATTGTTACAGAAAAATTATGTCAAATAAGAATTTTTTTAGTATTAGATCGTTTAAAATTGGAGACAACTAGTGTGTCTTTCTGCGCAGTGACGTTGTCAGATTTCTAAGCCTGCGCACTAGTGTTGTACGCAATATGTGACTGCGCAATAGCATTATAAGGCTGCGCAGTATTTTTGTAAGACTTTTAAGTCTGCGCACTAGTATTTTACGCAATATATGACTGCGCAGTATCATTGTAAGGATGCGCAGTAAAGGTATATGCAATGGATGAATGTGCAGTATTGTTGTAAGGCTTCTAAATCTGTGCACTAGTATTTTACGCAATATATGACTGCGCAGAAGCATTATAAGGCTGCGCAGTATAGTTATGTGCAATGTATAACTGCGCAGTATTGTTGTAAGGCTTTTAAGTCTGCGCACTAGTATTTTTACGCAATATATGACTGCGCAGTAGCATTATATGTCTGTGCAGTAAAGTTGTGAGGCTTTTAAGCCTGCGCACTAGCGTTGTACGCAATATATGACTGCGCAGTAGCGTTATATGACTTTTGTGGCTGCGCACTAATGCTCTATGCAACATATAGCTGCGCAGTATCATTATATGTCTTCTGTGACTGCGCACTAAATCTGTATGCAATGTATGGCTGCGCACTAATGTTCCAAACAATATACAGCTGCGCAGTATCATTGTAAGGTTTTAATGGCTGCACACTAATATTGTACATCATATAAATCTATACACAAGTGTAAAATAAATACAAAACACAATAAAAAAAATTATACATAAATGGTCTCCTTATTTTTGTTTGCCAACAGTCCTGGGACTCGTTTTTCCGTAACAGTACAGCAGGAGCAGCTCCTGGTTTAGCTTATCAGGCTCCACCCTCACTTGCACCAAGTTATAATCAAATTCCCCTTAGTTCATTATTACCCCTTGGTGGTGGATCACAAATTGGACAAGTTCCCGTCAACGAAAAAATCATTGACGATCATTTAGCCGTACAAGCCATCATACGATCCTATCAGGTATGTTAATAATATTAATAATAATGCAAAATTTTTTTTTTTTTGATTTTTTTTCTATAAGGGTTAAAAAAATGTTAATCAAATTGGTAGAAGAAAAATTTTTAAAAAGAAATTAAGAAACTAATGAGTGTTACGAAAGAAGGTCAACCATTATTATTGTGAATTCAAAATTGATTCTAAATCTGCAACCTCAATTTCAAAGTCAGACATTGATTAGCATTGTAGATTGATTGAAATGACTTTTGATTCTTCCTAGTGTATTTTTTTTTTTGGTTTTATTTATTCCACTCAGCACCTCCCAGATGAGATTATTTCAAACGAGTGTTTTTTTCCCTCATTTTTTTAAGCGAAGTAATATTCTTTTTTAGTTATTTTTTGTTTAATTTTTTTTTTTAAATTATCGCTTGTGAATATTGAGGTCACAGATATTTAGGAATTTAGAGTTGAAGCGTTATTTTTTGGGGTGGGAGGGGTTTATTCAAGTCACCAATCATTCGCATGCTAAAAGAAATATAAATATTATTATTAGGTATTTTAGGAATTATTAGGTATTATTATTGTTATTATTACTATTATTATTACTATTATAATATTAAATTATTATTATTCAATTATTATTATTATTAATATTATAATTGTTATTATATATATATATATAAATGTGCCTTTAATTTGGGATTAAAAATGTTGCATGAAATTCAAATGTAATGCAGTTATAGCCTTAATGGGTTGACATTTGATTTTGGTTCTAAAATCTAAAAAAAAAAATGATTTATAATTATAATTTTTTTTCTTTTATTCTATTATTATTTTCTATATTTTTTTCTTTTCTTTTATTATTGGTTTATTTTTTTAAAGATAGAGGTAATTTTTTTTAGTTTATATTTTAGAAATTTGAAATCAAATTTTTTCATTTTAGAACCATTATCGATGTAAAAGAATTATTTAAATTATAAATATAAAGGACAAATGCATTTGCATTTATTTCTTCCTTTGCTTTTTCATTAAAACGATAATATGTATAATATTTTGAAATCATTTCACATATCTCTCTCTTTTTTTTTTTTATTTTTCTAAAGCATGACTTTAATAAATCTAAATATTCTCCATTTAGAAATTCTTGCATTTAACTCTTTTTTTTGACAACTCAATAACAAAGTAATAAATATAATAATTTAAATGTGAATATTATTTACAATTCTTCTTTATTGACTAAATATATACATATATATATACAAATCTTTTTTTCCTTCTATTTTTTTTTTGTAATTCTATTTTTAAAACACATTTCTCTGGCGTTGATGAAACAAAAAAAAACAGAAAGAAAATACTATCTTTAACTAACGATAAAAACAACGCATTAATAATTTTTTTTTTTTAAAGCTAATAACAATTAAAAATAACTCAAAATTTATAAAAAAACAAAAAAATTTCGTCGTGAAGAATTCTAAAAATCGTGTACACAAAAACAAAATGTTGTAATTTTGTATTTCCAAATTTTATAATTTTTTTTTTATATTGATAATTCGTATTTTTTTACCCTCTCTTTTTTTGGAGTATATTTGTATTTTTTATTTATTTATTTATTTTTTTGGTGGGAAAAGAGAAGCTTTTTTTTATTTTTTCTCGCAAATTGTTCGTTGATATTTAGGCTCGAGGCCACTTAGTCTCCGATCTGGATCCACTGGGTATAATGCAATCAGAATCAATACACAAACATTATGCGGCTCGCAGGGGATCTCCTGAACAAGTTGCTCGACAATATATGCTTGGTAAGGCTTTAATCATCATCATCATCGTCATTTCCATTAGAATCATATCCTTACTATCAAATCAGAGGTAAAAGTATTTCAAAAATTAATTTTTATCTAAATTTTAAATATTTTTTTCAAATAATTAGTCGATAAATCGATCTATCGATTATCTGGTCGATATAGCGATTAATCGATATATCGAAGAATTGATCGATATATCGTAAAATCTATTGTTGTCTTGCTTAATCGATACATCGAATGGTTGGTCGATATAGCGATTAATCGATATATCGAATGGTTGGTCGATATAGCGATTAATCGATATATCGAAGAATTGATCGATATATCGTAAAATCGATTGTTATCTTGCTTAATCGATACATCGAATGATTGGTCGATTAATCAATATATTATTCAATCGATTTATCGATCAGATATTCGTTAAATCGATTAATTGATATATCGATTCATTTTTCGATATATCGATTAATCATTCGATTAATCGATTAAGCAAGATATCAAACGATTTTTCGCTATATCGATCAGATATTCGATAGATCGATTAAGCGATATATCGATCAAATATTCGATAGATCGATTAAACGATATATCGATCAGATATTCGATAGATGGATTAAACGATATATTGATCGATTTTTCGATATATCGATCGGATATTCGATTTATATTTTAGGTTATTTTATTTTCTACTCTGATTTTTCTCCTTTTTCCTTATTAATTCACTAAAATTTCTCGAAATGTCTTAAAACATTACGAGTAATCATTATTACGTCATCATTTAATTTTTTCCTATTTCCGCCAAGTCAATGAGCCTCGAATGATGCAATGACTTTTAATTCTTACATATACTTTCAATCTCGGGCCATTGAGATTGTTGAATATTTTTTTTTTTATTTATTTATTTACTTTTTATTAATATTTTCTTTTTTTATTTCTAAACTTTTTGTTTATTTTAATAAATCAATTTCCCTTTTTTTATTTTTAGAAATTAATTTTTTTTTTTTAAATAATTTTAGAAAAATTTAATTAAAATTAATTAATTAAATTTAATTAGTTATAAAAAAGGAAATTGAAATAAAAAAAAATTAATTATTTTTAAATTAATTATTAAATAATTATTAATTGTTGATAATTAATTGATAATTATCTATAATTTAAAATTAATTTAAAAAAAAAATTCTAATAAAAATATTAAATTTTCTAAAAAAATTTTAATTTCAAAATCAAAAAAAAAAAAAAAAAAAGAAATTCTAGGCTCGTTTTGAAAAATCATCGATCGCTGATACTGAAAATGTAAATGTGACAAAATTCACAAATAGCCATTCTTTTTAAGCGCCTTTGCTTTTACAATATCTCTTTAGGGTTAAGAAGAAATAAAAACGAACGTAAATTTTTTTCCCCCTATATTTAGTGGAAAAAAAAACTAGGAGGGAGTAAAAAAAAATTGCATGTCTGCTTTCTTTTACTTGTATTTGTAGTTTGCATGATTTATGTTTTTTTTTTTTTTTTTTTTTTAAACGCCACATATAATAATATGCATGAAATTTTATTGTGATGCATTGAATTCTTTTCCTTTCTTTATTTTTCTTCTATTAATTTTTGTTTACTTGGGAGGTGTTAGGTGCCAAATTTTTGGGATTTTTTCCCATTGAAAAAAAAAAAAAAAAAAAAAAAAAATGATCACCCATTTGACGGGATATTTTTCCGCTTTCTCGAATATTATAATTATAATTCATAATTTATACTATTCAGTAGCTAATTATATTTTTCAGAAAAAAAATAATTATAATTATTTTTTTTCTGAAAAATATAATTATAATTATTAAATTATAAAAATAAATAAATAATTATAATTATTTTTTTTCTGAAAAATATAATTAGCTACTGAATGTTTTCTTTCAAAATACTTGAAATTCGAATTTTTTTAAATTTTTTATTTTTTTAAATTTTTAAAATTTTTCTTTGAGATATTTTCCATTTTATTTTTTTGATCCGAAAATAATTAAAAAAAAACTCAATTTTTTTGTTAATTTTGAATTTTTAAACTTATTTTAGAATCAATTAGAAACTAATTTAAAAAAAAAAATTAACCAATAATACATTTAAAAAAACATTTTAGAAAGGAAATTATTAATAAGAATTTCGAAAGAAAACATTTTGCAAAAAAAAAAAAAATAAAATTGTTACTTTTCAATTTATTTAAAAAAAAAAAAAACTGAGAATTTAAATAATGAAAAATTTAAAAATAAATATTTCAAATCGTTTCTTTACTTAAAGGAATGAAAAAAAAATTTTTCTGGATATAAAATTTTGTTAAAACTGTTTTTAATGTTGAAATGAAAAATATGTTCTAATTTGGAAAAAAAATAACTGAATTAAAAATTTGCAAAAAAAAAATAAATAAAAAATGATGCGTATGAATAGTGGCATTAAATTGACAGATTCGTGGTCATCATATCGCTAAATTGGACCCACTTGGCATCAACAGTGCTGATCTTGATGATAGACATCCTCAAGAGTTGCTCTATAATTATTACTCATTTGGTAAGCTTTATTTGCGATTTTCTTCAAATTGTTGGAGAGAGAGAGAGAGAGAGAGAAAGGAGTCCACAATATTTTTTCATATATATATATAGTATTAAGAAATCTTTTTATATTCAAAAACCCCTCAGCCTCAAAAAAAAAAAAAAAATGCAATTAAAAAATGTAAATCAGTTTTTTAAAAATTTAAAACAAAAAAAAGTAATTTTTTAAATAAAAGAAAATAATTTTAAAATAAAAAAACATTTTTATATATTTATTTAGAATTATTTTAAATATTTTAATTTAAAAAAAAATTTAGAAAAGAATTTTATTTATTTAGAAATATTTTAATTTTATTTATTAAGGCATTTGAAAATTACAAAAAAAAATTAAAAATATTTATTTATTTAGAATCATTTCAAAAATTTAATATAAAAGATTTTTAATTTAAAAGTTTTAATTTTAAAAGAATGTAAAAAAAATTTATTTAAAAAATAATTAGTTAAAAACTAGTTTTCCTCGTTGCAAAAGAGAGAGGAAATTTACAGCAATTTAATTTAATGTTTAAAAAACATATTCACAGGCTGATCGGTTTCTGATAATCATTTTTTTCAATTATCACATCTCTCACAAGTATAATCATTTTAAATTATCATATCCAATATTCCGCATCTTTAATCCTCGCTCGATTAGTTTTTTTATTTATTTATTTTTTGATTTTAAACATTTTTTTTTAATTTTTTAAACTTTTTTTGTATTTTTTTTTTTAATTTTTTAAATATTTAATAATTTTTTTGTATTTTAAAAATATTTTTGTACTTTTTTTGTATTTTTTAAATATTTAAATATTTAAAATAAAACTTTTTTGTATTTTTTAAAATATTTAAATATTTTTAAACAATTTTTTTTGTATTTTTTAAATATTTAAATATTTAAAAAAAAATTTTCTTGTATTTTAAAAATATTTTTAAAACTTTTTTTGTATTTTTTTAATTTGTAAAATATTAAAAAATTTATTTTTTATTTTTCCTTCATTTTTTTTTTTTTTTTTTTTTTTTGCCTTGATTACTGTTTCATTCTTCCCTTTATTTATTAATTTTTTTTATTTCCCTGCAAGTTCCATTTTTTCATCCCCATCTTTCAGAATTTTATCTTTTTTTCAAATTCCATTAAAAAAGTTTTTTTATTTATACTTTTTTTTTTATATATATATTTTAAAATTTTGGGACGCATTTTTTTTTGGTACACTAAATTTTTATACGTTCCGAATTTATATTTTTCTTTATTCCTTCATCCATTTTACCAATGAGAGACAGTAATATTTTTTTAAATTTCTGCTACTAAAAAGAAAATTTTTTAAGGAAAAATTTTATTTTTTATTTTTTAAGAATCAAGTAGGATTTTGTGAATTATTTAAAAAAATTTTTTAAAACGAGAAAAATTCGTAAGAAAAAAACACTGTTAATTGGATCAAGTTTTATTATTATTTAAAAAAAAAAAAAAAAAGTAAATATATAGTTTTTGAGCCGAAGAATATTAAATGTCCACAGGAAAGAATCCGCGGACCACTTACGCTCAAGATCTACGAAATCGTGTAGCGGCACTTATGAAAAGTATGTAAGAAATAATTCAAAAGAAAAAAAAAATGGAAACAAAAAAAAAAAAAAAAAATTGGGCAATTTCTTTTTATTTTTTGCTAGATTATTATTACGGAAGTGGCTCGTTTTTCAGGATAATCTGAAATCGAATAATTGTGTATTAAGTCTCATGGAAAATGCTTGGGGTGTATTTTTACGATTTTAGGCAAGCGTTTATTCTTTATCTATTTTTATATATATATATCTGTCTTTCTTTTTTAATTTTTCTTTTTGTAAATAAAATTTTTATTTGTCTGTTTTTTTGTCCTTTTGTATAGAACAAAATTTTCAAAAGGTGTTTTTTTGCTTTTTCACAAATTTTGACTAACCAAATTCTCTCCTTTCTTTCTTCATTTCATTTTTCGTTTTCGCATTTTTTTTATTTTTTACCAATTTTTTATTTTTATTTATTTTTTTATATTTTTTATCATTTTTTTTTTTATTTTTACTTCCACTTTTTATATTTATTTACATTTCCCCAGGCAAATTTTTGTTTTGTTAGTTTTCTTTCTTTTTTTTTGTTTTTGATTGTCATTAACAATTTTTGGTTTTCCTTTCACTTGCTTTTGTCGAAACAAAACTCACAAAAATAATTTTTTTCCACCTTTTTTGAATTTGCATGATTTTCAGGTGTATTGGAAAAAAAATCGTAGGGGAAAAAATTGATAAATTTCTTTTCTTTCAAAAAAAAAAAAAAAAAACAATCCTCTCATTTTTATTAGTCGCCTTAAACATTTTCAGTATCAGTTTTTATTTATTTTTTTTTCTCAATTAAAATTCTCTTGTTTTTTTTTTCTTGTAAAATTTCATGTCTTCTTCATTGCTTTAAATCTTGATTCATTTGTGTGTGTGCAAAAAGGTGAAAAGAGGGATATTGTGAGAATTTATTCTCAAAAAATGCCTTTCCTCTTTTTTTTTTGCTCTGTTAAAAATTAATTTACAAAATTTTTTTTTTTTTTATTCCCTTCTTGGCAAACAAAAATCTAATAGAGGAATCGGATATGGATAGAGTTTTTAAATTGCCATCAACGACATTCATCGGTGGCAAGGAAAAATCATTACCACTAAGAGAAATTTTAAAACGACTTGAATCCACATATTGTGGACATATTGGAGTTGAATTTATGTTCATCAATTCACTTGAGCAATGTAATTGGATTCGACAAAAAATGGAGACTCCTGGTGTTATGGAAATTACCAACGATGAAAAACGATTAATTTTGGCACGATTAACACGAGCCACTGGGTATGTATAAAAATTCAGTTAATTAAAACTAAAATTTTCTGTTAAATGAAAAATTCTGCACCAATAGAATGTTGGTGAATTTTTCCTCCTTAGAAAAGGAGATAAACCTCTAGATAATAACACACAGTTTAGAACAATATGTTTATTGGATACGATGGTTAAACTTCTAGTGGGAATGATTTTGTAGAGATTTGAGAAAATTCTGATAGACGAAAACAGTATTTCTAAGAATCGATATGATTTTTCGAAGTTCTGGTAGGCGAAAACAGTCTATCTGAGAATCCTAATAATATGACTTCCGGAAGTCCTGGTAGGCGAAAATAGTTTATCCGAGAATCAAATTGGCTTTTGTAAAGGTCGGTCAACAGTTGATGCAATACTCATTGTTGCCAATAGGGCAAAAAAAAATTCCTCATCGACTTTTCTAGAAGCTACAGTAATAAATTAAAATTGAAAAAATTAAATTAAAACAAATATTTATTGAATTTATCAGATTCGAGGCGTTCCTTGCAAAGAAATGGACCTCAGAAAAGAGATTTGGTCTTGAAGGCTGTGAAATTCTAATTCCAGCGATGAAACAAGTTATTGATAAATCCACAGAATTGGGAGTTGAGTCAATTGTAATGGGAATGCCCCATAGAGGACGACTCAATGTTTTGGCTAATGTTTGCCGTAAACCACTTAGTCAAATATTCACACAATTTGCTGCCCTGGAAGCCGCTGATGATGTGCGTAAAAAATTCTTATTTCCATTCAATTTTCTTTCTTTTTTTCGTCTAGTAATGACAGAAAAAATTTGAATTCTAGGGCTCCGGTGATGTTAAATATCATTTAGGAACGTATATCGAACGTTTAAATCGTGTAACAAATAAAAATATACGTTTAGCAGTTGTTGCAAATCCCTCACATCTTGAGGCTGTCGATCCAATTGTTCAGGGTAAAACAAGAGCCGAACAATTTTATCGTGGCGATGGTGAGGGTAAAAAAGTAATGTCCATATTATTGCACGGTGATGCAGCATTTTGTGGTCAGGGTATTGTTTTTGAGACAATGCATCTATCCGATTTGCCCGATTACACCACCCATGGAACAATTCATATTGTTGCTAACAATCAAATTGGATTCACCACCGATCCACGACATTCACGATCATCGCCTTATTGTACAGGTAAATTATGAATATTTTTTATTAGTTATAATTATTAAGAAAAAGAAGAAGATTGGAGGAGGAGAATGTGGTTGTTTGATATTTTAAATTGAGTTAAAAATTACTCACGAAGACAAAACGCTAAGCCTTATGTCTAAGGTCTTATGCCTAAGGAAGCCTTAAGCCTAAGTACGTCTTATGCCTAAGGAAGCCTTGAGCCTAAGCCTTATGCTTAAGGAAACCTTGTGCTTAAGTACGTGTTATGCCCAAGGAAGCCTTGAGCCTAAGGAAACCTTGTTCCTAAGGAAGCCTTGAGCCTAAGCCTTATGCTTAAGGAAACCTTGTGCTTAAGTACGTCTTATGCCTAAGGAAGCCTTGAGCCTAAGCCTAGCCCTTAGGCACAAGGTTTCCTTAAGCATAAGGGTTAGGCTTAAGGCTTCTTTAGGCACAAGGTTTTCTTTGGCGTAAGGCATAAGGAAACTTTGAGCCTAGGCCTTAGGCACAAGGTTCTCTTAAGCATTAGGCTCAGGCATAAGGCTTATTTAAGCACAAGGTTTTCTTTGGCGTAAGGCTTAAGGAAACTTTGTACCTAAGTACGTCTTATGTTTAAGATAGCCTTGAGCCTATTCCTTATGCTTAAGGAAACCTTGTGCTTAATTACGTCTTATGCCTAAGGAAGCCTTACGCCTAAGGAAAGCTTGTTCCTAAGGAAGCGTTGAGCCTAAGCCTAGGCCTTAGGCACAAGGTTTCCTTAAGCATAAGGGTTAGACTTAAGGCTTCTTTAGGCACAAGGTTTTCTTTGGCGTAAGGCTTAAGGAAACTTTGTACTTAAGTACGTCTTATGTCTAAGGAAGCCTTGAGTCTAAGGAATCCTTGTGCCTAAGTACGTCTTATGCCTAAGGAAGCCTTGAGCCTAAGCATTGCGCTTAAGAAACCCTCGAGCCTAAGAAAACCTTGTGCCTAAGGAATTCCTTAGTCCTTTTTATTAAGAGTGGGTTGGGAACGACGGACGGACGGACAGATGGATTTAATTAAATTTATCGACATTACAATAATTGGAGAAGGAGAATATGGTTGTTTGATGTATCTTGCAAAGAAGAAAAGTAGAAAACTAATTTTTATTCTTTCTTTTCAAAAAAAAACCAGACGTGGCAAGAGTGGTGAACGCTCCTATTTTCCACGTAAATTCCGACGATCCCGAAGCAGTGATGCACGTTTGTAAAATGGCTGCCGAATGGCGTTCAACATTCCACAAAGACGTTGTCATTGACATTGTCTCATATCGTCGTAATGGACATAATGAAGCAGATGAACCAATGTTTACTCAACCTCTTATGTATCGTAAAATTAAAAATACACCACGTGTTCTTGATAAATATTCTGGACAATTGGTTAAAGAAAATGTTGTAACACCCGAGGAGGTTAAAGATGTTAAGGATAAATATGAAAAAATTTGTGAAGAAGCATATGGTAATGCAAAACAAGAGACACATATTAAATATAAAGATTGGTTAGATTCACCGTGGTCAGGATTTTTTGAAGGTAAAGATCCATTAAAAGTATCGCCAACTGGCGTTAAAGAAGATACATTGGTCCATATTGGTAAGAAATTTTCATCACCACCACCAAATGCTGCTGAATTTGTTATACATAAGGGTATTGAAAGAATATTACGTGGTCGTTTGGAGATGGTTGAATCGAGAACAGTGGATTGGGCTTTAGGTGAAGCAATGGCATTTGGATCGTTGCTAAAGGAGGGTATTCATGTAAGATTATCGGGACAGGACGTTGAAAGAGGGACATTTTCACATAGACATCATGTACTTCATCATCAAACTGTTGATAAAGCAACATATAGACCATTGTGTTATCTTTATCCTGATCAAGCACCGTACACAGTTTGCAATAGTTCATTGTCAGAATATGGAGTATTAGGTGAGAAAATAGAAATTTTTGTCTCAATTTTGATGTAATTTTTATTTCTATTTGCAAAAATGGGTTTTTTTTCTTATTACCATAGGTTTCGAATTGGGTTACTCAATGACGAATCCAAATGCTCTTGTTATTTGGGAAGCGCAATTTGGTGATTTTAATAATACGGCACAATGCATTATTGATCAATTCATCAGCAGTGGACAAGCAAAATGGGTTCGACAATCTGGACTTGTTATGCTCCAACCACATGGTTTGGAAGGACAGGTAATTTTTTTTCTCTTATAACGCTTATTCTTATCATATTGGCGATTTTTTCTTTCTTTTTTCACTAAATATTATTCTTTATACTGTTTCTCTTATTTTAAATATAAATTTCATTTTGAAACACAAATAGTCTTATGCCTAAGTATTGTATCTAAATATTATGAAGATTGGAGGAGGAGAATGTGGTTGTTTGATATGTTAAATTGAGTTAAAAAATTACTCACGAAGCCAAAACGCTAAGCTTAAGCCTTATGTCTAAGAAGGTTTTATGCCTAAGGAAGCCTTGAGCCTAAGTACGCCTTATGCCTAAGAAAGCCTTGAGCCTAAGCCTTATGCTTAAGGAAACCTTGTGCTTAATTACGTCTTATGTCTAAGGAAGCCTTGAGCCTAAGCCTTATGCCTAAACAAACCTTGTGCCTAAGGAAACCTTGAGCCTAAGCTTAGGCCTTAGGCACAAGGTTTCCTTAAGCATAAGGGTTAGGCTTAAGGCTTCATTAGGCACAAGGTTTCCTTTGGCGTAAGGCTTAAGGAAACTTTGTACCTAAGTACGTCTTATATCTAAGGAAGCCTTGAGCCTAAGCCTTATGCCTAAGGAAGTTTTGTCCCAAAGAACGTCTTATGCCTAAGGAAGCCTTGAGCCTAAGCCTTATGCTTAAGGAAACCTTGTTCCTGAGAAAGCCTTACTCTTAAGAAAGCCTTACACCTAAAGAAGTCTTAAGCTTAAGGAAGCCTTGAGTCTAAGTAAGCCTTATGCTTAAGGAAACCTAGTGCCTAAAGAAGCCTAGAGCCTAAGGAAGTTTTGAGCCTAAGTCTTGTGCCTAACGAAGCCTTGTGCTAAGGAAGCCTTATTCCCTGGGCACAAGGCTACATTAGGCACTAAGCTTCCTTAGGCACTAAGCTTCCTTAGGCACTAAGCTTCCTTAGGCACTAAGCTTCCTTAGGCACTAAGCTTCCTTAGGCACTAAGCTTCCTTAGGCACTACGCTTCCTTAGGCACAAGGCTTCATTAGGCACTAAGCTTCCTTTGTCACAAGGTTTCCTTAGACACAATATTTTTTGGCATAAAGCATCCTTAGACACAAAGCTTCCTTAGGCTCTAGGCTTTCTTAGGCACTAGGTTTCCTTAGGCCTAAGGCTTTCTTAGGCATAATTATTTGCTAATTATTTGCTCCTTATGCCTAAGGAAATATAGTGCCTAAGTCATGTGCCTAACGAAGCCTTGTGCCTAAGGAAGAAATGTCTAAAAAATAATTGTGCCTTGGACGCCCTATACCTAATGAAGTATTGTGCCTAAGGAAGCTTAGGCATATGGCTTAGGTTTAAGGCTTCCTTAGGCATAAGGCTTAGGTTTAATGTCTAAAAAATAATTGTGCCTAAGAAAGCCCTATACCTAATGAAATATTGTGCCTAAGGATAACAAGTTTTATGCTTTAGGAAATCTTTTTCCATTTCCCATATGACTAAAAAATTTTTTTTTTTGAAGTTTGTTTTTTTGTTTTCTCTTCATCCTCACAGGGTCCTGAGCATTCGAGCGCTCGTCTCGAACGTTTCTTGCAAATGTCAGCCGATGATCCCGATTATTTCCCACCTGAAAGTGAGGAATTCGCCGTACGTCAATTACATGATATCAATTGGATTGTTGCAAATTGTACAACGCCAGCGAATTTATTTCACATATTACGTCGTCAAATTGCCCTACCATTCCGTAAGCCATTAATAATAATGACACCAAAATCATTATTGAGACATCCTGAGGCAAGATCGAGTTTTGATTTAATGACGGAGAATACACAATTTTTACGTATAATACCAGAGGAAGGCGTCGCTGCAAATTGTCCAAATTCAGTGAAGAGAATTATATTCTGCTCGGGCAAAGTTTATTATGATTTGAAAAAATCGAGAAATGAACGTGGACTCGACGATAAAATTGCAATTGCACGTGTCGAACAGGTATTTGGCAAAAAAAAAAAAAAAAATTGATAAATAAATAAAAATAATAATTAAAATTATAAATAATAGTAAAAATAATTTTATTTTTAATATTTCTAGTAAAATTATTAGTTGACTCAAATAAATAATAATAATAATAATATATTTCTAAATAAAATTATTATTATTATTATTATTATTATTATAAAAATTAAATTACTTTCTTTATTTTGAGCAATAATTAAAAAAAAATTATACAATAATTAATTACAAAGAAAAAAACAAAAAAATTATTTCCGAAATTTGACCGAAATTGCAAAATTTTCGAACAAACATAACCTAAAAAAAAGAAATTGGCGCGATTTTTAAAATTGACCAATAGGAAAATTATTGGAAAAATATTGTAATTGGAATTTTTTAAATTCGCGCCAAAATCTTTTTTTTTCTACTTGGTTATTCGATCATATTTGTTTTTTTTTGTTGTTGTTAATAATTTGGAATTTAGATTATTTCTTTTTTGAATTAAAAAATTTTACTTTCTTTTTTGAAGATTTCGCCGTTCCCCTACGATCTTGTTAAAAAGGAAGCTGAGAAATATCCATCAGCTGAACTTATTTGGTGCCAGGAGGAACATAAAAATCAAGGAGCGTGGAATTATGTTCAACCGAGATTTAATACTGCTCTTAATGGATCGAGGACATCTTCGTAAGTTGATTATTTTTTTTTTTTCTCGATATTATTTTATATTTATTTTATTGCACTCATTTTTTTTTGTTTTTTTAAATTAATTTACTAATTTTTTTTTTTTTTTACAAGGTAAGTGAACAATGTTTTTCTATTTTTTTTTTTTTAAATAAAATAATTTATTTTTTTTTTATTAATTTCTTTCGCTTATTTAATTATTTTCGTTTTTTGCTTCTGTTTTATTTTTTTGAATTTTAAATATATATATATATTTTTTTATTTTAATCGTAAAATTTTTTTTATAAACAAATTTATTATTTTTATTTTTCATTTAATAATTATTTAAATAATAATTTATTACTAATTTTATTATATTAATATTATTGTTATTATTGTTATTATTGTTATTATTATTATTATTATTATTATTATTATTATTATTATTCAATTATTTAAATAATTAATTATTATTATTATTATTAATATTATTATTATTTTGTACATTTTTTCCTTTGTATTCTTTGTACATTCATTTTTTGAAATTTTTCTCATTTTACAAATTTTTATTATTTTTATTCATTTTTATTATTGTTATTATTATTATTATTATTATCATTATTATGTTTTCTTTCTTTGAAAAGAGTCAATGATTTCTCTTTCTGGAAAAAAGTGCATAAAAATTTTTTTTTGTTCTCATTTTCTTCATTAGTTTGCACAAAAAAAATTTTTTTTTTTTTATTTCAATAATTTTTTATTCGAAAAAAGATTTTTAATAAATATCAATTTATCTATTTATTTATATAAAAATAAAGGGAACAAAATAATTATATAAAAAAAAAAAAAAAATTTCGCTGGGATAAATATAAAATAAATAAAGAACAAAAAAAAAAAAAAAAAAAAAAAAAAATAGAAATTGAAAAAAAGGAAAGAGTTCCTTTTTTTTTTTGAAAACAAAAAAGAGAGATAAAAAAAATCATTGAATCTGAAATTTTACTGTTTATATGGCCCATGTTTTTTTACTTTAATTTAATTTATCATTAATTAAAAATAGAAAAAAAAACAATATGTAAAATGCTTCTTTGTTGTGTTTAAAAATATTTGTCACTTACATTTGAAAAGCTTGTTAAGCGCACTTGTATACAATTTATATTTAATTAAATTCTTTTTTGGCACTAAAAATAGCAAAAACAAAAAAATTAAAGAATAATTGCATAGTAAAAAAATAAAATTTTATATAAGAAGTGAAAAATTTGGGCCGTGTTGCAGTAATGAAGATTCTAAAAGCGAGGGATGGTTTGGTACATTGTTCTCGTCCTCAAAGGCAGAGGACAAGAAACCGACTCTCGAATCACAAGCTGAGGAATCGACAAAACCAGTCGAAAGAATCACGAGGTAATTAAAAAGAAAAAAAAAAGAAAAGAAAGAAAAAATAGAAATTAAATCTCTTTCTTTGAAAAGAAAGAAAAAAAAATTTTTTTACGAAAATAAATTACTAAATAGGAAATTAATTTTTTTTTTCGAATATAAGTATAATAAGAAAATTTAATTTAGAATAAAAAAGAAAAATAAAAAAAAAACTAAATTTAGAATAAAAAAGAAAAAAAAATTAATTTAGAATAAAAATAAAAAAAACTGAATTTAGAATGAAAAAGAAAAAACTTAGTTTAGAATAAAAAAAAGGAAAGAAACGTATTTAAAAAAAAAAAAATAAATAAATATAGAAAAATGAGAAATAATTCAAAAATTTACAAGGAAAAAATAGTAATAAAAATAAATATTAATTTTTTAGTTTTTCGAAAAATTAGAAGAAAAAATAAATATATTTTTTCCCTCCTTCCAGGTATGTTGGACGTCCAACGGCAGCATCACCAGCAACCGGAAGTAAAGCCCAACATACGAGAGAATTAAAACAATTGTTGGACGACGCGTTAACTTTATAATTTAAATGTTTTTTTTCTCCCTCCCCCGCCCAAAATCCCCCCTTTAGAATTGTAGCGAAGTTTATTTATTCGTCGAAATATTAATATTTGTTATGATGAGAAAAAAAAAAAAAAAAAAAATAGAAAAACGGACATTGTTTCATATGTCTCGTGAACATACATAAAAGAAGAAAAGAAAAAAAAACCGAATGAAAGAGAGAGAGAGAGAGAGAGAGAGAGAGACCATCCTCGTGGAAATAATTAAAAAAAAAAAATTTCCTTTTTTTTTTTTTAGTGCCCTGGCATTAGTACCGTGTGTAAGATTATTTAATTTTTACGAAAAGTACAATTTTCCCTTTTTTCTTACCCCGAACCCCCCAAAAAAAAAAAAATTCCCCCCCTTTCCTTTCCCTAGAATTTTATGTCTCTGAATTATTTGCTTAATCCAAAGAAAATAAACTAGTTCCTTTTTTTTTGTTTTATTAATTTTCTCAAAATACTCAAATGATAATTTTTTCTATGTAATTTTACGAGTTTTTGATTTACAAAAAAAAAAAATATTAATTTCGGGCGATTTTTGCAAAAAAAAAAATTAATTTTTTCAGTCAATTTTTGCGTAAAAAATATTTGCAATTTAAAAAAAATTTTTTAAATTGAAACTTCGGATTATTTTGATCAAAATTAGAAAAAAAAAAACAGTAAAATTTTTTTCAATTATTTGGAATCAATTTGAAATTAATTTTCCTTTTTTTTTTTTTTGTTTACTTTAATTAAAATTTAGTTAAAATTAAAATAAATCTTTAATGTTACTTTACTATTTTCTTTATTTTAAAAATTAAGATTTTTTTTTTGTCTAAATATTTTATTCAAAATTAAAATTAACTCGTAAAATTATTGTAAGAAAAAATTACAGTTAAATTTAAAAAAAAATTCAAAAAGAGTGAAAGAAAGCGAGAAAGAAAAAAAAGAAAGAGAGAGAGAGAGTGAGAATAAATTTTCCAAAAAAAATTCATTGAATAATTTTAAGCTTACTAATCAAACTAACAAACATTATTTAATGATAATAGTCTATAAATAATAAAAAACAAACAAAATAATTTAGAGAGAAACAAAAATGAAAAAACGAGGAAGAAAAGAAAAAGCAAAAAAGTGAAATTTGTACTCTTCTTTCTATATAAAATGAACTCAAGTGCAAATATAATGATTATAATTTGCTCTGTTATCTATATAATTATTATTATATTGTCTTAGAAATCGGTGACGACTATGAAAGTATTATTTTTAACTTAAAAACGAAAAAGCAAACAAACAAACAAAAAAAAAAAAAACTGCATCGTTTCTGCGATCGAGATTTATTGTAAAAAAAATAGTGCGAGTGTTTTTTTTTTTTGGATCTGAAAAATAAAAAAAAAAAAAATTTTTGAGCCAATCAATTAAAATTTTTACAGTCGCTGTGTTTTTTGTGTGAAAAAATTAAATGATTGGCGCATATTATTTATTTCTGAGATGAAGAAAAAGAGAAAAAAGTAAAAAAAAAAAAAAAAAAAAAAATATATTCAATAAACGGTGAATAAACTCGCGAATTTGAAACATTTTAATTTTATTTTTGAACTTTTTTTTAACAGCGCAGTTTTTAATAAAAATTTAATATTTTAAAACTTAATTTTTTTTTAAATTTATTTTTTATCTCTTTTTTTTTAGTAACTTTTGTTTCTTTTTTTCTTTTTGTCTAGAGAAACTCAGAGTCTGCAAAAAGGCACAGTATTTAAATATTATATTTCTTTTAACATTTTATTTTTTATTATTTTTTTGCTGTTTTTTTTGCGTTGAAAAAGATGCAAATATTATATATTTATGTATAAGCTAAACGGAAAAAAGGAATTCGATTTGGCGACTGCGGGTAACGGAAGCCAAGATTCTTTTCTTTTTTTTTAATTGAAAAAGAAAACAAAATGTACTTGTGTAAGCTCAGGGCAAAAAGTCAAGAAAACGCAGTTTTATTTTATTTTTTTTGTCCGCATTAAGTAGATTTAGTGAAATAAATGTTTTAATTGTCGGTGTGATTCTCAATTATAACGGTCGTGTCAGGCTCTTAATTATGATTATTATTATTATTAATAATATTATTATTATAGTGAATTGTATTTTATTTCGTTTTTGAGTAAAAAAAAAAAAAAAAAAGATTAGAAACTTCAACTGCACATTGTAGATTCTGTTGAACTCATTAAAATTGTAAGTACCACCGAATTTTTCTACTTTTTATTTTGCCTTATTATGTTAATTGTCCCTTAAAATTGTTTATTAAATTTGAAGTAAGTTCTAATTTTTCTAGATTTTTTTTTGAAATTTTTTTAAATAAAAAAAAAAATGCGAGTTACACTCGCACTAATTCAAGGGTTCCGTACACCAACAATAATAAACTTTTTTTTTTTTATAAATAAATAAAGATATATAAATAAAGAAACACATTTAAATATCTACTTTGTTTAATTTTTATTTTTTGTTACTTTCATTCAATGTGAAATTTGTGTTACAATTTTTTGCCAAAAATATTGTTTCGTATGATCATGTGTCTCAATAAATAACATGGCTAAATATTTAACTCACTAATTACCGCATATATGTAAGCTACAATTGAACTTATCGTAAGCTCAACCGTGACTGCCTACTGAGTACCTATTCACGAATTATCGGCATATTGCGCAAGGCCCAATCGAACTTATCCTAAGCTCAACCGTGATTGTCTACCGACTTCTATCAAATCCAATCAGTTTCCCTATAATTTTCCTGTAATCTACGCGCGTGAAAATACGTATGTGTACTAAATTGCACTTCTTCATATACAAAAAAATGTAGAAGGCAAAGGGGGGGGGGGGGGGGACAGGGTAATTTTTTCGAAAAAAAACCCGATTTCTTTCATTTCTAGCTCGTAGCCATCAAATCCAATCTGTCTCGCTATATTTTTCCTGTAATCTACACGTAAAAATACGTATGTGTACTAAATGGCAGTTCTTAACACGGAAAAAATAAACTAAGTATTTTAGCACCAAACTGCTTTATCCTTTATTAGTATACAATTTCGTTTACCTATTAAAGTATGAAATAATGCTTTTTTAGTTTTAAGTAAGTCCTAACTAAATAAGTATAATGGTTATATTCTTATAGTAATAGTGATGTACTTTAAAAGAATAAAATTGATGCCCACGAAGTACGACATATAGTCTACCTAAAATAGCAAGAGCTTCTTCCTTTTTGGTGGATAAATTCTTGCAACCTGCGCTTTGGCCTATATCGATATATCGATGATTGGAAAGGGAGGTAGGCGTGACCAAAACGCAGGTTGCAAGAATTTAGGGCGCACTCACACCTTTTGGATGCCTGCCTGCCTGCAGGAGTTGTCATGGCAACGTGTAGGAGTAACAGAGAGAGAAAATTCAAATTTAAATTTACTATCTCTGTTACTCCTTCACGTTGCCATGACAACTCCTGCAGGCAGGCAGGCAGCCAAAAGGTGTGAGTGCGCCCTTATCAACCAAAAAGGAATTCATATACAAAAATGTAGAAGTTAAGGTGGGGGGGGGACACAAAGCTAAGACGGACGCAAGAGTCTTTTTCATAAGGTCTCCGTCGGTACATCGAAGGTGTACGGAACCCTAAAAATAACGTTTTCGTCGATATTTTAAAGCAGCTGAGATTTTCTGCAAAATTTTATTTGACTATTTTCGATGTATTTAAATGCAATCATAATTTTGAATCACCATTTTTATGATTTTTAAATATGTTGAGGGTGCGATGAAGAAAGCGCGCATCTAAGAAGCAAAAAAAAAAAATAGGTTATGTTTATGATAGTTTAAATATGGTAAAACAATCATAAACATAACCTCTATGAAAGTTCTGAAACTTGGCTACGCCATACAAGTTATTTAACAAAAAAAAACATAACCTATAAGTTTTTTTTCCACTATAAAAATATATATATTTTCCCTAAAAGTAATTCGATCCCCTTAAAAAATTTGAAAGAAAAATTTTTTTAATACTTTTCAATCTGTTTTTTAAATCCGCGATTTTGTGTATATTGCGTATAAATACTATCAATAATTTTCGATAGAAATTCTATGAAAACGAATACTTGTTTTTTATATAAAAAATTTGTTTTTTAATACTTTTCAATCCGTTTTTTGAATCCGCAATTTTGTGTATATTACATAAGATACTAACAATAATTTTTTTGGATTCTTTCAAATTCTTTCACATATATTTTTTTTTTATATAAAACAAATATATTATGCGTTCGAATTTTGAAGTAAATTGTAAGCTGTGTAAGATGTTCTCAAAATCTGTTTTAACAATAAAATTGTGAGAATAGACGTTATTGTAAAGCTACGTCCACAATAGGCTCTTTTTATGTCATGTTCAACATAAAGCTGTTTCTACAAGAACTTTTTTTTTCATCGACATTGCAAAGTTTTGTTCAAGGCCAACCCAGAATAGAAACGTAACCGGAATCGTAAAGGCCTAAGCAGAATAGATTCTTGAACGGGAACGCAATCGTAAACGGAAACGTAAGAATGAGTAAGAGAAGGATAACAAATATCTTTATTCTTTTCTCACTCATTCTTACGTTTCCGTTCAAGGTTGCGTTCCCGTTCAAGAATCTATTCTGCTTTGGCCTTAATCGCAAACGCAACCGGAATAATGAGTTGAAGAAGAACAAACAATATGTCTACCCTTCTCTAACTCATTCTTCCGGTTGCGTTTGCGATTACGATTCCGGTTACGTTTCTATTCTGCTCAGGCCTTCATGTCGATGAAAAAAGTTCTTGTAGAAGTAACCTAAGGACATGAATAAACAAAAGCCGAAAGAATTAACGGATACGGGAATAGAAAACTGGAAAGTGAGATAGAAAAGAATAGATGCTAATTCTGTCCTTTTCTATCTCATGTACTGTTCTCGTATTCGACTTTATATTCTGGTTTGGCTTAAAGATGCTTTTATACTTTCTTGGTTTTTGGCGAGAAATGCATTTTTCACTGAATTTTATTGGCTCTGACAAATATTTCATTTCCACCGTGAAAATGGAATATTATTAGAGCCAATAAAATACAGTGAAAATGCATTAGAGTACGGTCACACTATCTCATGCATGCAGAAACATTTGTCTGGTCACACTTCAATGAAATCTAGTGTATGTTTAGTAACTTTCTAGTAATTTTCCAAAAATTTCGGTTGTAACTAGAAAGTTACTAAACATTTACTAGATTTTGTTGAACTGTGACCGGACAAATATTTCTGCATGCATGCATAGTGCATGCATGAGATAGTGTGACCGTACCCTTATCCGTCAAAAACTAAGATAGTATAAAAGCACCTTAATGAAGCCTATTGTGGATATAGCCTAAAATATATACACCGGTTGGTTTCCATTGTACCCAGTCGCCATTTGTCATAATTCTCGTCAACTATCGCAACCTGCTCTAGTGGAAATTTAGTATCTTTATAGTAATTTTTAATTTTAACAATAAAGTCACTAAATTTCCACTAGAGCAGGGTGCGGTACTTAAGACATATGGCGAGTGGAGATAATCGAAACCAACCATATGATGTCCTTCCGGTTTGACGGTATTTTGAAAAGTCGTGTCACTTCTATAATAATTCTATTAGTTTATGGCGTATATATTAGCCATGAACTAATAAAATTATTGTAGAAGTGACACGATTTTTCAAAATGCCGTCAAACCAGAAGAACAGCATATACGTTTAATAAATGAAGTAAATTAGTAAACTTACCGTGAGAAAAGTATCATAAGTCATTGGAATAACAGATCCACTTGTTATAATTATTGGATTTCTTGTGCGTATCGAAATTAGAAGAAGTGCTTGTTTTGTATTTTTTGTCAATATTGTCCAATCCATCATACTTAATACATTTGCTAGTTTCAAACTCTAGTTTATAGAAAAAAATTTTAATTATTTTTATTCTACTAGTCTCCTAGTGACTTTTTTCTGAGTGGCTTGATTATGGTTTCCATTTTCCTCGCTCGCCATTTGTCATAATTCTTGTCAACTACCGCACCCTGCTCTAGTAAAAGTTAAGTAACTTCATTTGTTAAAATTAAAAGTTACTAAATTTTCACTAGAGCAGAGTGCGGTAGTTGACGAAAATTATGACAAATGGCGAGTGGGGACAATGGAAACCAACCGCTTATTAACTTTTAATAATAATAATAATAATAATAATAATAATTATTATTATTATTATTAATTATTATTTTAATCTTTTATCATCAATAATAATTACACCCAATTGCATAAATGCTGTCCTTCCCGTTTGACGACATTTTGAATAGTCGTATCATTTCTATAATAATTTTATTAGTTCATGTTTGGTTGACGCCATAAACTAATAAAATTATTGTAGAAGTGTAACGACATTTTGAAAAGTCGTATCATTTCTATAATAATTTTATTAGTTCATGGTTGGTTGACGCCATAAACTAATAAAATTATTGTAGAAGTGTAACGACATTTTGAAAAGTCGTATCATTTCTATAATAATTTTATTAGTTCATGGTTGGTTGACGCCATAAACTAATAAAACTATTGTAGAAGTGTCACAACTTTTTAAAATTCCGTCAAACCGGAAGAACGGCATTTATGTAATTAAGTTGAATAGTTATAATTAGTTGTACATACTTTTAACATAACTGCATTTCCAAAATGACAATAAAGAAATATTTGAAATAAAACATTTGTTAATACAATACATTGAATGACAACTTTATCATTAATTGTATTCTTTGTAGATATACTGAAGACGAGAGTACAGATATTTAAAATTGATCCGAAAAATTGAATACCAAATACAATATTAAAAATATCGTTTAATTTACTACTGAACCTGTAATTTTTTTAAAAATATTTTTTTATTTTTTTTTTACCTTTTTGTGAGGGATATGATAAAAATATATATACACCTAGAGAAAAGATTTCTTTGATTTAAAGAAATCAATTTGTTTTACTTGTTTTCTTTCATTCAAAATAAAATTTTTTTTGTTGATATAGGGTCAAAGAAATATTTATTTGAATTAAATAAAAAATTTCTTTGAAACGAAGATAATTTTTTTTTTTTTTGAATCAAAGAAATCTTTTTTCTTATAGATGAAAGTTACATGTAGATGTAATTATGATGAACAATACAGTCTTTAATAATATTTGCCTCTTCTAATTCATTAAAAAGAATAGATCTTTTATTATTATTATTATTATTTTTATATAAATATGGCAAATTTTTTAGACGATAACATATTATATCAAGCTGAGAACAAATTTGAATCAACATTGTCATTACAAATGTTTCAGATGCAACTGTAACTAAACCAGATAAATAAAGCCACAATGATTGACTAATATATGTTAAAGAAAATGCTAATTTCTGATTTTTATAATCGTATGGTAATGATGCTTTTAATGGTAAACTGATATTATCTTTTCCTTTTGCCAATCCTCCACATGTCATTGCTAAAACTGTTGCTGAGGTTATTATAAAAAAATATTTTGTGTTCCTTCTGAAACGAGATATATTTAAATTTTCTAAATCAAAGAAAATTCTAACACTGATGTAGGGTCAAAGAAACATTTCTTTGAATCAAAGAAATCAATTTCTTTGAATCAAAGAAATCAATTTCTTTGAATCAAAGAAATCAATTTCTTTAAATCAAAGAAATCAATTTCTTTAAATCAAAGAAATCAATTTGTTTGTATCGAAGAAATTAATTTCTTTGATTCAAAGAAATTGATTTCTTTGAATTAAAAAAATTGTTTTCTTTGAATCAAAGAAATCGGTTTTTTTTATTGTAATTATACAATCACTGACCTAGCTGTAAAATCACATTTGTCCTGCATAATTTTCTCAATATTGTCACGAGTTTTTAGACAATGTGCATTTAAAATATTTATCAATTTTATAATATCATTTCGTCTTAGGATAAAATTTGTCATTTTCACACAAGTTACTATTGCTGCCAAAAACCAACATAATGATTCTGCGAATTCGTCAATATTATTTAATGAATGTAAAATAAGATAAATGCACAATGAAATATCAAAAAAGTAAAAAAGAATAATAATAAAAATTGTCAATATATTATAAAAAAATTTCATAATAAATAATGACAAATTTATTGGCCTCCAAACACCGGCAAATATAAAAAGATTTATTGAAAGTTCGCCTTTGTACATTTTTTAATTTTTTTCAAATAGTTTTCTAAATTTCTTTTTTCTTCAATTAGAAATTCTTAAATTTTTTTTTTTTAATTTTTTAAAAAAATTGAATGACTATTATAGAAGTTTAATAATGTAACTAAATTTTTGCAATGTTCTCTTGTAGATGAAACAAATTTTCAATTGACTTGGAACTATAGATAGGCTCTTGCGTTATTGTGTATATGAAGTAAAACCACATTTATTATTCCATATAGTTATTCACCCTATCTTATTACAATTTTAATCGAATGAATTGCAACTTAGAAAATGAATATGTAATTCGATATGATAGAAAGTCGTATTTTTATTATTGTACAGTTAAGCTGTAATTATTTATTTATATATATATATATATATATATATATCTGCAAAAGGGTCATTATATGTATAAAATGATAATAGTCGCATTTTCAACCCTTCATATATCGAAGTCATTAATATTTTATATCACTCAAGAATATATCGGTAAATTGTCAAGATATTTTTCTATATAATTCTAAATAGAAATATATTTTTTGCCGGAAAATAATTATTTTTAAACAATTTTTATTTAGATATTTTTTTTAAAAAAATTTATTTTTGTTTATTATTTCTATTATTTTTGAATTCAAAAAATGACAAATAATGGAGCGGTCACACCTCGGCTGCAGGAGCAGTTGCCCATGGCAACCGTGTAAGAGTAAGAGAGATAGAAGATTTTCCATCTTTCTTACTCTTACATGGTTGCCATTGGCAACTGCTCCTGCAGACGAGGTGTGACCGCTCCATAATAACCACGAAGTAGTATAAAGGCGCTCTCACACCTTTTTGGCTGCCTGCAGGTTACCATGGCAACGCATGAGAGTGAGTGCGACAGAAAAATTAAAAATTTCAATATTCAAATTTTCTGTCTCACTCACACACGTGCGTTGCCATGGTAACCTGCAGGCAGGCAGCCAAAAAGGTGTGAATGCGCCATAAGGAGATATATCGCTGTATATAAAAGATGGCCCCGTTTTCCGTATTCACGGTTCTCAAGTTTTCACCAATCTAATTACACTTGCGCCAACCGCGGGAAATTGTGATATTAAACTCTGTATTCTCTAAACATGTGATTTTAATACCGAGGTTTCCCTCTAGAGGCGCAAGTGTAATTAGATTGGTGAAAACTTGAGAACTGTGAATATCGAAAATAGGGCTACATTCCGTTAGAGCTGCGCCATATGTGATAATGTCTCCTTATACTACTTCGTGATAATAACAATTCAAATTACACATAAACTCGAAAAACATATATATATATATTTACATTTAAAAAAAAAACCGAAAACATAACCTATATTACATATTTACAAAAGAAATGCGTTTTTAGTCCCTTTCCGTGCATGTTATTCGTTACTCGTTAACGTTTTACGTATGGTGAAACCATTTGTGACGCTCCACGAGAGAAGGGACCTATCTCCGAAATAATATTAGGCTTAGTTTTCATGTACGGTGCACGGAAAACTGAGCCTAATGTTATTTCGGGGATAGGTCCCTTCTCTCGTGAAGCGTCACATTTCACACTTTTTTACGGTGGGTTTCCATTGTACTCACTCGCCATTTGTCATAATTCTCGTCAACTATCGCACTAGTGAAAATTTAGTGACTTTATAGTAACTTTTAATTTTAACTAAAAAGTCACTAAATTTTCACTAGTGAAAATTTTTTTTCTAGTGAAAATTTAGTGACTTTATAGTAACTTTTAATTTTAACCAAAAAGTCACTAAATTTTCAGTAGAGCAGGGTTTGGTAGTTGACGAGAATTATAACTAATAGCGAGTGGGGACAAAGTAAAAAATTTTCTTCACTTTAAATTTTCTGAAATACACAAACCTTATTGGTTGTCCAGTAGTTGATTCATTGTGAACAACCAATGGGCCAACGCAAAATAGAACCGTAACCGGAATCGTAACCGTAAATGCAACCGGAATAATGAGTTAGAGAAGGAAAAACAATATATCTATTCTTTTCTAACTCATTATTTCGGTTGCGTTTGCGATTACGATTCCGGTTACATTTCTATAATGTTCAGGCCTTAATCGTAAATCTTAAGGCCAAAGCACAATAGAAACGTAACCGGAATCGCAATCGGAAGAATTAGTAAGAGAAGGACAACAATATATGACTATCCTTCTCTAACCCATTCTTCTGTTTACGATTGCGATTACGGTTACGTTTCTATTCTGCTCAGGCCTTTAAGCTTTTACATGAGATAGAGAGAAAAGGACAAAAGATATTTCTATCCTTTTCTCTCTCATGTAAAAGCTTAAGATTTACGATTAGAGATTTCATTCTGCTTAGGTTTAAAGGTACGACCATACGACTTTTGGAAAAACCATTCTTGTCTTTCTCTCTCCTAAGACAGAGGCATAAGATTGTCTCACTCTGCATTTTCTTACATTTCCCAAAGACGGAAAATGCAGAGTGAGACAAACTTATGCGTCTGTAATAGGAGAGAGAAAGACAAGAATGGTTTTTCCAAAAGTCGTGTGACCGTACCCTGAAAATTCATCACTCGCCGAAAAATTAAAGCAGGTATGAAAGCACCTTTATTCATTTTATTGATCGAATTATCGATATCGAACATCGATATATCGGAACGTTAATATCGAGTATCTCTCACTTTGAATGACCCAACCCTGGTATACTAAAAAGTATATAGTAAATTTGTTTTTAAAATATTATTTACATATGTAAATATTTAAAAAAAAAAGAAAAGAAAAAAAAATGGAAAATCTAAATGTTTTGGAAGAAACACAAAAAATAATTGACAGAGCACCATTTCGTGAGATGAAAATAAATGACACTAGTGTATTGGATAAAGTTGATGGTCGTGGAACTTGTGACAAATGTAATAAGTCAAGAAAATATTTTTGTTACACTTGTTACACATTAATTGTTGATAAAAAAATTATTCCACAAGTTAAGGTAAGAAAACAAAAAAAAATTAATAATAATTATATATATATATATATAATAATAATATAAAAAATTTATCAATCGCGGTTAAAAGTAAGGTTATGTCTATATTTATATTTTAAAGAGATTTAAATTTACTGTTAATTTTCAATTGTTAGGTTGTTTCTACAATAGACAATTCTTTTTTTCTTTTTGTGTTAATAATTTACTTAAACAAAATAATTTTTATATTTAAATTAAATAAACTTTATTTATGAACCAATAATTTCTGTATTTGAAGTAAATACCATTTAATTGACTCAAATAGTAATTATTTGTTGAAAATAAATATTTAGTTGATGCAAATAAATATTTAGTTGATTCAAGTAAATATTTAGTTAATAGAAATAAATATTTAGTTGATGCAAATAAATATTTAGTTGTTGCAAATAATTATTTAGTAAATAGAAATAAATATTTAGTTGATTCAAGTAAATATTTAGTTGTTGCAAATAATTATTTAGTAAATAGAAATAAATATTTAGTTGATTCAAGTAAATATTTAGTTAATAGAAATAAATATTTAGTTGATGCAAATAAATATTTAGTTGTTGCAAATAATTATTTAGTTGTTGCAAATAATTATTTAGTAAATAGAAATAAATATTTAGTTAATAGAAATATATATTTAATTGATTCAAATAAATATTTAGTTAATAGAAATAAATATTTAGTTGATGGAAATAAATATTTAGTTGATGCAAATAAATATTTAGTTGATTCAAATAAATATTTAGTTAATAGAAATAAATATTTAGTTGATGCAAATAAATATTTAGTTGATACAAATATTTATTTGATAATATTAAAAAAAAAAACCCGATTATTTGAATCAAATAAATATTTTTTCCAATGGACTATTAATAAATTATAAAAATAATAATAATATTAAGTTTTCTTTTAAAAAAGGAAAAATTTTTTTTTTTTTTTTAATGAAAATTTACTTACAGTTACCGATAAAAATAGATATTATAAAACATTCACGGGAAATTGATGGAAAATCAACGGCAGTTCACGCGACAATTTTAGCTTCGGAAAATGTGAAAATTTACACATATCCAGATTTTCCATTATTATCCGCAGACGAAAAGGTATTGATATAATTATATATTTTATTTTCTATTTTCTGTTTTATTATAATTACAATTACAATAAAATTATTATATTTTTTACGAAAAACAAAAAAAAAGAAAAACTAAATAATTGAATTTCTCAGATTGTTCTCATATTTCCCAGCAAAACGGCAACGAGCGTTGATTCATTTTTCGAATCATGGACAAAAAACAATGAGAATTCATTGATATCAGGACTTCCAATAACGCGAGCAATTTTTATTGATAGCACTTGGCAACAAACAAAAGCCATTTATAAAGAGCAGAAACTAAGAGGTAATAAGAACATTTTTTTTTTTTTTTTTTGTTTAATTTTAAAGAGAGGAGAGAAAAAATAATTCTTTAGTTTTTGTTTTTATTCATTTTCTTTTTTTTTTTTTTTTTGGTAAAAAAAAAATTATTTTTAATTATATCTGTATGCAGATTTCCCAAAAGTCCCAACTAAAAAAAAAATAAATTAATAATAGTAAAAATAACAATAGTAGTAATAATAATAACATTAATTTTTTTTTTTTTGTTAAAAAAAGAATTATTTTTCAAAAGCCTCATAAGCAAAATAATAATAATAAGGAGTTTTCCCTCCTTGGTGTAACAGATTTCCACTTTATTCTTCACAAAAAAAAAAAAAATTCATAATAATAAAAATAAAAAAAAAAATTGTTATAAAAACAGATTTGCCGTGCGTGATATTAAAAGGACGAATATCACAATTTTGGAGGCATCAAAAAAAAAGTCCACGATGGTATTTAGCAACAATTGAAGCTATACATCAATTTATGATTGAATTTCATATGTGTGCATTTAATAATTATCAGCAAAATCAAATAGTAATTAAAAATGAATTTGGTGAATTATCACAATTATGTTTACCTTATAGTGGACAATATGATAATTTACTTTTTTTTTTTAAACATATGTATGAAAAAATACACAGTATTTATGATCACGAGAAACTTTACGCTTATAAACGACCGTTAATTTAATTTAATTTTTTTTTTATTCACAAGAATTGCCAACTGTGATAAATAAATAAATATCATAGATAAATGTAAGAAAAAATTTATATAATTTTTTTTTTTATAAATTTATATTAAATACGAATTATTAGATTATATATAATATTTTTTTATTATATTCTATATAAATTCTATACGTCTCGAAACTGTTTGAATATTTTTTTTTTTTTTTTTTTTTTTTTTAATAAATTGACTGAAAAAAAAATTTTATGTGATTATTTCGTCATGGGAATAATATGACTACTCTGCTATATAAGGAAAAAAAAATATACAGGCTGATTTTTATGTTCTGGAGCCCATAGGAAATTTTTTTTATTCTCTTTTTTGTTTTTTAAACAAAAATAATGGAATTAAAAAAAAATTTTAGGAGGTTCGGAACATAAAAATTATCCTGTATATAAAAAATAATAATAGTCTCACAGCTGGACTAAATTGTTTCTATGGTGTTAAAAGACTCTTCTCATTATATACTCTCTCGCTCATGTGACTAAATAAATAAAAAGCTTCACGCAAAAAAAAAAAATCTTTATCTAGAACAGCGATATGTTTCACTAAAACAGCGAAAGTTTTCGCTATTCTAGAGAAATATATCGCTATTCCAAAGAAATTAGGGTGTTTAACGTTTAGGGAAAACAGAAAAAGGTCAGGGAATTTCTTTAATTAATAACAATTAATTTTTTTCAGTGAAATATTTGGTTTTTTAATATAAATAAAAATTATTTGAATTTTATTTTATCGGTTTCAACTTCAAATAAAGTAAATTATTCATTAATACGAATTATTTATTATTTAATGCTAATATTCATATTTAATTTATAAAAATTTTTCACGGTGTCGAATATTAAATTATCGAATTTCTATTTAGCAAAATATTGTATAAAGTGGATTAATTAAGAATTTTTTTAAATAGAAATTCTGTTTTAATAATAATTGAATTTTAGTTGATTTTAAATTGAAATTTTGGAAATAATTGAATTAAAATTATTTAAATTATTTAAAATTAACTAAATTTCAATTATTTTCAAAAATTTCAATTTAAAATCAACTAAAATTCAATTATTTTTCAAAATTTTAAATCCAAAATCAACTAAAATTCAATTATTTTCTAAATTTGAAATTCAAAATAAACTAAAATTGAATTATTTTTCAAAAATTTTAATTTAAAAGCTTCTATAATTTAATTGTTTCTAAATTTTTTTGAAATTTAATAATTTCAATTGTAACTCTCACCGGAAATTAAATTATTTTTTAATGATTTTTATAATATTCTTCAAAATTCAACTACCTATTTGAATTCATTTTGCAATTTAAAAAATTTTTTTAAGTTCAAATTTTTGTCTATAATTTCTAATAAATTCTTCAATTATTTGAAATTCAATTATTTTCCAAAATTTCAATTCAAAATCAATTAATTATTTTCAAAATTTCAATTGAAATTCAATTATTTTCAAAATTTTTAATTCAAGACAATTTTCTTGACCAAAATTCCTTAAAAATGAATTTCTATTAATTTGAAATTCTATAAAATACTAAAGTACTATAAAATCTGTTTTATTTAATTTTACTAAATAAAAATTTAATATTTTAAGAATTGACGCCGTAAAAATTATTTTAAATTAAATGTTGAAAATATTTATACGCCCCCCCCCCAAATTAGTTTATTTATTTCACTGAAATATTTTATTTTTTACGATACATTATTTATTTGGTTCAAATAAATATGAAATTAGTCAATAATAGACTGGTAAATGATTTAATTGTATCGAAATAAATTTTATTTGTTTAAAATAAAAATTTTTTATTGTAATTTAGGTCAGTGAAAAGTCAGGGAATTTTTTTCCTAGCAGTTAGACACCCTGAAATTTTATACAATAATATTTATAATATATAATATTTATTTATAAGTATATTTATAAATTTTAAAGTAATTAAATTAAATAATAATGTAAGAATAAATTGTTAATAAATAAATAGAAGAAAAAAAAAAATTAAAGTAACAGCACGCGGTATTCCCAAGCGGTCACCCATCCAAGTACTAACCGCGCCCAACGATGCTTAACTTTAGTGATCGGACGAGAACTAGTGCGATCATCGTGGAATGGCCGTTACTTGAATATAAATTTTCATTTCTTGCTTACATTCTTAAAGAGTTCAGGGCTGTGGAGAAATACACATACTCGATTGCTCATTGGTCACAAGAATTATACGCGGGAATTTTGAATTTTTTTTTGTTCTAAAACACTTTTTTTTTAATTAGAAAAGAGAGAAATTACATATATATATATATATATATTATTTAATTGTTTGCATATTTTTTATTTGTAACGTAAATATGCGTTTTTTTTGAAAGAATTAAAAAAAAATAATTAATACAAAAAAAAAGTAGAGAGAAAGAGAGATGTGTGATTATCATCAGCTGATCGGGAGTACATAACCTCAAAATTTTATCTCAAGAAGGTAAATGTTTATAAAATTTTTTTTACAGTGTATGTATATATATATATGATATATATAATTCGTGATATAATTATAGGATAGTAATTTTAAACACAAAATTAAAAAAAAAATCGTTCTTCATGAGGGGGAAATAATGATTCTTTAATGAAAAAAAGAAAGAAAGAAAAAAACAAAAATATGACGACGTATTCGATAAATCTTGACGAAAAAGGTCAGGAAGGGCCAATTCGATGTATATTTTTCTCAGAATTTCATCACATTGCTGGTCCAAAAATCACTTGTCAGGTGAGTTTGATTTTTAATTTAAATTTTGCAATTTTCGAAATAATTTATTATATGGGCTTAAAAAAAAAGAATAGAAATTTAATATTATTATTGTTAATTAATATTACTATTATTAATTGTTGTACTTTTGTTATTATTTTTTTTTTTTTGCAGGTACCAGACAATTTTATTTCGAAAGATATTTTCGACAATGTGAGCGTTTATATTATTCCAAAGGCACAACTTCAACGAAGTACAATTACTGTGTTGGTATATAAAAAAAAAATATATTTTCTTCTTTTTTAAAAATCTTTAAAAATCAATTAATAATTAATAATATATATATACTTTGATTTTTCGTTAGGAATTTTTTTTTTTTAGGGAAATTTCAAAGGATTTATTATAATTATTATTAATTAATAATTTATTTTATTAATTGATTTTTCATAAAAATTTATTTTTATTTTATATTTTATTATTTTAAGGAAATTGGGAAATAGGGATAAATATTCAGAAGAAGGGGAAAAATTTTATAATAGTTTGGGGTATAGCACGATGGAAATTGAAAGATATAGGATTGAAAAGAGAAAAATAGGTGAGATAATAAAAAAAAAGAGATATAGATATAGAAAATCAGGTTAGAATGGGAAATATAAGTGAATCTAAATATAACTCTAGGTACAAGGAAATATTGATTGAAGGATTACCATATTATTTGAAAAAAAAAACTAAGGATAGGGTGGGAACAAGAAACTATAGCGAGAATTAGATGTGGAAATATAGAAAGAACCAATAAATATTGGGCAAATGAAAGTGTATGGATTTGTAGAATATGTGAAAAAGATTGGTGTTCTTTTAATCATTTGTTCAAAGAATGTTTAGGTACTAATAATTTAATTACGGATGTAAATATTGACAAGGTTAATTTATATATGATTAGATGTAATGATAAATATGATAAAAAAAATAGTAAAAGCTGTATATAATATAGATAAAATATTTAAAAGTAAAGAGGTTTGCCGTTAAGTTTATTGTAAATTTATGTATAGATATGTATATGTTTAAGGATGGATGTGAATAGACATGCACAGTAATTATATGTAAACCAAGTACATTTCTAGGCCATTAGACTGAAAATAAATAATATTATTATACTTTATTTTTTTTTTTTAATTAAAAATTTATATTTGTGAAAAATGTTTTTTTTTTTCATTTTCAGAACATTAAAGGACTACAAAATTCTTGGATTCCCGGTGAAAATTGATGACAAAAAATATGCGAGAAATGCATTTTATTTTAATCTCTGTTTTGTTTGTGATTCTGAAGCGCGTACAGTTCATTATGAACCGGTTGTAAAGAAAATGTCCGATTTTTTGGTTAATATTGAAGATAATTATTTAATACATTTATTTTTTTTTATACTTTTATAAAACGGCAAAAATTATTCTCTATTAATTAATAATATTTTCCAAAAGTAATTATTTAGCACATTTATTTAATTATTTAAAAATTTTTTTTAATATTATTTTCTAAATTCAATTATTTTTTTTTTTAAAAAAAGAGAATCTATTTTTTTAATTTCAAACAAAAAATAAATTGTAAAATAAAAATATTGTAAATTGTAAAATATATATAATTTTGTTTTAATAAATTTAATTCTAGATGGCTTTAGAAATTGAAAATAGATTTCTCTCAGCTTCCGAGGATAAAACACGACTTGCTGAAATGTTGAGACACGTGATGCAAGATTTAAATTTACATAAAATGTGCACACTAACTGGTAAGGATCGCAATTTAATTTCGAAAATAATTTTGATTATTAGATATTAAAAACAAAAAATTGAATATATCAAAATGTTACGCAAATAAAAAGAAATTTGATTTAGATATAAAAAAAATAGATTTAAATCGGATTTCATTTCTTTACAAAAAAAAAATCGGATTTAATTCGAAAAAATCGTATTTTTGAAAAAAAAATCAGATTTGAATCGAACAAATCGGATTTATTATTAATTAATCAGCTCTAATATTGTAGACATTATAAATCAATTTTTTTTTGTTCAATTGTTTTAATAGAAGGAACGATGACATCGCATTTAAAAGTGGTGCGATTGGCACCTGAACCACAGCCAGTATTAGATCATCAGGTGCCAATATTTTTGGAAGGACGCGAAGCATTTCGCAGCGATCAATGGGATTTAACAACTCAACAAGTATTGCCATACATTGATGGATTTAATCATGTTTCGCGAATTGCCGTTGAGGCCGATGTCGATAATAATCTCGTCAAAAGTTGTGTTCAAAATCTCGTGTAAGATTTTTATTATTTATATTTTTTTTAGGAGGGAAGTGGAAAATCTGCATAACCCTGGAGGCCTATTTCCAAGTCAGATACCTGGAGCTCGTATTCTCAGATTATGTGGCGATGACCGTTCTTGTTCTGTCCGACCCACTAAAAACCACAACCTTTTTGAGACTTTAACTCTACTGGCGGAATCTCAGCTTCTCCACCGAAGCGGTACTTAGCTAAATGGGTAAAACCCTCCTCACCCCTTTTTTGTCGCCTTTTACGACATGCAGTGGGCTACAGGCGCTCTAATCTAAAGCGCCACGGCGAAGTAGCCAACTTCACTGTGTTTCCTAACTAACCATGTAGCGTGAAGGGGAATCAGGTCCACCTACCTTTAGACTCCCAATCCCATCTCTCCTGCCATTTCTGAACGAGTCTACTTCTGGACTCTCTGTGTATTATCGCTTTGAGTCTATCGCTATGCTCTGAAGTACCCGCCAGATCTTTGTTAAGATGGAAGATCTCCTTCCCTTTTATTGTCAATAAATTAATTGGCGTTTATCCAGCGAGTACCAGAACAGCGCAAGTAGACACCGTTCTGAAGGCTGACACAATTCTCCGTGCCGGTTCTCACTGGACCGCGAGGAGCCTGTCAGAGATGCTATGGAACTTTAGGGCCGAAGCCCAAACAGGGGGAAGCATAAAGCTGCTTTGATTGAACCACAGTTGCCACTAATCTACGTTTCTTTTCCCTGGGGCCACCGATATTGGGCATCATCCTCGAAAGGTTTCCCATGCATTCGGTGGTTTGGAGTGACGAGATGTTAATATGTTGTCCGAAATTCAATCGTTTGTCCAACGTCACTTCCAGGTACTTCAGTTCTGTTCCCCATGAAACTACAGATCCTCCAATTTCTAATCGCGGGAATCGGAAGTCTCTCTGATCTGTGACGAGGCTCGGTTTTCTCGACAGCCATTTTTAGACCATGTCGATTCAACCAAGACCCCATTTGTCGCAGAATATCATCGAGTTTTAATTTGTAAAAGATTTATCTCGTCCCAAAAGCACGTTATCCGCGAACCCGATTAGAAACGTATCTTCCAGTAAGTCCAACCTCAGGAAATCGTCATACATGACGTTCCATATGGTTGGACCCAATATTTTTATAAAGGGGAGTCACAACCTTCATTTTGAATCCTTTACATTTTAATGATCGTAGGAAGATATATATTTTTTTTCTTGCATCATTTGGATCCTATAAACATACAGGATGGTCAAAAAAATAAAATTTTAATTTTTGACCATTTTAGAAATTAATTTCTCAAGAAAAAAAATTAATATTTTAAATATCTATCTTCTTTCTCAATTTTGATTATTTTTCATCGCCAATTTTTTTCCACGCTTTTTTTAATGATTCTTACAAATCTCACGCATGGATTTTTAAAAATTTTAATTTTTTCAAAAAAAAAGAAAGAATTAAACATCATTGCACTCTTCTATTAAATATATATATCTTCTTACACAATTTTAAGTATTTTTCATTGTCAAATTTTTTCCACACTTTTTTTTAATGATTCTTTAAAATCTCTCGCATGGATTTTCAAAAAATATTAATTTTTTCAGAAAATAAAATTCTAAAATGGTCAAAAATTAAAATTTTCTTTTTTTGTTTTTAGAATCCAAATGATGCATGAAAAAAAAAATATAACATCGTTTAATAATTTAAATTTAAGTGGGTCAAAATAAAGGTTGTGACTCCGCCCTTAATATTATTATCAATATTAGTATTATTAATTACTATTTTAATATTTATTTATTATTTTAATTCTTAGTATTTAAAAAAAAAATCATTTTTTTCAGATATTACGGAGTTGTGACATTAATTCCAATATTTCAATACAGTAATGTTTATGCAACAACTCCAAAATTGAAGGAACTGGCTGAGGATTTAAATTTACAGGAAAAATGTATAGAATATTCTTCGAAGAGTCGTGAGAATTTTATTATTATTATTTTTTTTTAAATTACATTTTAACTAAAAGAAAAGAAAAAAGAAATTTTTATCGAATTTAATTATTATTTCTTAATTTTTTCTTTGAAATATTATTATTGATGAAAAATAGAAAAAAGTAGCAGTTAATCTTTTTTCTTTTTTTTTTTACAAAATATTGCCACAATTTGAGAAGGAAATTTTTTTTTCAAAAATTTAATTAAATTAATAAAAGAATTATTTTTGAAACTGTAAAGAAAGATTCTGTTTATTAATTAATTTATTCAATTAGAATATTAATTAATATTATTTTTTTTGTAAAATTTCAAATGTAATTATTCTAATTTTTTTTTTTTTTTATTTTTGTATTTTTTAATTTTTCTTTTTTTTAATTTTTTGTCTTTTTTTCTCTCTCTCCCTTTAAAGCGAGGCAACCGGCATTTTTGAGGGACATTTTTCGAATGTATTCAAATATGACACACGGCAGCAGTATGAGGGATTTATGTCAGAGATTAAATCCCCAGAGTTTGAGAATAAACGAGAGGCGCCTCGTTCAATTTGGTTTAATTGAGGGACTAATTCGTCGCGTTTATAAGGTAACAATTTTTTAAAATATCTCTAATAAATTTAAAAAAAAAAAAAGAAAAAATTAAGTCGAATCTTTTTCGATAAAGAAAAATACAAACAAAAAAACTGGGAAAAAGAAATAGTAAACAAATTTTTGGAAAAAGAAAAATAACAAAAAAAAAATAAAAATCTGACAAGTATATTAAAGAAATTAAAAATTACGAAAAATAGAAAATTAATTAATTTCTTGTAAAATGTAAAAAATGAAATTAATTAATTTCTTGTAAAATGTAAAAAATGAAATTAATTAATTTCTTGTTAAATGTAGAAAATGAAATTAATTTAAACACAGGAAAATAAAGTTTCGAAAATTAATTTTTAAATTTTGAAAAATAGAAATAATAAAATTTCGTAACAAAATATAGAAAATAAATTTAAAAATAGAAAATACAATTTTGAAAATAAATAGAAAAGGAAAAAATATTATTATGTTTAAAAATAAGATAAATTTCAGTTCAAAAATTAAGAACAATAAAAAAGGAAAAATATTGTTTTTATATATATATATATATATATATAGATATATTAATTTTTTTTTTATTATTTAACAGTATCCAATTCGATTACCGGGAACATTGAGTGAGGAATGTAAAAATAATATTCTTTATAAATATTTCACTGGCACTTATAATCTCGATGAAATTTGCTGCTCAACTGGACAAACAGTTGCACAAATTGAAGATCTTGTTGAACGTGATCCCAATGTTGTGATGCTGTGGAAATAAAAAAAAAAAAATTATTCTTTACAATTTATTCAATAAATTCTATAATTTTAGAAATTCAATTTAGTTCAATTTCAATTTACAATAATTTATTTATTATTTTTTAAAAATATTTTATTTTTTAATAGATAGGTACTAAAATATAATATTTTTTTTTTTGAATTTCTTTAATTTTGTAACGAAATTTTTTTAAAAAATATTTTATTTTTTAATAGATACTAAAATATAATTTTTTTTTTTTGAATTTCTTTAATTTTGTAACGAAATTTTTTAAAAAAATTTTTATTTATTTAGTAATGTAAATTTTTTATAATAAATTAAAATCTTAGATAAAAAAGAATTAAAATTTGTTTTTTAAATAAAAAATAAAAGAAAATAAAAATAAAAAAAAAATGTAAAATTAATTAAAATAAAAATAAAAGGAATTTAAAAAAATAATTTCAGTTTTCAAAATAATATTGTACTATGAAAATGATAAATAATAAAATAATAGTACCATTAAAATTAAATTTTTTCTTTATTTTTTTAACCGATTGAAAATTTGGTTCTTTTTGAAAAAATAGGTATTTATTTTAGTATTAAAAAAAAAGAGGAAAAATTCTATATAAAAATATTTATTGACAATCGTACAAAGAATTTTTTTTTTTCAATTTAATAACATATTAAAAAAAAGAGAAAATTAATTTTCTTTTTAAAGTTCTTCACTTAACGAAGTGAAAGCATTTTTTCCGCATCTCCATTTTTAGGAACTTTTAATTATTTTTATTATTTTTATATTTTTTTTTTTTGCAAACAATTTTCTAGAATAAATGAAAGATTTTCATTTTTATAAATTTTAAAGAAAAATTTTCATCGTTTCTTTTTCTTCTTTTTTTTTGTATGATTAATAGTATTTTTTTTTTCTTTAAATTTAATATGATTAATTTTTGTTTATTTTCTTTTTATTTAATATAATTAATTGGTTTTTTCTTCTTTTTTTTTCTATTTAATATGATTGTGTGAAAAAAATAAAAATTTCTTCACCAATGTTCGTGTACTCAAAAATATTGTTGCCTCCTTATTGATATTATAAAATTCAGCGGTCATTTTATCATTGAGTATTGTACTGGAATATTTTAAAATTTGATATTCAATTGGAATTTGTGTTTTATCCATTATTTGTAATTTAATTTTTTCAATTGTATATTCCGCCATAATGTTTAATGTAAAATTTTTTCCACCACAATTAATAAATATTTGTATTAATTTTAAAGCCTCATTATTGTAATTATTAATTTCATGACAATGATGATTTGTCGTTGTTTCAATTTTGGAATTTTCTTCAAATTCGTCAGTTTTCATTGCTGTGAATTTTCGTTTCATTGTGTGTGTTTTTTTTTTGTTTAAAAAAAGAAAAAGGAAAAAATTTCACATTTATAGAAAAAATTGTTTCATAATTTTTTGTTTTGTAATTTTTTATCCCTCCAACGATGAATTTTAATCATTTTTTTTTCTCCTTGCTTTTACTTTTGTTTCCGATGTGTTTGAAGAAAAAAAAAAAATATTTTTTTTTCGATTATTTTTACATTTTCTGTGGAGGAAAAAAAATTGATTTATAATTTCTTTTCTTTATTTATTTTTTTTTTTTTGGTTTATTAATTTAATTTTAATTAATAATTAAAACTTATTCTAATTAACAAAGTTTTTGTATTAAGAAATTTTTATATACAAATTTTGATTATAAATTTAAATCGTAAAATTTAATAACAAATTTTTATTTGATTTATTTAATTTTTATTTTAATTATAAATTTTCATAATTAAAAAATATTAAATAAAAATTTAAATTATAAATTTAAATTGTGAATTTTAATTACATATTTTCATTATTATTTTTAATAACAAAATTTTATTATTAATGTTAATTACAAAATTTTAATTATAAATTTAAATTGCCAATTTTCATTACAAATTTTCATAACTAATATAAATTAAAAATTTTAATTAAAAAATTTTAATTATAAATTTCAATTTTGCAAATATAGTTATAAATTTAAATTGTAAATTTTAATTACAATATTTTAATCAAAAATTGAAATAGCAAATTTTTAATTACAAATTTTTATTAATATTTTTAATGAAAAATTTTTAATGCAAATTTTAATTACAAATTTTAAAAATAATATTTAATTAATATTTTTAATTTTCAAATTTTGATTATAAATTTGAAATGCAAATTTTAATTACAAATTTTAATTATAAATTTTCATAATTAATATAATAAATAAAAATTTTAATTATAAATTTAAATCGTAAAATTTAGTAAAAAATTTTCTTTTAATTATAATTAATTTTTATTTTAATTATTTATTTTCATAATTAATATATTAAATAAAAATTTTAATTATAAATTTTAATTGTAAATTTTAATTACATATTTTCATTATTATTTTTAATAATTAAATATTCGATTATTGGCAATCTTTTTGGAACTCAGTAAAAGTTTATTATTTTTAATTACAAAATTTTAATTGCAAAATTTTAATCAAAAATTTAAAATTACAAATTTTAATTACAAATTTTCATAATAAATTTTAATTATAATTTAAAATTTGCAAATTTTTTTGTTTTTTAAAATTTGTAAATTTAAAATTAATTATTTATATTCAAAAGAAATAAAATAATAATAATAATAATAATAATAATAATAATAATAATAATAATAACTAAAAAAATATGATACAAAAATACAAATAACAAAATTCAAATAATTAAAACAAAAAACAAAATTCAAAAATTCGAATAAAATTTAATTATTTAAATTAACATGTTAATTAATAAATTATTTATAATTTGACGATTAATAACAAAAAGCATATATTTTATTTAAATTAACGTTTATTTATTATTTTATTATTAATGTTTTTATTTTCCGTATCATTTTTAATAAAACCGGAAATAAAATTTCCATCTTTCTATATACTACGAAAAAATCTTAAATACCAACAAAAAAAAATGAAAATAAAATTCCAAATAGATCGAAAAAAAAACAAATTCATATTTTTAGGTTAGAATTCAAAAAAAAAAAAAAAAAAATACAATTTTTAAAAATATTAATACAGTAACAATAGTAAAAAAAAAACAAAAACAAAAAATTACTATATTTTATAGAGAAAAATTTTGATTAGAAAAATAATCATGTTTATATTATAAATTCTATATTAAAATACCTTATTTTAAATGTGACGAAAAAAAAGTAAGGATAGTATTAAAATAAAAGTCATGTGCGTAAAAATAATAATGGAATAAACACCACGTGTTTGGAAAAAGTGCAAAAACTAAATAGATAGATAGAGAGAAAGAGAGAAAGAGAGAAAAAAAAATGTGTAATTAAATTAAGACTAATTTAAAAGATTGTCACGAGACTTTAAATTCTATTGGTCTAGGGTGAAATTATTGTCGTTTATTGGTTCTTATTTTGTTGCACTGCGCATGCACCTTTATTAAGTGCGGGAAAATTTAAAAAAGGGAATTTTTTTTTACAATTTTCCATGAGAAAATTTTTATAAGGTAAAATATATATTTACTATATCCGCATTTAATTTTTACAAAAATTTTTTTATTGCCAATACTATTTTTTTTACTATTACTATTTTATTACTATTTTATTACTATTTGATTACTATTTTATTACTATTTTATTACTATTATTACTACTATTACAAAAAATAAAAATATATTTGGAATAATTTTTTATAATACTGATATAAATATTTTAATATCTTTCTATTTTATCATTTATTATTATCTTATATTTATTGATTTGGATTTATTTAAAATTACGATAGAATTAGATAATTAAAGAGAAATCAAAAATTTGCCGCCACTGCGCGCGCACATAAATTCGATTTATTGAATTTTCGACTTTTGAAATCGATCGATATAACAAATTTTACTTAAAAAAAAAAACTATTTTTATATTTAATATTATTATTTACTGTAAATAATAAAATAAATAATCTATAGAAATTATAATTATTATAGAAATTTTCCAGAAAATATTTTATATTTCTAATTATTAATTATTATTCAACAATCAACAGTTTAAAATTAGTATTTTAAATATCCCGCCATAATATTTTGCAATTTCCTTCAAATTTTTCTATTGGTCGAAAAAATCCCTCCAAATTAATTAAAACAATTGAAACAATTTTTAAATGATTAATAAAATAAATATTATTTCTTTTAAATGAGAATAATTTTTTTTTTAATTCCTTTTTTTTTGTGAAATAAGATTTTATAAGAAGAAAAATGTAAACAGGATTTTTCGATAATAAGCATGGTTATATAGATGGCGTTGCAAAGGCGTCATTATTTTCCATCCGACCACCATTTTTTCCCCGATCATTTCTTGTCTTCTGTATGTCTTTCAACTCAGTTTAATGTATAGTGCTTCTGAAATCCAAAATAATTAAAAGTAATCATTTATAATTTTTCGAAAAAACGTAAGAAATATTTAAATTTCAAACGTGATAATTGTGTTTCAATAAATATTTGAAGGTTAGGAAGCATAATTTCAGAAAAAAAAAGAAATGAATTTTTCTAATCACTGTTTTAGAAATTTGATGCCTGTACAATTTTGTGCAAATTTATTTTGTCTTTTATTTCTCATTAATAAAAACTTATTACCAAGTTGAAGAAAGAAAAAAATCACGGGAAGAAAAAAAAATGTCTCTTTCAATTGGTGAGTAATTTTTTTGTTTCAATTTTTTTTTTTTTTTTTGGTAATTTAATTATATCGCCTTTGGCAGCGGTAAAATGGCTCCATTTTTTTTTTGCTGATATTTATCGTCATAATTATCTTATAATATAATTTATACGTAATATTAATTTTTGAAAATTATATAGTAAAATTCTTGAAAGTAAAAACTAAATTTATTTATTTATTTATTTTTAAATTACTAAATTATTTAGTAAAATTTTTGAAATAGAACTAAATTATGTAACATTTTTTTTTTTGGAAAAAATAGCAAAGAAGTTTTGGAGAAATTTATTTAAAGGGGGAAATTTTTTTTTTTTCTTTTTCAAGAATCGATACTTCTTTTGGTACTAGTGGCCATTTTTTGGGGCGCAACAAATCCTTTTATGAAAAAAGGTGCTGTTGGCATTGAGAAAATAAAAGCATCATCTCGACTGAAGCAGCTAATTCAAGAAACTTTGTTTCTATTTACGAATTTCAAGGTAATTTAATAATTTTCTTATTTTATTTTTTTTTTTGTTATTAAATTGAAAAATAGAAAATAAATTTTATTTCCAGTTTCATGGACCAAAAATTGATTTGGTTTACATAAATTAAATAATAAATAAACAGGGCTGATAAAAATAGTATTTTTTAAAAATTAAAAATTTTTTTTTAAGAAAATCAAATTTTAATTTAAAAAAAATCCTATTTTTATCAAGCCCTGTTTATTTATTATTTAATTTGTGTAAAGCAAATCCATTTTCGATTATTTAAGGCGGAAATAAAATTTATTTTCCATTTTTCAATACTTTATTATTTAATAGTATTTTTTTTTATCAAGTATAAATTTGATATTTTTTAAGTTAAAAAAAAAAAAAAAAAATTCATTTAAAAAATTTTAATTTGATTCACATTCATTTTAAATTACAAAAATCGGATTATACGACATTTTCGATTTATTTTAATAAAATGCGAATATTTTACTATTTTTTTTTTTACATTTTTAAAAAGAAATTTTTAAACAAAATACTTATTTTTTTGTATAAAATTCAGATCTTCTTTAGATTTTCTTTATTTTAATTATTTAACAAATTTTAAACTAAAATTCTTCACTATTAATTATTATTTTTTTTTAATAATTTTAATGAAATTCAATTCATAAATTCAATTATCTTGAAACTATTTTTTAAATTAAAATTTTTATTTTAATAATTTTTTTATAATTCGAAAAACGAAATTAGCAAATAAAATTAGAGAAAATTTTTTAATTCATAATCACTTGAAATTTAATTATTTGCAAAAATTTTAATTATTTTTTTTTTAAAATGATTTTTATAATATTCTTCGAAACTGCAATTATCTGAAAGCATTTTTCAATTAAAAACTTTTGGAATTCAATTTTATTTTTATATGATTTCTAATAAATTCTTCATCAACAGAAATCATTGAAAATAACTCTTATAATTATTGTCTGCAATTTAACACAATCTTTTGAAATTCAATTATTTACAAAAATTTTCAATTTAGAATCAATTAAAATTCAATTATTTTCAAAAATTTCAATTCAAAATCAATTAAAATTCAAATATTTTCAAAAATTTCAATTCAAAATCAAATAGAATTCAATTTTTTTCCAAAGTTTCAATTCAAAATCAACTCAAATTTCTTTAATTTTCCAAAATTTCAATTGAAATTCAATTATTTTCAAAACTTTTTAATTCGAAATCAACTAAAATTCAATTATTTTCGAAAATTTCAATTCAAAATCAATTATTAAAATTCAATTATTTTTAAAAATTTTAATTCTAAAATTATTACAATTAATTTATTTTCGAAAATTTCATTTCAAAATTAATTAAAATTCAATTATTTTCAAAAATTTCAATTCTAAATTTATTAAAATTAATTTATTTACAGAAATTTCAATTCAAAATCATCTAAAATTCAATTACTTCCCCAAATTTTAATTCAAAACCAATTAAAATAAAATTACTTCCCCAAATTTTAATTCTAAACCAATAAAAATAAAATTATTTTCAAAAATTTCAATTTAAAACCATTTAAAATAAAATTATTTTCAAAAATTTCAATTCCAAATTAACTAAAATTTAATAATTTTACAAGATTTCAATTATTTTCAAAAATTTTAATTCGAAATAAACTAAAATTCAATTATTTTCGAAAATTTCAATTCAAAATCAATTAATATTCAATTATTTTTAAAAAATTTAATTCTAAAATTATTACAATTAATTTATTTTCGAAAATTTCCATTCAAAATTAATTGAAATTCAATTATTTTAAAAAATTTCAATTCTAAATTTATTAAAATTAATTTATTTACAAAAATTTCAATTCAAAATCATCTAAAATTCAATTATTTCCCCAAATTTCAATTCAAAACCAATTAAAATAAAATTACTTCCCCAAATTTTAATTCAAAACCAATTAAAATAAAATTATTTTAAAAAATTTCATTTTAAAATCAACTAAAATTCAATTATTTCACAAAATTTCAATTCAAAATCAACTAAAATTTAATTATTTTACAAGATTTCAATTAATTTTAAAATTTTTTAATTCGAAATCAACTAAAATTCAATTATTTTCGAAAATTTTAATTCAAAATCAAATTAAAATTCAATTATCTTCAAAATTTTCAAACTCAAAAGCAACTAAAATTCAATTATTTACAAAAATTTCAATTCAGAATCAATTAAAATTCAACTATTTTCAAAAATTTCAAATTCAAAATCAACTTAAATTCAATTATTTTTGAAAATTTCAATTCAAAATTAATTAAAATTCAATTGTATTCAAAAATTTCAATTCAAAATTTATTGAAATTAATTTATTTTCAAAAATTTCAATTTAAAATCAACTAAAATTCTTTTATTTTTAAAAATTTTAATTTAAAATCAATTATAATTCAATTACTTCCCCAAATTTCAATTCAAAACAAATTAAAATAAAAGTATTTTCAAAAATTTCAATTCAAAATCAACTAAAATTCAATTATTTTCGAAAATTTTAATTCAAAATCAAATTAAAATTCAATTATCTTCAAAATTTTCAAACTTCAAAAGCAACTAAAATTCAATTATTTACAAAAATTTCAATTCAGAATCAATTAAAATTCAATTATTTCACAAAATTTCAATTATTTTTAAAAATTTCAATTCGAAACCAACTAAAATTCAATTTTTTTTCGAAAATTTAAATTCAAAATCAATTAAAATTCAATTATTTTCAAAAATTTGAATTCAAAATTTATTAAAATTAATTTATTTTCATAAATTTCATTTCAAAATCAACTAAAATTCAATGATTTTCCAAAATTTTCAATTAAAATTCAATTTAATTTAAATAATTGCAGCCTTGTAATAAATAATTATTTCAAAATAAATAAAATTTCTAAAAAATACTTAGCATATATTGTAATAAATGTAATAAAAGTTCGATTTTTTTTCTCTTTATTTCCAGTATTTAACACCATTTGTGATAAATCAAATTGGCTCTGTTTTTTACTATTTCACACTACAGAGAACTGATTTATCGTTGGCTATTCCAGTTTCAAATTCATTGACATTCTTAATAACAGCCATAACTGGAAAATTTTTAGGCGAAGGACAAATTCACAGAAGTATGAATATGCATATATTTTATTTACTTTTTTTTCATTTAATTAAAATTTTTCACTAATACTAAAAAATCTAAAAATACTGAAAAATTAAATATAAATTTTTTTGAATAAAATTTAATACTACTAATTGAAAATTTTTAAATTTAGCTAATATTTTACGTACTTTTTTTTACAGATACTTACATTGGAATGTTGTTAATTCTTTCTGGAACGACATTGTGTTGCTTCGATAAGATAAGTACAGTAGAATCAAAATTAGAATAATTTCGATAATTAGAGAAACAAAAATTTATATCAAAATAATGGTTATAATTGTGAAAAAAAATGTTAAATATTTATTTTTATATTATAATAATATAACATATTATTGGTTCTTCAAATTTTTGAACAAAGATTAAAAATGCTATCAGATATTTGTGTGAGAAAGCTAAGGAAAAATTCCTCTTTAACAGCTTCAATATTTATATTATTCCAAAAACTTTGAAATTATTTTAATTTGAAAATATTAATTTTTTCTTTTTAACTTCATGGAATGCGAAATGTTTTCTTAATGAAATATTTCATTTCTAAATAATTACGCTACTTTGTAGCAATATTAACTCATTACTAAGAGCACGTTTTCACCGTGTGGTTTAAATTTAATCTTTTCTGAAGTTGAAGACAGGAGAAATATTCTGCGTTTGCGCAAAAGTTGTATACAAACATTTTTGCGCAGACGCAGAATAAATCTACAGCCTTTAATCTCTCAATAGATTAAAATTATCCTCACGGTGAAAACGGTCACTAAGGATAATATTCCTTTTGTCCTTGTACTAGATTTTCCCACCAGCAAAAGAGAATTTTCCAAAAAAAAAGCCAAGTTTCTTGATTAACATGGCCTCATTAATATTGTCGATTAATTTTTAGTCTTAATATTGCAAAACCACGTTTATTTGCAAAGAATAACTAAAAAAAATTTATCGTACAATACTCACCAAAAAAAACCAAAATATTCTCATCGTAAACTTGCGTTATACTTTCATGCAATTACGATTTGAACTTTGGTTGTCAAAAATATTAAAAATTTAATGTTTTAACACCCTTTATTTCTCCATGCAACTACGATTTGGTCTTCTAATGACTAGTTTTTTAAATATTATATTCACTTTCATATTCATTTATTTAATTATTTCATTGTTTCTGGGTTAATACCAAAAATATTTATTATAATAATCTTTATAACTTTCATGAAATTACGATTTGGTCTTCTAATTTAATCCTTTTAATATTATATCAGATTATATTCACTTTTTTTATTCATTTCTCTCATTGTTTATGGATAATAACAAAAAGTTTAATAATAATAATGTTTCGAGGCCTTTTACAGTTTAAAATTATCAATTTTACAACACAGTTCGATAAAATTTTAACAAAATAAAAAGGTATATTATAATTATATTATATGGGGAAATCTCACGAGCTGGTTACAAATTGCGTACTGCGATATCGGTGCCGCAAAAAATCTCCATATTGTCAATTCACATTTAATTTACATTTTTCAATACTACTCACGAGTGTGAAAAATAAAAAATGGTCACTGAAATCGAAGAAATAGAGAAAATCCTGATGTAATTCGCATTAAATCTAATTTTCATTTAACGATAACTTTTTGAGCAATCGTTTTTAATGCTTAGGGTTTTTCGACGAGCACAACAAATTATACGTAAAAAATGTACATATCCTTTTTGTAATTTGTTGTTTTAGTTTAAATAAATATGTGTGAAAAATGCTCACCCCTAAAATTAACATTGAGGGTTTATATTGAACAATTTTTCACGAGAAAATTGGTTCATTAGTCTATTTAAAGTGCCCTTGAAGAAAAAAATATATTTGAACGATCCCGGGTGGAATTTTGATGAATGTAGGTTTAGGCAAATGTAAGGGGGTGTTTTTTAAAGGGTTGTAAAGTATTGTAAATTTTCGAAAATTAAAGAGATAAGTAAAATTGCTCTAAAATATCAAAAAAATCTTGTCTGGTACTAATAAAATTTTTGAAATTTATATGAAATGGTTAATTTCGATATTTTTTCCAATTTCAATTTTCGTCCATCTTTCGCCACAGAGATGATTTTTTTCTTGGAGTAGCTTTTCTGAGTATAAAACGATTGATATCAATAAGGATATCATCACAGTAAAAATAAAATCTTCTATAAAGATTACTCGTAAGTTTAATCAGTCTTAAAAATCAAGATAGCTTTAATTTAAATGGAAATTAGTGTGTATCTTAAAATAAAACTCATTTTTTCCTTCTTGAAATAAAATTCTATTTTAATTGTGAACATGTTTTTACGTTTAAGATTAAGGAAAATGGAGTTAGGAACTTTGTTTAAAAATATTTTCTCTTAAAAATACGTTTTACCTGCACAAAAATTAAAAATATGGTTTAAATCGAGTAGCTATTAAGAAATATGAATTACGCGGGTAAAAATTTACTTATATTTGGTAGAAAAATAATAATTTATGGTAGAAAAAAGTGTCCCACTAAATTGAAAATAATTTTTTTTTAAACAAAAAGAACTCAGCTCGTGAGATTTGCCCATATATTTATTATTTCTCAATAATAATAATGTATAATGCTCTTGACTATTTGAATGACCTCAAAACATCATCAGAAATAGAAATGTTCGTTTCTATTTAATAATCTGCTTTGTTATCAACCAAATCGAAATTTGTGACGGAATATCTAAAGGAACTGTCAATTTTTAAATACGATTATGAATATCAGTTAAATCATTAACGGTTGAAGCTATTTTTAAACTTGTACCTCTAACTCGAAGGGTATCTACTATTGTAAACGTCAATTCATGTATTATCTATTTATTATAATAACCTTTAGAACTTTCATTCAATTACGATTTGGTCTTCTTAAAAAACGTTTTTTTTATATTATATCAGATTATATTCACTTTTATATTAATTTATTTCATTGTTTATGGTTAATAATAAAAAGGTGAATTATAAATATATTATATATTTATTGTAATAACCTTTATAACTTCCATACAATTACGATTTGGTCTTCTAATGACAACCCTTTTTTATATTATATCAGATTATATTCACTTTTATATTCATTTCATTCATTGTTTATGGTTCATAATAAAAAGGTTTACTACCTTTAATTTCTCCATGCAATTACGATTTGGTCTTCTAACGATTGCTTTTAAATATTATATTCATTTTTATATTTATCATAACTAATATTTCATTTTCCTCATTGTTCACGGTTTATAATCTATAATAAGGTTGAAATGCTCTACCTCTGATGCGGGGCTGCCAATCTAAATTACCTGATTGGCTCAATTTTTTATATATTCTGAAATCTTTGGTATTATTTAAAATATAATATTCTCCTTAATAAAAATATCTTTACATATTGATGTAACAGAGATCTAAATCCATTCAATTACGATTTGTCTTCATAAGAATAACCTTTTCATGACATACATAATTAATTTTATTTGATAATTCATTGTTATTCATTCATCACTTAACGAGAAAAAATTAATATAATTATTATTTGGATTATAAATATTAATTATTAATATTGAACCAATTTAAGAAAGGAGATGTTATGTTTTTGTTCATATGTATCTTATATACTTGCGGCTCTATCACTATCTGAAAGCAAAAGAAGTTTAGAGAGTTAAATGTTTAAAATTATAAATGTATGATAAAATAATAAACAGCATTTGAAATCTACTTTTTATTAATTATTATCTTTGTTCAAAAGAAAAGAAAAAAAATGTATGTTATTGAAGAATCAAAAGTATGGCTGGCTTCCATGTTTTTGTAATTTACAAATAAAAAATGTAAATAGTTTTGTAAATTAGAATTATAATTGAACATGTAAGAAAATAAGTATAACTCTAAAAAATTAAAGAAAAAATTTTTTATTTGTATTTTGTTGCATATTTTTATATCTACGAAATTTTCATCTATTTTTTCTTTTCGTTAATTAAATAACTTCAATAAATATAATATTTATTTCAAAAGTAAATTTTAGATTTTTTAGAGTTATGCCTTTTCTAAATTTTTTCTCTCTGTAAATATGAAATTTCATTTTATTTCTAAATATGTATATATTTTTTAAATTTTGGTTTAATTAACCGAAATAATTGATTCGCCAGCCCAATGACTGCCATTTTAAATTGATTTAAAATTTCATTTTATACAACAATAAAGTGCGATTATAATGAAATTTGTATTTTAAAAAAAATATTTACATATATACATACTACGATTTAATAAATAGTACTATTATTCAATAAATTATAATTTACTAAATTTCATGTTGTATTTTCTTTATTACTCTCCCATTAAAAATCACTTACTTACAATTTATTGTAACAGAATAATATAAAAAAAGTTTTCTTGACAATTTTCTTTTTCTTTTATTTATTACATACAAATAGCGAATAAATATGAATTTTTTACAATGATGTTTCATCAGTCTTAATTCATTATTTTTGACAATCGCTATTATGCAGGTAACGGCACTTTTAATGTTATTATTAGATATATATATATTTATATAAAAAGTACAAATCTCTCACTACAATATTCTATTCTCTTGTTCATTGAATACGCCTGAATAAGCTCTAAAATACAAAAAATTTTCATATAAACATAATTTTTTTACAATTTTAATGTCTCAAATTTAATTCTAGCCGAATTATTATTTCTACGGATTATTATTATTATTATTTAATTCATTTAACAATCTGTAGTATAGAAATGACGATATAAAAAATTACCGACATAGAAATCTACATTACCGACTGATGGTAAAAAAGCGCAAAATTACCGACATAGAAATCTACATTACCGATTGATGGTAAAACAGAAAAATGGAAATATAAAAAAGTACCGACATAGGAATCTACATTACCGACTGATGGTAAAACAGGGAAATGAAAATGTAAAAAATTACTGACATAGAAGTCTACATTACCGACTGATGGTAAAACAGGAAATGGAAATATAAAAAATTACCGACATAGAAATCTACATTACCGACTGATGGTAAAACAGGAAAATGGAAATATAAAAAATTACCGACATAGAAATCTACATTACCGACTGATGGTAAAACAGGAAAATGGAAATATAAAAAATTACCGACATAGAAATTTACATTACCGACTGATGGTACTATCAGTCGGTAATGTAGATTTCTATGTCGGTAATTTTTTTATATTTTCATTTTCCTGTTTTACCATCAGTCAGTAATGTAGATTCCTATGTCAGTCATTTTTTATATTTAATTTTTAAAAAATTTTCTTTACCATCAGTCGGTAAGGTAGATTTCTGTGTCGGTAATTTTTATATGGATATTTTTCGGTTTTTACCATTAGTCGGTAATGTAGATTTTTATGTAGGTAATTTTTATATTTTTCTTTTTAAAAAATTTCTTTACCATTAGTCGATATTGTAGATTTCTATGTCGGTAATTTTTTATTTCATCATTTCCATACTACAGATTGTTAAATGAATTAAATAATAATAGTTCAAAGAAATAAAAATTCGGCTCAAAAATAAATTGGAGACAATCCAATTCTGTTAAATGAAAATTGTAATAAAATTGAATAATTTTTTTTAGAACTTATGCGTCTCGTTGATTTAAATAAAATTAAAACTATCATTTGAATAAATAGTAACATTAAATACTGATTTACAACTTCTCTTCTTCTAATATGAACAAAATTATTATGCTTTAATTTGCATTATAAATTAATGTTAATTGTAGATATATACATGTACTTGATATGGCAGTGATGTTGCTAATTACATATTTATCATTATTATTATTATTATTATTATTGGTATCTCTAACCAATAAGAATCCACTCAATCCCTTCTTTTCTTGTTTACTTTTTTTTAATTAAAAAAAATACGATTTAGCATCTTTTGGCTTCGTTTTAAGTCTTATAATCTGCTGTGTAAATACCGTAACTTTTTTTTTAGTTTATGTTTCTCCTTCCAAAAAATAGAGATTAATATTATGGAAAAATTTTATTAATTAAAATTATTATTTCTATTAAATTTTCTATAATTTTAATCTTTATATTTTTCTAAAAGGGACAACATAACCTAAATAAGAAAAAAAAACAAGTTAGTTTTTCACGGCAGTATTAAACTCTATTTTTCGGACGTTAGTGTTTTTTATGGCACTATATATAGATTGGATCTCTACCGAAGTGCAATCTTTGGAAACTATATATATATATATAAATATTCATCGAAGAAATTTTTTTTTCCTCTTCATTGAACTGGACACGAACTAAGATGAATATTGTGCAATTCGGTCATGTCCGTCCAATCTCGTCGTTCTCCACCAATCATAACGTTTCTTATGCATCCATTAAAATGATCGCGTGTCATTAATGTTCCCTTCGGCGTTGTAGCTAAAAAAAAATTTAATTTATTTTTATTATATTCGCCGAAAAATTTGTGTTTTTTTAAATTTTAAAGTTAAATTATTAATTATTTTTTTTTTTACCTGGTAAACCTCCAATGTAAAGTGGACTCGCTGCCGTATCATCGAGAGAATGATAATTAATATTTGCAGGAAGACCATATTTTTGATCCAAATCATCAACTTTGAGTGCTAATTCTTCATCATTGTAAACAGCTTGTATTTTGTGCCATCTATTGTCACAAACTGTGTAAGAACTTGAAAAACGTTGCTCAACATAGAGAGGATTATTGTCACCGAGATCGGCGGACATTATTACTTTTCCATTATTCAATTCCAAACTCATTGATGGTGAGCCACTTGGCGCTGTTATTGATAGTAGTACACCAGAAAGTTCCGATGTTTTAAATTCAAGTTCCAGTTCCAAGCTTCCTTCTAGTTTAAAGTCTTTTTCTACATTAAAGAAATGTTTTCTTTTTAAAAAATAAAATTTTGTAAATTCGTAAAGTTTTTTTTTCGAAAATTCGTCTAAAATAGTGATTATTTCGAATAAAATAGTTTAAAATAAGAATAATTAACGATTTTCTTTGGGAAATTCAAAAAAATTGTTTTTTTTGTTTCAGATATGACTATGGACACACGAAAAAATGAAGTGGTTTTTAAAAAACAAGGTTTGTTTTATATTACTGATGAATAACAAATAAACATTAAAAAACAATACTCGAATTTGAATGTGGGGCTGACTAATCGCTTTTGAATATTATTAATTCGTTAGTATAAAAAATTTTTTTTTGTACTAATTTAACCATGCCGATTTGTTTACTAAATAAATTAATAACAGCTTTGACTAACTTACAAGACTTTTTATATAAAATAATTTTAATTTAACGGAATATTCAATTGAATTTTGTTAAAAATCCAGTAGTTAAAAATTTTATTATGTTAAAATTCGTATAAAAAGAAATTCCGTCAAATTTTTATTCGAAAATTCTTCTTAAAAATAATTATTTCTAAAATACTTTATAATAAAAATTCTGATTAACGTTTTTTATAAGAAATTTATCCCAATTTTTATATAAATATTTTCTAATTAAATAAAAAATAAATAGAAAGTAGGAAAATTAAAATTTTTAAAATTTTACTCACTGTAAATTGCGTAGGCTTCGTCTTGAAAATAGGCTCCACTCTCAACATTAGGAAAACATTGTCCAACATTGTAGGCCCTACTCGTTGATCCAACCATATCGAAAATATTTCCATTCAATCTCAAACCACGAATGCATCCTTTTAGAGTTTCTAATTTAGCCACAGCTTGCTCGGGCAATGGTGTTCCACTTTCTGGTAAACCGCCAATGTACATCATTGACGCCAAACCAATTTTTCTTGGTATTTTTATTGTTCTTGGCGTTTGTGAATCAACGATCAATGTTAATTTCCTCTCCTCATGTCGTATTACAACGTGATGCCAATTTCCATCATTTAATGGGGATTTAAAAATAATTTCCTTTTTGTGACGCGCTTTTATTTGTAACGACAATTGTCCGTCGCGTAAAACTACCATTAAATAGGGTTTTTGTTTTATTCCCTGAAAAAAATTTTTTTTAAATAAATTTTTGCATTTTTAAATCTATTTTGCAATTTTTTTTTACTTACAGGAGTAATAAAGAGAATTCCATTAGGATAATAAGTACGAAAATCAAATTCAATTGCATATTTTTTCTCCCAGAATTTTTTAATTGCAATGTAAAATTGTGTATGACTATGTGATTTGTCGCCAAATTTAAGTGCACCAGGCTCAAGGGAATAGTAGGGAACTTTTTGACATCCCTCAGGTTGAGTGGACATTCCCCTTGATAATGATGCCGAAGGTACGTAAATTGGAGGATCTTTTCCCATATTGGGACCACTTCTTCCAATTTGAGCGTGATCGAAATTTGTCACTTCATCAAATCTAAGAATCCTGAAATTATTTTTTTTTTAGTATTAAAATTTCTAATTATTTTTTTTTTACTCCCAATTATTACTTACTCTTCGTTGATTAAAACATCTCTTATTGCACCATAAAGTGGTACAGCGGTTGAAACCATTTTTGTATTATTTATTAATGCCGGAAGTCCACCAAAATATAATCCACCATTTGTATCGGGTGCTTTTATTGCAGTTCCAGTTGGTAATTTTCCACTACCTTGATAAGAATCATCAACTCTTAATTCAATTTCTTTTCGTTTTTTACTAATAAGAATCGAATGATATTTTCCATCATTGTAAGTTTCATTTGATTGAACAATTATTTCTCCTTTACCACCATTTAATCGAACTTGTATATGTCCCTTGATTAGGACAATTGAATAATAATTATCCTTCTAGAAATCGTAAAAAACAAACAATTTAATTATCTATTATTTATATTCAAATTTCTATATTTTTCTACTTACATTCGAATCGTTTGTACTTTGCTTTTCTTCTTGACCTTGGAATGTTGACAATAAAATCATAGCGTCTTTTTGTAATGTTCTAAATGAAAAACTTATCGTTGATGATATTTTCTTAAGACTAATTGCTGAATGTTCCAAGTAACCATCACCGTAAAATCCAACAATTCTAAGTGGCTGAAATCGAAAAAAAGGAACCAATTAGCAAAGTATTAGTATAGTAAATTATAATATGAATTTTCAATTTTTTTTTGTTTCAGATATAACTTATGAAGAAAGAGAATTGAAGAAAAAGTAAAGTGGTTTTTAAAAAACAAGGTTTGTTTTATATTAATGATGAATAATGAATAACAAAAAAGAAACAATACTCCACTTTGAATCAGTGGCTATTTACTATTTTTGAATAAAACTTACCCTATTGCCACAGCTAGGCTCGATGCCGTAATATTTTTCCGCCAATGGATCGTAACCCTCTTGTACGACAATATTTGACATACAACCAAGAAATGAAACTGGTCGTGGTAAAATTAAATCTTCATTTCTAAAACTTGGTGGTACACCGCCAATGTAATATTTTGCTTCTTCAAAATCGGGAATGTCTTCTTTTTTTGGCTGTGGCGTTGGTACTACTAATTTTTTATCATTATCACCACCAACACTTAGAATACATTTTTCAATATTTTTACGCGATTGATATTGTCTAAATGCATCGACTTTTGTCCAATTACCAGTGTTGTATTTATGATTTGAATACATTTCCATACTGACATTACCACCATAGCCAATATGTAAAAATACACGTCCCTCACGAAGAAATATCATTACATGTTGATTCTAGGATGCAAAATTTATGATTAAATTTTCAATTAAATTTACAAGAAAATTCACAATTAAATTTACAGTTTAGTTTATAATAAAATTTTTAATTAATTTTAGAATTAAATGAATGTAGAATGAAAATTTCAATAAAAAATACTAATTAAAAAAAAGATATAGATAAACAAAAAATTAAAATTTATTATTTTTGGGGAAAATTTTGATTTACTTACATTTTTTGGATTTATAGCCAAGAAAAGAAGAGCATTCTCATCGAAAGTTCGAAAACTTAGAGAAATTCCAAACGTATATTTATTATAAGGTCCCGATGTTACTCTATTTCTAACGGCGTAACCTTCACCATTAAAACTATAGGCAATGTCATCACGTGGATCTTCAACCCTAAAAAATAGAAATTTAATTATTATTATACAATTACACAATTTTTAGTATTTTCTAAAAATTATTATACAATTATACAATTTTTTTAAAAAAAAATTTTATTTTATTTCTAGTTTCGCGGAATCTATGATTATTTTATTATTTTCTTCAATATTCCTTTTAGATTTCGATGTTTGAAAATTTTTGAGAAAAAAAAAATAATAAGAAAAACTTACCCTTCGACGCAAGCCTGGCAAGCCATATCAGGAGCTGTTGAAACAAAATTCCAAAGACCAATTGTTTTACCATCGAGAATAACTTGATGAACACAACCGGGCAATCCATTTGTTGCTAATAATTCACTGGGTCGTCGTTGAGATTCAGGAACACCGCCCAACCAAATTCTGTCAGTTGCCAATACATCAAAACGACCAAATTCAACACTCGTTGAATTCACTTGCGGAAGATAATTTCCAGACATTGATATTTGTTTATGTACATTTAATTTGCCAACATTTCTTGTTCTGAAAAATTCAAAAATAATTAAGTTACTCAAAAAAAAAATTCTGTTTGTTTGTTTATTTATTTATTATTTTCTTTTTTATTTAAGTATTTATTTATTTTGTTTTTCATTTTATTTTAATTGTTATTAAAGATTTAAACATACCTTTCGGCTTCAATTCGATACCAAAAATTATCTTCCGAATAATCGCCACTTTCCAAAATTTCTGGATGTGTGACAAATCCAGTTCCACCTCCAACATTCCAGATAAATCTTATTTTTCTATCAATCATTTCAAGAGCCATAAAATCATCCTAGAAATTAATTTCAAAACATAAAATATATTTTGTTTTTTTTTAAATTAAAATTAGATTTTTTTTGAAATTATAAATATATTTATTTATAAATTAAAATTACAACATTTTAAAATTATAAAAATTAAAATTTTTTGTTTTATTATTTTGTCCTGTTATTAAAAACTTACATTTATTCCACTTGGAAGATAAAATAGTGAACCTTCCTTTTTGTTTTTTGCAACAGCAAAAGTCATGACAATTGTTGTTGTTGAAGATGGTTGCAAAAATCCTGGCCTATAAGATCGAATGCATTTTTTACCATCTGCTGATTTCAAAGAAATGCGAATCTGAAAAATAGTTATATTATAGTTATATTATATTTTCGAAGTATATTTTTTTCATAAAAATTGTCACAAAATATTTCAAGGCATTATTTAAAATTAAAAATGTAATAATAAATATTTCAAGGGGGATGGTAATAGTTGCCTTAAGGGTAGTAATAGGTGTCTTCCTCTACTCGTATTTGGCTGTCAATTTTTTTCTACACTTTTAGGAGTATTTTGTGCAAGAATATAGATTAAAATCGTCTGCCTAAGAAAAATTGAATTGTTTTGGGAACTTTTTCATGATTTTGGATTTTTGGGTTGGATGAGTTTTTGGTGGTAATAGGTGTCTTCCTCTACTCGTATTTGGCTGTCAATTTTATTCTACACTTTTAGGAGTATTTTGTGCAAGAAAATGCATTAAAATCGTCTGCCTAAGACAAATTGAATTTTTTTGGGAACTTTTTTGTGATTTTGGATTTTTGGGTTGGATGAGTTTTTGGTGGTAATAGGTGTCTTCCTCTACTCGTATTTGGCTGTCAATTTTTTTCTACACTTTTAGGAGTATTTTGTGCAAGAAAATGCATTAAAATCGTCTGCCCAAGACAAATTGACTTTTTTTGGGAACTTTTTCATGATTTTGGATTTTTGGGTTGAATGAGTTTTTGGTGGTAATAGGTGTCTTCCTCTACTCGTATTTGGCTGTCAATTTTATTCTACACTTTTAGGAGTATTTTGTGCAAGAAAATGCATTAAAATCGTCTGCCTAAGACAAATTGAATTTTTTTGGGAACTTTTTTGTGATTTTGGATTTTTGGGTTGGATGAGTTTTTGGTGGTAATAGGTGTCTTCCTCTACTCGTATTTGGCTGTCAATTTTTTTCTACACTTTTAGGAGTATTTTGTGCAAGAAAATGCATTAAAATCGTCTGCCCAAGACAAATTGACTTTTTTTGGGAACTTTTTCATGATTTTGGATTTTTGGGTTGAATGAGTTTTTGGTGGTAATAGGTGTCTTCCTCTACTCGTATTTGGCTGTCAATTTTATTCTACACTTTTAGGAGTATTTTGTGCAAGAAAATGCATTAAAATCGTCTGCCTAAGACAAATTGAATTTTTTTGGGAACTTTTTTGTGATTTTGGATTTTTGGGTTGGATGAGTTTTTGGTGGTAATAGGTGTCTTCCTCTACTCGTATTTGGCTGTCAATTTTTTTCTACACTTTTAGGAGTATTTTGTGCAAGAAAATGCATTAAAATCGTCTGCCTAAGACAAATTGAATTTTTTTGGGAACTTTTTTGTGATTTTGGATTTTTGGGTTGAATGAGTTTTTGGTGGTAATAGGTGTCTTCCTCTACTCGTATTTGGCTGTCAATTTTTTTCTACACTTTTAGGAGTATTTTGTGCAAGAAAATGCATTAGAATCGTCTGCCTAAGACAAATTGAATTTTTTTTGGAACTTTTTCATGATTTTGGATTTTTGGGTTGGATGAGTTTTTGGTGGTAATAGGTGTCTTCCTCTACTCGTATTTGGCTGTAAATTTTTTTCTACACTTTTAGGAGTATTTTGTGCAAGAAAATGCATTAAAATCGTCTGCCTAAGACAAATTGAATTTTTTTGGGAACTTTTTTGTGATTTTGGATTTTTGGGTTGGATGAGTTTTTGGTGGTAATAGGTGTCTTCCTCTACTCGTATTTGGCTGTCAATTTTTTTCTACACTTTTAGGAGTATTTTGTGCAAGAAAATGCATTAAAATCGTCTGCCCAAGACAAATTGACTTTTTTTGGGAACTTTTTCATGATTTTGGATTTTTGGGTTGAATGAGTTTTTGGTGGTAATAGGTGTCTTCCTCTACTCGTATTTGGCTGTCAATTTTATTCTACACTTTTAGGAGTATTTTGTGCAAAAATATGCATTAAAATCGTCTGCCTAAGCAAAATTGAATTTTTTTGAGAACTTTTTTAAGATTTTTGATTTTTGGGTTGGATGAGTTTTTGGTGGTAATAGGTGTCTTCCTCTACTTGTATTTGGCTGTCAATTTTTTTCTACACTTTTAGGAGTATTTTGTGCAAAAATATGCATTAAAATCGTCTGCCTAAGCAAAATTGAATTTTTTTGAGAACTTTTTTAAGATTTTTGATTTTTGGGTTGGATGAGTTTTTGGTGGTAATAGGTGTCTTCCTCTACTCGTATTTGGCTGTCAATTTTATTCTACACTTTTAGGAGTATTTTGTGCAAGAAAATGCATTAAAATCGTCTGCCCAAGACAAATTGACTTTTTTTGGGAACTTTTTCATGATTTTGGATTTTTGGGTTGAATGAGTTTTTGGTGGTAACAGGTGTCTTCCTCTACTCGTATTTGGCTGTCAATTTTATTCTACACTTTTAGGAGTATTTTGTGCAAGAAAATGCATTAAAATCGTCTGCCTAAGACAAATTGAATTTTTTTGGGAACTTTTTTATGATTTTGGATTTTTGGGTTGGATGACTTTTTGGTGGTAATAGGTGTCTTCCTCTACTTGTATTTGGCTGTCAATTTTTTTCTACACTTTTAGGAGTATTTTGTGCAAGAAAATGCATTAAAATCGTCTGCCTAAGACAAATTGAATTTTTTTGGGAATTTTTTTATGATTTTGGATTTTTGGGTTGGATGACTTATTGGTGGTAATAGGTGTCCTCCTCTACTTGTATTTGGCTGTCAATTTTTTTCTACACTTTTAGGAGTATTTTGTGCAAAAATATGCATTAAAATCGTCTGCCTAAGCAAAATTGAATTTTTTTGAGAACTTTTTTAAGATTTTTGATTTTTGGGTTGGATGAGTTTTTGGTGGTAATAGGTGTCTTCCTCTACTCGTATTTGGCTGTCAATTTTATTCTACACTTTTAGGAGTATTTTGTGCAAGAAAATGCATTAAAATCGTCTGCCCAAGACAAATTGACTTTTTTTGGGAACTTTTTCATGATTTTGGATTTTTGGGTTGAATGAGTTTTTGGTGGTAATAGGTGTCTTCCTCTACTCGTATTTGGCTGTCAATTTTATTCTACACTTTTAGGAGTATTTTGTGCAAGAAAATGCATTAAAATCGTCTGCCTAAGACAAATTGAATTTTTTTGGGAACTTTTTTGTGATTTTGGATTTTTGGGTTGGATGAGTTTTTGGTGGTAATAGGTGTCTTCCTCTACTCGTATTTGGCTGTCAATTTTTTTCTACACTTTTAGGAGTATTTTGTGCAAGAAAATGCATTAAAATCGTCTGCCTAAGACAAATTGAATTTTTTTGGGAATTTTTTTATGATTTTGGATTTTTGGGTTGGATGACTTTTTGGTGGTAATAGGTGTCTTCCTCTACTTGTATTTGGCTGTCAATTTTTTTCTACACTTTTAGGAGTATTTTGTGCAAGAAAATGCATTAAAATCGTCTGCCTAAGACAAATTGACTTTTTTTGGGAACTTTTTCATGATTTTGGATTTTTGGGTTGGATGACTTTTTGGTGGTAATAGGTGTCTTCCTCTACTCGTATTTGGCTGTCAATTTTTTTCTACACTTTTAGGAGTATTTTGTGCAAGAAAATGCATTAAAATCGTCTGCCTAAGACAAATTGAATTTTTTGGGAACTTTTTTATGAATTTGGATTTTTGGGTTGGATGACTTTTTGGTGGTAATAGGTGTCCTCCTCTACTTGTATTTGGCTGTCAATTTTTTTCTACACTTTTAGGAGTATTTTGTGCAAAAATATGCATTAAAATCGTCTGCCTAAGCAAAATTGAATTTTTTTGAGAACTTTTTTAAGATTTTTGATTTTTGGGTTGGATGAGTTTTTGGTGGTAATAGGTGTCTTCCTCTACTCGTATTTGGCTGTCAATTTTATTCTACACTTTTAGGAGTATTTTGTGCAAGAAAATGCATTAAAATCGTCTGCCCAAGACAAATTGACTTTTTTTGGGAACTTTTTCATGATTTTGGATTTTTGGGTTGAATGAGTTTTTGGTGGTAATAGGTGTCTTCCTCTACTCGTATTTGGCTGTCAATTTTATTCTACACTTTTAGGAGTATTTTGTGCAAGAAAATGCATTAAAATCGTCTGCCTAAGACAAATTGAATTTTTTTGGGAACTTTTTTGTGATTTTGGATTTTTGGGTTGGATGAGTTTTTGGTGGTAATAGGTGTCTTCCTCTACTCGTATTTGGCTGTCAATTTTTTTCTACACTTTTAGGAGTACTTTGTGCAAGAAAATGCATTAAAATCGTCTGCCTAAGACAAATTGAATTTTTTTGGGAATTTTTTTATGATTTTGGATTTTTGGGTTGGATGACTTTTTGGTGGTAATAGGTGTCTTCCTCTACTTGTATTTGGCTGTCAATTTTTTTCTACACTTTTAGGAGTATTTTGTGCAAGAAAATGCATTAAAATCGTCTGCCTAAGACAAATTGACTTTTTTTGGGAACTTTTTCATGATTTTGGATTTTTGGGTTGGATGACTTTTTGGTGGTAATAGGTGTCTTCCTCTACTCGTATTTGGCTGTCAATTTTTTTCTACACTTTTAGGAGTATTTTGTGCAAGAAAATGCATTAAAATCGTCTGCCTAAGACAAATTGAATTTTTTGGGAACTTTTTTATGAATTTGGATTTTTGGGTTGGATGACTTTTTGGTGGTAATAGGTGTCCTCCTCTACTTGTATTTGGCTGTCAATTTTTTTCTACACTTTTAAGAGTATTTTGTGCAAGAAAATGCATTAAAATCGTCTGCCTAAGACAAATTGAATTTTTTTGGGAACTTTTTTGTGATTTTGGATTTTTGGGTTGAATGAGTTTTTGGTGGTAATAGGTGTCTTCCTCTACTCGTATTTGGCTGTCAATTTTTTTCTACACTTTTAGGAGTATTTTGTGCAAGAAAATGCATTAGAATCGTCTGCCTAAGACAAATTGAATTTTTTTTGGAACTTTTTCATGATTTTGGATTTTTGGGTTGGATGAGTTTTTGGTGGTAATAGGTGTCTTCCTCTACTCGTATTTGGCTGTCAATTTTTTTCTACACTTTTAGGAGTATTTTGTGCAAGAAAATGCATTAAAATCGTCTGCCTAAGACAAATTGAATTTTTTTGGGAACTTTTTTGTGATTTTGGATTTTTGGGTTGGATGACTTTTTGGTGGTAATAGGTGTCTTCCTCTACTCGTATTTGGCTGTCAATTTTTTTCTACACTTTTAGGAGTATTTTGTGCAAGAAAATGCATTAAAATCGTCTGCCTAAGACAAATTGAATTTTTTTGGGAACTTTTTTATGATTTTGGATTTTTGGGTTGGATGACTTTTTGGTGGTAATAGGTGTCTTCCTCTACTCGTATTTGGCTGTCAATTTTTTTCTACACTTTTAGGAGTATTTTGTGCAAGAAAATGCATTAAAATCGTCTGCCTAAGACAAATTGAATTTTTTTGGGAACTTTTTTGTGATTTTGGATTTTTGGGTTGGATGACTTTTTGGTGGTAATAGGTGTCCTCCTCTACTTGTATTTGGCTGTCAATTTTTTTCTACACTTTTAGGAGTATTTTGTGCAAGAATATGCATTAAAATCGTCTGCCTAAGAAAAATTGAATTTTTTTGTGAACTTTTTTGTGATTTTGGATTTTTGGGTTGGATGACTTTTTGGTGGTAATAGGTGGCTTCCTCTACTCGTATTTGGCTGTCAATTTTTTTCTACACTTTTAGGAGTATTTTGTGCAAGAAAATGCATTAAAATCGTCTGCCTAAGTCAAATTGAATTTTTTTGGGAACTTTTTTATGATTTTGGATTTTTGGGTTGGATGAGTTTTTGGTGGTAATAGGTGTCTTCCTCTACTCGTATTTGGCTGTCAATTTTTTTCTACACTTTTAGGAGTATTTTGTGCAAAAATATGCATTAAAATCGTCTGCCTAAGAAAAATTGAATTTTTTTGAGAACTTTTTTAAGATTTTTGATTTTTGGGGTTGGATGAGTTTTTGGTGGTAATAGGTGTCTTCCTCTACTCGTATTTGGCTGTCAATTTTTTTCTACACTTTTAGGAGTATTTTGTGCAAGAAAATGCATTAAAATCGTCTGCCTAAGACAAATTGAATTTTTTTGGGAACTTTTTTATGATTTTGGATTTTTGGGTTGGATGACTTTTTGGTGGTAATAGGTGTCCTCCTCTACTTGTATTTGGCTGTCAATTTTTTTCTACACTTTTAGGAGTATTTTGTGCAAGAATATGCATTAAAATCGTCTGCCTAAGACAAATTGAATTTTTTTGGGAACTTTTTTGTGATTTTGGATTTTTGGGTTGGATGACTTTTTGGTGGTAATAGGTGTCTTCCTCTACTCGTATTTGGCTGTCAATTTTTTCTGCACTTTTAGGAGTATTTTGTGCAAGAATATGCATTAAAATCGTCTGCCTAAGAAAAATTGAATTTTTTTGAGAACTTTTTTAAGATTTTTGATTTTTGGGTTGGATGAGTTTTTGGTGGTAATAGGTGTCTTCCTCTACTCGTATTTAGCTGTCAATTTTTTTCTACACTTTTAGGAGTATTTTGTGCAAGAAAATGCATTAAAATCGTCTGCCTAAGACAAATTGAATTTTTTTTGGAACTTTTTTATGATTTTGGATTTTTGGGTTGGATGACTTTTTGGTGGTAATAGGTGTCTTCCTCTACTCGTATTTGGCTGTCAATTTTTTTCTACACTTTTAGGAGTATTTTGTGCAAGAAAATGCATTAAAATCGTCTGCCTAAGAGAAATTGAATTTTTTTGGGAACTTTTTCATGATTTTGGATTTTTGGGTTGGATGAGTTTTTGGTGGTAATAGGTGTCTTCCTCTACTCGTATTTGGCTGTCAATTTTTTTCTGCACTTTTAGGAGTATTTTGTGCAAGAATATGCATTAAAATCGTCTGCCTAAGAAAAATTGAATTTTTTTGTGAACTTTTTTGTGATTTTGGATTTTTGGGTTGGATGACTTTTTAGTGGTAATAGGTGTCTTCCTCTACTCGTATTTGGCTGTCAATTTTTTTCTACACTTTTAGAAGTATTTTGTGCAAGAATATGCATTAAAATCGTCTGCCTAAGACAAATTGACTTTGTTTGTGAACTTTTTCATGATTTTGGATTTTTGGGTTGGATGGGTTTTTGGTGGTAATAGGTGTCTTCCTCTACTCGTATTTGGCTGTCAATTTTTTTCTACACTTTTAGGAGTATTTTGTGAAAAAATATGCATTAAAATCGTCTGCCTAAGACAAATTGAATTTTTTTGGGAACTTTTTTGTGATTTTGGATTTTTGGGTTGGATGACTTTTTGGTGGTAAGAGGTGACTTCCTGTACTCGTATTTGGCTGTAAATTTTTTTCTACACTTTTAGGAGTATTTTGTGCAAAAATATGCATTAAAATTGTCTGCCTAAGACAAATTGAATTTTTTTGGGAACTTTTTTGTGATTTTGGATTTTTGGGTTGGATGAGTTTTTGGTGGTAATAGGTGTCTTCCTCTACTCGTATTAGGCTGTCAATTTTTTTCTACACTTTTAGGAGTATTTTGTGCAAGAAAATGCATTAAAATCGTCTGCCTAAGACAAATTGAATTTTTTTGGGAACTTTTTCATGATTTTGGATTTTTGGGTTGGATGAGTTTTTGGTGGTAATAGGTGTCTTCCTCTACTCGTATTTGGCTGTCAATTTTTTTCTGCACTTTTAGGAGTATTTTGTGCAAGAATATGCATTAAAATCGTCTGCCTAAGAAAAATTGAATTTTTTTGTGAACTTTTTTGTGATTTTGGATTTTTGGGTTGGATGACTTTTTGGTGGTAATAGGTGTCTTCCTCTACTCGTATTTGGCTGTCAATTTTTTTCTACACTTTTAGAAGTATTTTGTGCAAGAATATTTATTAAAATCGTCTGCCTAAGACAAATTGACTTTTTTTGGGAACTTTTTTGTGATTTTGGATTTTTGGGTTGGATGACTTTTTGGTGGTAATAGGTGTCCTCTTCTACTTGTATTTGGCTGTCAATTTTTTTCTACACTTTTAGGAGTATTTTGTGCAAAAATATGCATTAAAATCGTCTGCCTAATACAAATTGAATTTTTTTGGGAACTTTTTTGTGATTTTGGATTTTTGGGTTGGATGAGTTTTTGGTGGTAATAGGTGTCTTCCTCTACTCGTATTTGGCTGTCAATTTTTTTCTACACTTTTAGAAGTATTTTGTGCAAGAAAATGCATTAAAATCGTCTGCCTAAGACAAATTGAATTTTTTTGGGAACTTTTTTGTGATTTTGGATTTTTGGGTTGAATGAGTTTTTGGTGGTAATAGGTGTCTTCCTCTACTTGTATTTGGCTGTCAATTTTTTGCTGCACTTTTAGGAGTATTTTGTGCAAGAATATGCATTAAAATCGTCTGCCTAAGAAAAATTGAATTTTTTTGTGAACTTTTTTGTGATTTTGGATTTTTGGGTTGGATGACTTTTTGGTTGTAATAGGTGTCTTCCTCTACTCGTATTTGGCTGTCAATTTTTTTCTACACTTTTAGAAGTATTTTGTGCAAGAATATGCATTAAAATCGTCTGCCTAAGACAAATTGAATTTTTTTGGGAACTTTTTTGTGATTTTGGATTTTTGGGTTGGATGAATTTTTGGTGGTAATAGGTGTCTTCCTCTACTCGTATTTGGCTGTCAATTTTTTTCTACACTTTTAGAAGTATTTTGTGCAAGAATATGCATTAAAATCGTCTGCCTAAGACAAATTGACTTTTTTTGTGAACTTTTTCATGATTTTGGATTTTTGGGTTAGATGAGTTTTTGGTGGTAATAGGTGTCTTCCTCTACTCGTATTTGGCTGTCAATTTTTTTCTACACTTTTAGGAGTATTTTGTGAAAAAATATGCATTAAAATCGTCTGCCTAAGACAAATTGAATTTTTTTGGGAACTTTTTTGTGATTTTGGATTTTTGGGTTGGATGACTTTTTGGTGGTAATAGGTGACTTCCTCTACTCGTATTTGGCTGTAAATTTTTTTCTACACTTTTAGGAGTATTTTGTGCAAGAATATGCATTAAAATCGTCTGCCTAAGAAAAATTGAATTTTGTTGTGAACTTTTTTGTGATTTTGGATTTTTGGGTTGGATGACTTTTTGGTGGTAATAGGTGTCTTCCTCTACTCGTATTTGGCTGTCAATTTTTTTCTACACTTTTAGGAGTATTTTGTGCAAGAAAATGCATCAAAATTGTCTGCCTAAGACAAATTGAATTTTTTTGGGAACTTTTTTATGATTTTGGATTTTTGGGTTGGATGACTTTTTGGTGGTAATAGGTGTCTTCCTCTACTCGTATTTGGCTGTCAATTTTTTTCTACACTTTTAGGAGTATTTTGTGCAAGAAAATGCATCAAAATTGTCTGCCTAAGACAAATTGAATTTTTTTGTGAACTTTTTTGTGATTTTGGATTTTTGGGTTGGATGACTTTTTGGTGGTAATAGGTGTCTTCCTCTACTCGTATTTGGCTGTCATTTTTTTTACACTTTTAGAAGTATTTTGTGTAAGAATATGCATTAAAATCGTCTGCCTAAGAAAAATTGAATTTTTTTGTGAACTTTTTTGTGATTTTGGATTTTTGGGTTGGATGACTTTTTGGTGGTAATAGGTGTCTTCCTCTACTCGTATTTGGCTGTCAATTTTTTTCTACACTTTTAGGAGTATTTTGTGCAAGAAATTGCAGTAAAATAGTCTGCCTAAGAAAAATTCAATTTTTTTGTAAATTTTTTCTTAAAAGGGGTTGACTTATCGGTGTTAAATAATGTCTTCCTCTACTTGTAACGGGATTTACTAATGGGATGGTGGTAACGCGCATTTACGCGCTTGTGTGTTGCTAGAAGCAATAATAATAATAATAGTAATTATTATTATTATTAATTATGTATGAAGTAAATTCTTATTTATTTTAAGCCGTTTTTAATAGAGAGAAGATGTCTTTTTAAATTTTGTGCCCTATTGGCTTATATTTTTTTAATTACATCAAAATTTGACCCGTTTCGACACGCGTTTTTGTTTTTTTCTGATGAGGATACAGAATACTGTGTCGAAACGCGTCAAATTTTGATGTAATTAAATAAATATAAGCCAATAGGCAGCAAAATTTAAAAAGACATTTTCTCTCTATTATTATTAATTACTATAATTATATATTTTTTAACTTTTTGCCTTGTTTTTGTTAATGAAAATTGAATATTTACCCCATGAGCGGAATTTTTAGCTTCAACAATTTTATTCTTTAATTTTTGCAATTTCTCCGCAAGAGTTCCATTCCATTTATCAAATTCCTGTTGACGTTTTGCCGATGCAGTTGCCAAGCTCAAAAGTTTTTCGTCCGCTCTTTTAATATTATTTTGCGCTTCTGTCACTTAAAAAAACAATTAAAATCAAAATTACAAAAGATTTTTTCTTGTAAAAAAATTTGTAGTTTCATAATTTTTTTTCAAAAATGTTATACTTACATTGTTCACTTGCAAGGCTAATTTTTGAATCACCCTCGCGTTTCAATTCATGTAATTTTGGCCTCAAACCATTGGCTATTCCCTCCTTATAATCATCAACAATTCTTCTTGTCTCTTGTATTGATTCGATAAAATTTTCATTTTTGCTTAAAATTAATTGTAAATCTTCTTGCACTATTAATGAAAATTGATGAAAATTATTAAAATTTATTAAAATTTATTTAAAATAAAATTTTAATTTATGAAATTTTATTCTTTTTTATTTTCTTATTATTTTAACGGTAAATTTAATTTTCATCTTATTTTAATAGTAAATTTAATTTTAATATTATTTTAATAATAAAATTAATTGAAAATTAATTTTGAAATAAAAAAAAAAATTGACTTACATTTTTTCCTTTGATTATGCAATTCTCGTAGTTTAATATTTATTTCATTGTCTTTATTACCAGTGTTGTTTAATGAATTTTTTAAATCAGTGACAGATTGTTTTTGCATTTCAACACTTTGTCTTGATTTTGACAATGGGACAATGTACTCTTTAACTTTATCCAATTGTTGTGTTGATATATCCAACATTTCTCCTGTCACATCAATTAGTGATTTTGTATCTGGTCCATTTGGATAGACCTTGAAAAATCCTTTACAATTATAACATCACTCTTATACAATAAATTAAGTAATTTAGTAATTTTATTTAATTAATACAAAAAAATTATTAAATTATTAAAAAATAATTTAATTTAATAATTTATAATAGAAATAATAATAATACAATAATTAATTTTTGAATTTATTTATCAATACCAAAAAAAAAAAAGATTTGAAAAAAAATATTTACCTTTTCGTAAACATCGTCGGCAATTTTATTCGTTTCTCTCGCAGCGTTTTCAGCATTTTGCAAATTATCGTAAATATTTTTATAAGCTTGACTTGCTTTTAATGGATTTGCAGCTTGATTTCGAGTTTCTGAAAATAAACTGTTCTCGACAAAATTGCCGAGGGAAAAATTTTAAATATTTTTAAAAAATAATTTTGAAATAAAAAAAGAAAAATTAAAAGAATAAGAAGAAAAATTAAAAAAAAAATATATATATAAAATAAATATAAAACAAAAATTTATAAATAAATATTATAATTAGAAAAAAAAAATTTGAAAGAAATATAAATAATGGTAAAATTAGAAAATTGCATTAAAATTGTAAAAAATATAAAGATAATTACTCGACATAACGATCTGCATAATCCGAAAGATTTCTCGCATGATCAACAGCTGGAATTACAAATTTATTTTCATATTCAAAATTTAATCTATAAATTATTTCCTCTTTATCTTTTAAATTTTCCCTCATTTCATTCAATTTTTTCTGCATTTCTGGAAAATCCTAAAACAAATTTTTTTAATAATTAATTTTTTTATTAAAAAAAAAAACTCCCGAGGCTTCGGATTATACGATTTTTTTCGAAAATACGATAATAATAATAATAATAATAATAATAATAATAATAATAATAATAATTGTTATTATATTATTATTATTATTACTAATAATTACTAATAATTACTAAATTTATTTTAAAGTAGATGAAAATCGATTTTATGAAATATAATAAAAATACTATTTTGTTTTTATATTATATCAGATTATATTCACTTTTATATTCATTTCTTTCATTGTTTATGGTTAATAATAAAAAGGTGAATTATAAATATATATTATATATTTATTATAATAACCTTTATAACTTCTATACAATTACGATTTGGTCTTCTAATGACACCCTTTTTTTTATTATATCAGATTATATTCACTTTTATATTCATTACTTATTATTCACAATAATAATAATAATAATTATAATAATAATTATTATTGGTATTAAAAAAAATTTACAATACTGAAAGAAATTAAATAATTTAGTAAAAAAATAAAAATTTATTTTTACCTGAAAATTATTTTCCGCATCAATTACACAACCTCCTGATGCTGCAATTAATTCCTTTCCATCTTTAATCCATTCATTAATTTCTGAATTTAAATTATTTATTTGATTACGATTTACATCGATTTGATTGTATGTTTTATTAAGTTCCGTATAAAGTCCATCGTATGTGAAAAATGTTTCCATTAATTTTTCAATATTTATTTCTAAATCTTCCAATTTTTCACGATATTTTGCAGTTTCTTTTTTTGTTTTTTTTAATTCTTCACTTGGATCATAAAGTGAATTTAACCATTCAATATAATCGGCAAATTCCCTAAAAGAAAAAAAAAACAAAAATTATTCATTATTATTAAATCGCGATATAATTTTAAAAAAATATTTTTCTAATTTAATTAAAATAATAATTACTCAATCATATTTTCCAAAATTCTCCTTTTATTGGGAAAATTAATAATTTTCATATTTTCCAAAATTAAATTTGCCTCCTTTAATGCATGTTCGAGACGAATTTTTTTATTTTCATTTCCATATTGAATTAATTGTGAAATTATATCTGAAAATGAAATAGTATTAGTTTCTTTTTTTTTATTGAATATAAATAATTTTATTAAGATTTAATTAATAATTAATTTACAATATTAAATAATATACCTCTTATTTTCTTTTTATTTTCTTCAAATTCAATTCTAATATTTGTGACATTATTTTGTAATTCATCACTTTTTATTTTTAAAATTCTTGCCTCATTCTCCTCTTCCATAGACTGCAAAAATAAAATTTTTATAATAATTAGAATTTTTTTTTTTTTTTGAAAGAATTTTATTAGAAATAATTATTATATTTTAAACGAATTTTCCATTTTCGAATGTCAAATTTGTCCGAATTTTTATTTCTACGAATTATTATTAATTCATATTATTTTTAAGACACCGAATTTTCATTTGTCCAAAATTACAAACGTCCGAATAAAAAATTGACAAAAAGATTTCGGCGCAATTTTTAAAAATTGACCAATCACGATTTTCTTGATATAATTTTTAATTGGTCAATTTTAAAAAATTGCACCGAAATCATTATGTCCGTTTATTTGGACATTTTTGTAAAATTTCGGAAAAAAAAATTCGGCGTCTTTGAAAAATTCTATCAATTTAAAATTTGTAAAAAAAAATTGAAATTCGGAATTTCTGTCATTTAAAAATTTGAATTTCTAAAAAAAGATTTTGCAAAATTACTTTGTGTAACGATTTTTCCGAATCCTGTAATAATTTTTTAAAATCATGCCTCGGTAGTGTTTCCAATTTTCCTTGTAATTCTTTACGTTGCTTTAAATCTTGTGAAAATATTGTTACATTTGAATCAATGTAAAAAAGTTGTTCCCAAGGTGCGGGAATTTCACCCATTGAAATATGTTCTGTTTCTAATTCCAATTTATTTGTTATGAATTCCAAATCGTCTAACAATAGTCCCGTGCAATTATCATTGCAAGCTGTAAAATTGAAATTAGTTTCAAAATTTTTATTTAAATATCAAATTATTTTTCTATCTCTCTAAATTTATTTACAGAAATAAATTTTTTTTTTAAATATTTGCAAATTTTGTACAAATATTTCGTAAATCAGTAAATATAAATTTGTAAATTTTACAAAAAAAATTGTAAAATTATTTTTGAAAATCAAAATTAATAAAAAAAAAAAAATTTTGAATTCGAATTGCAAACTCACATGTGCAAATATCGTCAATAAAAACATGACGATATGCAGTACACTCTGAGCAATCTCTTCCCGTGGATCCAGATTTACAATTACATTGTCCAGTTTCCTGATCGCATTCATCGCTCGCACTTCCGGCTGAATTACAATTACAGGCTTTACAACTACCACCGGGAATGTTCGGAAACCCATAATAACCATAAGAACATCTCTCGCATCGAGGACCAGTGTAACCTATAATCGCGGAACGTAAAAAAAAGTTTTCAATTTTTCCATTTTTCAGTTAAAAATAATTTTTAATAAATATAATAAATAAATAAATAAATTTGATATTTATTTCGAAAATAAACGTTTGTTGTTTATTAAAATAAATTAAAGAAAAATTTTCTATTTTTACAAAAAAAATTTACCATTTTTGCAACGACAAACAACATCGTTATTATCTAAAACTTTACAGCCTGTTGAAAATTTTTTATCATACTGAGGACATGGGCAAGCTTTACATCCACCAAAATTTGGATCACCATGATAACTTTCGGCACAAATGTTACAATTCGGTCCAGCTGTATTTTCTCTACAATTCTGTGAAAATATAATTTTTGAATAGAAATTAAAATTACAAAAAAGAAAATTTAAATTTATTTTAATTTACAAAAAATAATTACAAAAAATAATTACAAAAAAAAATACTAACCAAACAATAACCAGTTTCGGTGTGACAAATTTCGGATCTTCCGCTACATTGACAACGTTTTGCTTTACCCACAAGATCAATGACAATGGTGGAAACTGCGTTTGTATTATTATTATTATTATTATTATTCTCATGCCATCTATAAAAACCAATGCTTGGATCCTGACACGAGGTGCTGTTATATTCTGGTGGGCATTCGCAAATCTCAATACCCGTTGCCAAAGGCGGAGAATGAGTGGGTGTCAGCACTGCAGCGTCCATTGATGCGTGCAACAACCTGTTACGGATGTATATATATATATATATATAATCGATTTCAATCATCGAAAAACCGGAAAACATCTTTTTTTTTAAAATATTTTTTAAAATCAAAATTTTTCTTTTCTAATTTTTATACGTAAACAAAACAATAGAATTGAAATTAAGAATTTAATTAACTAATTTAATTTAAAATTAAAATTTAATAAAATTTTTATACGATAACAAAACGATAGAATTAAAATTAAAAATTTAATTAAATAATTTAATTTCAAAATTTTACCCAAACATTACTAAATATATTTTACACGGAAAAAAATCGCTACGTTTCTCTAGAATATAGAAAACTTTCGCTGTTTTAGAGAAACATTTCGCTATGCCAGTGAAATTTATCGTTATTCCAGCTAAAGATTTTTTATCCGTGTAAAGTTGATCGATTTTATGAAACATAATAAAAATACTATTTTTTTTCTATTATATCAGATTATATTCACTTTTATATTAATTTCTTTCATTGTTTACGATTAATAATAAAAAAGGTTAATTATAATTATATAATATAACCTTTAATTTCTCCATGCAATTACGATTTGGTCTTCTACTGACACCCCTTTTTTATATTATATCAGATTATATTCACTTTTATATTCATTTCTTTCATTGTTTATAGTTAATAATAAAAAAGGTTTATTATAATTATATTATATAACCTTTAATTTCTCCATGCAATTACGATTGGGTTTTCTAATGACAACCTTTTTTATATTAATATCAGATTATTTTCACTTTTATATTCATTATTTTTTCACTTTTTTCAAAATTATAATTTAAAAAATTCATATACTTACGCCGCCATGGAAAAATCTGTATAATCCGTGGCTCGTAAAAGAATATTCTGCAAATTTTGAAGAGCTACCATTAAAATTTCTCGTGTTACTTTGAAATCAGGTCGATTTTGCAGCTGCCATAAAGATTCATGAAATCTGAAACATTAAAAAAAAAAAAATGAAAATTTCCTACTTGAAAATTTTTAAGAGGGAAAAGAATATTTAATATATAAATTTTAGGTTAATACCTGACTTCATAGTGATTATTATTATTATTATTGTCCGCGTCTTGAAAATGTTGATAATGCTCGAGTATAATTCTGTTATTGCCCTGAATTTGAACGAGCGGATATCGATAGCTTGATGGTAGAGGGTAACCATCATCCGATACCGCAGTAGTGAATCGTAAAAAGCCACCGTAAGAAATAACCTGTAAAAATAATACAATTTAAAAAATAAAATTAACATTTTAGGTTACTAAAATAAAAAAGTCAAATTAGTAAAATAATAATTCTATATAATAATAACAATAATAGTAGTAATAATAATGGTGTTTTTTTTTAATTTACCTTATCAGCCAAAAACGCCTTTGGTAGTTGCCAGTAAAGCGGATATTCAGGCCTGAGATTGGAAGGAAATGTGACATCGCCTTCTGTTTCTGGTATCACTGTCAATCCATTGGTTTTATTTAATCCACGATAAAACGTTGGTAAAATAAATGGCGATCCATAATTTGAAACCTAGAATGAAAAAAAAATTTTTTACAATATTAAATCGTGATTTAAAAAAAAATTTAATACATACCACAATGTCATTCACTGTGTCATTAATATACAAAACTCTGGGTCTTTGTAATCGTCTTTGTCCCCAACTGAGGCCAGCTTGTCGGCAAAGAGTCGTTCTTCCAAAGCAAAAGCACTCGGTGCATCCTTTATGATTGTCAGCCGCAAGACCAAATGTTCCTTCCGTGCACTGATCACATCGACGACCAATTGCATTTTTCTATGTGGAAAAAAAATTATTTAAAAAATTGTTTCTAAAAAATTAACTAATTTAATTACTTACTAAAAATTTAAAAATTTTTTTAGCAAAATAAAAAAAATGAAAATAAATACAAAATGAATTAGCAAAAAAAAAATAATAACCTTGCAGGGACACTGTCCATTGGAGTCACAATCGCAAATTCCCGATTCATTTGGACATGGTAGTGTACCATCGGAATTACAATTGCAAGGTCGACATTTTGGATAACCGTAATAGCCTTTTGCACAATGCTCGCACCTGAGACCATCGAAGCCATCTCGGCATGGGCACTGTCCATTTGGTAAACATTGTGATCTTAAGGAGCCTGGTGTGCAAGCACAAGACTTACAACCAATGCCCGGTTGCAAATCATAGGAACCTGGCCTACAACGATCGCAATTCTCTCCCAAGGTTAAAGGCGGACAAACACAACGTCCCGTGTCCGGATCACATATATGACCCAAGCGATCACAGGGGTCACATTCTGAAAATGAAAAAAAAAATTCCCCCCCATTTAGTTTAATATCTATGAAAATATTAAATAAACATTTATAATTATTCAAAAATTAATTAAAATAGAAAAAAAAAATTTATTTACTACTCCTGCCTTACGTAGAGTTGAAGGAACTAATACATAAAAAGAGTTTAAGAAAAATTATAAATTTTATAAAAAATTAATTAGCAAAATGGAATAGTTAATAAAAAAAAATTGGAAATGTAAGAAAAATAAAGTTAATAAAAGATTAATTAGCAAAGTAAATAAAATTAATTGGGAAAATAAAAAATTTATACTTTATTTATTTATTACTAATTACTAATAAGGAAATAAAAAATATTAATTTAAATAAAAAAATATATACTTTCTTTAATTATTACTAATGTAAAATTAAGCAAAAAATTAATTTAAATGAAAAAATATTTTTTTTTTTCCAAAGTTGATGTTTTAAAGAAAATTTATCATGCAAACTTTACCCTCTAGCACTAAACCCCTCTAAATACTCATGCAATTACGATTTGGTCTTCTAATGACACCCTTTTTTATATTATATCAGATTATATTCACTTTTATATTCATTTCTTTCATTGTTTATGGTTAATAATAAAAAGGTTTATTATAATTATATTATTAATTATAACCTTTAATTTCGAATTACGATTTGGTCCTCTGAAAAAAAAACTTTTGATTTATTATATTATATTTATGACTAATTTTTATTTAAAAAAAAATTTTTAGTTTGTTATTTTAGGAAAAAAAAGAAAACTTCACTTTCTTCAAAACTTTTACACCCTTGCAATAAATTTTCCAGTTTGCTAGTTAAAATAAATAAAATACAATAATAAAATTGAATTATAGAATATTTTTTTAAATTCACAAGTAAAATTAAATTATTTTCTAAATTGTTTTAACTAATAGAAATTGTAAGTCTTTCAATTCAAAAAATTCTTTTTTTTTTGGTGCAAGAGATATATTCAAAGAAGGTTAAAGTCCCGGAGCAATAGGGGATCCAGATCGAGGATAAGAAGTAACAAGGACATTTAGCATATATATATATATATATATATATATATATATATATATATATATATACTATACAGAAATATTAGTGCGACAAAAAGAAAGTCGGGATAATAAATTGTCTTTCAAAGTTGATCACATCTTGCCGAGAGTCCTAATTATTTATCATCATTTTTTTTTCACTGATAAAATAATTTTTTTTTTCAAAACTGAAATTAATTCATTTATTAAATATTTGTATAGTTAATATTAAATTATTAATTATTATTATTAATTAAATTTATTTAACTATATATATTTCTACAGTATTTATCAGAAAAATTGAATTTAGAAAAAAATAATTTAAAAAAAAATAAACTCACCTAAACATCCATTTTCAGAAAATCCATAGTATCTTGGTAGGCAATTATCACATCTAGTACCTCCGACTCCTGGTTTGCAACGACAAAGTCCTGAATTATCATCACATGAACCATCAATTGATCCTAGTGGATCACAGCCACAGGGAGCGCATCCTAAACCAGTTGTTAAGCCCCAATACTCGTTCTATTTGTTTAAAATAAAAACAAAAATTTTTTTCATTAAAAAATAATTTCCTCTCGATTTAAAATTATATTATACTGTTTTAAAAAAAAAATTTTTTTTGTTTCAGATGGCCATGGAAGAGATATAAAAAAAAGTAACGGACGGTTACAAAAAAAGGTTTGTTTTATATTAATGATGAATAATAAATATAAAAGCAAAAAAAAAAACCAGTGAAACAAAATAAAAAACATTAAGAGAAGGCATCTTACGTCAAAAAAAAGTTAGGTTATGTTTAGTGATAGTATTAGCTTGATAGAAAGTATCTTTTTAATTAGGTAAAATCAAAATTAGTTTTTATTTAATTTTTTTTTTGAATTTAATCGAGATTTAAACGTAAATTATTTCTAAAAAAAATTCATAAACATAACCTAAAAATTTTTTAACGTAACGACCTTTTTCTCGTGGAACGTCACATATAATTAATAATAGTATAGTAATAAAAAATAATATTAGAATGAAAATAATAACATACCTGGCAACGATCGCATTGTCTGCCAATAACGAAAGGTTTACATAAACATTGACCAGTTAGCAAATCACATCCCGACGAAGTTGAACCAATAATATTGCATCGACAACCTGTAACATTTAAAAAGAAAAAGAAATGAGAAAATATACTTATTAAAAAAAAATGTGTAATTGTTGAGAATTTTCATATAAAATGCGTGTATATATAATAAGAAATAATTGAGTTGTTATTAGTAAAATGCAAAAATAATTAACAAGGGGCTTTAAAAGACTTGTGTGACGTTGCAAATACGACACAGATTTATGGATATTTTTCATATCCTGCAATCATCTCATTACAAATTGAATTATATATTTAACAATTTATCTTTGACAAGACTTTTATTATAAGATCAACTATATATATATACGCGCGCGTAGCATAATTTCCCTAGAGGCGCAAAATCTATATTTTTTTTATCCTTTTTGCAAATTGGAAACATATTAACGAAAGAAAATTGTGACATGATAATAATGTTAAATCATAATCTTTATATTTATAATACATTATTATTTCTTGCTCAATAGGTATATATATATATATGAGAGAAAAAGAGAGGGAGAGACATATTATTGCCTTGTAAGACAAGTCTTAAGTAGTGCAATCCTTTCTTGGTCAGACGTCAGCTTATCATTAAATGAACGATTTATGTCCCTTAGTGTTTTAATCTTAAATGATGATCGGATTAAGAGTTAAATAAAAGATGAAAAAAAAATTTCAAATATAAACAAGAATAAATTTAAATATAATTGTTTTTTTTTAATTACTAAAATTAATATGGTGGACCATAAAAAATTAAAATTTACTACCGAAGACAAAGATGAAAAAAAAAAAATTATAATTTTCATTAAACTTTACCCTCCAGCACCAAAAAAAAAAAATTATAACCTCTCAATACCCATGCAATTACGATTTGATTTTCTAATTTAAATATTTTTATATTATATCAGATTAAATTCACTTTTATATTCATTTTTTTCATTGTTTATGGTTAATAATAAAAAGGTTTATTATAATTATATTATATAACCTTTAATTTCTCCATGTAATTACGATTTAGTCTTCTAATGACAACCCTTTTTTATATTATATCAGATTATATTCACTTTCCTTAAACAGTTTCTTTTATTAAAGTACTTTTAAATAAAAACGCCTTTTTTTACCAATGGGAGAGTTGTAGTGGCGCATGCGCAGTTGAGTTTGGCGACTGTCGTTGGTAACTTTGAGTTTTCCTCTTTTCTTTCTTTTCACATAGTTCATGCCAGTTTTCGATCATCTGATTCTCGAGTATCATGTCCTCATGTCGAGTATTAATTCACTCCGTTTTGTCAGGAGAGTGGAAAAAATATTTTTTTTATTCAGATAACTTCATTAAAAAAAAAATATTCAACTTTAATTCTTGAGAGGTTCCAACCCACTTCATGAAATTGACAATTTAAATAATTCTACATCAAATAAAAATGCAAAAAAAAATTCCAAAACTAATTTTTTTTTTAAATTCTAACTAATGATAGTTATGGGATAAGCTTGTTGAAAATAAGAACTCAATTTGGTAAAAAGGTTAAGTTTAATAATAATTTTTTTTTAAATCCCCTTTGAATCAGTCTAGAACGATTGAGTTCTGTAATCGTTGGCAATTTATCGGTCAATAAATCTGTAAGTGGCCAGGTATCACTTACTGTGTAATGCTACCTTACGCAAAAGGTAACATAGTTGCACGTAAAGTTTCGATTTTATAAAAGAACCAAAAATTATCCCCCAACTCCGATGGCGAGGGGGAAGGGGGAAATTTTCCCCCCTTTTATTATTATTAAACTCTGCGTATCAATTACATAACCTCAACAAAACCATTAATTCTTTTTTTGTATATAACCTCCAAAAAACAGTTTTATACTTGTATATAACCTCAAAAAAAAAAATTTTTTCCTTTATAACCTCAAAAAAAGATTCAAAGTTTTTTTCGCTTATAACTTCCAAAAAACCGTTAAAAGTTTATTTTTCATATAACCTCAAAAAAAAACCTATAATGCAAAATCGCTACCATTTTTTATCAACAAAAAAAAGGTAAATATAAGATCCATTAATAAGAATTTTTGTTCGAAATTGATCCCACGGGAATTAATTTTATAAAATAAATATATGTAAAGTTGAAATTATCATTGACAATTTAAGGCTCATATAGAAATATAATGTGTATAATTTTCTTTGCGTTTGTATTTGTGAAGTGTATTATATGAAATAACAAAAGCAAAAAAAAAAAATTATATTTAACGATGTTGCTACGCTACTGGTTGTATATATATATATATATATATATATATAAATGTTTGCGTGTTTTCTTGAATGCACGCACGTTTATTAACCAAGGCCTGGGTCGCTCTAGGCAAATTACAACAAGAAGCAAATAATAATCGAAAAAATCGAGTCGCTTCAAGCCCACACAACACGTGGACGTTCATTGAAACTTTATAATATAGTTAATCGAATGCCACTCAATAAAGATTTTTTCACATCATTTATTTAAGAAAAAAACTCTATAAATCTGAATATTAATTTTAAAAGAAAAGTAAATACAAAAATATTTATAAATTTTTATTGTGACTTGATTTTTTTTCTATGAATTAGAAGAAATTATGTTTTAGGTTAGTTTTGATGGAAATTTTTAAGGTTAGAATTTTTTTGCTATAGTTCAATTTAAACGAATGCAATTAAGACTTGACAATAACATTCGCCAAAGCAGTAGCTGCTTTTTAAGACGTTCAGTGTTACCAATAGTGAACACTAGAAGCGCTAACTTCACACGTCACGTGACTATTCCACCAATTGAGTTTCAGTGAAAATTACCGCCTTTTTTTTAAATTTTAATTTATTGTTTATAGTAAAAAAAATAATAAAAAACAAATAATAGAAAATGAATAAAAACCAAATAATAAAAAAATAAATAATAATAAAAGAAAAATAATAACAAAATATAGAAAAAGAAATTAAAAGTAAATAATAAGAAATAAAAAAAATATTAAAAAATAAATATTAAAAATTAATAAAAAATAAAATCCTCTGCAAAAAATGGTAAAAGTCTGTTAGAAATAAACAGACTTGTGTGTGATAAAAAAAAAATTTATGGCTCTTTTTTAATTCATGCACGAGAGCGACTGTTAAGCCAAGCGTATTATATACACAAGACCACTGATAAGGTTCACTTACAGCAAACTCTCTATAATTTTTTTTTTTGGCTTTTTTCCTTTTATTCATCTATATAATATGAATAACAGATTGCACTTTATTATACCTGGTTCAAAAATATTTTTATTTTTAATTTTTATATTTCAAAAATTAAAACAAACATTTTTTTAAATCATTTTTTTCTCATATTGTTAAATCTTTTTTTCTATTTTTTAAAATTATTTTTTATAAAAGTGTAAACAAAATTTTCTCCCTCTCTCTTTCTCTCTACAGTTATAGGCATTTATTATATCTTGATTGAAGTGCAGTCGATGAACTTGCACGAGAGTTTCGACCTGTATACGCGTTAAATTTTTTTTCGATCGAGATTAAAGAATCTTCCGAGTCATGATAATTCAATGCCGCGTAATAATCGCCCACGGAATGAATTTTCCAAAAAATAATTAATAAAAAAAATTTGATACTTTAAAATCTTTTAGAATTTTTTTTTTTTTTTTGAGAATATTAACATTAATTTATTTTGGAAAAAATTAAATTATTTATTTTTTAAATAAAAATTTCTAAAAATAAAAATTATAAAAAACATAATGAATCAAAAACAATTTTGTAGAAAACCAAATCGTAATTGCATGGAGAAATTAGAGGTTATAATTAATATTAACTTTTTTTTTTACTTTTTAGGTTCATTTGGATGGAGAAAACAAACTGTTTCGAAATGGGTTTTAATTTCTATAAGAATTAGAAACTAAAGTTGAATATTTTTTTAATGAAGTTATCTGAATAAAAAAAATATTTTTTCCAATCTCCTGACAAAACGGAGTGAATTAATACTTTGACATGAGGATCATGATACTCGAGAATCAGATGATCGAAAACTGGCATGAACTATGTGAAAAGAAAGAAGAGAGGAAGACTCATAGTTGCCAACGACTGTTACCAAACGCAACTGCGCATGCGCTACTACAACTATCTTATTGGCGGAAAAAGGCGCTCTTATTTAAAAGTGCTTTAATATAAGAAACTGTTTAAGAAAAGTAAATATTTAAAAAATATTTTTAAAAAATTTTAATTAGAGAACCAAATCGTAATTCCATGGGGAAATTAAAGGTTATAATTAATAATATAATTATATAAGAAACCTTTTTATTATTAACCATAAACAATAAAAGAAATGAATATAAAAGTGAATATAATCTGATATAATATAAAAAAAAGGTGTCATTAGAAAACCAAATCGTAATTGCATGGAGAAATTAATTTTTTTTTACTATTTTTTTTATTATTAATCACAATTTCTGACTAGTCGATTTTTGAAATTCACAGCGAAATTTTTCTATGTTTATTTATATTTTTAAATTATATTAAATTTCTCTCCAAAAAATTATAATATTAAAATATATTCAAAATTTTCTATTTTGTTGCTCAAAAAAAAATTTTTGTTTTTAAACTCATTTTTAAAAATATCTTTTTAATTGTTATAAATACATAATAGACGATGACTGAGCTTAGCGATCTTATTGAATATGAATATTCGACTATACAGTGATTATGATCGATGAAACTGTCAATGAAATTTATGAAGAAAGAGCGAATTGACATAATCGCAGAAGCTAATCGAGATGACAATATGTATATAAGTATATATATATATATATATATATAGTGGTCGCGAGAAAGTATATCTGGATCAAAAAGAAACGTGAGATGACTCTGAAAAATATTCTCACATGATCGAACCATTAACATGATCTCTATAACCACCCAACATAGTCGTGAAAAAAATAAATTTTTTTTTTTATTAAAAATAGAACAATAAGTCAAAGTTTCTAAAAAAACCAGAAAAAAAATATTTCTTTTAAAAGAAAAAATTAGCAAAAAAAAATTTTAA